GTGTGTGAGGATCTCTTTCGAGAAAGAGAAAAAAAAAACACAGCCTAGTTACCGGACCGATGGCCTGTCATGGCCTAGTGGCAGCGCCGAAGTTGAATGGTGCGACATCCCGGCCGTGTCGTGCAAAGTCTATCAAGGACCATCTCAATCAAAGCAAGCGCGAGACCAGGACCAGTTTAATGAGGATTTCCGCTGTCGCTGTCGCGGTCGGAAGGGCCGCGAGGGGCCGCGACGTTGCTACTCCACGCGTGATGGGACGAGACGATTTAGTGCTGGAGCTACATCTCTTTTTCGTAGGGACCTGGTGCACCGTGCGATAAGCCGTGTTCCATCTGCCCCTCTCCGTTTTGCCCCTTTTTTTGGGGGGGTGGATGGGGGTGGTTCGAATGATGTCGAGCAAGGGCCAGGTCGGCGATGAAAGTGTGGTGAGAGGGGATTGGTGCATAAACCAAGGGATTCCACATGTAATTCCACTGCCAAGCACAACAGAAATCAATTGGGACTAGCAAGGAGTGCAGTGTGGAGTCGGTGATGGATTTTTAGCCGGGAAGGTGTTGGACAGGTTCGAGTTTAACCATAATTCATGAGTAATCAATAATACAGAACATCAGTATAGGGTGTATAGTGGTGTATCGCAATACCGCGCCACAGGTTCTCCCCGAGCTAGCAGGCCTGCCATTGCCAAGTACCACCTTAACACCTTTTCCTTTTCTTTTTCCTTTCTAGCACTGGCAATGACCCTGGGGCCCACCTGCCCGAAGATCTGTGATCACCAGAGGGAGCTGAACCAGTGAACCCCGCTGCTCCATGCCTTCTGAACCAGTCTTATTCTTCTCTGGAAGGGTTTGCCCCCCACACTCACTCTATTCTCTCCGGGTTACTGTTGCCATCCTTAACTCCGTGACCAGTTAATGTTTAGTCTCGTACCCGCGGATTGACCTCCCCATGCCCCAGTGCCAATCCAATCCCCGGTCTATCCGCTGTGCCGTCTCCCCGGATGTATGAGGTCTCTCTCCTGTGTGTGTGAGCCCTCAAGCTAAGCCCATGTAAAACCTGTAAACTAAAACCCTTGTCCCTCCGTACCCTGGACCAAAGACCTAGGCCTGTCGCAAACAAAAGCACCACGCTGTTAGTCATTAATTAATTAATTTTTTTTTCTTTTTGCCTTCATGCAGAAAAGTGTCTGTCCATGGGTGTGTTAGCTGTCAGTGGCTGCGTATATAATAAACCCCGTCAGGTTTCCGTTTACCTTGATCCTCTTTTTTTTTTTCTCTCTGTTTCCTCTCTGTTTCTGCCTTGTTCCGACTCTCGAACCCATCTCCTCTTGAATTAACCTCTGTTAGTGTCGGTGGGACCTGCTCATCCAACTGCACATCATTGCAATTTATTGAGACCATCCTTCTCAGCGGGTCAACAGCAACAGGTAACTTTGTCTCCACTTTTTCCCTTTCGTCCATGCTCCTTTCGCTCCCTTCGCCCCTGCTCTTCCCCAACGGTGTTTTTCTTTTTTTTGGGCCAGTGATTTTTCGGCGAGGGTCCCGAGTCCTTCAGCCGAGCTTCCAATGGCAAAGACGGTTTTGTTGTCGTTCTCGGGCCAAGAACTTATATTAGCTCTTGCCCCCTGACCTTTGACATCCTTCCTCCTGTTCTTCATCTCTATTTCCATCCTTTCCAGCAGCGCTGATTGGCTTTTGGATTTGATCGCTTTTCTTCCCCTTCACACCTCTTTTCGATTTAACTGTGTTATCTCCAATTGAGACTTTCTTCCCATTGTTCAGCAAGCTGAACCTTTTTTGTTTTGCTCAATTCACCTTTTTTTTTCACCTCCACCACCTCACCTTTTACCAACCCTCTCAATTAATACCTTTTGTGAACTCTTTTTAGAATTTCACATATCATCATGTCTACCACTGAGACTACCAACAACGGCTCCCTCGAGAAGGACGTCGGTGCTGCCTCCGCGCCCGGCGCAACCAACCTTCAGCCGCAGATGTCGGCCGAGGAGCACGAGGTCGCTCGCCAGGCTGCGCGCTTCGGCTACGGCCCTCTCTCTCACGTCAACACCACTGAGGCTCGTCTCCCCGCCTTCGGTGGTGAGTTCCAGCCCGGTCTGTACAAGCCCGTCGAGGGCCGCAAGTTCGCCAACCCTGCTCCTCTGGGTCTGTGCGCTTTCGCCTTGACCACTTTCGTGCTGAGCGCCATCAACATGGGTGCTCGCGACCTCACCGCGCCCAACATCGTTTGCGGTCTTGCTTTCGGTTACGGTGGTCTGGTTCAGCTGCTTGCCGGCATGTGGTATGTTGTTGTTGAAACCCCCCCGAGTCGTGAAACGAAGCATCCACTAACGATATCCCAGGGAAATGGCCGTTGGTAACACCTTCGGTGCCACTGCTCTCTCCTCGTACGGCGGTTTCTGGCTCGCGTTTGCCATTGTTTTGACTCCTGGTGGCTTCGAAATCGAGAAAAGTTTGACGGCCACGGCTGCTGATGGAACTACGACCCTGGCCCCGTTCGCAAACTCCATGGGTCTTTTCCTGTTGGGCTGGTTCATCTTCACCACCATCCTGGTCTTCTGCACCCTCCGTTCCACCGTTGCCTTCTTCACCCTGTTCTTCACCCTGGATCTGACCTTCCTTCTGCTGGGTATCGCTTACCTCTACCACGACGAGGCCGGCACCCCCAACGCCAGCATCCAGAAGGCTGGTGGTTTCTTCGGTTTCCTGGCTGCTTTCGCCGCCTGGTACAACGCCCTGGCTGGTCTGGCCGACAACAGCAACAGCTTCTTCATCATCCCCGTTGCCCACTTCCCCTGGTCTGCCACTGGCCGCGAGCGCCGCCAGAAGACCGACCGTGAGCTGGCATAAATTTCGTCCCCTGTGTCGTCTCGATCATGACGGAATGAAGGGATGGTCGATAATGCCGCGTTGTGTTGCGCGTTTGTAATGTTTTCTGATACCCCTCGTGCCATCTAGGGTTATGGTTGAAAAGTGATGGGGTTTTCCTTGTCATTTTGACTTGGTAACTTGAATATGGGCGGATTTCCTCTTTCGAAGGCTTTTATTAGTCGGCGTCAATGGAATCGCAGTACCGTTTGAGCGTGTCCGTTTCTCATTTTTCTTTTTCGGCTGTATTCCTCATAGCTTTGCTTTTCTTTTCTTCGTTGATGATCGATGGATTGTCTTTCGAGAGGGAAGCATTTGCACAAATGCTCGTGACTCGAAGAAGAACAAAAAGTGTCTTTTGTCGGACTCGAGTACATAATTAGGGGTGGTTCGCGTTGCGTTCCCCTCATATTTCCTTGTTGTATTTAGTCTCCTTGCCTGTTATCGCGTGGCTTGTAATAATTCACCCTATATGGTTAATTCTCTCCGAATCCACGTACCTGGTAGCCCGTAGCTCTTCCATCCTTGTCCCTGTCCCTGTCTTTGCCTTGTGCCGCCCTATTGTTTGAACAGGGCTGTGATGGTTTGCGAACTGGTTCGTCGAGGGCGGATCACGGACTGCCATGACTTAACGGAGATCAACCTGGTCTAGGCAGTTAGTAGAAAAGGAAGATCAAGTTAGTCTTTATGATTGTTTGTTCATTGCGTAAAAGCAGTGACCAGGTGCGCACCAGTGCTGGCAGACCCGGATCTCATGACAGAGACGATAAACACACTTCTTAATGTGTATGTACTCTGTATAATCGAGAGAAATGAGCTGCAGATCAGCCATTGGAGCAGGTGAATGGGAACAATCACCCAAGAACCATCCAAAGATTCTGTCAGTCGAAAAAAGTAAACATTGCTGACCAGCCAGAGATGCGTGGGAATGGGCAGCTATAAGTAAGTGTAGATCAGGTACGAGTACTCCGTACCCAACTAGATCTACTCCCCCTCGAAAAGCAAGAAGAGTATGTACCTCCGTTTCGACTCGGTTTTAGGTACACCCTAATATCCAATAGAAGGTGGGTAATAACTAAAATTATCACTGAGACACCGGGAATTTGGCCTGAAAGGGGGACTGGAGGGCAAGTCTGCTGCGCGAAGGTCAAGTCAACTCTAATTTCAGACGCAAATAGTGGATGGGGAATGGAATGTAGTTACCGAATTGGGGTTGGGTCCGTTACTCAAACATAGTAAGGGGTAATCTTTCTATTCCAAGTTTTCGAGGGGGAAAAGGGCAAAGGAATAGAGGGAAAGAGAAAAAGAGAAAACAAGAAAATATTGGCCCTGGATGAAGGGTCTCTTTTGACTTACGGCCCGACTGTCAGACTACTAGCTGAAACACACCCCAAGCTCCCTACTATTCCGTCCCGAGCTTGCCGACCTCCACCCGATCTTTTCTCGGTCTACTCTCGGCATTCAGGGGTCGGCGATAGTTCGGTCGGCATTTGTGGAGTCCCTGCCGAGCAATTCTTTGATTTATTTATGGGCCGGGGACTTTGGTGCATGATTCACGTTCGCATTGATCGCGATACATAGGTCCTTGTAGAGTGTTGTTGGTTAAAAGGGGGAAGTTTTGGTGGAATGGTATTGCTGGGAGGTCTGCGCCTTCGGCAATTGCTCGGGGGGGGAGGGGGGGGGGGGACTTTGTTCTTGAACACCATGACCCTTATCTCTAGCTAGGCTGACTGGGTAAATATGCACCCGGTGATCTGGCTAGCTCCTCATTCGCAGCCCAGGGAGTAATCTATAGCCTGGTGGATCGCACGGCTGGCAAGTGCTGATTGAACCGCGCCAGCCGGCGTTTGCCTAGTTCTGTGCTTTTGATACGTTGATTGAGTGCTACTCACTACTCGTACAGTTGAGGCAGATACTTTTTTCAATAGACTGTTTCATTTGGTCATTACTCGTGTAGTATTCAGCATGCAGTATGTGCCAATTATTGTATCTGGTTTCATTCACATGTCATGAGAGGGGTGATGGTAGAGTGGTGAGAGTTTCCATGGGTTTCAATGGTTCCAATAGTTCCAGTAGGTTTAAAACTTCCGTCTCAATGAGGAGAAAAATGCTCATGTATCATCGCGCAGCCGAGAGATCCGACTGTAGCTGAACCTCCTGCCATATCTGACGTAGCATATGAAGGTGGGCACGATCGACGTAGAAGAAACCCAGGAGAATGGACCGGGCTTCCTGCCAAGACGTCACGCCATGTAGACGGCAAGCCGTTGCGAGCTCCGAAACAAAAAATGCGCGTTCCGACGGCATCACTTGGCTGCATGCCGCACCAATGAAGAGTAGCCATATCAGCAGATCGCGACAGAGGGCAAAGACGCCGGATGGGATGGTGGCTTCCAGCGCCGCACGGAGGGCAGTGATGGGTTTTGGTAGCAGCGGTGCGATCATTGGATAGAAAGTCCAGATTGCACTGTTGTGGAAACACAGGCAGGCTAGGCGAACACAGCCCTCCATGGAATTATCGCCCTTGGCTTGGCCAGTGGGTGTGTACCGGTCTGAATGGAGTGCGTACTCCACATACACCACTTCAAAATTGAAGTAGTCCTCGGTCTCTTCGTTGAAATTTTTGTATCCAGTGCTTCCCTTGATCCATTCCGCATACCAGGTGAGTTCGAGAAGGTCATAGATGATTTTGGCAAATACATCACTAAAAATTCCTGGGATTTTGACCAGGGGGAGGAGGCGGGTGGCGAGCAAAGCGATATCATCATTAGGCGGCGAGAGGGTGAGCCCCATCGGTCGACTTGATCGGACAAAAGGAAATATTGGTCTTGTCATTGCCATACAGGCGACTCGAATATCCGTCCTGTGTAATTTGATTAGCTAGTGACATGGTCCCCGGGATGAAGGTACTAACCATGATATCTGGAAGCGGACATCAGGTGGGACATCCGCAAAGTTCTTACGCAGTCCGATCATTTGTCGCAAGCCCGCCAGGTGAATTTTGAGATAATCGGGATTTCCCGATGCGATCTAAGGTTGTAAGTGCGATGCTTATCTTGAAGTGTTGATTTGAGACTCACCTCGATCGTCAGAAGAGCAGAGACCGCAGCAATCAGCTCGTCACTTGAGGCCTTGACGGGATCCGACAATCCCTCATTCACCAATCGAATAGTTTCACCGCGGTGATGAAAAGTGTCCACCACCAAGTCGCTGCGTGTCTGATTCGGATCTCGAACTGGCAACTCCCCCCCGCTGCATAGCCGCATTGGAAGTGGCCACGCATATTGAGGCGTGCAGGACAGCGGGATCGCGCTGGATCAGTGATGCCCAGTGCGCCTGCAATTTGGGCTTATATCGGGTTTGTAATGGATGTGCTTCTTGTGTTAGATCCCAAAGGACTATCCATGAGAATCGTTAGTCAATTGAGTCAAAAGATACCCAGAGGACGTAGTATATAGCGTGATAACTCACAATTTTGCAAATGTCGCAACATTCGATCTGTGAGCTGCGTGTGTCCGGTATTGAATGGATCATGGGCGCCTGACCCTAGCACCGACCATGTTGCAAGCGAGGTCGATTGGTCTTGGTATTCCACTACTTCGTCATTAAACCACCCTTGCTGCGATGCATTTGCATAGTAGTCGATAGGAGGAGTGGTCTCCGGTGTCAATTCCTGCTTTGTATCTGACTCGTCGATAAACTGGGAGCCATGCGAGGACGAAGACGACGACGAGGGTGGAGGAGGGGACGGCCCTATGGTACCGGGTACTGTCTCGGGGGTTTGGAAGGAAAGATGCTTCCAAGATTTGCCCTTATACCGCTTGGTGCTTTCCAGACGCTTTTTCCGATTGTGTTCTGACATGACGTGAGACCGAATCCGCTTCAACGTCTCCTCCTTCGTGCCCCCCGACGCTGACTCCGGGTCCGTATGGACCCAGAACAGCGTCGACTTCCCCGCGGATGCATTTGCAGCCCTGCGAGGCTTGCGGACCTTAGCAGGCGCATTGCGCTCTGTCTTTTCCGACGGCGCGGCTTGCGATGATTGTGGATCCGACGGTTGAGACGCGGGCGGCGCGGCCGGACTGATCGGCAAGGGCTCAGCTGGGGGAAGAGTACTCGTACTCGTAGTCGGAAGGACGGTAAGAGGATCAGGTTGAGAATTATCGTGGGTGGCGGGCCAAGGCGCAGTCGCGGGGGATCGTGATAGCACAGGCAGTGCTTGCTCATAACCCCCGGAGAAGGAATCCTTAGCGTCCATGATACGAGCTTATCCAACGGCCGTGGGTAAGAAGGCGAGAACAAGCTTCCCTGCCTCTGAAAGCTGAGGGTGAAAAGGTCGGAATAGAAATGCGGCCGGCTCGTCCCTCGTGCACTGGGTCCGCTTAGGATATTCCGCTTGGTAAATTCTTCACGCTGATGATAGCATGGCCGGGTGAAGCATGGCCCCCGCTAACGTCGCTAGTGGGATGTGAGACTGCGCCCGGTGGGAATCGCTAGGAGGTGGTGGTACTCGAGGAGGCGAGGGGGAGATGAGAGAGAAAGATGAGAGGCGGCGATGACTGATACAAAAGTCCGAAAGAAAGTACGGGAGCAAAAGGTTAATAAACTTCTAGGCCCACGGCGGAAGGTGGAGGATGGGAAGGTCTGATCTCAACTTGAACCTAGTACGGAGTAATAGATCCAAGACAAGCAATCCTGTGGGGAGCCCACTCCATGACTCTTCTTGGTTCTTGGTTCTTGGTTCTTGGTTCTTGGTTCTTGGGGTAAGGCCATTCTTGGGGTAAGGCCATGGCCATGGCCCAATGCAAGGCCGATCAAGAGCTTAATACTTTTGACGGTCCCACTGATCTTGATACCCTGCAGAAAGTATGAACCTTGAACCTCGAATACGGGGCGGAGTGGAATTGCCCGCTTGATGCCGATCGGCTATTTCATCTGTCATTCTGTACTCGTACTCCATACCCCGTTCTAGTCCGAGCTACTTTATTCTCGAAATAACTATGCGTAGGTTAACCCACTCCTGTTCAGAGTATAATTTTCATTTGCTTGAATTTAATGGTTCTTCTATCATCACTACAGAGCCCAAGGGAATGATTATCGGGTCCGGCTCGCAACTTGTGTTTCACGTACTGGCAGCTCGCACCGCGAGCCGTCAGATGCAATATGATCAGGGGGGGTAGCAAGAGAAATTGAAGTACAACATGAATGAAGAGAGGAAAAAAAGAAGAAGAGAAATAGTGGACCATTATAGGGACTCGCGTCTCAGATCATCCCCGGTCGTGGGAAGACAGGAACCGTGCCCATTTGTTCTAAGCCACCCATTGTACCGGCCTGTCCGCTACTCTGCCAGCCCTGGCCAGTCTGTTGATTGATAAACTGACTCTGGCGGAAAGGGTTAGTGCTTCCCGTGGGGGTGGGTTGAAGAGGCTGTAGCCCCGTGTTCTGTGGGGGGGACGGACGAGCTCCGAGCAAACGGATTAGTTCCCGTTCGCTGCGGCTGAAGCGCTTGCGGCTGTTGTGGCTGCTGTGGAACTGGTGGGACCGGTTCAGTCGGGGGTGCATTGAGCTGGTGAGCAACAGAGAGACGCTTCGCAAACGGATTCGTGTTCTGCCTTTGTAGTGGACTTGCCGGGGCCGCCCCATTGCCAGTAGTTGTTGCATTAAGCATCATCGACTGCCGGAAAGGATTCGTTCCGGTGGTCTGCGGCTGCAACTGATTTGCCACAGGTGGTTGTTGCTGCTGGGGGAATGAGGGAACGCCGTTCTGAGGGACAGGTGCTAGCTGCGATTGATATCCATATTGTTGAGGCTGGGGAGTGTATCCCCCGAATCCTGCCCCTGTAGGTGTGGCCTGGAGCGGTTGTGCTTGCTGTTGCGCTTGCTGTTGTCCAAAGGGATTTCCAGTATTCTGTTGCTGGAAGCCTCCATATGGGTTTTGTAGGCCGTATCCTGTCATTTGAGGTTGCTGCGGCTGCTGTTGCTGCGGCTGGGGCTGCTGCGGGAACCCAGTTTGCTGGGGGTAGAATGCCTGCTGGGGCTGCTGCTGAAAGCCCGTTTGTTGGTATTGCACCGGATTCTGCTGAGCCATCGGCTGTTGGTTTCCTTCGATCGAATCGAAGAAATCAATGAGATCCGTTGGTGGCGGCTTCTGCTGCTGGGGTTTCTGGGCCGGGGCTTGCGCGGGTGGGTCAAACGCAGATGTGGCAGCTGGCTTAGGTGCGGCCGAAGAGGTTGCTGCCGAGGACGGTCCATCTAGATCTTTCTTGATTCCTTTCTGGGCCAGATATTCTCGACGGCGTAGTTCAAAGTCCGGGTCATTCAAGTCGTCTTCCAAAAGGCGCGCCAGGTTGGTGTTGGCATGCTTGAGATTCGGAATCTCTAAACGGGTGGCAGACTGGAAATGCCTGGCGACGCCCAGAAATTCCACCACTTCTTCCGTCTGTTTAGTAAATGTCTTATAGATGGCCAATGCACGTTCGCTATCCGGTCTTGACATCTCGAAGTAATGCTCTATCAAATCCATTCTTGTTAGTGACAAGGGTGCTCGACTAAAACTTTGAGAGACATACCTAGGACGTTGATGGTACCCTCATTCATGACCGAATACAGTGTCATGAGATCGAGGGTCAAGAGGCGAAATGCAGTCAAGCTAATCTCGTTCTCGGGCTCATCCGTCAATAACTATTTGAGTTGTTAGTCACAGAAAAGTCAGCCTACAGCAAATATCACCTACATCAGCCCTCAACAGCGCACGGATCTGCTTCTGTACATATTCCGTTTCTCTCAAAAGACCCTTTTCCACGCTTAATCGCTTCAGGCGCCCCGGTCCGTTCCGTACATAATCCGTCTGAGTGGCTTCGAACGCTCTTGCGCGAGTGATAAGATACTCGGCATAGCGGCGAATATTGCGTCCCTGTGACTGGGCTAGACTTTTTATCAGCCAATTGTCATTGTGAACCACAATGCACCCCACGACTTGAACTCACCTTCGGAGAAGTTGCTGGGTGCGATCTTCTTCGGGTTGTCGGAGAGATATGTCAAGGCCGCATCCTGTTGGCCCTCTCGGATCAAGAGATGCACAATTATAAGAGCCTTGAAGACAATTGTCCATGCTGAATCGCGAAGTCGGTGTTGTAATGTTCGGAACACCTCGGCAACGCCCGCCTCGCCAGTATGGGTCGCCACCAGGATGTTTTCAACGTATTTGGATTTAGGGGCCGCGAGCTTTTGCGCACAGGGTAAGTTAATGTCTTTTCAGATGCCAATATTCATTGATTTTAGGGAGACTCACCTTGAGCTTTGTGGCCCCCTTGACCGATTTCTCGAAGTTGGTCATCGTGTTTTGAGGGGGTTGTTTCGGGGGATGGTGATCGGCGCGCGGTTCTCAAGTATTTGTTTTCGAGGGTTTGGTGATATACAGGGCCGGGTTGAGAAGAGACGAAATAACCGAAGAACCTGCTTCAGGAGCCAATGCCTTCGTAGTGGCCGTGTAGGGTTTCAATCATCACTGGTGCTGTTCATGCAGTGCTTCATTGGCGCATGGCGGATGCCTAAATGGAAAGGGTCACGGGATAGATTCGCAGGTTTAAAGATATATGAATCCAAGCGAGTAGGAGAGTCGATCTGGTGATTGAAAGTCGGGAAAGCCCTTGAGGGCGGATAGGGAGGTTGCTCGAGGGGGGCAAGGGACAAGCCAAGGTTGGGCGTAGGCGGAGCTTCTGGGCAACGCGGATGTCCAGCGACCGATCGGGTTTAGCGCCGCATTGCCGCACGAGGCGCTGTCATTCGCTGTAGCGGGGGAGTATACATACAGTAGGGAGGGAAACAGAGTGATTTGAATAAATTGGGTTTGGTTCTTATTTTTAATGATTTGCTATTACTAGTAGCAGTGCAGATTGTACTTTAAGCATTTTGAGCTATGCAACATAGCCTTGGAGTAGTAGGGAGTAGTAGTAGATATATATACTCGTGGACAGCATAGTAAACTGCAGTATAACCTGGTAGTACCTAGTTAGGTGCACCTTCCACCTGGGCAAGACTTCAAGTTTCCGAGTCCGAGTCTAGAGCTCGGAGTCAAGGTTTGCTCTTCCTGACCTCGGAGGTCTTACTAACTAATATACTACTAACCAATGTCTTCAAATACACTTAGTGAATAGTAACTTAAAAAGGAGGTATAATGGCCTACAAGTACTACTACTAGTGAATAGTGGTACTAGTAAGCTTCAAGTTGACAAGAACTTGTAGCCACAGCCCAGCGAGCCCTCCGGGGCCATAATCACTGGCAGTGAATGTTACTCCTGCTACTCTGGTCCTTCCAAGTTCCCACCTTCAACCTTCAAGTTGTTTGTTCCGTCGCGTGGTCCTGTTCTCCTCTTTCTGCTCACTCCACCTCCCTCACTTCCATCTTGTCTTTTTATCCTCGTCCTGACCAAGATGGGGGCAAACCAGACCAGAACGCCCATCGAACCACGCTACGAGAGGAGGTTCGGGGAGTATCTTGAATCCATTCTCCGCGCGGTGAGCTAAGTTTCAACTCTACTTGCATGATTCCAGGACTTGGATCTAATCTACATATTATTTATCCCACAGAATCCCAGCCAGCCAAGCAGCGATTCCGTCGAGGTTGTCATCCTCACCCCCAACTCTCTCTCAGATCCACTTCCCATGCAGGAGAGCATAGAGGAATCTGATTACAATGAGCTGTCCGATGCCGAAGCAACTTCGATCGACGAGTGCGATCCTTTGGTTCCGAGCTATGACAAGACATGCATCTGGTGCGAGTGGGAAAAGGCCGAGGCCAAGGAATACACGGGGACTCCATGTCCATCTCACCACAACGAATCAACAGGCGTCAACTTCAACGAGAATACACCTGACCTGTTTCCCCGTAACAGCCAAATGAGAGATTTTCTAGGGAGTCGCGCCAGCTTCCCTTATGGCAAGTGCTCAGATCGTCCCGGCCGATGTTTGCCCCAAGAGCTTCCGCCTCTCCTATTCCGTTGGTGGAACAAGAATTCGCATGGCCTGAACACTCGGACATTATTAATGGCTGCAGCATTCGCTAAAGCTGAGTCGCCAGTAGAGCGCGTCATGCTAGAAGGCATGGGGCGCGAGGATTTCTTGTTAGCCTTCAAGAACCATGTCACAAAAGCGCGAGTCGATAGCCCATTCATCTCCCTGTTCAAATCTCCGTTGTCACCGATACACAGAGCCGTCCGTCACCAAGATGGCGCAGTAATCTCTGTTATTGACCCGTCTAAGCTGGAGAGAGATGTGTTCAAAGCCGTCCCCCCTGGTTGAGATGACAAATACCACACTCAGGAACTGGAAGGGATTCGGCGAATACGAGGTTTGGGAGAAGATCGAGGGACCTGCCATTGTGTGTACATTCGACATCCGCACGCTGATGAATATCGATCATGACAATCCGGTCATCGGTGGATTCCTGCAACTTCTCATAATCCGCGGATATGACTCAGGCAGCAACGCCCTACATGTCAGGCTTAAGAGTATCCTTAAGTCTCACCACGATCATGACATGGCATTGTCACGGCTCATGGAGCTACTTGAGGTTCCCGAGCAGTACCGGGCTTCAATGTGTCACTGCTTCAAGAAATCGTGGTTCGAGAATACCATTGAAAACTGGACACAGGGAGAACTTGAAGCATCTCGAAGTGTATCTCCACGGAACGAAGTGTACATTCACCCAGTGGATATACCCGTGCTCTCATACCCACTTCCATTCACCCCCCCGGAAAGATATCGGAGATCCGTATCAGAAAAATCCTACAAACCTCCGAGACGCGACGAGGAAACTGAAGGGGAATCGAGCGAAGAAGAGAAGAGCTCCCAGTCCCCCGCAGCGCGATGCCCTCGCCATGACACCCCAAGCTCTGGATATTCGGTTCGGGACGAAAGTGATGACGAAGATGCTTACCGGAAATTCAATGCGAAGCAATTCAGAGCTCATCCGCCCATCCCAATCAATTTTGCGGGACGAGATGAGATCGAACAAACACCAGATGTGTCGGATATGGAGATGGTCAATGAGTGGCCATCGGAAGGAGAGCACTATCAAGTTTAGTTTGTGAGAAGTACTTGTCAGACTATCCTGAAGAGGACTCAGAAGCAAAAGGGGTATGTAAGAAATGGAGAATTGAGATAGGAAGAACAAATTACGGAGGCACACTACAATGTGCTGTGTTGATGTCATTCAGTCGTTCACTTAAGAAGTAGGACGAGAGATAGTAGTATGGTGTATCTCTCTCGTATATATCCACTCATTTAAGATTGATAGTATGGTAATAGAGAGATGTGCCCGTCGAGGTACCTATTGACCGTGGTGACAGGATTTCCAGTTGCTTTTGTGATGCATTAATATCCGAATTGTACAGCCACTTGCGTCCCTGATCGAAGCATTCCAAGGCTTCGAACAAATGTCCACTAGTACTAGCGCATGTTAAGTTGTTCAAACTGGAAGACCCAATTGGCAATTGAGTTCGCAGTGCATTCCTCTTCGAATCAGCGATGCTTACTGTGGACACGCGGCTGTAGGCTACTTTGAATTGATTTGCCCAACGCTGCATTGTTGGGACCAACTAGTGCTTAGTAAGGATTCAACGCTGCCAACGCTCATACAATAACACTGGAATTCCTGCTAATGTGTAGTTCTGAAAGTTTTCTTGGTGCGCCGCTTGTAGACAAACTCCTAATCTGCAAAAATGGTTGTTGGCGGCTGTTTCTGTGGTAGGGTCCGAGTCGAATATACCCAGCCTATAGTGTCTGTAAGTATGATCTAGTGAATCGTTTACTGACACAACATGACCTTATTTTCTTTCTACTAGGCCCTATGTCACTGTCTTGACTGTCGCAAACTCACTGGGTCTCCTTTCTCCTACAATATCATCGTCCGCACTGCCGAACTACATGTCTCCGGCAACCCAAAGGAAGTGCCAAAAACAGCAGATAGCGGGAATGACATCAGGAATTATTTCTGTCCTGACTGTGGTATGTATCATGAGCGGTCGATTGTACTTGAGAAGGTAGTATCTAATCAATGTGATAGGCACGCCGCTTTTTGGACGGAAGATTAACTCCGCCGGAGAACCTGAGGAGACTACCGTTGTCCGGGCAGGGATATTGGACGATGTTGGAAAATTGAATGAACAGAAGCCGCAGGTGGAGATATACACTGACTCCCGATTGGAGTGGATCAGTCCCATCGAGGGGGCTAGTCAATTCAAAGGCATGTTGTCGCAATAGTTTAAAGCTTGAGATCTACGGAAGCGCCGAGTTCGAGTTATTAAAGATGTATCAATAAACGGAGGCAAAGTTGTTTATCAATAGCTCTACATGAAAGAATCGAAATTCTCGTCATCATCTCCTTCTCACGTAGTGCAGCTCAAACTGGATGTGCAAGCGTCGAAAAGGCTTGCCGCCCTGATGGCCCTTGGCATGACCTGTGAGCCAGGGCGAGTTGTACGGGACTGTACGTTTCCATGGCACGAGGATGATGAAATATTTTTGCTTTTTGTGTGGATACACATTCTTCAGCAAGGTATCTGGGACATTGAAACTCGTAAACTATCCCGACCCCGTACAAGAAAATCCCTGATATCCAATTCAAACCGCTTCCTTCGCCGTATCCGAGCACCCAACCTCTATTCAACGTTTAGAACTTGGCGAAAGACTTGACAGCCTTGCCGGTGCGGGGCAGAACGCGCAGGACGTTGAAGCGGACCTATAAAGTATATTAGTTAGACGCAATTCGGGGAAAACAAGTGTTGTGAAAATGCGATTGTGGTGAAAAGGCAGGATTTCCAAGGCGGTTCCAGGAATGCAATGCCATCAAATTCGCAGTTTCGATATGGATTTCAACGTACGGTCTTGGAAAGGGGACGGCACTGGCCGACGGTAACCCAGTCACCCTCAGCGACACGGAAAGCGGGGGAAACGTGGGCGGACAGGTTCTTGTGGCGCTTCTCGTAACTGTTGAATCAAGTTAGTCAAATGGTCGATTAGTTGACTGGGGGGGGTCGATTGAGGCGCAATGGCACTGACCGGTTGTACTTGGGGACGTAGTGGAGGTATTCACGGCGGATGACCAGAGTACGGTGCATCTTGGTGGAGACAACGCGACCGGTCAGAATACGGCCACGGATGGAGACCTGGCCGACGAAGGGGCACTTCTTGTCTGTTGGAATTGTTAGCCACCGTGTTCGATATTGTTGCCGGGAGAGTCGGAGATCTTCGATGTGGCGCAGGTCATTTTTTTTTTTTCGAGGTTGGAAGGAGGAAGACAATTCAAGACATCCAGCAAAGCATCAGGACCGCCAGAAGAAAGGTAAGCCTGGTCGAGACTCTTCTGCGTATCCCGACCCTCAACCGCACACTCGATTCCTGTCCCTTGTCTTGATATCGTTGTCCCGTTTCCACCACCAAAAAATGACCATAACTTCGTAGATCTCCTCGCTCCTGGCGTAGAATTTTATCGTAGGTCGTGCATACCGATGTAGGAGCCCTCGATAGCGGTCTTGGGGGTACGGAAGCCCAGACCGACTTCCTTGTACCAGCGGCGGCCAGAGCCAACCTTCTTGGACTTGGACTTGGTCTTCGAGTTAAGGAAGATGTGAGGCTGCTTCTGGAAAGCGCGCTCGGACTGGACGTTCAACTCGGTCGCCATGGCTGCGGTGTGTTGGTCGACGGGGAAGCGATGGTCGAACTGCGGATGAAAAGATTGGCGGGTCTCGTTCGTCGAAGTTGAGGAAGACTTCGCTAAGTGCGCAGATGGTTGTGTGTGGCCACTAGTCCGCATTTGGGCTAGTGTGGGCGGGTTAGGGCTTTTGAGCCAAAACGGGTTTGTTTACAATCACGTGATTCAAGACGCGCCTCGGGGAAGGCGTGACGGGGGTGGCTCCAATAGGAAGGAGAGGGGAATGCGACTATCGAAGTTACCCTACCCGTCGGGGATCATCTGCGCTGTAGCTTCAACCTCCCTTTAACACGCTATGCTTGGGTGATTACACCCCTGCTATCTTTGTCGCCAACATGTCTTCTCGCGACACAGGTGCTGCGCGAGTACGCTCTCGCCGCTCTATTGCACATGTACCACGATCTCGGATGACGTCTGGCCTGGATAAGGAGAATGCGACAACAGACATCGGCGCAGTACCACCTTTTGAACCCAACACGAAGCCCACCATGAAAGATAAGAAGTCACGAAGTAAGAGTTTAGGGCCTGGTGGACTGGACGCTCTGCAGAACTCCAATGGCAATCGACGCAAGGTAGGCAGCTCTTTCTTTGTTGTCTTAAAAAGCTTTCTTTCCACGCGCGCGCGGAGAAGTATGGTGACATTAACGCAATCGTCCCATAGTCCACGGCCTCGTTTCCTCTCAAATCGATTCTTAAACCTACCGTTCCCGTATCTCCAGTGCGAAACATCCCATCGTTCGAGGAAACTCGTCGTCGCACTCCGGCTCGTAATGCGCAAAGCCAGGAATCCAGCTGGGAATCTAGCAGTCAGAACCAGGAGGGCCTTTTGATCGACTTTGCAACGCCCCCTCGACCCGCCGCTGAAGGGGATGATACCGCCAATCCATTCGACACTTTCAACGCAACAACTGCGATCCGCGAGGAAATGGCAGCCACCAAGGAGCGCGATGACAAGGAGCGTCGGGAGCGCGAACGCCAAGCTATCTTAGAGAAACGAGCGGCGCGACGGAAGTCTATGGGTATGTCCCCTATTCCATATTGGACGACAGCATCCAATTTGACTTTTACTAACACTCTATACAGCGAATCGTCGCGTATCATTTGCCCCGGAGGCTACACTGCACACCTGGAATGTCGTGGAGATTCCCGACGAGTCGACATCTTCCTCTGCAGCAAACTCTACCCGACGCGCCTCTAATGTGAACAACTCAGAAGCCAAGGCCCAAGCACCCACTCCTGCCAAAGAGGCCCCATCGTCACCTGAAACAGATGCTGGCTCAGACTTCGGTTTCTCACCTGTTCGTCAGCAAGATCTTGAGCAGATGCGAGGCCGCTCTGGATCTTCAGGCGAAGATGAAGGCCCAACGGAAATGTCCTCCAGTCCGTTTAACGGAAGCTCGCCAGGCAGCGAAGATACCGGCGCACAAAGCTTGGGAGAAGTGGAGGAAGATGATGGCCAGTCCTCAGAGTCAGACGATGGCTTTGATGTCGAAAGTACTGCTATGAGTATGGATGACATGACGGCCCGTTCCGGCGTCAGTGTACAGTCGGACGTTTCTTCTAGTTCGAGTTCCAGTGCCAGACTGAATGACGCATTGCGACAAGCTGCAAAGGAAGCTGGAACACAAGCTGTTGATGAAGAGGATGGAGAAATGTCAATGGAGATTGCAGACCAAGAAATCACTGGCGCCTTCCAACCCTGGATCAAGAAGGGCCAAAGACAAAGCTTCGACTGGTCAGATATTAGTGCTCGACATGACCAAGAAAACATGGACCCGTCCAAGGTTGCTTCAGAAAATAATGCTCCCGGGTCAGATGAGATGGACGAAGATGAAGAGATGAGCATGGACGTGACGAATGCGATCGGACAGATACTCGGTAAATCATCTGGTCATCGGAAGAGTGCCGTGCGTCGCCAGTCCACTGCACAGCAAAGCGAATACGACGATCAAACCATGGAGATGACAAACGTTGTCGGGGGAGGAATTGAAAGGGTCGATTTCGCCCAACCCGATGACAACGACAATGCCGACGAGGATGAAGAGATGACCATGGAGTTCACTTCGGCCATTGGAAAAGTCCTCAGCAAAGGACCGTCCTATGAACAAGGTGCAGATGTTGAAGCTGAACAGCTTGCTACTGACACACCCAAGTCGGACCGCATGACCGACGATCAAGGTAATGGATCGGATTATGGGATGGAAATGGAAATGACTGGTGCAGTTGGTGGCATCCTTCCGTCGGGGCAAGAAATCCTGGACAAATTTCAAGCAAAGAGGCTCATGGAACTGGAAGCCGAGTCAGGGCAATTGAACAGCTCTCCCTTTCAAGAGAACACTCAAAAGTCCCCAGCCAAATCACCTCTGTCATTCAATGTGGCGGCGGTGGCCTCGGAGCATGGAAGCCCTAGCTTGACGAGTGTCAAATCTCGGACTCCTCGACGTAGTTCTCTTTTGGGGGTATCGAATACACCAGAGTCCCACACCCCACGCCGTTCGCCACGCAAATCACCGACGAAGAAACCATTAACCCCTCCTAAGCAGTCTACACCTCAGACGAAGCCGACCACACCAAGCAAGACACCCCCATCTGCAAATGTATCATTCCGAAGTGCTTCTCCAAAGAAGCTTTTCCGGCCTGAACTCCAAAATCAACGTTCCGCGGACAAGAAGAAATCACCACGTCTCAGTATATTCGAACAGGACACAAATGGTGGATCGTCTACTCCTCGAATTGTATTCCAACCCCGAGAGGCACGGCGCTCCTCCGGCCTGGGAATTGACAAAGAAGGGCTTGGGTCTCCCCGCGTAGTTGCTCTACTTGACAAACGCCTGTCACTCGGTGAAAACACGCCACAGTTTGTCCCTCAGCAACAGCCGCGAGGTGGTGTGCGCTTTGAAAATCCGCTGAAGATGCAGGCGGACGAGGAAAGAGACCGCGAGGAAGAGGAGCTTAGAGAGGATGGGCATATTCAGCCTTCCAGCTCCATGAACAGCGATATTGGCTCAAACCTGAGGAATATGATTTCTAGCATGAGCCCGAAGAAGGGCAAAATTGGAAGTCGGAAAAGCCTCCATGTTGGTGCGGCGCGTGGCATCCTTGGCAAGCGACCAGCTGAACTTGACGAAGACGAAGACGAAATCGAGAATTCTCCCAAACGCCTCCGTGGCCATGACGTGAGCCCTGTCAAGGCAGTGCGACTTCCGGCCCCATCATCGGCCAAGAAAGATCCCACCCGGCGGTCGATTCTCTCTCCTGTCCGTAGGGCTCGGAGCTCCTCGCCGCTCAAGGGTAGCACTACTCCCACCCAGCCGCCGCAGAGTGCCTCGAAGAAGGGAATCACTCCTCTGAAGGAAGGTGTGGATTCTCTTCATATTGCTTCAGATCCTCAACAGCCAGAGCCAGAAGAGGGCCTCCCAGATCAAGAGCTCGAGCCTGAGGTAGAGCCTATTCAGCTGCAGGATTTCCTGAACATGACCAATATTCATTTCATGGAACTCACCACCACGAAGAGACGACACACGACCGCGCCTGGAAGTGCCACTAGGAGGTTGAGCAGACGGTCTGGGGAGCACGTTCCCAAGACAGGAACGTTCACCTTTGGTGACTGCGTGGCTGCTGGACTGTGCACAGTGCCCATGCTGGAGTTGTATCAACACGTGAGCTCTTTCCCACTTCCTAGATTTTGAATTCCACTAATCTCAAACTCATTTAGTCTTGCCGCGAGCTGAAGTCATATATCTCCGAAGGCCGCCAAGTCATTCGATCCATTGAGGCCGAAACCTATACCGAGAACCCTCCCCTATTCCGGGAATATGTGACTGCCCCGCCAGACATCCGAGTGATCATGGACAACCAGTTCCGGAATGTGAAGACGCACGCGCGATTGTTGAGTAAGGCGACGTGGTATGAATGGCGAATGAAGTTGCTTGAAGGTCTCAAAGAAGGGCTTATCCGTCACGTGGATGACATGAAAGCCGATGATGCTTTATTGTCTAAACGCGAGGAGATTCTCAACAATATCGTTCCTCCACTGGTAGAGAAGCAAGCATTCCTTGAACAAGAAGCGGAAAACCTGAGGCAGCTGGTTGAAGAAATGGAGAGTTGTGATCAAGATGAGCTGCGCGGCACGCGTGAGAAGCTTTCGACTATTGATGATGAAATCGAGGCCAAGCAACGAGAACTTGAGCAGCTCCAGGCAGAGGCTCAGGAAAAGACTGAGATCATCGATGCAGGAACCGAGATGAGTAATGAGTTCTTGGGTGAAATCCAGGAAGCGGAGCGTATCAAGGAGGAGTGTCGTGGGTGGAGTGCTCGCGACATCAATGAGCTGAAGAACTCCGTTCAACGTATCGAGCGCCAGACCGGTTGGTCAATCCTCTCTGCCTCCTTCTTGCCGGAGAAATCCGTCGATCCAATATTGGTCATGTCCTACCGAGGCCAACTCCAGATCAAGTTTCACCCCGGCGCATTTGCGACGAAGACATCCCACGACGCAGAGAAGACCAACCAGCTTCTCGAACTGAGCTCCGTGAAAGGCAAAACAACTTCACCGATCGCATCTTTCGCTCTCCAATCAATGCAGCAACATCTCTCCACAATAAACCAATCCAAAACCGCCCCGAACGAACTGCTCCGCTTTATCTCCTCCGCCTGGGATCGCACCGTGGGCCTGAGAGAACGAGGCCCGCATGCTCGAATTCTGCGGCGTCACTCGTCTTACCCTTTCTGAGCCAAAGAATTCGTCTCTCTTCCTACGTGCCCGCTGCACCCTCCTCGGCAATGCAGCTGTCCCCTCCACTCCTAGCCGTAAGGCTTCCGCGGCGAAGAAGACCGGCGCCAAGCGAATCGACGTGGACTTTAACGTCCGCACGCGCGTCAATACCGGAAGCGACGAGACCAAAGAAATTGGCACCCTTGATTTCCACATCGATGCCATCGCAACGAAAGTCTACGGCTTCGGCACGGGCAATAAGTCGGGGTTGTCGGGCAAGGAAATGGAGGGTATCCTTGGCAAAGGACTCACCCCTGGGGACGGGGCACAGCTTGGCAATGGTGTTTGGTGCAAGGCTGTGCGCATGCTTACCGGATCTGCTTTTTGAGTTTTATACCTAGGTGACTTTCATTTTTTACGTTATTCTTTATTCTTCGGTTTTCGTTTGGGGTGGATGGGATCATATGGTGGGAACTGGGATGTCGGACTGGATATGGAATGGAATGGGATCCGGATGGAGACTAGGAGTTTGGTATTGGGATTCTTCACTTGCGATTCAGCGATCATTTCCATGATTATTTTATTCATTCTATTCACTTGATATATCAATCACCCCCTATTTCAGCAACCCCAGCTTGATATTGGAGTCCATAGTCTTTTTGACATGCAACGGGTAACTAGTTGACTAGCCTGGTAGCGGGTTTCTGAAGTTTGTGTTGTAGCTCGCCAAGTGTTATATGCGAAACCATGGACAGAGTCGATTGTCCAATCGATAAGAAAAAAGAGATGTGAAAGAGAAGCGCTAGGGGAGAATTTCGTGAAAGTCATCACACGCAGCGCCAAATTGAAGCGCGGGTCGAGAAGACAAGATATTGTCACCATCCAGGAAGAATCCATCTGCAAACCCACTTGCAGGAAGGAAAGTCTATCAAAAAAGACCCAAAAACCCCTGCGGCCAATGATCAGGATCCTGACTAGAACCCTGCGTCGCAGAAGAAGGCATTTGCGCGTAATCCATGCTATCCGTACCGAAGGGGAGTTCCGGATTCATGGTCGCTGTGTGGAGGTCATTCTGCGACGGGCCCTGGTTTAGAAATGATTCGGCGTCGAGGATCGGCATGGGAATTTCCTGGCCGGTGCCGGCTGCTGCGATTGCTTCTGTGGGGAAGAGTCCGGACCAAAGGTTATCGCCATACTCCCAATCCGCTGTCAGAGGGACCTGCCAGGATTCTGGGATCGATGCGCTTTGAGCGCTTGTTTGGGAGAAAGGGGATTGGTTTGGGTCTAGTGGGGAGGAGTTGGTGTTGCCTTGTTGGTCGGGTAGGTGGGTCTGGGTCTGCGGCCAGGGCATTGCATTTAAGTTGGAGACGTTGGGGTTCATGTTGCTCAGGCCGAGTCCTGTGTAGTTTGTTGTTAGGGGGGAAGGATGCGGTGGTTGATTGGGGAAAGTTGAAGTGGAAAAGTCGGTTTCAATGGGGCTCATGGGTACGACGTAGCCCGAGGAGTTTACTGGTGGTAGGCCATCGATGGATTCTGGAATTCCAAAGTCTGCCATGTAGGAGCTGGCTGTTGCGGACGGGTTTGAGGCGCGCGGCGTGTCGGATGTGTGGTAATGGTAGGAGCCTGTAGAATCGGTGTTCATTGATGTTCGTAGGGTTGTGGGACGCTGACGAGGTTTGGACTTTGATGCTGATGCCGGGCGAGAGAGATGCCTTTTTGAGGTGGGTGGGTGCTGGGCCTGGTCTTTATCTTCTGGGCTACGAGCCCGCTTCTCATGCTTGGCTACTACTAGCCGGGCAGTGCGCTCCAGATGCCCGCAGACTTTGGCCATGAAACCGGCGTAATTGGCAGGCCCGTCACCCGGGACGAGAGTTGCGAAGAACGTTGAGGCCATATTGAGAGCCTGGAGGTCATCGCGCACCGACAAGGAGTGGGTGTCTCGGAGGATATTCGAGAAGATGGTTGCGGCGGAAAGAAAGACGTAGTATAGCAGGGACCTGTTATAGTTCACGGTTAGGGTTGGGCGAACTTTTGCGGAAGAGGATAGCCGCTTACCAGATCCATGCAATATCTCCCCATGGCATGTTATTGACGAGTTTCAGCGTATCTCGCGCAGCCGTTACACAAATGACAGCCGCTTTCGATGCTCTCGCCTTGCTGAAAGACTTGAGATCCTCTGGCTCATCCTCTCGAGAAGATATTAAGAAGCTGAGAAGGAGGGGTATTCGATGAATCATGATCAAGGCATTATAATAAACCAAGTGGAGACCGATGGCTCCAAAGCCAAATAGAAAATCGGTCTGGGCAATTTTTCGCTCGGGTGCTTCGAGAGGATAGTCCTTTCTCCACTCTTCGAGCTCTGCATGTAGTTCCTTCACGACCTTGTAGGTTTCATGGGGTGGCTTCAGCATTGCTTTGGCGGCATACAGTCGACAGAAAATGCGGCTCTTGATTACTGACATGCGACAAAGTTGGCGGAAAAATGTGATGCTGGTGGCCATCTCGGGGTTCTTTTTCTCTTCCTCCAGTTCCTGTGGAAGAGGCACATCGAAGTCATCGGGGTGTTGCGATGGAGCATTTCCAGCCCTCAAGCATGTACTGTGAGTCATTCTTTAGTATATAATTCGGCATTCATTTCATCTTTGATCGTCTCGTACCTTTGGTCCACTGTAAAGGCAACCCAGAATACGCGTCGTCGCTGTTCCTGGTCTGTGAGGCTCAAATCTGGTCGGTGGATGTTTCGGTGTAGACCCATCCGCTGACAGGACCGCATGGCTGCGGTGGTGAACGGCATTGCGGACTGGGTGCCGGAGTTTCCGCGTAGAAAAAAGGCCTGTAATTGTTGTTAGCGCCCAAAGACCGTGGTGAAACCTGAGCAATGTGCAAACTCACCATGCTCATCAACGCCTGGACACTCAAAAGATCAGTCCGTCGCAAGGCCAGCTCTGTAAAAACGGACATGGCATTCTTGAAATACATCCGAGCCCTTTCACGGTCTTTCTCCGGTTTCAAGCTGTTCGAGTATCGAAATTCATATGCTAGGCAGATAACCATATTGATACTGGCCCATCGCGCTGCATCGTCACAGGTTTGCTGAGTATATTGCCACTCGACCATTTTCATAAAAGAACCCTCGTGGAAGATCGGAAACAGTCTATTCGCTGACCGAAAGTAGTCATTAATGAGCGAGAACACCTCCAACCGCGATGGTAGAGGTCGGTAAACCTGGGAGGCGAAGAGGTCGTGAAATACATCTGGCCGCCATGTGCCCCACGGACTATCGTGAACAGAGTCAGTGGAGAGAAGACGCAAGAAACTGAGATCGCCAGTTTTGCTCTTAATCCACTCGATGCCTCCTCTTGAAAGAATTGACAATGAGCAGGACCTTCCAAGATAACGTGGATCGTCACTATTATGCGCTCGGAAAATGGGCGTACCCTCGAGGTCACCGCCGGCATCATGTTTATTCAATTGGTGGTCGGTATCTGATGAAGTATTTGACTCAAACGAAGGGCGGGAAGCGCTTTCTGAAGATCCTTGGGGTTGATCAGGCACTTCCCAGTTATCATTTGGGTAGCCATCATCATCAGAATAATAATCATCAGCAACACCGTTGCCATCGCCGTCGACATAATCATCACCAACATCATCTTCATCTTCATCGAGATGATAATTATTCATGTCGTCCTGGGGCAGGACACCAGCCATTTTCAGCAGCGCCTCGACTTTCTCCAGACGAGTCTTCAAAGAGTGCACGTATTCGTCTCTGTTGATGATAAGCAAAATATCCCTTTCATATATGGTTGGAAATAGAGAGACCTACCGTTGCTCCTCCCGCTGCGGCTGCGGCTGTGGCTGGATGCCGGGAAAGACGCATTGCGAGCCACGCCGGGTGCACTGTACACAGACTAGATACGAGTCATCGAGTTCACATTTCGTCTTCTTCCGATAGCACATATCACAGGCCTGGATAAAGTCATCCGGTTAGCACAGTCACCACCAAAGCCACCATCACCATCACCATCACCATCACCATCACCATCACCATCACCGCGGCCACGGCATCTCCGGATTGGGAGGCGAGACACAATGCCGTTTCTCTCTTTTTCACAGGCCTAAGAATGCGACGTACCCTTTGACTTCGTCTCCGCCCAGAGGAGCTGGAGACTGTGGGGGTGGAGAATGCATCCATGCCACCGGAGGTTATGCCATGAGATTGTAGCATTGCGTTGTGCATTTTACCCGGCAACTCCGCGATTTACGCCAAGACTTGCCTAGCGGGCGCCAAAGGGAATTCGGGAAAGCGCTTTAGCGCGAATATATTAGACGCTGGATCATGGAAATATCCCCTGGAGATATTCAGGGACTTATTGGGGCTCTGGTTTAAATTGCGGAAGTGCTGGTGAAGACTTAACTCCGGTTGCCACCATGCTCGGAGGTTGGCCCCCTCGGAGTCCGGCTGTGCCGATTCCCGACATCCGTTTGGTGGGGGAAACTGCTGAACGAGGTACACTGTGGGTATTATTTACATGGATGTCAGGTTTGCTTTATAGTACTACTCTGGGTATTATTAGGCTCTATCTTAAATTTATTCAAGATGTTCCTTGAAAGTTGGTTGTATCATTGTCAATTATATACAAACCTTGGAATATATGGTAGTACTGCCTCCAGTGCTGTAGTACTTAGGTATATATCCAAGTTGTACTAAGCCCTAGAGGCGACAAGTAAAAGTGAGGATATTAGTACAGTGTATAATGACAAAATTCAGCGTTCTTATTAGCAGAGAGCATGAGGTTTTATTCCATTAAATCGAGGACAGTGGATGTTGGTCCTAGCACCTTGTATTAGCGATCGCTGCTCGGCTAATGTTGGAACTATTGCTGTCAAAAAGCCAAGGTGGTGCAGTGGTAGCACGCGTGAGTCACATCCTTCTGGGGTGCCTTCAAGCTTTTCCTTTTTGGCCGAATTTCTACATCTTGGTTAATTCCATAGGCCTTGAATTACCTTAGCCGATTCTGACAAACTATATAAATACCCTGTGGACATTCTCTCGCCCATCCTAGAGGCCAGGTCTCTCCATGGCCAACCTTCTTTATCCTATCTTTACAAAGGAGACCGCCTCCGCTGATGCTAATCTACATCGATCGACTGTTAGTGAGCATACTCCCGTACGCGCATCAACCCAACCGCTGGTATGTCAGTAGTGAAGATAGCCAGTATTAGACGTAAATAATATGCTACTGGGTATCCTACCCAGTTATATACTCAGTATCCTGAATGCCTAGATCAGACAATTCGTTTGGGTAGCAGAGCTTCACTGGGGAAGTGCTAGGGCCGTATAGGGAATACTTGTCATCCTGGGACTGGCAGAAACACTGGGTTGATTGCGGCTATGGAGGCTGTATATAGCGGGGTTAGAAACAAATGGGATCAAAAGAAAACATAACCTGCACCGACCACTCCAATACCCCCAGTCCAATCTAATCTCCATCCCACGGATCTACATGAGCTTGTTATCAGTAGTCTGACGAGACCTAACCCCGCAAGCACGCGCGGCTTACAAATGGCTCCTCCCCGCAGCAGCCAACCTTAGGAGAACGTTGATAAAAGGCATTGGGAGACCATAGTAAGACTGCCGACACCTCTTCTGTAATTATCATGCGCGCAACGACCGTGGGGATTATCTCCATTGGAGATATGGGACTGGGGATAGCCAAGCTGCTCCAATCCCACGGCTTTCGCGTAGTCACCGTCACTCAAGGCCGGAGGTACTGTTAACTTGATCTTTTACATATTACCTGACGCCTGGCACCTTGCCATCTTACATATACTTGCATCTTACCACTGGAGACAGTCCCTACTAATGCTAATCTACATTGACTGTTAGTGAGCACACTCTTACGCGGATCCGCGCAGCCGCCATCGAGGCATTCCCATCCGTTCACGAACTGGTCGTTCAGGCCGACTACATTCTCTCCATTGTACCACCCCGCAATGCGTTTGCGACGGCTGAACGTGTCGCGGAAGCTTGCAGACAGCCCGAGACGCAATCACAGAGAGAATTATTGGAAGACGTCAACGGACAGCCCAGCCGAAGCCCACTCTACTTTCTCGAGCTCAATGCTACGCCCGCCCGATCGGCCGAGGAGGCAGCGACTCTGTTCCAGACCCAGACCCAGGATCAGGACCAGGCACCACGGAGATTCGTTCCAAATATCTTTCTCGATGGTGGAATTATTGGGGCTCCACCGACGCAGCGGCCGGATGGATCGTGGAAAAGGCCTAGCGTGGTAGTCTCGGGGACAGTGGAGAACTCTACGCCAGCAACTTTCACCGAGTTGGCGAAAGCGCTGAATATAAAAGTAGTATCGGAACGAATCGGGGCGGCGTCGACGCTGAAATTGACGTTCGCGGCGCTGACGAAGGGACTCACGGCGTTGTCGATATTGTCCTTCTCCACGGCGGAGCGGGAGGCGGTGCTCCCGGAATTACTGGCACACTTGGAAGAATATTCGCCCGCGACGGCGGGATTGGCTAGGTCTGGGGTGGTGGGGATGAGTCCGAAGGCATATCGGTGGGAGGAGGAGATGCGTGGGATTGGAGAGACGTTGGATCGGGAGGGAGGATGGGAGGGAGTGGGAGAGAGGGTGTACGGCGGGATCGCGGAAATCTACCGTACGGTGGCGGAGGAGACGATCCTCGGCCAAGAACGAGTTGGTCAGCGGGAGCGAGGGACCAGTGTCGAGGACGCGGCACAGATTATTGCCAGACGTAAAGACTAGAAGGTGGATAGTGCTGGGTAAGTGGATCGCGATCGGTGCAAGTTGTCGGCTCGGGGAGAAGAAGCTTGTCAGCTGGGGGAGGGTCGTATATCAAAGCTACTACGACTACGAAGTACTAATAGTACAATACATCTCTAAGTGTCCGGATTATCGGTACTTACTACTTAGTCAAGACCATGTGGAAAGCCACTTTACTTAAGACTCTAGACTCTAGGACCGCGTCATCTTCGGGAAGTAGGCTTTGGTAGCGTAGCGTGGGTACCTGTTACAATAGGGACGGTGGAGACGGGGCCGAGGCACTGGGACGCAGTCAGGAGAGGTAGGGGAGTCTGGGGATGGAGATGGGATAGGCTATGTAAATCATGTACATGCGCATCTACTAGTATAATACTTATAAGTTATAATCTAGTCTACTACATACTGTACTACACTAAGCCAACTATACTATACTATGCTATGCTATGCTATGCTATGCTATATAGTATAGTATAGTTACTACCACTACAGTATACAGTATACTGTACACTGCCAGGCGGTCAATCAGCGTCCCGATGTCGTGATTTCGCCCATCTATCAGATCATCGACTAGCAGATCTCTTGCGTCCGCCATCGTCACGCCTTCTCCTCTTCGCTCGTGGCTTTCCCCCTGTCACGCCTGGTTCGGTCTCCCCCTTTTGCCTTTTTTCTGATCATCTCTTCTCTGATTCGTGGTACGGGTGGCGCGTTATGCGACTGGCAATGGAGTAGCCCATCGGGATTACCTGTGCCATTACACATTGCACACTGTCTCAACACTCCCACTCCCACTCCCCCCCGCCAGTACCTTGGTCACTACGTATTCACTGCCCACTTCTTGAATCGTGTACACGGAAAGACCTAGGGCATACGGCATATTCTCTTCTCTGGCTCTGCTGATCGGGAGATCAACCCTAAGCATCCCCATTCCTCTCCTCTTTTACTCTTTCCCTTTTCCCCTTCCCTTTCCCATTTTTAACTCTTCCCTCCCCCATCCATCCCCATCGCCTGTGTCCCTCCAATATCATGCCGGAGGAACAACCAAGGCCTGCGGGCCCCGGCTTCGACAAAATTGAAAATTTCAATTTCCTACTGTCGCGCACTGATCCATCAGCTAAGGGTCGGCAATATTCCTTTGACGGAGATACTGGGCTGGTCCCGTTCGCCAATGTGAACATAGATTACGATCAGACTGAAGGCATGGGCGGTCTGTCTGTCAGTTCCTACGACAGCATTGATGATGACCGCGCCTCTCTGGATCTCCGAGGATATCCCTATCACGGTATGTTATGATTGATCTTCTTTTTATTTTTTATTTTTTTTATACTTTTTATGGGATGGGAAATTGCATTTGCATTTCTTGTGTTGCCAGAGGTTGCATCTCTTGCGCCATCGCAAGGCTTGATGGTTCGTGCCAGTTAGGCTGGGCGCGCTTCTCGGTCGGCACTTTCGATGCTGGGACTGCAAGTCATGTCTTATTCTGAATTCCATTCTGCGTATTCTTGTGGTCTTTCAATCCCCCCCCCCGGGTCAGGGACATGGACCATGCCCTGGGTCTTAACGGTTTAACGGTCAGCGGTTCCCCTTAACCGCTAACCCGTTCAAACCTTTGACCACCACTCCCACTCCCAACCATCAAAGCTGCCACCACCAGCTGCCTCCGATCTCCCTGCACGATCGTATACGATCTACCCCGGACAGTCCAACTGCTCCATTTTTGCATTATGCGAGCTCGTGCTCATCGAGGCAGCCGGGATCATCATCAGCTAGCGAGCACGCAATCCCGCATGCAAATGACACGCGCAGCGTCATGGCTGTGGATGGCTGGCAGCCAACCTGAACCCTTATTACCTATTCCCTCTTTTCCCTTATTTCCCCATTTTCTGGCCTATTCGCGAGATGCCCATCTCCTCAGCCTCGGAGGGCCCTGCCTCATCTCTATTTTCACTTCCATCACCTCCTTGAACCTTTGCAATTATCTCCTCCCCTCTTGCTCTTCTCTTCTCTTCTCTTGTTTCTTCTCGACGACTTCCTCCTACTGCCTGACGAACCCCTTCTCCCCTCCATCATGTCGTCCTCTCGAGGGTATCGTCGACCAGACCGCTTACTCCCCCCCAGGTCCAGCTGGCGACAAGTCTATCAACTATTCTATTCCCGACCACATGATGCCCTATTCGGCTCACTCTATATATCCTCCTGTCCCCTTTGCGCCCGATGAGCTCGGTCACGCTCCAGGACAGTTGACTCCATCGGATGTCTCATCGTCCATCTCCCCGCCCAACGGCATCATGGGCAACTCCAAGTACTCCACCTCCATTCCCGGGGACCGCATCGCGGCAGCCCTGGGCCAAGAGGAAGGTGTACGGGGGGCCGCAGAAGAAGACCGTCGCCGCCGCAATACAGCTGCGTCGGCTCGCTTCCGCCAAAAAAAGAAACAACGCGAACAGGTCCTCGAACGTACCGTTCGCGAGACAACTGAGAAGAACGCCTCCCTCGAGGCCCGCGTCGCCCAGCTCGAGATGGAGAACCGCTGGTTGAAGAATCTCCTCACAGAAAAAACACGAGGCAACCGCTCCGCGCTTGCCAGGCGCTCCGCAAGATAGTTCTGCCTGGAGAATTCCAAAGGAAGCACTACTCGCGGCGGCCAAAAACATATTCAGCCAAAAAAGAAGGGTGTCGGCACTGATGAGTAAGACTCAAAATCAAAGCTGGCGTCCCTTTTTTTTTGTTAAGTTTTTTGAGCTTCTCCATTTTTCTCTCTCTTTTGCCGTCGTTCTTCTCTCTTGATTGCTGTCTGCGAACTGCTCGAGTCTGATCCCGTTGCGCGTTTCATGTATCATCTCCTTCTTACCTTACACGCCCTCCCCCCGTCTGGTATGACGGGTCTTCTTTCGGTTTTACCTATTTGCGCGGCTCTGCTCCACAGATGGCGTGGTAGCGGGCCATGACGATGTCACGACCTTTCTCCAATTCTCGTTCTCCACTCGGCCCTTGCCGACCGTGGCTTCTGCGATTCTCAGGGATGGTCCTCTTGTGCTCAGAATCGGAGTCTTTCTTTTCCTTTCTTTTTGGGTTGGTTTGGTTTGGTAAAACCTTTGATCCTTTACTTTCGCCTTCCTCTATCTCTCTCCCATCCTTCTGCCCGGGCTTTCCTGTCTCTTCTATCTCCCATCTCTCCTCTGCCTGGGTCTTCCTCCACCCTATAAGGAAATACTATAGGATCTGTTTCGCCTTGCCTTGCCTTCCTTACATTTCTCTCGTTGTGGATTTCTTTCCCCGGCATGCCCTATCCAGGCCAGGATAGGTGACGATAAGATGCGATGTGGGTGATATGGATGTGGTGTGTGTGGTGTGGTGTTAATGTTGTTTTGGATTGTGTCGGTGCCGATGGGCTTTAGCTATCGGTTTGCGATGTTTCTTGCGGGTCTGTTTTGTTCTCTGTTCTTTTTTCTCCTTTTTTCCTATCCTACCGGGTTGGATTCGCAGTTTGCACACAGAAATGATTGCTCTGGACCGGCGTGTCCTCTTCTTTTCATTATAGTCCCTCGTAATGGTTACCCCTTGTAGTTCGCAAAGTATGAACTACTGCAACCACAGTAACTATCATACATAGCAGACTCAGAAGGTACTACTAACTAGTTACTCGAAACTAATCCACATCACTAGTACTACATACCCTAGACCTGGGTATAAAAACAAACTTTAAACTAGTCCGCTAGTTACTAGTTAGTATATCATGTTGAAGATAGAGATCAATTGAACAAATTCATTAACACCTAATTGATTACCCATCCATCCACAAACAAAACCCCAACACGAGATGGTATTACATTAAAAAAAACACAACAGGCAAAAAGAAAAAAAAAAAAAAAAGCACACAGACACAAGCGCACATTCAAAATCAGATGAATTGTCAGCACAAAAAACCCGTTGCGTATTCCGGCCATGAGTTGACGCCATCCCCGCCCTGAAAGAGGTAATGAGGCACTAGGGCAACAGGGTAAGAGAGGTAATAGGACCAATATTTCATCAACCCTTTTTCAATCAAACCTTACCGAGCGTTGTCGCCGGGGGGTCGGTGATTGCCAGAAGATCATTTCCTTTTTTCTTCTTCTCTTTTCTTTTCAAATAACTCAAAGTTCAAAAAACCAATTGGTTGGAACCCGGGCGACTTGAACTTGAACTTGACTTGACAACCTCGACCCCCCGGCCCGCCCTGATTATTCCCCAACGGGTCTAGAGCCGAACGAGCACGACCAACGGATGTTATATCACGACATTGCAACGGTCATCATGTGGAGGTGCACACAAGGAGCGGAGGCAACCGACCATTACATCAAGCGTGATAGGCTCGAATAGAGAGGACTTGACAGAATTGCGTGACCACTTTAACTTGGACACTCCACGCCACATCCTTCCGCCCCGCGATAGTTCGATAGTTTCTTGAATGATCTAGTCGCCAAGACGCCTAGCACCTGGTATGTATAGACCGGAAGTCTTATATTCACGGACTAGCCGGCTGCATGGGCTGCATGTTACCCACATCTGGTGATCCTGGTGATTTCCCGGAGCGGAAAAATGCAGGTGCAGGTGTAGGTGCAGGTGCAGACGCCGGAATAGTCCCTTTGAGAGATATCCGCATACCGATGTCTATGCGATACGATGACACCATCGGGAAGGCAGGAGAGACGTGGGAAAAATGAGTGTGGGGGTGGATGTATGGTGGAGGATCTGTGTGCAGGTGGAGTTGGAGGCACAGACAAGACGTGATAGTAGAGCACAAGCGAAGCCGTGAGATTCGTGACAACAAAGAAAAAGAAAAAAAAAGAGAAGGAGAAAGGGACGAGAAGGGTTTAAGGGAAATAAGACACCAAGACAGATCGAGTAGGAGAGAAACAAACGCATTAACAAACTCAGTGACAGAACAGAAACAAAGATTCTGATCGCGTCACCTAAGCAGCAATGGGCTCCCGCTCCTCCTCACGTCCTCGTGCCTCACCGTCCATAGTGCTGAGACCATCCTCGTCTACATAGTCGGGGTGCTGGTCAGCGGGGAGCCAGGAGTCACGGTCTCCAGTCATGGGCTGGTCCTGGGTAGAGAGATCAACGCCCTCGCGGCTCTTAATGGCGTTGCGGTGGCGCTGGGAGAGAGTGCGCGAGCGCTGCGACAGGCCGGACTTGACGACGGACTTGGAGGTAACCCAGTTGCTAAGCGCATCCTCGCAATCCTGGATGATGGCCTTGCTGGCATCGTAACCGTCATAGGCGTGGCGGGTCTCGCCGGGGGTTACGGGGGTGTCGTCGATCAGGTCCAGGAGGTGCTTGCCGTAGCCGGCGATGATGGCGACCTTCTCGCAGTGTTCGCGGAGAGCGTCGAATTGGTACTGGAAGGCTGCCTTGACCTTTTCGCGGGTGATGTTTGACAGCTGGGCTTCGGCGACTAGGGATTCGGCCTCGGCGCGGACGAGTTCCTGCTCCAGGACGACGATGCGCGGCGAGTTGGGGTCCTTGTACTTCAGCTTGGCGATCTCATCGGTGATCTTTTGCTTGCCTGGATTGGGGTTAGCTTTTTTTGCGGCTGAAAGAAAGGGTCATGATTCATGCATGATTGCTGGGGTGCGCATACGGTCTCGGCTGGGCTGTACGGAGGCCTCGATGTTGCGGATGCTCTTGATGGTCACGCGGTACTGGTCGTAGCGGTCGACGAACTGATCCTCCAGCTCACCGATCTCATAGATCAGGACACCGAGCTTGTCGGTGACATCCGATACGTCCTCATCACAGGCTTCACCCCAGATTGACAATTGTTGCTAGCGGATCGGTTAGCATTCTCTTCTCCATTCCTGCCCGGCAATTCCCCGGATTAATGGATGATCAATGATCGACATACGGCGACTTCCATGCGCTCGCGCGCGACGAGCTCCATACTGCGCATGGCGTTCTTCTCCATCTTGACGAGTTGCGACAGCTTGCGGGCGAGATCAGGTCCGAAGGCACCCGCGGCATTCTTGCGGAAGGCATGGCCTAGATTGTGGACGTATTAGCGATGGCGCATTCGAATTGGAATTCAATCTCTATGTGTTCTCGTCTTTCTCAACCGTCTGCGCAAATTTGATCCGCCGAAATCCACTTGGAATTGGGGGTGGAGCGGAGCGGGAGCGCGGGAGAGGCTGGAGATCCCGACCCGATCAGGCAGCATTCAGGAATCATCCCCCTCATGGTCCAGCGCTCTGGTCGCACAGGGTAGGAGTGTCGGAGTCACAACAGATATCTCATCTCACTCACCGATGCCTCCCTTTCCGAGCCAGCGGTTCGATTTGGTGGTGGACATGGGTGGTGGGGGGGTTCTCGACCTGAGCGGCGGTCGGAACGCGCGACTGGCGCATAGAATAGGTGCGATGCATGGTGGTGAGTTAATGCGAGGTTGAGTCGGGTACAAAGGTGGAGGACTCGAAGTGGTACGGGTGATGGATAACGAAGCGAGGTACCTGCAGAGTGGACGGAGGTTAAAGGTCTTGGATCGTCAAAGGCGCAGGGCAATAGGAGAAAAAAGAGAGAGAGAGAGAGAGAGAGAGAGAGAGAGAGAGAGAGAGAGAGAGAGAAGGAATCTTGCGCAGTAGTGACGTGAGATGAAAAAAAAAGAGAAAAAGGAGGGAACTCACGTTGAGCGGAGCAGGGCGGAAATCGAGCTGCAACCGGAGATCGACACAGGGGTTTTCAGGAGGAGAATTGTCGAGGGAAGAAGCGTGGGGAGTAGATTATTAGATTATTAGGGGTGGTGAGGATGAGATCCCCTAGTGACGTCGTAGAACTTGACCGTGGAAGTGCCTAGTCTACTCATCCAGTACTAGGAGTGCGAGAGTGCTGGGTTGCCCCGGAGAAGGCGGATCAACTGGTCCCCTCCTCAACCACTAATGCGAACGCTAGAAAACCTTCAATTGACCTTGCTAGACCTTCCAATGGTTCGATCGGGGCCCGCAGACCCGCAGTAGCACCAGCTTGTTCTTCTTTTCATGTTGCTGCAATTTTGCGCCACGATCGCCGACGTCATCGAATTGGGCCTGATGTCATGCGCTTGGGACTGACGGCTGTTCCTGCAGAAATCAACCATGTCATCGAGTCATTGGCGTTGCAGTAAGAAAAAGACAGGAGAAAACCTTTTATGACATTGAGATGGATCAGGTTCAGATCAGAGGGGTTCCTGTCAGGCCGTGGATCTTCGTGGGGAACTACAGAGCTAGAGCTGGAGCTGGAGCTGGAATGCAGGTCACCACTGCTTATCAGGAAGATCAGTGGGGGATGGCCCAGTCGACAATTCTCGGTTCGCCGCTATCAGTGGCCAGTTCATCTGCCATAACCACTCGTTCGGGTCATCGACATTCAACTTTACTCGGACCCGAGACTCCTTCAAGTTACCGAGTGATGTCGATCGGGACGTGCATTCGATATTATGCTGCACCACTTGGCCCTATCTATCATATAACTATACATATCACCCTTTCTCAAGAGCCTTGTGTTTTACGTTTCTTGCTGCTTCCTCGGCTCTTACCATCTCCCTTCTTCGTAGCGGGTGCCACACGCTTGCCTTGGCTTGTAGCAGCACCCCCAGCCTCAGGTTCGAGCCCTGGACTTTCTAAAGGCTCACCGCCACGAGATTGTCTCCCCGTCAGAGTTTGCGCTTCTTGTCGGAGTCGCCCAAATGCTTTCTCCATCCGACTGGGCCCAGCACCACGCACACGTGGCGCAAATGCTCCAGCCCCTTGTGGGCCTGCCATGAACTGTGTAATATTCGACTGCGTACCTTCTTGCTCTCGTCGATTCATATCCCGAATGACCGGCACAAGAACCTCATCTGTGCGTTCCGGATTCCAGCCGATTGTCGCCATGAGGAAATTCCGTAGTCCATTCAAGTCCGGAACTCCCCACTGGAAGGGCGAGGCGTCTGCATCGACCTCGGGCTCGAGGTACGCCTCGTCTACCCGTAGGTCGGGAAATGCAGGAGGCAGGAAGATCTTGGACGCTTTCTTTCGGAACTTCTTTCTAAACGCAAGGTGGGCATCGTCAGGGTTGTTGACCCCCATCTGCACCTGCGACCACCAGTCGCGGAACTCCTCCAGGCTGCCAAACTCGGTGATGATCTCCAATGCGGTGACTGGTCCAATGCCGGGAATACCCTCGGTATAATCACTGCCTAGAAGGTGTGCAAAATTAATGAGTTTTTGCCGGTGGAGGGCATACTCCTTCTCCAGGTCGGAGGTTAGATAGCATTCCACAAACTTGCTTTGGTTGAACATGTTCTTGTAGACTCGGTTCCCACCAAAGAGGAAAATATCGCTATCGTCCGTCACAATACCATCCACAAGTCCCAGGGTAACAAGCTTCGCACACTGTGCTTCCGCTTCCATGGGCGCGGTGACATAGGGCAGCCCAAATAGCCGTAGTAATTGCTGGCACTCGTTGATCATGATTTGGGTCACCTCATCTGCATCACGTTGGTCCTTGCGGTGCTGATTACGCAGCTGCTTGAGCTCTTGTTCATAATCAAGTGCGTCCTGGATGGGCGCCGCCGAGTTCAAAACTTGGGCAAATCGGACGTGCTCCTCCGACTCGGCCGCAAGCTGCCTGAGAAGTTCTTCATCTTCCGGGTCGCTGTATTCGCCATCGTCTTCCATCACAATCGGGGGTTGAACCGGCCCTTGAGACTCGTAGTGCTGGTTGGAGACCACGACGATTTCCGGCGCAGGTGCAGGTGCAGGTGCGGGTGTAGCAGAAACCGGCACAGGTGCCTCAGTTAACACATCCTCAAACTCGGGTTCGGGGGATGGCTCGGGAGATGGCTCAATATTGACGGGTTGTCTTTGCTGTTGAGGCACTCCCGCTTGTTCAGGAATCGATTTTTGGAATGCTTTAATGCCATTTGCCTCTTGAGTATCAGAGGGTTTGGTCGCTGTCTCGGATTTTGCTCTTTCCACCAATGGTTCAAAGACTGGCTCCTCTTTGGTAGTCTCCAGTTGGTCAGTTGGAGGGATCTCGAAATGCGTTTGAGACACGGGTTCTTCCTTTTCAGGTTTGTCCGCCTCGAGCGTAATCACTTCTTTTGTTTCGGAGAGGTCGTCAACATCGATAATTTCTGGTGATCGACGATTGGACAGAAAGAAATGATCAGGTTCATCTGCATCATGGCCGTCTTCATCTTGAGCCTCCTCGCGTGTGGTATCTATGAAGAATTTTTCATTTAGGCGTTCGCCAACAAACCAAGGGGGAGGCGGTTCAGTCTTTTTCTTCGCCTTGTCGGAGTCTTTCATGAAGCCACCGGCATGTTCATCGGGCTTTGCTTGCTTGGCTGGCCGAGGGGCCTTATTAAGCTGAACAGACTCAAATGGGAGAGGGCCGTTGAATGGGTTCTCCACACGCGGACGAGGTTTGTCCTTGACGAGCTTTGTCTGCGCGATGGCGGCTGTGAAATCCATTCCATCGTCATCATCGTCGCTTTCAATTGGCATGTCCATCATAGGTGCAGGAGCGGCTGCTGAGGTGGTCGGTCGGTTGATCGGAATATCAGGCATATCCTCATCATGTTCCTCATGAGGTTGCAACGAGAGTGCGATTGCTTCTCTGAGTTCATCGTCATCTTCCTCGAACAATCCGGTGTCCGATTGCGGGAGGACGTTATCATCACCCTGGACAAAAAGCGCGTCCTCCTCGGCCTCAGCTCGTGCTCGCCCGGCCTCAGATTTGCGTGATTCCCACAGTACTCTTTGCATGCGAGCGTCCTCCTGCGCTTGCTCAAGAGACTGATCAAAGGCACCTTCTTGCAAGAAAGGGAGTTTGGGAAGTCTGTTGAGGCCTTCAATCGGAACATCCTCGAACTCGTCTTCGTCCGACACGTCCTCGGACCCCGAGAGAAACTCTGGTTGGCCATATTGATCAACATCAATGGGTTTGTCTTCATAGCCTTCATTCTTGTTCCCAACAACACCCAGAACCCAGCCACCTTCGTGCTGGCTATCTTTGACGAGAACGTATTCCCTGCCACGCTCTCCGGCGATTCTCTGGCCAGAGTTGTAGAATGCCTCTTCGCCATTCATCCCGTTGATATTCATTAGTCGCTGGGTTAAATCGTTGCGCTCTTTTACTCTTTCGATTTGAAACCTCGAGAAGTCCATACGGTTTGGAAACATGGTATCAAGCTGCTCCTTCGAATAACCCATTCGTAGTCGACTCCGAAGTCGTGCCGCGTTCAAGATATTATAACGATCGGTAGCCGGTAGACTAAGAAAAAATTGGCTATCAAAGTCGATCTTTGAGAAATCGTAGAGATTGATATCCTGGCCCTGATGGAATTGCCTCGCATATTCCTCGAGCTCGTCTTGTGACATAATGCGGGGGTCATTTGGAGCACCCATCTCTTCCAAGGAGACGTCAAGATTTGGCAGATGATAGGCGTCTTTCTTCTTGAACTTGCGAGTCTGTTGTTTCTCTTTCTCGTTCATCATAGCTTCATCTACATAGACGGGTGCTTCAGTGACCTCTTCTTCCTCTTGTTGGCGTTTCTTTTCTCGGCGTCGCGTTTCAGCTTCTTCCTCGGCGCTACGCTGCATCTGCACAGCGAGCAACTTTCCTGCTGTCCGCGTCGCATCTTCTCGGCGACCTTCCCGTCTTTTTTTTCTGCCCGCGATGGTTTGTCGTTTTAAGGCCGGGGCGCCGCCATCGAAGACGAAGACCGGTCGAATTCCGAAATATAATAGTTTGCATATCCGGCGGAAGAAGCCGACAACGTGTGAATTGCGCAGTGCGTTTCCCTCCTTATCACGCACTGCCTTGAGGAATTGGTAGATCCATATAGACGCGTCGACGGCCAGGCGCTTTTTATTAAGAGTTTCGAGTTTGATGGGTCGAGCGCAAGGTTGCACTACGGTCCAAAGACCGGTGACACCCATTGTTGTTCAGGGTAAGGAGTCATTCGATCTCGATCCCGATCCGACCTGCTGACCACGACGGGAGGGGTGGAAGCTTGTTAGTGAGGTGAGCATGGATCCAGGATCAAGATCGCTGGTCCGCGCGATGACGGCACCGATGGAGCCTAGCTGACGGGGGTTGAAAAGAGTGGAACCGCCAAGGCCGTCCGGAATTACTAATAATCCGGCTCTCAGTCCGCGTTGAGTATTATTAAGCAAAGAGGTGCGTTATAATTGGCCGATGGGACTAATGCAGATTCCGCCCTAATTGACTGACCAACACCAATATCCTGCATTTAGCATATAAAGCACCTCAAAGATCGTTTATATATATATATATGAACAGTGACTTTTTAATAAAGAATTGAAAGGAAGGATTGTTTACTGAGCGTCTCCTTGTTTTATAGAACATGCTGGCCGTATCTGGTGATCGCATGGAACGTATACTATGAACCAAAAACGGGCACTATATATTTAAGTCTAGGCTGTCGTCGATTATATCTTGCCATATAAAAGCGTCGCCCTATTTAGATTTTGCTCGATCGCTTTCTAGCCGTCAACGATTTACTTTTGCATGCAAAAAAGAGGTGCGTTTTAGCCATCGCCCACCTCGCGGAATCACGTGGACAATATGACCACTTTGGGCCTAGTGCGGGACAAACGGGGATGACATAATATTTTCTGGGAGGGCAGCAATTTTGAGGCGCCTTCCTGTTTAGTGGGCTGGCATTGATCACGCAGGGTTAAACGGGGAGAGAATCTATATTTGATACTTCATGTCCTTCATGCAGGAAATATGTCGGAGCTAATGGGAATGTCGACGTCTCTTGAGGTTTGCATGCCCCTCGTCACATTCCTTCTACATGAAATTGTTCCGCTGACTCTAATCGCAGCACGTGGATGCTTGTGTCCCAATTACAGCCCTGAAAACCTTTGAATGGGGTGACAAACTGTTCGTATTTAAAGGACAAGGTCCCTTTTTCCGGGTCATTGATGACCAGACTGGAGATGTTGTTGCTCAAATCCAGGGCTTCAAAAGAAACAATGTCCATGGTTTCATTCCCCTGCCCCAAAAAGAACATGATCGTGTTCAAGTGGTTATCTGGGGTAGTTCTTCAGTTCGAACTGTTGAACTTGTCTTTGGCAAAGATCCCAATGAAGCCATTGCGATATCCGCAGCCACCGCCGAATTTCTTGCTCCGGACTGGATCTTGAATGGGTGTGCAGCAGTCCCAGGTGGATCTAACTCGGTATATCTTATGACTGCAAACAATGCTCTTCTAGGCCTGAAGCTCTCAACGGATACTGCTTCTAGCCATTATGATGCATCAATTTGCATGCGTCAATTGACAACAAGCGTCAAATCCATTTTATATACGGGAGATTTGGTCGCGCTGTCCGCTTCCCATGTCCTGATCGTGTCCGGTACCGCCTTTGGAGAGATAATTGTCTGGTCTTGTTTTATCAATGACAAAGATCCATCTAAACCAGAAGCAATTGGATCTATCCATCACTTCTTCACAGGACACGAAGGGTCGATATACGGTGTGCGTATTTCACCCAAGATCCAATCTTTGAACGATGGCCAACCCGGTCGTCTCTTAGCAAGCTGCAGCGATGATCGGACGATGCGCATTTGGGACATATCGGACTGTGAAAACAAGTCCGTCCAGGATCACTCCGCGTACTCCACGGATGGATTCGAGCTTCGAAGTACCGGATTTGGAAGCACCGCAACAGAACATTCCGAGCTTGGATCGGAATCGTGCGTTGCACAGGCCTATGGACACACAGCTCGTATCTGGGCCGTGAAATTCCGATCAATGAGAGAAAATAACCCGAACAAATTAGGCCTGGTAACCCGCGGTGAGGACTCTACTTCTGTGCAATGGGATCTGAACTGGGAGACATCATCACCTGGTAATTCCAAATATCACCTTCAGCAAACATCTTCGATGCACTCTCATGCTGGCAAACATATCTGGTCCATGGATCTTTGCAGCCGAGGTGAAGAAACCGTGGTGTTTACTGGAGGAGCTGATGGCGCATTAAAAAGCTATCGTATCCAGGAAATAAACTCTCCAAAAAAGCCCGATCCTCCAGTGAACCTGAAGCTAGCAAGACTCCATGGCCCTAAATGTTTTGGTTTGGTGGCACCCGACTGTTTCCTTTCTTGTTCGGTGCGCAGCGAAGTCCAGCTCGGGCATTTGGGACCTGAAGAGTATCCCGAAATCGCATGGGAGCAGCTTTCTGTCCTGGACGATCTCTCCAAGTTTGCAACAATGGCAGGATCGCCTGAACTAGGACTAGCTTTGATTGGCAATTCCAAGGGTCTTGTTCGACTATACAACCATAACACGAAGTCATTCTATGAGTTGGTTGATCTGGGCGAGCGGGCTCTGGGTTTCTTTATCCTTGAGCCCTCTGTGCAGTCTGGATCTTTTTCGTTTATTGCGACCTATCTCAAAGATGACAAGGCGACAATGGTGACTGTGAATGAGTGGAGAACTGGTAGCCCACGAGTTGAAACCACCACATTTTCACTGCCAAGGAGACCATTCGAACTATCTTCGGCAGGCCTAACCCACGATGGCCAATATCTGGTCATTGGATCTAAGCTTGGCGGATTGGCGATATACCGAGTGTCGGGCCTGCACATGTCATCGGAGCCTCTTATGCTAGACCGGCGTGCACATGGCAAGGAAGGCACTCATCACATCCAGGCACTACCAGCTGCAAATGGGCTGCAAAACCCACCCTCTCAATTCATTCTCACATGTGGGCGTGATGGTAACTACTGTATTCATGAGATCAAGGCCAACGGCGGCGGCGACGAAGGATTATCCTTTGAAACTCTGCATCGAACATCCTCGGCGCTAGGCACCCACTTGCAAGGGGTATATTTTGATGAAGACACTGGGGATCTTATGATATATGGATTCAGGGGACAAACATTTGTCCTCCGAAACGAGTCTAAACAAGCCGATGTCGATCACATCCCCTCCGGTGGTTTCCGTCGTACTTGGACCTTTCACCCCGGCATCAAGGGCAGCGGCGAAGCTCTTTTTATGTTCCAAGAAGGCGCGCAAATATTGCCCGTCCGCATTCAAATGAATCGCAAACGATCTGTTCGAGCTGGTGTCCATGGACGAGAAATCAAATCCCTGGATTGCCGAAATGCCGTTGAGGGAAGACCAGTGCTCTTCGCTACGGGAGCAGAGGACACCACCTTGCGTATCATGTCACCGTCTAATTATGCAGATAAAGCGCCTTGGGGGTCGTTCAGAACCCATTTGATTCTCAAAGAACATAAAAGTGGAGTCCAGCAAGTCACCTGGTCCAAGAATGGGCAGTATCTCTTCACTAGTGCTGGGTATGAAGACTTTTTTGTCTGGAAGGTTGGATTGCTCCCTTCTTTTGGCATCACGGCAGTCCTAATTGCTACCTGCCCAACGTCCGAGGTGGATTCGGAGCTCCGCGTCACCAGTTTTGATACGGTGGAAGTGGGAGAATCCGGCTCTGAGGGTCACCTCATTTGTTTGACCCTTTCCAACTCGAAAATCAGGGTATGTTAACCGCCAAGGAGTCATCGAGAATTTTGCTAACGAAATAATAGATATTCCACTTTTCCCCGAATGAAGGTGGCCGCTTCACCCTATTGGCCCAAGGGCGATACATGACGAACTGCCTGACACAAGCCAAATTCGTGATGAAAGGCTCTTCAGTCAGTCTGATCACTGCAGCGACCGATGGATACTTCACTCTATGGGACTTGACCAGCACCCTTGAACCATTCTATGCAATCAGCTCGTCAGAACTAAAACTCAAGAAACCCCTCGATGGCTCTCAGATCTCACCTGAGAGCATTACTTGCGAGAACCGTTACCAGATCACCTCCAATAGCATCAAAGCGATGGAGCTGGTGCAAATATTCGATAATGTCAATGCCTTGTTGACTGGAAGCGACGACAACTCGATGACGGTGTCTTTATTGAAGACATCGCCTACAAACCCATACCGAAATGCGGAAGTAGTGACGGTTTCGATTCCGGGCGCCCACGCGGCTTCAGTGACAACTCTTCAAATCATCGAATGCAAGAAGAGTAAGACTTCTAGCTCTGGACCCGAAACAACAATCCTGACGGTCGCAACCTCTGGCAACGACCACAGGGTCAAGATCTGGTCAATCGCCATCGACCCCACTCAAATTGGTACGGCTGGGATAAAGATCGATCTCCTGCTAGATCGATATAGCTCTGTTGCCGATATTTCGTCCATTGGAATTCTTCGGGATCCCGCTTCGGCAGAGACTCAGTTGTTGATTGGAGGTGTGGGATTGGAATTGTTGCAACTCAAATCGCGATGAACCTCTAAACGCGCATTTGAACCATGAAATAGAAACGTACATATAAAATACAGACAAAGGATTTCGAATCATAACAAGTTTCAAGTTCAACTTTCAGCTGAAGAAGTAAAAGAAACTGGTACTAGTTATAAATGACTCTTAGTATGCTCCCATCCCACCTGCTACCACGCTTTGCGCTGCCTGGGATTTCCCCTCCCGAATGCACAGCTAGTGCCATGAGGAGGCCCTTTCAACTCCGTGCTGAAATTGGCAAGGCCCTACTACCCCGCGAACAATCGTGAAGAAAATCATACGACGTACAGGGGATTAAAGCACGAGTGTTGATCAAGCACCGGATATTATGAGAGGGGGAGACTGACCCCGCAGTGGTTTCGGAGGTTTCTCCTTGCACGAAACGTCATCTGGGTCAATAGGTGGAAATACGGAAAAAGAGAGGAGATCGGGGAGATTAATTTGCCTGATTCTTTGCAGGGGCGGTGCTTATGGGGAAATTTTGGACATTGGAGAAGATGTCAGGGTATATATGAAAGGGACTGGTGCCTTCCTACCGTTGGATCTCCGGAGGCCCTTGGGGTTCCTGAAGATCGACAAAACAACCTTGGAAGCTCCCTCCCCCCATATTTAGATCTGCCAGTTTGCAGCTTTACAACTCGCGCGATACTATGCGAAGCTCTTTGGTTTGTCTGGTTGGTGCTGCTGCCATGGCAGCTGCCAGACCTGCAGCGCCGCGGTCTAACCCGACGTATTTCTTTACCTTGTGAGTTGCGCTCTGTGCGAAAAACCGACACAGACAAGCAGGGGGGTCATGTACTGACTTTCTCAGTGGCGACTCTTATTCGCAGACTAATTTCAACGTCAATGGCACGCAACCATCAGCTTCGAACCCGATGGGCAACCCGACTCTGGGTGAGTACATTGTGCTCGAGTGAATCAATATACCATCGGCTGATGTCCATATCTAGGAACCGGAACAACCGGCAATGGGGTAAACTGGATCGGGTACCTCACAACTGCCGATAATGCCTCGCTTGTGCTGAACTATAACCTGGCCGTTGGAGGTGCTACAATCAGCAACAACTTGGTCCCCGTCCCTTACGAGGACATGACCTCGCAAGTGGCTACGTTCGAGAGCTCATATAGCAGCAAACCTGCCTCTGCACCGTGGAGATCCGACGACTCGGTATTTGGATTCTGGATTGGTATCAACGAGTAAGACCTGTCCCGTCTGAGTACTGTGAACGCATCGCTGACAAGCCCCAAACATGAAGTTGCGGAAATGCATTCTGGCAAAACGAGTCCAGCGTCCTTGTTCCGAAGCTCATGACTCAATATGAAAGCTTGGTTCTAGATATCTACGCGAATGGCGGGCGCAAGTTCCTGTTCGTGAATGTTCCGCCCACGGATCGGAGTCCCTATTTCATTGAGCAGGGCACGGCAACGACAACCCAGCTTGCCGCTTGGATCAAGGCGTATAACGAGGGAATAAGGACTATGATTACTACGCTCAAGTCGAAGCATAAGGATGTAAGTTGAGATTTCGGCGGCAGGAACTATTCAACGAGAAATGAAAGCTAATGCGTGTTTGAATAGGTGACCACGGTGGTATACGATGCGAACACTTTCATGGGCAAAGTCCTTGATAACCCGAAAGAATATGGATTCCCCTCCGACAGCTGTATCGATGCTGATGGCACATCGTGTGTCTGGTGGAATAATTATCATCCTGGTACCAAGTATCACAAACTTCAGGCGGCGGATATGAAGTCGCATCTGTCATCGTTGGGCGCGTGGTAGTTAGTGGTCTAATTCTACAACGGAATATTATTAGTCTGTCAATAAATGAAGAGATCAAAGTCCATCAGATACCTTTGAACGAATTCAACATCAATTACTTCAGCAGACCGATCGATTTCTAGTCTAGGGGGGGGGGTTTCATGTGAAGCAGGTCCCTGTTTCAGCATGCCATCAATCTGCATCAGACAGGATGCGTTCTAGGTCAGACATCCAGCCCCACTTACGAGTTCAAGTTATGTAGCTGCCTCAAATGCCCAAATCAGATCTTTGGAAAGAAGTTTACATTTGAAAGAAAGAGGCGAGCTCTCGGGGTTGCCACGTCCGTCATACGTCGCTGATCGATTCCCAAACCGCCACGGGGTTCGCCGTCCACCGATCTACATGGCACACGGCACATGGTTTAACTAAGGCACGGTGCCTGAAGCAAGTTGACAGGGGTTGGTTCTGCAGAAAACTATCGGACCCCTAAATAGGAGGCAGGGTCTAGTTGTAGTGTCGGTAGAAAGGAATCTCAGCACGATCCGTTCCGTTTCATAATTGGCTTCAGCCAAGGACAACCGTGCTCCTTGCAATTAGACAATTGAACAGACCCCATACTTTTCCTTGGTGGGGAATGTCATCTCTGCAGATGGGCATCGGGACCCCGCATTATACCAAGAGTCCTTTCTCGGCGGCACTGCCATCTAGGGTCGCGGAATGATGTGCCGAAGCTTTATGCTCCGTGTCTTTTTGCGACTCCGTCTAAGTGTAGCCAAAAGGAGTTGGGTAGTTGCTGGGCGCATTGGGGTTGCTGGACGAGCGTAGAATGCTCAACTCGTATAAATATCAAGTATTACGCACGGGAATCAGGTTGTAGATGGCTTTGGGTGTCAAAGTAGCCTTTCCTATCAACTGATCAACAAGCAACTGAGAAATGAGGTTCGGCCATTTGATCCTTCTGGCTGCCGCGGCTGGGTCAGCGGTGGCAGCTCCGCTTAGGAGCCATGCGAAGAGAGCATCTCCTTTCCAATGTATGGTTTCTTTTTACCAGTCCGCATCTATGCAGAACCAAGACAGGCTGATTGAGACTGGATAGGGTTCGGGACGAACGAGTCGGGCGCTGAATTTGGAGAAACTGTTCTCCCGGGTGTGTGGGTGCGTACAATCTGTGAGATTGCGACTTTTCATTCAGCTGATTGTCGTGTATAGGGAACCCAATATATCTTCCCTGACACCAGTAAGATCCAAACATTGATCGATAAAGGAATGAATATTTTCCGGGTTCCGTTTAGGATGGAGCGGCTGGCGCAGAGTTCCATGACGGGGTCACTGGATGCTGCTTATCTGAAGAATCTAACGACGGTGAGTACAAAGTGATCTTTCCGACCTCGGGAGGATTGACTGGTAGGATGAATGCTGACGGGGTTAGGTCGTGAACTATATCACGAACGCAGGAGCCTATGCGGTGCTTGACCCCCATAATTATGGTAGATAGTAAGTTGTCAGCCCCAGCAGCCCCCAAGACCTGATAGATCAGAGACGACTATATATTTACCAGCCACAGCAATGGTGCTATCATGACCAGCACCTCAGACTTCCAGACGTTCTGGAAGAATGTCGCGAGTCAATTCGCATCGAACAACCATGTCATCTTTGACACGAGTAGGTCCATGCCACAGATTCCTTGAAATAAACAAGCAGTACTGAGAGGGGAAAAGACAACGAGTACCATGACATGGACCAGACGCTAGTCCTGAACCTCAACCAAGCCGCCATCAACGGCATCCGGGCCGCTGGGGCAACATCGCAATACATCTTCGTTGAGGGAAACTCATGGACTGGCGCTTGGACCTGGGCGTCGATCAACGACAACATGAAGGCCCTAACGGACCCGCAGAACAAGATTGTATATCAGATGCACCAGTACCTGGATAGCGATGGGTCTGGTACAAGCGCGACGTGCGTGTCAAGCACGATCGGGGCCGAGCGGGTGAGCTCCGCGACGGCATGGCTGAAGGCGAACGGCAAGAAGGGTATTTTGGGGGAATTTGCTGGGGGAGTGAATGATCAATGCAAGACAGCGGTGACGGGGATGTTGAAGGCATTGGCGGCGGACTCTGAAGTGTGGCTGGGGGCGATGTGGTGGGCGGCCGGGCCTTGGTGGGGAGATTATATCTTCAGTATGGAGCCGACGAGTGGGACGGCCTATACTGGGATGCTGGCGACGTTGGAGCCATACTTGTGATGTGAGTATAGAGGGTACGGAGTGCCAGGAGTTAGTACTCGTACACCGACTCGGAGTATGTCAGCGTGTTGCAGGATGGAAGTGATTGCCGTCTTGGCTAATATGCAGGTATATACGTGGCTGAGGCTGGTGACTTGAATGACTAGGCAGATTGATTTTTATCTCGGCTGCGATCCGATTTTCCTGTAGTTGACTATCATCTCTATGGAGGAGATGTCCAGATCATATCCATAGTTCTCCCCGGAAAAGTTTATCTTTTTAAGATACAAAATTAGAAACAGGCACGGCAGTGCAGTGCACCGGGTAATGCGGGTGGGGCCTAATGCCAAGCGGGAAATGAAGAAGCCTGGGAGGGCTTGGGGAGGGCTTACGTAGGGCAGAGGCATCCCTTGGTTGGGTCCCTGCAAAGTACTTAGTAGTACTTTCGGAGCTGGCACTAGTCACGAAAGGGGTTAAGTGGGGGTACAAGTTGGTAAAAAATTCGGCGATCCACAAGGCTGCGATGACGACGCTGGACAGGGTAACTATTGGGCGTACCTACACGTAACCTATGATAGTAGAGATAGACTATAGTGTGCTGCAGTATACTCATAGCAAATACTACATAGAATAACTATATAACAGAATTGTGCCTGTTCCAGTAAATCAACGAAGATACAGGAAAGTATACTGCTTACTGTACAGTACCTACGTGCGTAGCCACGAATAGAAACAAGCGCGTTCCGCACAAATTGGCGTGGCGGTGGGTCCAACGCGGGTGCTGCGCCGCTGGGGCTGGGGCCATTCGCACTCCCAGGCTGTGTACACGAGGTACGGAGTACCCTAGGTACTGTCTACTCGGGATAGGCACTTCGTCCTCCCTCTGGTAATCTCAATCTGCCGATCCCCAAGGTTAAAAACCATTCGGCCCCCCGTGAGATCATCTCTCCTTCACTTCATCACTTCACCCCTTTCTCATCTTCCTTCCCACCCACCCTCAATATCACCCTCAATTTACCACCACCACTATGGGTAAAGCCGGTCGCATCGCCTGTATCTTCACGCCTTATGTCCTCACTCTCGCCTCCTTGATCTGTATCATTATTGTGGGCTTGGGCTGCACCAAATCGAGCGACAGCAACCTGTCCGATCTCTACTTCCTGCGGGTGAGTTTCTTCCGAGTCTCTCTTAATCACCTCCACTGGGAATGCGCCACTGACAATCCCTCTCTGTAGATCAATCTGCAAAATATCAGCAGTAATGGTACCAAAACGGTTTCCGAAATCCAGAGCTTCCTGAGCGAGCACGACATCTCCACCGTCACTGCCGATGAGGTCTCCAAAACCTTGAAAACCATTCAGGATGACTCCACTCTCGCCGACTTCTACTCAATCGGTCTCTGGGGCTACTGCGAGGGCAGCATCAAGAACGGTGACTACAAGACCACCAAGTGCTCCAAGCCCAAGTCCGAGTACTACTTCGATCCTCTCGACGTCTGGGGCCTGAGCGACAACGACACTATCAAGGATGAGCTGCCTTCCGACTACAACAAGATCATGAAGATCTACAAGGCCGTCTCCAAGTGGATGTTCATCGCCTACCTGATCGCCTTCATCTTGGGTATCGCTGAGCTGCTCGTCGGCATGTTCGCCATCTGCAGCCGCTGGGGCAGCTGCGTCACTACTCTCGTCGCCATTGTTTTTTTCATCTTCACCGCCGCCGCCTCTATTACCGCGACCGTTCTCTTCTCCGTCGTTGACGGCAGCGCCGGCACTCTCCTCAAGGCCTACGGAATCTCCGTGAGCGTCGGCAAGAACATGCTTGCCGCGACCTGGTTGGCTGTCGCCTTCGCCCTCGTCGGTGCCATCTTCTGGACTTTCAGCGTCTGCTGCTGCTCCGGCCGCTCCCCTTACAACCACAAGGACCGCCGCAACCGTGGCGTCACTGCTGAAAAGGCCCCTTACACCTACGAGCCCGTCGGTGCTGGTGCCCAACCTTACGGTGCCCACCACACCTCTTACCCGGCTCCCGTTGCCCACGGTGGTGAATACCCAATGACCCACACCAACAACCAGCAGACTAGCGCCTACGAGCCCTTCCGTCACGTCTAAGCAATCAGTATGAAAAGGATACGCGTCTTGTTTTGCATTGATTCTGTACAATCCTTCTGAAGCGTTCTTAGACTTGGGATACCAAAGGCGTTTGGGCTTGGTTATTTGCGATTTTTACCTTTCTTATTATTTTTGTGGCATGCCTTATGACCTTCCTTTTTTGATGACTCGGATTATGTCTCGCGATTCGCGAACGAAATAGCATCGCATTTTTGTCTTTATAATATCATGTCCAGATGTTAATGACAATGAATCAAACAGCAAAAAAAAAATACGAAGCACATGTAAACAATAAACAAGCCCGAAACGTGCCAAGGACTCGGAATCAATCAATCCCCCAGCCACACAAACTCAAATCCCCGCTCCAAACTACAATGATGTAAACATTCTCCCGGTGCCCAGCCTGTTCGCTTCCCAGCCATTCATTTCCGATCGCTGGATGATTGTGGTCAACTTAAAAGAGATTACTCAAGGATTTCCCTGCTTGGGTTGATGACATCGCAGTGTTATCCCGAATCGGTACAGTGCAATTTAGCGCGTCGCCCCGTGCGTTGGGAGCCACACGCCACATTGTTCCGGAATCTGACAGGGAGCTGAGGAGCTGACCTACGTAGCCCTAACAGTTGTGGATCCGACGATCGGAAACTTGAAGACAAGGTTGTCATATCGATGTCAATGGCGTTGGGCTGAGTGAGATGCTTGCGCGGATTCGGGTTGTTTTGGCTTTGTGCTTTGTTGTGTTATGTACGGAATACGGAGCATGGTTATGTGATGGATGTTCATGGCTCATGTCGAGTTTGATTGATGCTTTTCTTCTTTCTGCTGATCGTAGTTTTTCTTTCTTCACTCTTGTCAGATTGTTAAAATAGTGAGTTTGTGGTGGATGTAGGGGGGGGTGGGGGGGGGGATTCATCTCAGCCTTGTTCTCTCGTGTCTAGTGGAGATTGACAGCGAGGCTGAGGTCTAGATACGAAAACCAGTCGGCCAGTGCTCCTAGAGCTCGTTGGGAACTTTGCATGTCGATTCTTCCGAGTCATCGCATCGCATGAACTGTAGGCACTGTAAATATGATATACGATAATATACAAGATTTCGGAATTGGAGTATGTCATGGTAATATGACAGACAGAGAAAGCAGAAGCGGAAGTAAGAATAACCAGTACTCCGCCTGAGCAATAAGTAATAATCAAGAACGAATATAAATTCATACCACGCGGTGTTGAGCAATCCCCACAATCGACGCCAGCGCCGCACCGCTAAATGAGCTCGCATCAAGCCATCCCCGATGAAGAAACCGGTGCGAAGCTTCGGTTTCCGCCCCCATACTCGTATTGATCACACGAGAGATTGTGTCAACGATGAATAGGCCGTTGAACTACCCCTTTCGCATCAAGGAGGATTTTAGTTCCTCCGCGCCGTCGTCGTTCGCTTAGGATATTCTGGTCTGCTTCAGCCCAGCGCTTGAATGGCGTGTCCGGATCGTCGGACCAGTTTGGTACGGGAATCTTTGAACGCCGGAGTGCTAAGAACCAATTTTCCTCGTCGCTCTCCGCTTCGGAGGCTAAATCAGTGTCGGCGTGCCCATTTGTAGACGCCTCAGGCTTCGAAGTGAATGTTTCATCGCCTAATTCGACGCTGGCTGTTTCGTGACAGGGGTCGTCATCGTCGGCTTCCTCGTCATCGTCGACCTCGTCATCGTCGACCTCGTCATCGTCGGATTTCTCTTCCTCCTTCCTATCGTCTTCCACTTCTTCTGCTGCTGCTGCTGCTGCTGCTGCTTCTTCTTCTTCCTCATTTTCTTCACCGGACGGCATTTCCCTAGCATCTTCCATGACGATATCATTTGTCTCTTGCGTGTTGGCGATACACGAACCAAGTGATAGAAAATTTTCAGTATCTGGATCGTGCTTCACGATAGTGTGGGCCCCCGGGTTCTCGTAGCTGCTCAACGGAAGTGCCTGCGTATACACCCATTCAGATGGTTCTTCAGAATGCTCCATCTTGATCTTAACAGATGGCTCACGCGAGGGTTGTTCCATAAATCTAGCACCGATATCCACCGAGGGAAGCCCACTTGGCGAAATGTCGCTAAAAGAATGCGCGGTGAACTTTGAGAACTGGTTGACTAGGCTTGCAGTGAAAGATTGCCCCAGATTCTCGTTCTGGGTAGCCGGCGGATCTGGGGGAGACTGGTGGTCGCTGATAACCTGGGAAGCCATCTCGGCTGGGAAAGTTTGGGATGCAGCTATATCGATGGCAGGAAGTGTCAAGCAGCGCTTCTTGTGGACTGGTTGGGAGTGGTGCAATAAAAAGTATTCCTCGTAGCTCAATGGGTTTGTCTCCTGGGACGGGTATTGTTCGACGTGAAGTGGAAACTGGGTGAGATGCATGATAATAAAATCATCCCAGAGAAATGACCGTTGCAACTGGCCCCGGGACCTGGTGGCTCGTAGTTTTGAGCAAAGCTCTACAAAATGAGCGAAGTCTCCTGTGTAGTGTGGAAGGTATTGGGTCCGGAATATTTCATAGACCCCGTGCGCTTCGAGAAAATGCATCGGGTTGTTGATATATCCCAGACGGCGAGTAATCAGCTCAGCACTTTGGGGCAAGAGTGAAGCTTGGCTGGAATCCGTGGGTCCAGTCGATGGTTCTCTGGGCGCTTTGGATGGCGAGGAGTCGTCGTTTTCTGCTGGCATGAATCGCGCGAGAGGGGAGATCTGCGAGCCCACGGAGGGGCCGAGAGAAGAAAGGCCTGCCATAGAGTCTTGAGTGGGCTGCATGGGCTGCGATGCTTCTGGGTGATGAGAAGCTGTAATTTGATGGGAGGATGACTCAGTGGTAGATTTTGACTCGGACTGGGGGATATCCTGATGACGCTGAACCGGTCCTGATGAATCAAGCACAACCTCCGGTTGTGTTTGGTTTTGAGTACCCTCATGAGCCGACTGGTTTTGATTGTCTGGTTGTGGTTGGGTTCTTTTGACTTGGACAGACCCCTTAGAAGAAATAGGGGAATGAGGTTCCCCGTTCGAAGACTGGGTTTGTTCGTGGCTTCCATGAACAGGGTAGGTATTAAGAACCCGAGATTGCGAGGAACTCTTGTTATGCTGGTTGGAAGACGATGTTTCATCTGCGACGTTGGGGTTGCCAGGTTCTTTTGTTGCTTGAACGGGAGGCAACAGGTCATTGTTTACCGCGGGGGTTTCGAAAACCTGCACGCACCCGGCGTTTGCTGATGGAAGTGAATGACCCGAGCTTGTAGGTTCCTGCTCATGCTGTGTATTTTGCGAAGGTTCTGGAAAGCCTCCACCTAATGCTGTAGGAAGCGAAGTATCCATCATTGAATCATCACTCTCGCCGCCTGAATCATGAGCATCAAGGTGTTCGGCAGAAGCATGTGGGCCATTTACAGCAGCTGGAGGCGATCTTCCCTCTTCTGCAATATGATGTTGGGCCGGGTTTGACGCTGCAGGCACCCTGCCAGATACCCTCGGCGGGCGCTTTTCGTTCTCATCACCCAACTCACTTCGAGCATTCTGTGTCGAAGCAATACCAGCTACTCTGCCACTATCATCATTTCCGACTTGAGTAGAAGAGCCGGACGCTGATATCTCACGAGAGGGTTGCGAAACGTCATTTTCGACGACCTCTGGCTGGATCGTATGATTCGCTACGTTGAAGCGCTGGCTAGATTCGACTTGATTTGCTTCCTTTTCTACTTCACCCGAAGGCGGCTGTCGCCTTTCTGGAGTCCTTCCTTTCAAAGGACTGCTGTCGGCAGGTAGGCGTCGAAGTGCCCGCCAGTTCGGGGATGGGGTCGCAGACCAGGGAAGCTCTTCTTCGTCCGATTCGGAAGACGAGGAAGAGTCTCGAAGAGGAGTCACATGCCGCGCTGGGCTTGCGTTGTCCTTTTCAACTGATTGGTGTCTTCGCTCGACAATGCTATTCCACTGCCTCAGAAGCGAGGGCGGCACATGTCCTTGGAAAGAAAGGTCGCCAATTGCAGATGGAATCCATCGTATTCTGTGGCTCTCAAGTAGTTCCTTTTGCTCATGTTCAATATGGATCTCGTGTGGCGGAATATCGCCCCGCCACTTCCATGGATTGACCCGGCTTGATTTGGTAGCAGGCGAGGGATTCGCAAGAGCATGAAGACTCCCATCTCTCTGATTAGTAGCCTCTGTCGCATTGGTCGTTGAAGGCTCAGCATGAGATGGATCAGTGGGGTCGTCCTGGGCAGTATGTGTCTTCTGCCTTTTCGGAGATGGATGGCCATCGATCGACTGTTCGACCACTTTTTCGCTGAGATCGGATGCTGGCGCATTGCTGGGGCTCCGACGCCGACGCTTCCGTGGAGAAGATCTACCGGCTGTGTGAGTTTCAATTTCAATTGCGGCATTACTTTCGGAACCAAGCTCTGCTGGTTTATCAATTTCCTTTGAAGGAAGATCTTTTTGTGGCTTCCTTCTGGGGGAAGTCTCCAATTCTTCAGAGTTCAGGTCAGGAGGGTTGATGCGAGTGATATCACCAACAGTATCATTTCCAGTCTGTGACTCAATTGAAGCTCGACGCGTGCTCTTCAAGGTCGTATGATCGAAAATTTCATGTGTTGTCTTCCCAGGCGCTGTTAACCCATTCGAACTATCCGAGGGTTGATTTGGCGATAATATCCCACTGACTGAAATAGCTGAAAAGGGGTTCAGGTGACGGAGTAGCGAGTCTCCGGCGGTTTTCAAGAAGGATTTGGGCTTAGGGTTGCCTTCCAATGGGCCATGCTGGCTGGCTGGTACCTGAGAGAAAAGCTGGGATCCATCGTTGTTCACCGAGCTGCTTTGGTGAATGCTTGCTTCAACTTCAGACCGCATGGGCTTGGCTGAAGGAGTATCATGTGCAACAAGTTGGCGCGTTTTTCGGGAGTCTCGAACTCTTTGAAGAACTTTATCCAATAGCTTCTTGATCGTATTAATCTTTTTCAGTTTCTTTTTGGGCGTAAAACTGTGCTCTTTCCCCTGCCAGTCAATGCGACAGCGGTTGATACATAAGCGGACGTCGGGAGAGGGGTCTGAGTATGTGACGACTAGCGTGAAGTCCAGAAGTTCGATGCAGCGTTTCTGGGGGGATTTGGAGGCCGAAGAGACAGGGTTGGATACGATCAAGGATTCATTCGATATAGTTCCAGAGATTTGGTTATTCGCATCTATCAACAACACGGTGCCGTCGCCAGTAGGTCCTATGCTCCACTAGTAGCCAACCCGTCAGCATTCTAAAGGCAGAAAGGGTATAGAAAGTGGCTTACCTCTGCAACGAGCGCCATGCATGAAGGCTGATTGATGCGAAAGCTCAGACAAGCCCCATTGTCCTCCACTTCAATCCCACTGCCCGATGTCTGGTCAATGTAGAAACCTAGACAGCGCTCGACGAGGCTTGCGATCCAAGAGGGTATGAGGTTGTTGGAAGCCATGATGCGCTCCCAGATCTGTATTGGACCGGATGGAGCGCAGCCCAGGTCACATCTGACCAGAAAGGATCAGGATCAGGATCAGGACATTCGCAAAAGAAATGTGATCACAAACCGGGGAAATGGGATTGACTGAGCGCAAAAACCCCCGATAAGCGATAAGACGCGACGCGCCGCCTCGACTTTTAAGGTACTAAGGTCTCACCGCCAAACGTCATTGGGCTCGGTGCCGCCAGTGCGGAGAATGACCTTAGGGAAGCTTCACTTCCAACTCCACTGCGCTATTTAAATCGCCTCTGGAGACCCTGCAATCCCCCAGGACTGGGTGACATACCCCTAGTGCAAGGCCACCCTAGACTTCAATATCCTATTCGATCTCCAAAATACCGCCTATACCCACCCCGCCTTCCTTCGACTTGTCAGAATCATGATCTACGAACTTTGGGGCTGACTGCAATAGCGCACGCATGGAACATAAATCGCCTCGATCGCCGAGCCCCTCCGCGTCGTCTGGGTTTCTCCGACTCGGTCGACGCGGGTCTAAGGCCTCACTAGCGACTACACGAACCGAACGAGAAAATAAAGATGCAGCTCTAGACCAGATCCATAACGCTGCGTATCAGTCCGACTCACTGACACATTTCAACGACTTCACCAGCCCCCCGACCCCTATATCGGCCCACGATGATAAAGGCCTATCAGAGGAGCTACAGGGAGGGTTGAGTGGACTTTACACTCGGTTCAGAACCTCCGTTGGTGGTATGAGAGATATCGTTAGTGGCGGGACAAGGCCGATGGACAAGAATGTGGTGGAGAGCCCCCCCAGTGAAAAGTCCGGTCCCAGAACGCTCGATGACGAAGTCGGTTTCGGATCTCGCAGCTCACCATGGAGATCTCGCATCGTCGCATCCCGCCTCGTCTCAAGGCTCCAGGCTTCATTCGCCGGTTATGACTAATTTCCAGCATCCGCAAGAGTCTGCCCCGCCCACCAATAACGGCAAGAGCTCCAAGATATCTTCCAAAAGTGCCAGTATATCTTCGAAGGCGTCTGTTCCGCCGTCTCCAGGTATCAAAGGCAGTATTGCGCCTTTGACAAAGTCCAACACCGGCTCCAGTGCGGTTGATCCCACCATCACGCAGCTCCATGCAAATGCGGACCACCGCTCCCGAAGTAGCTCTGTTAACGTTCCTTCACATGGACTTAAGAATGCCGAGTCAGCAAGCATTGGAAGCAGAGACGGTCCCGTAGATCTGTCCTTGAGCCAATCGTCTTCTGCACTAGACCAAATTCACCCACACTCGCCCGTCTTATCGACAAAGACACACGAGAGCATCCATGAAGACCACGATTCGGTAGATGCAGGCGGACCGGCCATGTCAGCAAGCCAAGCCTCGGGAATTCATGCCAGGAAGTCATCCGCATCTGCTGATCTGCCGAGGCTTCCAGAGAGCATGTCTCAGTCTGCGTTATCACGAAGTTCAAAGCAATCTGACCCTCTCAAAGAAACGGCTTCTCAAGCTCAAGAAGCTAGATCAAATTCTCGAATGTCTTTCAACCAGGGCGAGCCAGCAACCATCGCACCCACACCCGCAAACGCCCATTCTAAATTCTTTCCCCAGGATGGCGGATCGTTTCGTACAGACCCTTCTGCTGAGAATATTGGCCATATAAATCGCGAGGAGACAGGGAAGAAATTGCCGTCGGAGGCTCCTGGCCTAACTATGCTTAGCGACAGACTCAAGCCAACCACAGTCAACGCCAAGAATAGACTCCCTGGGTATGTGATGTCTCGAGCTTCCACGGCAGAGTCGGCGACCACGGTTTCTTCCTTGCCTCCAATTAATACGGCCGTGCCACGAGTACCAGCCCCGCTAGATAGCCGGGCCGCAGCACCTGGCTCCGATGGTGTCATATCACAGCTACGAAGTAGATTAATGAGCAGAGACTTTTGGATGCGTGATGAGAATGCGAAGGACTGTTTTCATTGCGGTGAACCTTTTACAACATTTCGCAGAAAGCATCACTGCCGTACTTGCGGCCAGATCTTTGACTCAAAATGCACCCTTTTGATCCCCGGTACTCAATTTGGACAGCCTGGATCTATTCGCGTTTGCAAGCCTTGTGAACGAATGATAAATGCTCATGAGGATGATTCTTCTGATTTTTCAGATAGCGAGCAGAGCCCCGTTCTTATGAACCCCCGGATATCTGAGCTCAGCTGGGGCAGTGCCCGTCCATCTGTCGACGATGATGATACTTCGTCCGTCATATCACAATCAATCGATCATGTGCTCAGAACTCCAACCATGGCTATCCCAGCCACACGGCGTGCAGGCGAGGGACATAATCGCCGATCGGCAGTGCTTGAAATCAACCCCGAACGTTCTTTGGCACGGCCGACATCTTCCCGATCCCTTAGATCCTCCCTCGGAACTAGGCCCCATTCAATTAGCCACAAGCGCCACCATTCTCGCCAACAATTCATTCGGAGCTTTAAGCCTTACCATGACGATCGAGCGCCATTTCAGCGTCGCCATGTTGATGATCTGAGCACAGAGTCTCGCCTTCCCGCTTTCCACAAAGACAATATCATTGATCCCGACCTTGCTCAATACCTTTCAGATGACGCATCAAGTGGTGACGAACAGCCCAGTCTTTTGTCCGCGGTAACAGATACCAACCTGTCTAAAAGTGGCGGTGACAGTGAAAAAGCCACTTTCGGTGGACTTCTTGCGGCTATGAAAAAGGGCCGATCAGCCTTCGGAGAACGCGGTATCCCGAGCACCGCCCAACCCACTCGTGATGCGGATGATGCTAGTATAAGCAGCTCTAGAGCAGTGAATCTGCCTCGTCCCTCACGTCGTCGGAATCTAAGCGTTGCTAGCAGTGTCCACCAACGCCAGTCTCCCCGAGCTTCCAAAGACAGCATGTTCCCACAGGATACATCCGTCCCGCCTGTCCCATTCCCTGTCAAATTAAGAGAAGCTGGATTCAAGATGACTAGAAGTTCATCGATGAGGAGAACCGGGGTCCCGCCAGTGGAACTGAACAAAGCTAGCTTGGAGCACGTTCGTAAGCTCCTGCGTCAGCTTCTGATTGCGGCCTCTGTCCCGAACGAGGAGAGCTGGGAGAACGCTCTGGTGCCAATTTTACTGAAGACAGCTGATGAAGTGGACCCGGATGTGCAGCGCGGAGATGACATGGATATCCGCCATTACATCAAATTGAAGAAGATACCAGGTGGGAGACCGGGAGACACCTCTTATGTTTCAGGGCTGGTTTTCACGAAAAATCTAGCTTTGAAAAGCATGTCCCGAAGTATCCCCTGTCCAAATATCTTGATCCTCACATTTCCATTGGAGTATGCTCGTCAGCAACAACATTTCATGAGTCTTGAGCCTGTCATTCGACAGGAACGTGAATTCCTGGAAAACCTTGTCAGTCGGATTACGGCACTGAGGCCAAATCTACTACTCGTTGAGAACAACGTCTCCGGTCTAGCTCTTGATCTTCTTGAGAGAGCCCGCATCGCAACCGCCTACAACGTGAAACCTTCCGTCCTCGAAGCTGTATCAAGATGTACTCAAACCAGAATTGTGACTTCTATGGACAAGCTCTTGACGACTGAACTGCGCAGTGAATGCAGCAGCTTTGATGTCAAAACATACGTTCATTCGGGCAGGAGGAAAACATACATGTACATTTCCGGCTGTCCGAAAGAACTAGGGTGCACAATTGTCCTTCGTGGTGCCGAAGAGGATGTGTTAGCCCAAGTCAAGCAAATTACCGAGTTCATGGTTTATGTCGTGTACAATCTGCGCCTTGAGACATGCCTGATGCGCGATGAATTTGCAAAGATACCAGCATCGCCGGTGGAGCACGTCAAGGTCGCACCTCATACTGAGAAGAAGGCCGGCGCCGACAATGAAGGTGCCAATGAAAGTGACCCAGCTTTGGTAGGACTGGAATCTTCACAGACAACCGAAAAGTCGGCCGAAGATCCAGAGAACCAGAAATTGGCCGCTACTGAGACGATCGAAGTTCCCGAAAATGTTCCAATGCCAACGTACTATGACGACCTTGTCCAAGATTACCAAATGAAGATCTTGTCTACTTCTCCTTTCGTCAAATTCGAACCGCCGTACTTGCTGATGCGTACCAGAGAAATGGAACGAAGATTGGCGTATCTGAAAGGTCTCCGAGACAACGATGGATCCACGGGGGATATTTCAGATGAAAAAGTAAAGCCACAGAAATTCATACTGATCACACCTGAAATGGTCCATGAATCACCGCGTGATGCACCCTCCAAGGTCAAGGAAATTTTGCGTGCAGCGCATGATGCAGAATATGACAGAGTCTTCTACCATTACCAAACTCAGAAACGGCAGTGGGAAGCCTATGTGGCGGGCAATTCAAACATGTTTGACCCGTATTCTCATCAGAACATTGTCGTCCTTTACAGCCTTGTCTGTACGACAACGTCGGTCCCGTGTGCTGGGCCAGATGTATTTGCCCTGGAGTTTTACAATGAGCACGGAGACGACGTCATGTATGAAGAGGATTGCACGCTTGGCCATTTTGTGCAGGCACTCTGTGGATCAGCGAACCATGCTTGTGGGGTGAATGGCTGTGAGAAGCTCATGTTCGAGCATCATCGCCAATACGTCCATGGTGACGCCCAACTGAGCGTGATGCTCCAGCCTCATGCCTCCAAGCTCCGAGGACTGCAAGACGCAGTCCTGATGTGGAGTGTTTGCAAAATTTGCGGACATGAGACTCAAGCTACCTTGATGTCGGAAAGTACTTTCAAATATTCTTTCGGCAAGTATCTTGAGCTCTCGTTCTGGGGAAGAAATCTGCACGCGCGTGCCGGTGTTTGTCCGCACGATCTCCAGAGAGACCATCTCCGTTACTTTGGCTTTAAAGACGTTGCTGTGCGCATCCAATACGATAAAATTCATCTCCTCGAGATAATTGTTCCACGACCTCGAGTCACCTGGAAGGTGGATAATGATTTGAAGCTGCGAAATGAAGTCTATACACGCACAGAGCAACGACTCGGCAAGTTCATGACATCAGTTGTCGCGCGTCTGAAGGGAATCAACGTTGAGAGTGTCGTTCCCGAGCTGTTAGATGCTAGCAAAAAAGAGATAGATGACTTGATCAAGAAGGCTCATGAGGATCACGCTTTCTTGGTACGACAATTGCAAGACAAATACAACGGTTCACGCTACTGGGAGGTCATACCTTTGAATGAGGTATTCCGTGCGGTTCAGGAAAAGGTTGTCGAATGGGACACCATCTTCGCAGACTTTGAGCGAAATTTCTTCCCATCGGAGAAAGACATCAAAAGACTGGCGACTCTACAACTCAAGAAGATCTTCCTTGATAAAGATGCAACAGAGGTTACGGATGACCCCCCTACATACGCCAACTGATGTGGAGGACGGCAGTACCCCAGTGAGCAAAAAACCAAGATTCACGCGACGTATGACTCTGTCTCCTGAAAAGGCTCAGGATGTCTTGGTTTCTGTGGTTGAGGAGCATGCTGGGAAAAAGCACCGAGAAATGTCGCAGGCAGTTGATACACCTCCAGTGCTCACTCCAAGCGAGGGAATAAATTCGACCATTGGTCCCGGGGACGGCAAACAGGCTTCCCATCAGGATAAAGCTGTCTCACAAGATGAAGTTCGCCATCTCGACCTGGCTGTTTCAAGTGGTCACTCTGAAATTTCGCCACCAGGCGCAGCTTCTTCTCCGAATTTGCACCTGTCTAGCCCGGATGCGACAGAAGAACCCGCTGAAACCAAATCCAGAAACGACTGTACCGAGTTATCCACTCCCGAGGGAACGGATTGCTCTGTTCTAGCGAGTGATACAGGGAAGGACGAAACTTCTGCTGATCTACCAGCCACGCCGCCTAATAAACCTTCAGCTATCCCAAGACTCACTGAAGGGGCTTTCCGACGGTCTGGTAAAGCTCGCTCACCTCCTTTACTGCGCACTCAATCACAACCGGCCCACCTTGTCCGGGACAGATCCTTTGGAGGGAAGACAAGTCCATTGAATTTGAATGATGCTAGCAGTTCACGAGGCGAGCCTGTCAAAGCATCTGACAAGAAGTTGACCGATCGTTTGGGTTTATCCGCGCTCAAGAATGCTCGTTTCGCTTCAGGGCACTCTCTCATTCCACGTTCAACACCCAAACGGGGTAGTACACATGTCTCAACCCTTGCCAAGCATTTCGAGCAGCTAAGTCGTGAATTCGAGATGGAACGGCAGCGCGAGAGACGGCAGCGGGCTAGTGGTGCCCAATCGCGCGCTTTCCCGCTAGCATCGTCGAAACCCATCGTGGAGGTTTATCGGAACGTCCGAGAAGCCGTGGAAGAGCGTGAACCCCCGGTTGATGGAGAAGAGCACATGTCATCAGCAACGCGACACTCAATGGATGACTCCAGTCGGAGAAGCGATGAATTTATGGACCGGACAGACCAGCAGCCATCGGCAGAGCCCTTACCAGAGTCCCCAACTGAGTCCTTTGAGCCAGGAAGGATTGTACGATCCGATTCCCAGCTCATGTCAGAAGGTGAGCCTGAGGATAATGCTAGCGATGAGGATCGAAACACGGCGGAGGGACTTCACCCGGTTGATTCTCATGATGAGGTCAAGCTGCCCGATGACGACTCACTCGAATTCAAGGATCTTGCAAAGCATGAGCGCACAACACTCCTCAAAATGTTGACAAACTTCTGGTCTGAGCGATCTGCCAGTGGATGGACAGCTCTTGATTATCCCCTCACGGTCATGGACCACGTCTTCGCAGACTGTGACATTATCGTACGAGAAGATGAGCCTAGCTCCTTGATTTCCTTTGCATTGGACTCGCCCGACTATAAAGAGAAGCTTCTGAGTATTCAGCAGCGTTACGACGAAAAGGAAGAGTATCAAGAGAAACCTGACAGCGGACCGGAAGCTCTGGAAGAATCTCGAGTGGAACATGCCCTCCTGCGAGCAACTGGCACTCACCTCAAATACCAGTTTCAGGAAGGCCAGGCCAAGATGCTGTGCAAAGTATTCTATGCCGAACAATTCGATGCTCTGCGCAAAAAATGCGGTGTTGCTGATCGAATTGTGGAATCGCTTTCCCGGTGCGCCAAGTGGGATTCGAAGGGTGGCAAAACTAAATCACTGTTCCTCAAGACGTTGGACGATCGATTCATCCTCAAGTCTCTCTCTCCGATTGAGACCCAAGCCTTCCTCAAATTCGCCCCTGCATACTTCCAAATCATGTCCGAGGCGTTATTCCATGAGTTGCCGTCCGCGATCGCCAAGATGTTCGGCTTCTACCAGGTTATCATCAAGAACCCATCTACAGGAACGGAATTCAATTGGTTCCTGTTGTTGATGGAGAACCTGTTCTATGACCGCGTGCCTAATCGGATCTTCGATCTGAAAGGTTCGATGCGCAACCGCAAGGTACAAAGTACCGGTGAGCGCGACGAGGTCTTGCTCGACGAGAACATGGTCGATTTCATCTACGAAACTCCATTGTTTGCACGAGAGCATTCGAAGAAGCTGCTTGGTCAAAGTGTATGGAATGACACGCTTTTCCTGGCTCGACAAAATGTCATGGACTATTCGCTCATGATTGCCATTGACGACAAGCGCAGCGAGCTGGTGGTGGGTATAATTGACTGTATCCGCACCTATACCTGGGACAAGAAGCTTGAGTCCTGGATCAAAGATCGCGGCTTCGCTGGCAGTAGTCGCAACCGTCCTACCGTCACCAGTCCCAAGGAGTACAAGGGCCGATTCCGAGAAGCGATGGCTAGATACGTACTTCAAGCTCCAAGGTATGTTCCCTATTCCCCACTGCCCTTCTTAAGACTCAGGATGAGCGCTAACTGAGACAGCTGCTGGCACCAATTTCAACCTAGTGCAATGTACCGGCAACCCCACGGCGATCCCCAGGCCAGCCATCTCACGGAATTCGAAGCCTTTGATGGCAGTGGGGAAGCCGGTCCCCTTCTATGATTACAATGACCCACAATATGCATTTTCTTTGCGATAACGAGTAACGAGACCATGACCGAGATCTGATGTTGTTGCAGCTGTCCCAGAGGGGTTGCGGGATTGACCCTGCACATGATATAAACCGCAATCCTCCCTGGTGGCCGTTGCTTTATTTTTATCTCCCAGAGGATAATGAATACGTGAGCAGATAGATGCATTGTAACATTGCTATTTTCTGTGGAATTTATCATTTATCATTGCTCACAAGCATATGCTGATTCGATTTTTTAATACATCTGATGTTTTGGTAAATCACACTGCGCATATAGTCCGGCTTGAGAACATAGGCTATGAAGCCCTGGTGGAGGCTCTCATGAATTCTTACATTCACTTTAGAATATTGGGGAACTAGATGCCGTCCTACTTATTCGAATGTATCAAGGTGTTTCTAATCTTGTACTTTATCGATGAGCAGACTCTTCAAATTGGCCTGGGGGAAGGTTCCCGAGATCTGTTGTATGTTTTTTTCCCGCGCCTGGCAAATACAGCCTGAGTAGACCGGCGGGGCTAGGTGACCTTCGGGTCAGTGGGCTACTTGGGAAACGCATGACGGGTTAAACAAAAACAAGACGCTTCCTACACAATTTTTTTTTTCTTTTTTCCACTGCGGGAGTGCGAACTACGCAGGATTCATTCTAGTTCTTCTATCTCTATTTCTATTTCTATTCACTGATTGATATTGAATGCCATATGCTTCCAAGGACTTGGTTAACCAGCTTACTGGGGAGGGAAAGAACTACACAGCGACAGAACAGGAAGGCACGGCTCATCATGCTCAGAAGAGCACGTGCAGGTGAAATTGCAAGTGCAAGTGCAAGTGATAGTACCAATACTGAAGACTCACGCAATATGTAATACTCTCTGGGCTCATCGTAGTTCGACTCAACGGGGAAGCCTTCGAGGCATCACCTCACTTCCTCTCCTTCCCATCTCTTTCAATTTCAATTTCAACTTCATTTTGAATTTGAATTTTGAATTCTCATAAAACAAGCTTCTATGTCACCAGTCATGAGTCTCATCCAAAACAGCTATGAGGTCCTCGTCATCGGAGGAGGCCCAGCAGGACTCGCAGCCGCAACATCTCTCGCAAGAGCCTGCCGGCGCGTGGCAGTTTTCGACTCACACGAATACCGCAACGATGTAACGGACCAGATACACAATGTTCTCATTCACGACGGACAACACCCTGAGCGATTCCGAGCCCTGGCCAGACGAGAGATCGTCAATTTATTTGAGACGGTCACTTTCATCGAAACTACCATCATTCGCGCGTGGACCTTCAAGACCAGAGACTCGCGCCATGAATTCAAGGTTCGCGATCGGAATGGGACTATCCACAGGGGCAAGAAGTTGATTCTTGCTACTGGGTCCGTGGATATTCTTCCTGATATCCCCGGGTTTCAGGATCTTTGGGGGGATGTCATGTACGTTCCTTTTTCCCTTTTCTTTCAGCTCTGGAGCCTTCATCTAACTAACGCGTTATACATACATGTCCAGTGTCCATGGGATTTTCTGCGACGGATTCGAAAAGAGAGGCAAAGCAGCTGGCGTCCTCGGACTATCCTCCCTCGACGATATCGCCCCCACGCTAATGGCCTACTTCCTCTCGCAAAACGACCTAACAATATACACGAATGGCGAAGATCCCTCCAAATACCGATTCCAGGATAGCCTCGACATGGCACTGGCGCGCGGCTGCAGACTCGATTCACGCAAAATTCGACATTTCACACGCATGGAGGATGATTCAATCATGATCCAGTTCAGGCATGGGGGTGTCAGTCACCTGGGCTTTCTCATGTTTACGCCTCCTACGCGAAATCGGGCGCAGAATCTTATTTCTCGGCTTGGGATTCAGACTTCTCACCGAGACGGGTATGCTATGGCGAGGGGACCTCATGGAGAGACGAATGTTCGGGGTTGCTTTGTGGCTGGGGATACTTCGACGGTGAATAAGTCCATTGCTGTTGCTTTAAGCTCTGGTATGTGGAAGAGGAGAGAGGGACCTTTCTTTTTGAGAAGAAAGAATAAGCTAACACCGTCATCTACTAGGCACGATTGCTGGTACTGGGGCGGCGAGACAATTGGCAATTGATGAAGGGTTGGAGGCAACTAACCCGCGCTTTGCGATGGAAAACGAAGACGAAGATAACGAGGAAGGCGACGACGACGGCGAGGATGACGGCGAGGACGACTTGGACGACAACGAATACTGATCTGATTTTATTCGAAGTTAGGCGAAAATGATGGAATGACAGGCATAGTTCACCATCTTTCGGATCTCGGCAGATACGCCTTTACTTAGATTCATCTGAAGTCATGATACCATCCTATCCCATCGCCTTTCATCTCATTAACTTTAATCTGTATAGTTCACTAACTAACGTAATTCACCACCGAGTGAGCCACTGCAGAACACCAGATAAAATGCTGTTTATTACAATCTCATATCTCAACTATCAGGGCTCGTATAGATGGCAAATTTCAAGATCGCTTTCTATATGGGTAGCGTAGTACCTAAGTGGAATTTAGGGACTTTTGGGGCGAAAGTATCTGCATTGTATATATTTCTAGTTCATAGGGCTAAAATGCGACATAATTTATGTATCATACTAGTAGTTATGCGATATTTAGATTTCTTTGAAATTCATATATATTGTAGAGAAAGCGTATCCCTAGTAGTATACTTATGTTAGAATAGATTAAAGTGGTAGTTGTTGAGATATAAGATTTTTAAAAACAGCATTTAATATGGTGTTCTGCGGTGGCTCACTCGGTGGTGAATTACGTTAAATCGACAGCGCAGCCTGAAGCCTCAGGCGACAACCCGGAGACACTCGGCGAAAACCGGGAGCCGAATGGGGTTGCCGTCGGGAATTGCTTTTAGCCAGACGAGCTTTTTCCCAATCGCAGATCTAATCTTTTTCTTTTATCCTTGGGTGGGAGTTTCTTCCTCTTGACACTCTGGTATACCGCATTGAACCTGTGGCGGCGAGATCTGAACGACTGCGTTGTCTATAATGGCCGGGTCATGCAGGGAGAGGGTACCACAACGGGCAGCCGGACACATGGAGCCTCGGCCTCGGAGAGAGACATTTCGTTTTCGTCCCCGCAATTGAGGGCAGGTGGCAGGTCTTTCCGACAACCTTCTTCTGCTCTTCTCCTTCTTCTCCTTCTTCATCTGCTTCTGCCTCGTTTGTGTCGTGGAAATCATGCGCAACCCAAGAAAAGTGCCCTTGTGCATGTCTCTTTGAGAATACAGCACCAGCTGGATAGCGCAGTACACCTGCAGCAAACCATCCCGCGCATGACGTGCAGTTGAAAGACTGGGCTCACTCGCAGAATGTTGCGAATAGGACTAATCATCTTCATGAACATGGTGGACACACTAATCTCCCTAGGTCTATGTCTATTGATTTCTCTTTAGGGATATCTAGGCTAGCTAACAACGCACTTGACCTGAAGGCATTAAATTCGTTCTCATTTACATCACATGCATTAACCTTCCCCCCAAAGCAATGGTCCTGACCATGGCACAGCAACGATCTTTGGCTTCGAAGGAGCAAGAAAACAGGGAGAGAAAAAAAAAAGATAAGAAAGGTATGTAAACCCCACCCGCGCACCAGCGTGAAACAGTTTAAAAAATAAGAAAAGCAAGAAATGTTATCGGGGGCATAGATCTGTTCGCTGACTTTTTGTTGTCTTCGACGCAGAGCAGATTTACTCTTCGGCGAGACCAAGGTTCTCCTCTGCGGGGACCACACGAACGGTGTTGGTGTGGCCCATACCGCCACGCCATCCCTGGACGCAGACGATGGGGTCGCCCTTGTTAACGATGCCGAGCTTGAGGCCGTGGTTAATGGCCCACTTAAGACGGCGGTCGACATCCTCCTGCCAGATCTTAACGTTGAAGTCGGGCTTCTTCTCAGAGAAGTAGAAGGGCCAGACACCGCGGTACAGGTGAGAGTACCGGGAAGCGGTAGCGTTACGAGTGACCATGATGATAGGGCAGACAGGGCGGTACTTGGACAGAAGGCGGGCAGTTTTACCACTGCAAATTTGGTCAGTACGCAATCAAACACGTCAATACTCGACAAACAACAATGTTCGACATACCTGGTGGTCAGGACGACAATGGCGCCGGCATTCAGCTCCAGACTGGCGCTAACAGCGGCCATGGCAATGGACTCGGAGGTCTCAGTGGGGCGAGGAGCCAGGTTGCGGAGCTCATCGAAGATCTGGAAGTGGGGGATGGTGACCTCGGCCAGAAGGCAGGTCTCGTGCATCATCTTGACGGCCTCGCAAGGGTAGTTACCCTTGGCAGTCTCACCCGACAGCATGACACAGTCAGCACCGTCAAGGACGGCGTTGGCAACGTCTGAAACCTCGGCACGGGTAGGACGGGGGTTGTATGTCATGGACTCCAGCATCTGGGTGGCACAGATAACGGGCTTGCCCTTGATGTTGCACTTGGCGATCATCATCTTCTGGGCGATGAAGACCTTGGGGGGCGGGGATCTCGATACCCAGGTCACCACGGGCGACCATGACACCGTCAGTCTCCTGGAGGATCTCATCGAAGTTGTTAACACCCTGCTGGTTCTCAACCTTGGCAATGATCTGGATCTCCTTGCCCTCCTCGCCGAGGACCTCACGAATGCGAGTAATGTCGCTGCCGCGGCGGATAAATGAAGCGAAGACCATGTCAACGTTGTTCTTGACACCGAACCTCAGGTCGGCGATATCCTTCTCAGAGAGAGCGGGCAGGTCTACGTCGGTACCGGGCAGGTTGACACCCTTGCGGGAAGAGATGTTGCCGTTGTTCAAGCACTTGACGCGCAGGGTCTTATCATCCACAACCTCGATCACCTCGAACGACAGAATACCATCGTCAACATAGATGAGCTTGCCGGGGGAGATCACCTTGGTGATGTTCTTATAGTCAAGGTACCTGTTGTTGCACGCCAGTCAGAAAACGATTGTTCGTGATCGCCACCATTGCGGTCGGGCAGGCTCAGCGGTTCTGAACAACCTCCGAGGAACGGGAATGAGTTCTTACATGTTCTTATCGTCACAGGCGGCGGCGTAGGCATCGTCGGTGGTGATGTTGAGCTCGTGGCCAATCTTGATGGGGATGTCGGCATCGTCAACGGTGTTACCAGTACGGATCTCAGGGCCCTTGGTGTCAAGGGCGATGGCCAGAGGACGGCCAGTCTGGACGCGAGCAGCTTCACGGGCGTGATCGATCACAGATTGGTGGTACTGGTGGCAAGGTCAATCGGATTATCCTTGGATGGTAATCTTACTGATAAGTTACTCACCTCATAAGAGCCGTGGGAGAAGTTCATGCGAACAACGTTGAGACCCACTACAATCCAGTCAGTCCTATCCGATCAGTTTGCTACGGAGGAGCTTCGCGCCGTACCTGTGCGGAGGGCGTTGATCTTCTCGACGGAGTTGGTCTTGGGACCTGCGGAGGGAATCTGGTCAGCAAAAAGATTTTTTTTTGTCACCCCATCTTGCCTTGTGGATGGGTATATGGGCTCCTCTTTCGAGACTATCCTTGGGGGAGAGAATAAAAAGGAGTGGCCTTGGGGCAGACACATACCAATGGTGCCGATGATAGAGGTGCGGCGGAAGTTCTTGGCCGGCACCATCTCGGTGTTAAGCTTGGAGTGCCATTCCAGCTTCATGCGGTTGCTCAGGTGGTCAAGGGAAGAAGTGGCCGCCATTTTGTATTGCTAGATAAACTGTTGGATAGTTTAGGGTAGCAGAAGGGGAGGATCAATTGGACTTAAAAGAGGAGGAAGGATGGGGAGGGAAGCGAGGAGGGGGGAGAAAAGGTGGGTGAGGGGCGGGAGGGAAAATGTTGGCCGCCGACAGTCTCATCCCCGGTGGACGTGGATTCCTCCGCCCCAGCTTTTTACGGTGAATGGAGTACGGTCTACGGTGAGTCGCCTTGGCTAGCTTTGCTTTTGTCTTTGCCTTTGCCTTTGGTTTTGGTTTTCATTCCTCCCGTTTTACATTTATTACATTACATTTATGATATCATTTGTGCCTGCCCAACTCTACGGAGTACTGTGCACCCTGCTGCCCTCGCCTTGCTGTAACCCATTGGACATATCGGAACCGGCGGCAGCCCTGTCGGCTAACAATTGGGAGAGAAAAAAAAAAGGGAAAAAAAACAATCAATGTACTGTAGACCTCCGCAAGTGGAGGATCGTGCTGGCATAACCAGCGTAGATTGGGTCCCATTTATCATGGAATGTGACAAATAGCGACACCCAATTGACTGAATCTCGAACCCCTCCTCCTGGACAAAAATGGCATTTCGGTGGGCTCAACTTGGTCCAACGCCACGCCACTACCGATAACGCTAGCTATCGATACCGAGACAGGGAGCACCGTAGCGTAAGGTAGGGTAGCAGATCATTGCTGGGAGAGCAACCCCCACTTTCATTTTTATCCTCACCGCTTTAGGCAGAACAATATACTGATTCATGAGAGATATCAGGTGATATCAGGTGATCCTGATCGACCAGCCACTTTAATTACGTAACATCACAGCCACCGTCATGTGAAAGAGACCCACGTGAGGCTTAGAGTCCCCGTCCGCTGCCTGACCTGCTAACTCGACCGCTTCGTCCTCACGATCTACGATTTCTGATGCTCCTCGGTCTTCTATTCCCATTCTACCCATTCCTCAAAATGGTGCGTGTCATATACTCTCTTTCCACCGGTCCACAACCCCCAACCATCTCGACAGCCCGAACTAACCTCAACCATGTCCAAACAGTTCGGCCGTATCACTCACTACGCATTTGATGCGGTACTCTGTAAGTCCTCCTTTCTCGACCCCACTCAAATTCAGAAACGCGTCAATACTGACTGTGAACCTCGCAGTCTCCGCCTTCCTGGCTGGTGTCAAGCGCTCTACAGGTCTCACGTAAATACCACCCCACTCTATCCTCCGACCTCGGTTCCTTCCTCTTTATACCATACGCCCCCCTCTCGGGCACCGAACAAGCAGGCTAACTCGGTTGACCTCGCCGCACCTCCCTTTTGAGGGTTGTGTGTGTGCGGGGACGTTTGATAGCCCCAGTCTCGACTCTGATAAGATCTCCGACAGCAAAGACGTCAAGAAGTGGATCGACAGCTACCTCGGTGTTGGGGAGTGGGTTATGGATCAATCGGTGGTGGTGATGGGTTCATCAGGCTGGTTCGAGCGGAGACGGTGATTCTGATTTGACCATGTAAATTGGCAAGCGACGACAATTTCTTCGATCCAACTCTTCTCGACTTGACATCCGGCCCATTGTGGTGACTGTACGACTTCTTCGACGGCATTTGTGCATATCATATGCATGGCATGTCCTATGCATATTCTCTTCACGCTTGAAAGTGGACTTGCAATGAGGCCATGGCTGGATTCACGAGTGACGAACAACTCTTCTCTTCTCGCGCTGTGCTGTGCTGTGCTGCACTCCAGCCTCTACTTTTGACATCCTGTTCAGAGCTACGGCGTCTTTGGCTTCCTTCCTTCCTTCCTTTCGATACCTTTTGTACCTGTATCTATTCTATCTGCGCCTCGTGGAATCCATTGCATCTTACCTCACATTCAGACAGGGTTCAATTCAATCAGTAGTCTACACCACTTTTAAGAAGCTATCTATCACATAGTATGTGAGCTCTATGGGGTGGATCGGCTTCTGCCTATGTGGAGCCCGTTATTATTCCAATGATTGGTGCAGGAAGAGGCAAAAAATTAATCGACAATCCTATTAGACTTTGCAATGGTTGCCTATGGAAGTGCAAGCAAACAGAAGGGGTATGTAAACAGGAGAGACACAGGATGACATGGTGGTATCCACAAAAGAAACACGCGATTTATGTTTTCAGGAGGGTGTCAATATCCACGCGGCGGTAATAAGAGATGTGGCCCATCTCCTGCCAATAATGGGCAATGTACTCCGTAGACACAAGAATGAGCTGAGATGATATGTAGGTGTCTGCGAGCGATGATTTTATTAGCTGGTCATTTTTACATGCTAGTCTGGTCGGGGAAATGATAACTTACCATCATGGAAGCCAAGGCCAGCGACGTGTCCCTGGGCCCGTACAATGCGAGCACCCTTGAAGGGCTCCTCGTTTCCTACTTTGATGAGACCCTTTGGTCCAATATCGCTCGAGAGAAATGTGGTTTCTCCTCGGGGCACATTGGGGTCTCCCGTCAATTTGAGGGCATGCAAACTTCCGCTCGGGACTTCGTCCGTATTATCCTCAACCTCCTCATCTTCCGGTGGGTCACCCTGAATTATAAGAAGAAATTCACACCCGTGAGCTGAATAGTCCCCGACCCAAATACCTTGATAGGGCTTTGCTTTAGTTGGTGTGTACAAAGTCGGATCGAGCGTGGAATACGTAATCATAGCTGAGTTGTGGCCCGGCGATACCATCAATCGAAAGTTTGTCCATCGACGAATGCGAAATGCTTCTTGGGATGCTTCAGACCAATGCCCAGGATCTGTTACATCCACGTCTTCAGTCGATCTGACTACACGACTTTTGCTGGGAATAGTCGGTGGTGGCCAAAGGTGATCAGACTCTTGGACATCGGTATCCTGATTGGAGCACAGAATAAGCGAATTAAACAGATGATTGGCCTCAGCAGGCATGTGCATCTTGCGCTCTGCCATCCAAGTTTGGCATTCAGATGTCGGCTCTGAAGGCTCCATATCCTTGAGGAGTAGCACGGGGTCATCTAACCACAGGCTGACAGTGGGGTGGAATGACTGGATCATCACATCTGGGTGTGCTTCCCAAACCTGGAATTCAGGGGAGCCTCGATCCGCAATTAAACGGTATGCCTCGATCACGCCCCGTCGGTTATCGTAGCGGGCTAGAATCAAATTTCCAGTGTGTTCGTTGTCTGCGAACCAGATTTTGTTCTGAGGTATGAACCAGTAGGGCAGATGGGCGAGGTACAATCGGCGAAATGTGTCAAAGGGGCCCGAATCGTGGATCGGAAATGGAAGATGGGAGTTGAGTAGTCGGTTCCACAAAAGGTCGTTGGAGGCATGTTCGCCGAGGGCACGGCACGTAGCGGACACGCGGGCAAGATCGTGCGGGGAAAGGAATGAAAGGATCGAATGAAGGATCTCGGCGGGTAGTTTATCGATTATTGATGATGCATGAGTAGTATGGGTCCACTGTTGGTCATGGAGAATATCGTCGATGTACTTTCGGCGTTTCAGAAGCGCAGAAGCCTGTCCAACCAGTCAGTTCAAATGCCCCTCACCGGCCGGTAGACGAGATCGCCTTGCCATACACGATTCTAGCTTTCGGTGGGACATACCTCGTTCGAAGACACCACGTCTGCCATGATTCCCGTCAACCTCCCAGTGTTGGTCTTGAAGAGAGGAGGAAGTGTGTGGGTATTGATGCTAGCTCGAACCCCTTCGGCGACGCAGATGACATCACATGAGAGCAAGCGGGTGAAGGAGCATTTGGTGATGTGGGGGAGGGGGTTGCAACAAAGAGTAAACTAAAGAGGAAGCTCCGCCCTAGACGGATTCCAACTAGACGGGCTCTAATGCCGGGGCAAAGTGTGTGCGTTGGAGAGGAGGGGACCAGGGAGGCACACCTGGATGTCAAAGGTGAGTGGTTGGCCAAGCTGATAAGATAATGAGACCCCAAATGAAAATGGAGCCAATTCCGCAAATGAAAACAGGGCGTGGGGTGAACCTGAAATTCGACAGCGGCTGGCTGGGACGGATTTCAAGGACGACGATCTTCGGGACCAAACTGGGAGAAGTTGGTTCCCCGCGAGTGGCGATGGAGATCCTTCGGCCCGGCTGCGGTTAAGCTTCCAATCCCCATCACGTTGAGAAAAGTATGTACATATGGGTATGGATCACTGCGAGGGTTGTACCATTAAATGTTTGGCATTTCAGTGTGTAGGACAAGCCTTTGAGGTCTCAGTGGAATCGATAGTAGTACTGGATTATTCATGGTTTTTTTTTTTTTTTAACAAAGTTGGGTATGCCAAGTGATGAATATTAACGATCCATGGATGTATAAATAGTATTCAAGTTTTGAGGTTAACTGACCGCGACCAGCCAATCTCACAGAAAGAGTAACCCTTAATTTACACCTGGGCACCTGATTATTAGAAGCTCAATAATTTACATCGACGATGCTATGGTCTAACAGCGCTGGGCAAACATGAATATTATGATGTTTACCGGCATTGGGGATCACGTGACCCACCATTCCTAAAACGGTAGGTTGTTTACCATCCGGAGTAGGTAAGCACATATCAGCCCAGACACGCGCAGGCGCGACTTTGCTGCCTGTATCTGTGCCTGCCTAGTATGCCTCTGCCAGGAAAAGCGCCACTGGCCCCACCTGCGCGTCTGAATGTTTGTTTATGTTGTGATGTATACAATTCCTTCTCTTTTATAAGCGTGGTGCATTAAATCCCTTTCTCTCTGATTTGTTGTTGTCCTGCTACATTGCATTTCTATTCGGCCCAACTCTTTGATATTCTAAACAACTACTTTGTTGTACTACCCAGTCCTCTATATTCTATTCCCTTTTCTTTGATATTGCTTCGCTCTTCAATCACGACGCAAATATGGAGACGCGATCATCCTGCCGAAAGCGCAGGAATAGTGCCATATCAATCTTAGCCAGCGAGCCTCCTGTTTCCCATCGGACGAGACAAGCTGCAGCTGCAGCAACAGAATTTGTCGAATCCAAGCAGCAAGAGACAAGTACGCCTCGGAAGTCTAGGAAGCGAGTACGTTTTTCGGACCCCGGTCCTTTGCTGCATGACACTACGGTAGGCTCCACCGGCTTGACTCCGGCAATGAAACGCACCTCATTTGAGCCTTCCAGCAAGTTTTCTCGGCGTGGAAATCAGACCCCGAGCCGCAGTGCACGCCGGAGATCGGCACCATTGCCTCGTTTCCAATGGGCTTTTGACCCAGTCGAAGAACATGACGAATTCTCTTCAGAACGAGTCTACCAGTTCACTCCTCTACGCCAGATCTTGGATTGCCGTACACAACGGAGAATCCGCCGGATTGGATTGAGTGATGAGATTACTCAGATCGAGCGAGAGAAACGTGAGAGCCGCAATTTTGAGAAGACGCTATACACACTCCGCCAGGAGCGAGACGACTTGCAACGTGAACTGGATTCTATGAAACAAAGCGATGATGTTGATAGTCGTCTGCCATCCTACGAATCATTTTGGATGTCGTCACAGGCTGGCGTTCATCAAACTGAGCCCCAGCGAGCGATCTCTCACGAGGGAATCTCTGTGGCTTCCGACAGGGACCAGAACGAGACGTTCCAAATTGCCGATGGAGATACCTTCACGCTCAATGACAGTGCCATAATTGTCTCTAATTCGCCAGACTTTCGTGCTATGCGTGAATACAACACGCCAGTGCCGGAAAGTCTGATGTATGACGAGGAATCAACTATAGCAAACGTCGCGACCCAGACATCATTTGCTGATAACCACGCAAATTCGGATATGTACAACTTGACCCTGGACTTGGAGATGGCTCGATCGGAAAAAGAGAAACTGTTCAATAGATGTCGCTCACAAATATCCGCTTTCGAGGACGCTAGTGTGGGCGATATCCTTCGCTTACCTTCACCCCCTCAAGACTTCTTCGATAATATTGTCAGCACCTTGACAACTGCTCTGTCCCGTGCCGCTGAAGCCACGGAGGCCCTTAAAGGTATCAACGAAGAATGCTCTAGTCTAGGCTTCTCTGGCGCCAGTGCGGAAGAAGTGGTCTCTGACATAAAAAGCCACTTCCATTCGGCACGCCTGGAGCTCGAGCGGGCTATCCCGGGTGAGACCGCTGGTGTCAGCCTAGCGAACGGGAAAGCAACACTAGGTGCCTTAGTACAGCGAGTGCGGTCATTGGCAAAAGACCTTCAGGCGGAACGAAAACACCACCATGGCTCGCTTGGCCGAGAAAAGGCGCTCCGAGGACAGTTCGACAACCTTTTGTATCGGTATGAAGCGACAGCAAACAAAATCGGCAACCTCGAAGATTCTATCGCGTCCTCTGCCGGCGACATGTTACATACCAGAATGCGACTTCAGGACCTCGAAAACGAAGACCAGGAAAAAACCATCGGGATTGACAGATTAAACACCGCCCTGGATAAATATCACGAGGATATGAAGAGTCTTGAAAACTTGGTCAGCAGGCTGGAAGATGAAAACGTCGCCGTAAAGGCGAAGTACAAACAGCAGATTGCGAAACTTAAGCAACAAGTCGCTAGTGAGCGGCAACAGCGCTCTGAAACCGAAAGCTCTGCTTCCGAGTATGAGACGCGAATCCGGCTACTCGAAGAAACCGTGGAGCAGAATCGGATCAAAGCATGTGATCTGATGGCGCAGGTGGAATGCCTTGAGAAAGAACAACGCGTTGCCTCCAATGCTCTTGGCAAAACGGCCTCGGAGGAACTGCAACAACACGAGCAAGAAACGGGGACCCTCAATGTTCGTATCTCTGAGCTTAATACATCACTTGATGAAGCAAAGTGCGAAGCAGATCGTCTGCGTCAGGTCAATATCGGCCTGGAGGAACAGCTACGGATCGAAACTGAGGCTCGTGACGAAATGCTCGATAAATGGGCTGCTGAGCAAGCGCGATCATTTGCTTTCATGAAAGAGAGCGTGGGGTTGGAGCGACGGCGAGCAAAGGCTCGTGCCGCTAATTGGGAGCTCAAATCCGACGATCTTATGTCTGATGGAACTACTGTTATGGGTAGTGAACCTATTACGCCTGTCAGCATGACTCGTTTCGTTGATGTCGAGTACGGACGTGGCAAGAACCGCAAGCGTATCGACAGCGGTGTTAGAATTCTCACGAAGGAGGATCTTTTGAGTGAGGATGTCCCTGATCTGCGAACTGAGCTGGACTCAGATCCTGATTTGCCCACTATGGATTTGATCGATGTGTAGATGGCGTACCCCAATTCACTCTTTTCTAATTCTTTTTTTTGTCGTGATCTGGATTCTATCCGTTGGTCAATCTTTCTTGTCTAAGATTTCTTTTCAATAGTTTTTGCAAATACGGAATTAAAGCTAATCAGCTAATTGCACATCTTTTATTTTTGATTCTCCTTGCTGCCCTGCTTGACCGGCGGGGTTCCCGTAACCGGATTGGATGGCGCTTTGAGACTGAAGGGGGCGCGTCGCCCTCGGACGAACATGATACTAATGCTGCATATGGTATAATATAAACCCCCTGGAAGGTGAAGATGCCAAATCTCGTCCAGTGCGGGGCTGAGAGCCTCGTCGGGCTCACCCGCCTGCAAGATACTCGTACGAGATGCGCTCGCACGTCGCAAAGTGGGGACATCAACACGGATTGAAACGCAGATCTCAGCGAGAATGCAACATTGTTACAACTCCCTCGGATTGCAGTCAATGTTCAAGCAGCCCCATGAACTTGACATATATCTCTTAAGGAATGGTCATCCTAAGTTTGCTCTGTTGCAGCCTCAAAATATTATTCCAAGATGCGATTTCAAGCTGCGGCCACCATCGGCCTCATCACCTCATTCCTCTCATTCGCAGCAGCCGCAGACCGTGTTTTGAGAGGCGGTTCGCCAGAGTCTGTCGGTCTTCTGCCGGAGCCACTTGCACAAATGCAGATGAATCTGAGCCAATATACTCGCCCAGCAAACTATGGATCCCACTCGTACGATGAAGTACATCCCATTTTACCGGGAGGCTCTGTTATCGTCGGCCACAAGGCAGCCGTCGTGAGCTCATTCGCCTTCGGCAATGCCAGTTTATATGCTGATGCAAATGGCACGCTTCTTCCACCGGACGCGTGGGTCTCGACAAGAATGGACACGATTTATGACATGGCTAGCTTAACGAAGGTATTTACGGCTATCACAGCATTACGAGTCATCGATGACGGGAAATTGGATCTACACAAACCAGTCGCGTCCTATATTCCCGAGTTCGCAACAAATGGGAAAGGAAATGTCACCGTCCTGATGCTGCTCACTCATACCAGCGGGTTCCCTCCTGATCCCGAACCAGGGCTATACGACCCGAGCTATGAGAATATGCAGCAGCGCGTCGAAGCAATCATTCAACATAAGCTGGTCAATCCTCCTGGGTCAACCTATACGTACTCGGACCTCAATTTTATGAACCTGCGCTTCATGTTAGAGAAAGTCACCGGAACGCCATTTGAAGATCTTGTGCATTCTTGGACTCGAAATTTGGGAATGACTAGTACCTTCTTCAATAAGGGTAATATCAGAGCTGAGTCATTGGGATTTTATTCACGCATGGCACCGACCGAGTACCAAATTGAAGTCCTCGGCTCCTCTGAGCCTAAACGTCCCCAACCGGTGCGGGGCACTGTACACGACGAGAATGCCTGGGCTTTGAATGGAGTGAGTGGACATGCGGGTCTTTTTGCTTCCGCGGGCGATGTGGCCATTTTGTGTCAGATGGTCTTAAATAACGGGACATATAACGGTAGGAGAATCTTGACTTCGAAAAGCGTTGACTTGATGTTCACCAACTTCAACGGGAAGTTTCCCGGCGATGAACATGGCGTTGGGTTTGAATTGAACCAGTCTTACTTCTCTGGGCCTATGGCTAATATCCAGGCCGGTGGCCATACTGGGTTTACAGGGACATCACTTGTGGTTGATAGGGCCTCCGATACATTCATGGTTCTTCTGGCTCATGCTGTGCACCCGAATCGGACTTGGTCTAGTAATAATATCGTTCGGCAGGCACTAGGTTACTGGGTGGCTCGGTCGCTTGGTCGGGATGTTGCTTTCCCGCTCTGATCTATACTACGTACCAGTAGCAAAGCAAACATTTGTGAAATATGATTAAATTTAACATTGTTTAAAACGCAAAAGGCCTTTCAGACCATGACATGAATTGGTATCTCTAAAAACAAATGCAATCCCGCAGTCTCCATATAACGAAATTTAAATAGCCGAATGAAGATCGGCCCCAGAAGCAAGTTGCGCAGTGGCGGGGGTCTGAGACTGTCTAGTTTCAAAGGAAGCCCGAGGAGACGAGAAGGGAGCAGTCTTGTGGCCTGGACCACGAGTCTTGGGTTCGTGGCCAGGGCGAGCAAAGAGAGCCCCGACAAGACTCAACAGATTACCCGTCCGCAAAGCCATTTGATAGCCCAAAGTCAAGGAAGTCACCACCAGTTCCTCCTGCAATTCCTGGTTCTGCTCCGCCAGACCCATAAACTCGATCCGGGCAATCTTCTTTAGACCCCAAATGTTCATTGTGAGCTTGGCCACGGGTAGTTGCTGCTCATCGCAGCAGACGAAGTCCCATGTGGTGAAATTGCTATCGCTGGACCAGGTCAGGGTGACCGGCGCGTCAATAGTAGATGCGGCAGTGGAGCGATGGGCATAGGAAGTCTTCAGACGACTCTGCGCAACGATTTGGTCTTTGCGTCCGTGGACTTCGTAGTCGGCATCGATGCTGATTACGTTCAAATCGCCGAGGCCGAATACCTCGCCAGTGGAATAGCGCTTGAACTTGAGACGCTTCTTGGCGAGTTGGTACTCGAGGATGTATAGAGGCTCTGCTTTGGGACTATTCTCGTCGGAAAGGAGCGATTTGAATTTCCGCCAGCCAAAGTCAACGCTGAGTCGAGGTGGTACCGATGAGCTTTGAGGACCTCGAGACTCGGCCGTAGTAGTATCAGGTTGTGCGCGGCGGGTGAGTTCGATGGAAGGCTCCATGGTGAAGAAAATGGATATCTTTGGGTATGAATTGGACAGATCAAAAGATAAAATTCAAGCAATTCACCTCCTGAACTGGCCCCCAGGCTCCTTTATACGAGTTGCGGTGCCGTATTGATAGATTCGGCCCACATTCCTTTTTTTTTTGGTTCGGGGCGGCCCTCACGCCCAGCACGCCCAGCATCCCGCCTCTGGGAGAGAGGGGCGCAGTTGGACGATTTAGGAGGTTCTGAGCGCAACAGCCAATAGAAATGGAAATAGAAATGGTGATCGGGCGGTCTCCGTGCTGGTACGTGATGTCATATGGCCCCCAACTTTGGCCCCCAAACTCAACCGCGATAAATCAAATCGGTGGGTGTATTATGGAGATGTTTCGGGTTTAACAGTTCTTCATAGTTTAGACTATGTAGTTTAAAGCGGCTTAGACTGTGGTTCCGAATGGTCTGAGAGAGGTTCTACGCGCTACTCTCACCAACCATGGTACGGTAGAGGAGAGAGAGAAAGAGAGTTCAAGTTGGACTCGATGTGAGCAGCCACGATCTGCAGTCCCCCACGGATGATGCTGTCACGACGTCAAATTATATAACAGGTACTACTAGTATGTAGAAAGGCCCCAGCACGATCCCGGTCTTACCAACTTGAACCTCCCATTCCCTACAACTACTACAACACAACACAGCTACCCGATCAGCTACCCGATAATATTTACCTCGAGAGCCATGCCCAGCCAAACCGAGCCCCCCCAAATACCGCCTGAGAGTGACGGCGGGTCCGGACTATGACCGATCAACACATCAACAGGTTGCGGTCAACGATAAGACGCTACATTTCGACGGCGACCGAGCAGCAGTGGACGTGGGCGTCCATATCCAGAACTTCTCCGGTACACACACACACACTCTCTCTCTCACACACACACACATCGATCCAGACCAGAGACGAAGTAGGTACTAACAACGGAGACAGGATACCCTGAGAATTCCCCGGAGACCAGCCCGTATTTCTCACAACCACTACACGCCCATGATCAGTACTCAATATCTTGCTCGTTCACTCCGAAACAGAATATCAATGGCAACGACCTAGTCTTCGGGAATGACTTCGACCATCCTATCCGCGATCGCCTACCAATGGGCTTCAACGCCGCATTGAAGACGGTCAAATGGGCGATCGACCCGTCTATCGACGGTGACGCCTATGCCGACAAACCATATCTCTACAGCCCCGCCCTGGCAACGTGGAACCAATTCCGCATCGGCGGAAAGAGTAATGCGGCTACTCCCAAATTAACGACCGAATATGTTGTGGAGGAGGGCGCTGATGGAGATGGCGTGGAGAGTCGCGCTTCAATCAACATCTCCGGCGATACGGCAAAGGCTCGTCGAAGCCATTTTCAAAATGAGAAGCACCGCAAGGCATTTGATTTCGAAGCTGGTAGGACATACTTGGCTGATTTTGGCAACGGGTACCTCTCTTTCAGCGGTAAGCGATTGTCGACTTCTCTCAAATTGCTAGTACTATCTTAGCTATCAAGGGAGTTTGGCTAATCTCATTTTCTGGCAGATATGTCGATTCATCTTCCAGGATTCACCATTCCCGTGATCAGTATGGTCGATGATACAATGAATGAATTGCGCTATGTTCTCAAGAATGTGAAAACCGGTGAGGTGTATCTGGCTGTCCTTTTCACTGTTGTCTGGGACCAACTTGAACGTGAAAATGCGCAAAACGGCGAGCAGACTGGAGAGCAGACTGGAGATCAAGACGTGGACTAGCCTCCCAGAATACACCCCAGAATTCACTAGTAGTATATTACTAGTGCCACTACGTCTACTAGAGGTGCTCACTAATCAAATACTCGAATGGCTTTTATTCAAACACCTATGGAACACCGGCTCGTCCCAAATCTATATACAATCTCATTTCTTACAGGCGCTTCAGGACATCGTCCAGAACCTCAGTGGTAGAGGCCTTGCCACCCATGTCGGGGGACAGGAACTTGCCCGCGTCGAGGTTACCGTCGACGGCAGCGTAAATCTTAGCAGCGGCGGCCTCCTCGCCGAGGAACTCCAGCATCAGAGCAACGGAGCGCAGGGTAGCGATGGGGTTGGCAATGTTCTGGCCCTCGATGTCGGGGGCACTACCGTGGCAGGGCTCACCAATAGCGAAGTTATCGCCAACGTTGGCGCTAGGAACCAGACCCAGAGAGCCGACCAGAGCAGCGGCACCGTCGGACAGAATGTCACCGTACAGGTTGGGGGCGACGATCACGTCGTAGTACTCGGGCTGACGGAAGAGCTTGTAGACCATGGAGTCGACGATCTGCTCCTCGACCAGAACGGAGGAGAACTTGTCGGCGGCCAGGGCCTTGCGGGCAGTCTCACGGAACAGACCGTCGGTCTGGGACAGGACGTTCGACTTGTGGGTGATGGTAACCATGGGCTGGTCGCGAATGGAGGTGGGGGCGGCGGAGCGGATCTTCTGGCGGCGCAGAGCGATTTCACCAGCAATGGTGGAGATGCGCGAGGAGGCACGCTCGGAGATGCGCTTGATGGCCTCGGCAACCTTGCCGTCGGGGCCCTCGTAGGTCTTCTCCTCCTTCACGTACAAGTCCTCGGTGTTCTCACGGACGATGACAAGGTCAATGGGGTTACCGTTGCTGCTGCCGATGGTAGTCTTGACGGGGCGGACGTTGGCGTACAGGTCGAGCTTCTTGCGAAGGGCGACGATGGGGGAGGAGTAGCCGGCAACCTTGCTGGAGGGGGAGCTGGAGGCGAATAGTGTTGGTGACTTTCTCATTGGATCTGGACTGGCAGTACAGAAGTTGAGTGCTTACCTGACGGCACCGAACAGAGCACCATCGCACTCCTTCTTCAGGGTCTCGACGGTCTTGTCCGGGAGAGCGGTACCGGTCTTCTTGAAGGTGTCATAACCAGCCTCCAGGTCAACGAAGTTGAATTTGAGGTTCAGGGACGAAGGGAGGGATTCAAGAATCCGACGGCCGGCCTGTATTTTGTCAATTGATTGCTCAGGGAGGACGATAACTCGGGTTTGTCTAGTTGCATACCGGGATGACCTCCCGTCCGATACCGTCACCGGGGATGAGACCTATAAGGGGGTGATGAGCATGCGTCCGCGGCAGATTGAATACAAGGACAGCAATTTCACTTACCAATGCGAAGAGTCCGAGCAGCAGCCATGGTGAATTGTTATGGGAATGCTTCCTGTCTTCGAGGACTCGCCGTCATCGGAGCTTTTTCGTTTTATGCCCGGCTCCGGGTGATCATTGATCCGGGTATACTTGTCTCCGGTTTTCGCCAGGGCAAAATGTACAAGATAATAGTAAAGGTAGGAGGTAGAATGGAATTGAGTAAAGCAGGGTTGTCCTTCTGGAACGCAGTACCGTTGTCTAGGACTATATTAGCGATTTAAGCCGCGAAACATTCACCCCGACGCAGCCTTGTAGAAAATCTGCCACAGGGTAAGCGAATCAGCAAGCATTGCCTAATTGGGACTGTTCTCGCGAGCATGGACTGTGTGGCTGACCCATGCTCAGGCCCCTTTAGAGCCCCTCTAGGGCCCCTCTTTGGCACCGGAATTGTAGGTTCCATCCTTCTTTTCACTATTTCTTTGTTCCACGCTACCTCAGCGATTTTTCAGCTGCAGAAAATTAAGTTTGAGAGCTGTTGAATATCCACGCTAAACCCAAAGTGGTCACTAACCGCGATGTACTCCAGACTGTAGAGATCTATACACTCGCGAAATGTGACCAACTATTATCAGCAGTTGAATATTTAAAGATGTGGCAGCCCAAGATTAATCTTCTAGTACACTCTTCACCCTTGCTGCTCATCCTTGAATCGCCTCTTTATCTACTCTGCAACTTTAAACTGTTTCGGATGCAACACCCCATCACCATGGTAGTGGACCACCTCTCATCCCGGGCGGAAAATGGATCCATCTCGACGGCCAGACGAAATATCGCAATTGCTGAACTTGTCATTTTCTCCGCCATTCACTTGATCCAAATCCCAATTCGCTTTGCACAAGAATGGCGATACTGGCACAATCGGAAAAAAAGGCATATCGCACGCTGCTTCATTTACTCTTGGTTCAGTATGATTGGAATTTTATCGCAACGTGAGTGGAAATTTTCCTGAGTAGGCTCGAATTATCGAAAGCTAAAAGAAAACCCGCTTTACAACAGTTCGCATTGCTAGCTCTGCGATGATAATTTCTAAAAGTAACCCCGATAAATCGATGCTCATTGCCGAGGCTTGCTTGCAAAGCGTGGGCCTTTCACCTCTTTTGTTTGAGGTTAGCCTGGTTCTTTTGCGAAGGTATGTATATCGTTCTCAATCTTCGATGACGAGAGGTTCTGCTGCTCGTTCTTGGATTTGCAAGACTAATGTGCGCCTTCCTGCAGTGGCCAAGCAGGAGAATACGGGAGGGGAAACTCGAAATGGTCCCTGCCCATTCGCATCGCACTTCATGGTTTCCGATTTCCAATATTTATCGCCATTGTGCTTGCGGTTGTCGGTGGAATTATCAACATCCGACCCTACGGAGAGGCTGGTTCGGTGGTGCTGGTCGTCACATTTGTGTTCGTCTGTGGCTTGGTCGGATGGCTGTCGTTTAAATGTCGATCTATTCTTCCTGCAACGGGCCGCCGAGGCGTCATGTTAACGATGTTAACTCTTCCTTTCTTGTTGGTGCGAGTCATTTATTTCCTTTTACAGGAGTATGGGCCACCAGCATTCAACCCGGCTTCCGGGAGCGTGGGGGTTCTTGCTTGCATGGGATTATTGATGGAACTCATCATCATTGGAATTTTCTTTCTGGCACGCACAGTGATAGAGCCGCTTTCGGGACCGAGCGAAAACAAGAGGCACATCACAACAAACGACGCAGAGTGGACTGAAAACTGAAGAGGCCAGGGAAGGCCTCTGCTCGGAAGGCAAATATCTTGATGTTCTGGATCTCTTGAAAATTTGAATGAATCATAGTAATTTCGTCGTATGATTTTCGGGCTTTGCTGCAGCGTAGGTCTTTGAAAGCTCGCCTAGGCGAGCTAGAAGCCACGTCCTCGTTGCAGGATCGGCAACTTCCATAGCCACTCGTAGTGGAAACCCCATTCTATAAGGGCCGAGAAGTCCAGCACTGCAATACTCGACCGATCGGCAAATTTGATCCCGATAGTAGATCACCATGGCTTCGTGGGGGCCTGGATAGGAGAAAGTTTTCAGAGTCTCGTGGACGATCACCATGCAAGAGTAATACCCGCAGTATATAGTGGCGTAGATCATGTCGGAGTAAGTTAAGATGACGGGGAACAAGGGATCATTTCTCCCAGACAAAGCCTCGGTGGGAGGGGGAGCGAATTTAATGTATTGCTCGTACCAGACATCGATTCTGCTTTGTAGTATCAGGGTTTCTTCTAGAGCAGCTGAAATGACCTGTAGGGCTTGTGGGGTTGACACGTCCATCTCTTTCAAGTGGTAGAGCTTATGGACAATGCTGGGGGTATATGTGAAGAAGGCAAAAAACTCCTCAACGATGTCGTGTAGATGTGTTGGTAAGCCTGGCGTATATTGCTGTCGCATCATCTGATGCCAATCTTCCGAGGCTAAGAAGCATTCTTCCCCGGAGAACATTGCGTGCATGACCTGGGCCATGGTTAGAACTTGGAACTCGGGCTTTAAGAGAATGTGTTGAGGGGCAATGATCGAGAATAACTTACGACCAGCCCTCGAGAATTCTTTAGTAAAGTGATATCAATTTCGTTTCGATAACGATCGGGACCTCTGGCCTTGATCAATTGCCCGAGACCTTTCGCATGTTGCATCCAAGACTCCGGGTTCTCAGTGTCGGTGAAAAGCTGTCTATGAATCAGGTTTTGGATATAACAAAGCGAAAGAATGCTCCCATAATCTTACCTCGTAGGTACAAAGTAGTACTACCGCACAAAATATGTGGGTTGAAAGACATTCGGAAGGATTTGTCAGGGCTTTGCGTAATCGAGACAATGCCTCCCCGTAGGAATAGCGAGCGTAGACAATCATTTCTTTATTCTGGAGGGATTTTCCAAAATGGTGTGCAACAAAGGATTTGATGGTAGCATCCAATGTCTGGTTATATCCATAGACAGATGGCAGGAGACTAAACCAATGGGAAACACGATTGTTCTGAGTAGCCGGGGCCGGCAGGGCGAAGTCGTCAATGAGAGTATTGATACTCTGCAATATGTTTAGATCTGCAGAGACCAAATTCGAAGGCCCTTCTTTTGAAAAGAGGATGAGTCCAGAATCCGAGGAATCACTCCCGAGGTTGGGTGATGATGAGGATGTATTGGAGGATGCGGAGCTGGACTGTTGCCGCCCAGAAGTAGCCTCATCATGCAGGGCCGGCTGTTTCCGCTTACTCCGATAGGGCTTTCCTGCTATGAACTTGAACCCTTTATCGTATCCAGGGCAAGGTTGGCCATATGTCTCACACTTGGCACATCCAGGTAGTCTTTCATCACACTGCCTGTGGCGTTAGTACAGGTGAGATCATTGAACTCACTTCCCACGGCGCATACCTTGACCCTGCGCTTTACACAGCGGCGGCAGCCACTGCTACGAGGCACTCCGACCATTTTCCAGCATATCGGATTATTAGTTGGGGAATTGATGGGATCCTAAAGATGCTCGTATTCCCACGCCGCAGCACAGGCGAAATGCTGACTAACATGGCGGGGCCTTGTTAAACCGCTCCGACAGTCTGTCTGAGCCCTACAAACAAACACAACACATTCATAACAGCCATGGTATTTTTGCTACATTCGATGTATATGGAAGAGATCATGAGATTTGAATTCCCAGCAGTGCTTTCCGAGTCAGATTCTGATGAGTAATTCTCAAATTCCTCATGGTTTGGACTGTTGACAAGGGTAAGCACTTAGCTGGCCCAAGCTCGGACCAGACCGAGGTCCTACAGATCAGAGGGGTAAGACACGGAGCTGAAATCTGGGGGTTTGATGTGTGTATGAGATGCATCGGGTGAGATAGCGCGACGCTGGTTGCTGCAGGCCATTCCACACGCGACTGATCGCCAATGGACCATGGACCACGGATTCCTGCGATCGGAGTGTGGCGCAGATCGATTTGCTGGGCCCAAGGGATATCATTTACATGTCAGATGTACCATGGTAGTTACCATATGACCTTTGATCGTTTGATGTATACACTGTCCTATGTACTATGTACTCTGCCGTCACACAAAGGAACATCTATTCCTTTTACTCCATAAACGAGATGACTAGGATGGCATTCAGGGGGCGTATTTTCGGGTATGAAATCATTGGCAATCCACTTTGTCACAGACAGATGGAAACTGGCCACTGCCCCTGAACCCGGAAGGCCAATGCTACTCGTAGAAGTGCAACTCCATAAGGTAAGGTAAGGCGCCGGCAGCCCCGTTGGCCACGCTAATCATTCACTAGTGGGCTTAGTTTCCCTGATCGGCCCTTCTTCACCCCCCTTCGACGTTTCTCAACACCGTGTTCACTCTCTTCAAACAAACGTTCTGTACAGCAATCTGTTTGTATAGCTTCGTTCTACCTCCGTCGCGCCCTCGGTGCGCTCAACGCGTTTTGACCTCTTCTTCCCACCACAATTGCGCCTGCCGGCCACCTTCCCCTGACCGCTTCGCCTGATCAACAATGTCCGACAACAACGCCCACCCTGGGGTCCGCAGCCTGCTGGCCAAATTCGAAACTGGCGACAGCCCTATCACCTCGCCTCCGTCGCGTGGAAGAACACCTGTGCCTTCTGATACTCCGGGATCCTCTGCACCAGGGTCCTCTGCAACGCGTCCACTTTCTCGCGTCCGCGCCAGCTTCGTGACCGTCGAGGGGGCCATCCAGTCAAACCCGGGTTCGCCATTGCGAAAGACTAGTGGACGAAGTGACAGCCCCGGAATCTTCGGGCCGAAGATCAACCAGGAAGAGGTGGAGGCACGTCGACAGAACGTGATCTCCCCAACACCCGACGGGAATAATAACAACGGCCAGGTCAGCATCATGGACCGAACTGTCAATGGAATCCAAGAAGGAACCGCGGCTTTGAGCCTAGATGGGAATGTTAGTGCCAAGGAACAGCCTTCATCTCGGGTCGTGAGCACGTCTTCCGTGGAGTCTGCATCCTCGAAGAAAGAGGAGCCTGCTGCATCTACGTCTGTGCCTGCGGCTACTTCTAACCACGCGGCGCAGCCAGAGAAACCGGCACCGAAGACGATGACCAAGAAGCCGTCGACTGTCCACGCCACAAAAACTACTACACCGAATAAGCCTGCCTCCGCCGCAACGTCAACCACCGCGAAACCCACGGCCAGTGCTACCGCAAAGCCTACCTCGGCGCGCGAATTAGCCAAGGAACGATCCAATGCGATTGCTCATAAGTCAAGCCGGGCCTCCCTCAACCCGGCTACCAAGACCGCTACGCGAACAGCTCGTGGTACAACCCCCTCTCAAGACGGCCCCAAGACATCATCTACCACCGCCCCGAGCAGCAAGCCCAGATCGAAATCGCCTACCAGGCCGGCTCGCCTACCATCCTCTGCGACTGCATCAACCACGGCGTCTTCTGGTAGATTGGGTGCTGCGGGTCCCTCAAACGGACGCACCACGACCACTGCTTCAACCCTCACACGCAAGCCGTCATCCCTCAAGAGTGCGGTTAATGCGCCCCCCAGCTCGGGGATCTACTACTTCTGGTGTTCGAAGACAGTCGTCTCGACCCTCTCTTGCCGCGCAGCCCGCACAAGAGCGCCCGAGCTCTCGGACTAGCGACCACGGCTCTAAGCCCGTTAACGAGGGATTCCTCGCCAGGATGATGCGTCCGACAGCCAGCTCGGCCAGCAAGACCCATGAAAGGCCCGAGGCTAAGAGCCCGCCAAAGACCAACCCTGCTCCATCCAAGACCACTACCCGGCGAGTCTCAGGCCATGGCGCCGTCCAGCCGAAAGCCCAGCCCGCAGCTCTTCGTCCCCGCAGCGAGAAGTCTCAGCCTGTCACCAAGGAGACTCCTGTCCCTTTTAAGGATGAGGCAAAGCCTGCGGAGAAGAGACAGGATAGCGAAAGCGAGAAGGAGAATGTGGACTCTGTTGCCCCCAAGGTTGAAGAACCGGCCGTGGAAGCACAGGAGGATACTATTGTCGAGCAACCTGAGCTCGAAAATCCCGTGGAAGAAGTCACCAAGAAGGCCGAACCCGCTGAAGCAAAGGAAATTGAAGTTTCTGCTAAAACTGTTCCTCAGCCCGCCGCCGAGCCCGTCTCTGAGTCGATTGAGTCGTCCAGCACCAAGGAGGACGTCACAAAGGCCCCTGTTGAGGCTCCCGTTGAGGCTCCCGTTGAGGCTCCCGTTGAGGCTCCCGTTGAGGCTCCCGTTGAGGCTCCCGTTGAGGCTCCCGTTGAGGCTCCTGTTGAGGCTCCCGTTGAGGCTCAAGCCCCCGTAGAGAGCAAAGAGAAGGCGATTGTGGAATCCCCGGCACAGCCAGAGGCAACACCAATCAAGGAACCCCAACCTGAGGCTGAGGTGAACGCTAACGGTGCTGAAGAGACTTCTAAGGTTCACGCCAAGGAAGCTATCGAGGATATCGCCAAGCCCAATGCCGTGGAGCCGGAGAAGCTCGAGGCCGAGATCACTGAGGTCCCTGAGGTCCCTAAGCCCACTGAAACACCTGTCCAGGTTGAGGAGGTCGTCCCCGAACCGATCAAGGATGCTATCGTGCCGGAGCTCACAGCTCAGTCTGCCGATGAGATACCCACGAAAGATTCTCCGGCCACGATTGAGCCTACTGCTCCCGCCGAGGAACCTGTCGTCCAGGCTAAGTCGGATACCGTTGATATCGACTTTGCCAACCAACTCAGTTAGATAATATCTTTCGTCCTCACTTGCATCATTACGTTCTCATCCGCCTGGGCAGCCCGTTTTTTCTAATCCTCTTGTGCTATACCCTTGACCTTTCTCCTCCCTTGTTGATTTTGTCTTCTCTCCTCTCTGAGCTGTGTGACATCTCTATTCTTTCGTGGGAGTTCATTTTCTTCTTTCAACCCAGTCAACATTCTGGATTATCTTTTGATGTCTAGGATATTGGTGTGGCTTGCATTCTAACTTTTTTTTCCGTGAGCATATGGCTTTTCTTGAGCGTTTCAGAGCATTATTCGGTTTCAGCATACTATTGTATTGTATTCTTGTCATTTACTACCAAGAGACGGGCTTTTTACGTTAGCACAATGCTAGTTTCTTGATATTTTCCGACCTCTCATGTCTTATGGGTAGTAGAGCCAGCCTAGCCATTGCCCAGATTTTTGCACAACTGGTAGCATTTACAATCAGAGACAAGATTTTCCTTCACAACAAATCATGCATATTTCTCATCATTTCTATCTTAGCCATAACCGTCCTGCGGTTAAGCAGACCACAAGCATAAGTCTACATTTCACACCTCAGGGCTAGCCTCAAGGAATAAATTCCAAAGAGAGCCTCAATACCGCATAACATGGAACAGGTAGATCGAACAATTTGATCAACAACAACGCTTTCAAAGAACCTGCACAGGAAATTTCCTCCAGGATATGGTGACAGAATGCTGATCAGCTTGAGTGAGCAAAGCCTTCCTTCCGCTTTAAAACTTCTTTTCCAACTTCTTAAAGAAGCGATTCATCCCGCTCTCCAGTTTATCCGCCTTGTCCTCCAGCTTGCGGCCCCGGGTTCCGGAGTTCTTCATGGACTTTTGCGCGTGTTGGTATACATGCGAGTTGGCCTCTGTTTCGGTTGGTCTGTAGAGTTGGTTGTGGACATCGTACTCTGACGCACCGGGCTGTGTCTGCTGCTGTGGTTGTTGTGATTTATCATATGAGAAGTTCGAGTATCCGGCGATTTGTACGGCTTGGTTGGGTTGGTGAGCTGGTGGTGATTGTGGTGAGCCATAGAGTTGCTGCTGCTGCTGCGCCTGCTGCGCCTGCTGCTGAGCATAAAGGTGGGCGTTGGGATCTTGCGGTGGCGGGGCAAAAGACATTGATCCCGGCGTGCTAGGCTGGAAGGATTGTTGATACGAGGGTATTCCTGGGCTTTGGATCGAGCCACGACTCGAGAGCGTTGCTGGGTTTGTTAGGCCTGCACTTGGCGGGGGCGAAGCGTATCCTGTTGCTCCAGTTACTGATGGGCCATTGTATGAGATACCCTGTGAAGCTTGCGGGCTTGTGAGAGCGGCCATTCCCACAGCTCCGCCTACCTGCGACGGCGGGGTATATGGGACGCCATGGTCAGCTGCCACCGCCGCTGCGAGACCGGTGCCATTAGCTCCATCTTCTGGGGGCGGAGTCTTCTCGCGATGTTTGATCGGTTCTGGGGCTGCAGGTGCGGCTGGGTTATAGGGCAGAGGTGCAAAGCTCTCTGGTGTTTTCTGTTCCAATACTGGGGATTGCTGTACCGAGCTGGGTTGTTGTTCGTCGGCTGTTGGTCCGCTTGGAGGCGGTGGTGGGAAGCTAGGAACTTGTTGGATCCCTTGTATAGCGGGCGCAGTTCCTGATGGGATCTCGGAACGCGAGTTGCGTGTCTGGCCATTCTGGTAGGCTGGATCAGTCACGGCGACATTCTCAAGCTGCTGTACGACCGAGCTCATGGGTTGTTCTGACTGAGCAGGGCGATCTGTTTCCAATTGATGTGTAGCCAGAACCCGGCCAACTACGTCTCAGGAATTGATTTGCATCCTCCAGAGTCCAGAAATAGATGTCGAGTGTGTGCAGACGTAGGAGGCTATGACGCTCGTTGCGGGGATCTCCACTGGGGAGGCGCCATTCATAATGGGCAGGTTGGTGCGGCGAACCAAGCCCATCCACTGTCAGAGTGCATTGGGTAGGGAACTGGGTTGAATGACGGATATGGACATTCTCCAAGCCTCCATGGAATGCATCTTGATCAGATGTTCCTGGATTGTTGGCAACCTCGATTCTTGCCTTGTTGTCGGCATCATCGTGGTAGATATATAGATACGAGCCCTTATCAAACCGGTGGTGTAAAGGCTTTGGGGTTGGCACCGTGAAATAAGAATGAATATCGGCGAAACTAGAGTGTTGCCTTGTCAGAACCCCTCCACATCACTGCGTCCTATGCGGGGAACGTTAGCCTCGACTCACACGGTTAGTAGACGCTCTTCGCCCGGTAGCGGAGGCATAGTTGCGGTGGTTTATTTAACCAAGATAGTCGAAATGCCAGGGGGGGAGGGGATTATATGCGAAGGGAGAAAAAAAAGAACTCACGAAATAATGCTGCCTTTTTAATGCACCTGGAGGGGCCAGTGTTCCTCCTCTGAGAGGGCTTCTGCAGCCGCCGAGTAGGTGTGTGATTAGCAGGCGCTAAGATGTGTGACAAGGCTAAGTCGCAAGTACTTGTATATAGCAGTGAATTTCCATAGTGGATTAAGTACCTGATACTTTCTGGAGCTGTACCTGCTGGGCTTGGCGCGTGTATACGTCGGAGCCCGGAGCCAGGTTTGTCCGAAAATTTCCATCCCAACAGCGCGCTGTGTCGACCAGCTCTCCACATCTCCATTCCGTTGCCCATCCACGTCGAGGTGCTATTTCGAAAACCTCGAGCCCATTCTTGTAACAGAAGGGTCCGAATTCTTGCCTGGTTCACGCGGCGTGTATTGCCAGCCCCCCCGACCTTTGACCTCCGATCTCCGCAACTTTTCTCTCTTCCCCGAACCACCCGTTCTAAAAGGGCCAATTGCGCCTACAATCGATCAAAATGTCTCTCGTCAACCTCTCCCACGTGTGTTCGCACTTGAACAATGCCACCAAGGCCCGTCTCAGTCTTACCTCCATCCCCAACAGCAACCTCCACCTGAAGCTGTGCAACGCCCTTCAGAACTCCGGCTACATTTCCTCTGTCGTCCGCGGAGGTCCTACTCCTCCCCCCCGCCCACCCGATCCTGGGATACCCTGCCGCCAACGATGAGGTGGAAGGCATTGAGCCCGTCACTCTGGATAACGTTGCGTCGCGACGCCTCTGGCTGGGTCTTAAGTACTGGCGCAACGAGTCAGTCCTTGGAAAGGTGAAGATGGTCAGCAAGCCCACACGACGAGTTACGATCGACGTCGAAGGCCTGCGACGAGTCGTGCGTGGCGAGGATTCCGGTTATGTGGGTGGTCTGCGTTCGCCAGGCGAGAGTCTCTTCCTCTCGACAGACCGTGGTATTCTGGAGGCCCGCGAGTGTGTGGAGAAGAAGCTCGGTGGTCTGGTTCTGTGCCGCGTGCTCTAAGCGTGTCATATCCTGCGCCTTGCAACGGTACAATTACGCCCGTTCTCGTGGGCGGGAGAAGTGGATACACCCATCCCGATGTTTCTTTTCTTTGCATTTACCCTGGAGTTTATTGGTTTGTCGCAGCGGGGCCCTCTCTTGAAGCCCGATTCATTTTGATGCGACTGGAATAATTGCCTCGATCGAGGATCTGTATATTAGATGTTTGCGTTTATCGCAGTCCCCGCATGATGTGGGGTGGTCGCGGAGCTTTGAGGCGACGCCATGTATAGACTATGACTTGAAACAGGTTCAGATTCGTTCTTCTCAGTTTTAGGCCGGTTCAATTCGGTTCCCGGTTGTGCTATGTACTCTACTATTGTCACGGCTTTTCAGCAGCCTGTAGTTGTGATGCGGAATGTGACGGCGCATAGTTCTCAGCGAGTCACGGGCCTAGTCGATCTCTTGTTAGCCGCCAGGTGCCAGCTTCCTTAACCTCAAGCAGAAATCCGCCCCCCCAGAGTTGTGCACTCTTGCAACTCATCTCGCAATGGCTGCAGATATCTTGAATTCGAAGAAAGTCCTTATCTCTGGGGGCACCGGTTTTGTCGGCTCCGCCACGGTACGTGCCCTTGCTGCAAGGCATCCTGGCTGCGCCATCACCGTCATTGATCGGAGTCCGCCCCGGGCAGAACATGCTCTCCCGAAAACGATCCAATGCATGCAAGTTGATGTTGCGTCAGCCGAAGAAGTGAACAAGGTTCTTCAAATTGTTAAGCCCAATATCATTGTCCATGCTGCGGGCATTGTACCATCTGTGGTAGACCGTTTCAGCCGGAGGCTGGAGCGTGAGGTGTGGAAAACCAATGTCGAGGGCACCCGGAACATGCTAAGCGCAGCTTTGGAAAACGATGTTGAGGCTTTCATTTACACCAGCTCTTGTTGTGTGGTGACAGACGATTTGACCACGCCCTATTGCAATATCGATGAAGAGTGGCCAGTGTCTCATACATCCCTCATCTATGGTGAATCTAAGGTAGTATAACAATCCTATTAAGGCCTCGGTTCAAACCAAAGAAATCGAACATTTGTTAACAAAAACGAACAGGCTGCAGCGGAGGCCCTGGCTCTCGAGGCAGATAGCAGCCAAATGGCTACCTGCTCCCTCCGCCCCTCAGTCCTGTGCGGGGAAGGAGACCATCAGCTGGTCCCTGCCATTCACGCTTGCATTGCCAAGTATGAAACGCCCTTTATTATCGGAGATGGGCAGAACTTGTGGGATGTTACTCATGTGAGCAATGTCGCCGACGCCCATATCCTAGCCATGGAGAACCTGATGACTTCGCGCACGGCTGCTGGCGAGGCATTCTTCATTCAGAATAATGAACCGATCACTTTTCGTGATTTCTGCCTTGCTATCTGGAGTCATTTCGGACATAACCCGCCCTTCGAAATTCGAATCCCGGAAACATTGGCCTACGTCGCAGGGTTTCTGTGTGAGATGGTAACCTGGGTGTCAGGCACCTCCACCACCTTAAGTCGGGGAAGCGTTCGAGATGCGTGCGCCGTTAGATACGCCAGTGGTGAAAAGGCCAAGGCGATTTTGGGATACGAGGCTCGGATTGGGATGGAAGACGCGATTCGTTTGAGCTGTGAGGTAAGCAAGACAGAGAAAAGACCCCAAAAACGAATGGCCCGCTATCTTGCGGCTACCAAAGTATCCGAGATGGACAGCTGACAATAGGTATTCAGGAATATGCCCGGCGCATCGGAGTTGTACTTCCCGCTCGCCGTTAACAATTCCAACAGACCGGGGGCTACTGGGGCGTTGGTTGATCAAGTGCATGACGAACTTCCAGATAAACTTTCTCGCTCTCAGCAATGTTTGAGGAATAATACCCTGCCATTAAAACCGATCCCTATAGGTACCCAGCCTCCATTGACTTCAGAGGCGCTCCTTAGCCCTTTTTGGTCCTGTCTTGCCGCCACCCGCCCCATTGCTCGACATCTAGAAACCGGGCTTGCGCAGAATGTAAGACATTGGGCCGTCCATTGGGCTGCAAGCTGATCCCGATCCAGACATACCCCAGGCGGCTCTCCACCGAAAGTAATATGGAGAAGGTCGATCGCGGCCGGAATATCTACATGGTCCATGCGTTGATTGGGCGACAACACTATTGCCTGCCCGATCATCGCGACCCGGCGGAAGAGAACCCAGTCAAAGTTGAGGTTAGGTAGTATGTACAATATCACTTACCTGCCGAGGTGGATGTTATGCCCGTCTGAAGGTGTGCATCTGAGTTCCCTCGACGTCACGGGATTCTTGCATATGCTTCGCCTCCACCTTCAGGCTCACTCCATATCTTCTTCGTTGCAGATCCCGCACGTCGCAGTCAAGCCATAATGAGCCAACGAGAATCGACGCCCGACCCCTAATCTACGCTCTCATACCCAACTGCTGCCCAAGCCCATCTTTCTAGTGACATTATAGCACCTAGGTCAAAGTGGCGCGGCCTGCAGTTTGTATCTGCACCCCCCAAATCATGAAGATCAGCGCCGTGAAGAGTGATTCCACTCCCTTCGATCACAGGTGGGTAATTAATGGTGGATACAGCCCCCCTCAACGTTCCAGAGCCGCCATAGGACATCCTAGTCACGTCGAATCAATGCGTCTTGCGGACCGGACTCCAACCTCGATCGATCCAGATCTGCCCTGTTGAATGTATGCATTTTGTGGCACAGGGAGGAGTCGGGGATGGCCCCTGTCAACATTATGCAATTGGTGTCTGCCAAAGACCAACGCCTAGGCTACGGAAGTACTATTTGCTGAGATTGGCATCTCCACTCTGGGTCTGAAAGCTTCCAGCGCGGCTCTCCATCCACTTACGGAACCGGATTTGCCATACCAGTCCAGAAGCAGGCGTCAGGCACACCTACCAGAAATGATTGCCCGGGCTCTCCTGTCCATATATTATTCCGGACTCGACCACCCTGCGCTTCTTTTACGTCTGCAGATTCGTCCACCTGCACCCTACTACTTACTTTCTTCTTCTGCCTATATTTCCCCGTCTGGTTCCCACACTTCCTTGATCTATTATTATTCATTGCCACGGCTACCCAACGTCTACTCAGTCAATCCTCATGGTGCCTGCCCCCCCTTTTGACGGCCGTACCAGCAGGCTTCCAACCATTTCCCGTAACTCCAGCACATTTTGGTACTCGGGTCGGTTCAGTTGGCAGTAAATTGGATATTCTGTCTCGTCACAGGTCAGCACCAAGCAACTATTGCCCCGTTTTCACTTACTCTTCCTCTATGCGCGCCTATCTATTTTTGGTGCAACAACTCGCTCATACATCCCAGCAGCACTATGGCTCAGCAATCCATGTACGCGGCACCGGGAAATCCCCCCCCGTCATTCATCGGCAAAGGTACTTCCATACCATAAAAATTTGTCTTTCCCTCCTGGTCTCTGAAGGAGGAATGCGATCCCCAGTTACTCTTGCTAAGCGATATAAAAGGGCACCCTCGGCACCTCGAGCGTACGGCCTTGATCACAACCGTCAACTCCTCCTTGGACCCATAGAATTCGACCCTCGGACCCCATACCCTGGAACCCCCCTGGACAGCCACGGCCATCTTGTGAACCAGCCCATGGGACGTTTATCTTACCCTCCTACCGGACATGCTCTTGCACCAGTACCGGTGTACCCGGAATGGAACCACCCATCGCATATGCCCCGTGAGGCTCTTCGCCATGATGTCAGGCCAATCAACCCACCGGAGAGCCCAGAATACATAGTGGAAAGGAACAGCCGTCGAGCTGCCGATGTAACTCGAGGAAGCCCGCAGTACCATTCCCAGAGAAGGACCTCCAACCGAGATGAATTTGATGGCCCGCACCAAATTCTGGACGTTCCTGCTACACGGAGCCTCCCTTCCCGGGAGGAGGAGCTGCCCCAGCTTCCCACTAATCTTGACGCCGCAGATCAGGACAGAATCCTGCACAAAGTTAATGATCGTCTTTCTCAGTGTGCCTTTGACTTCTTTGCACGATACCAATTCCCCATTCCACTGGAACAGGATAAGAGGCGAGTCCAGGTCCCCTCGGACCGTGAATGGAATGAGTGGGTGCATCTCTTACGGAGACTGGCTACTCGACGACGCATCCCGCGCCATGCCCTCCACAACGGTCAAATCAAGCAGTTGATCACTGTTCTCGAGAACTCTTTAGAGATGCGTCATGCTGCCAAGCACAGCTCTCGACCTGTCAAGGATGACCGTAACGTGCTGCAGCTCATCTCTGCCGGTACACAGGTGGCCAAGATTCTCAAAGATTCCGATGCCATGCAGTTTTTCGATGTTCTTTATGTTGACACGGAGAAACTGATTCATGACCGCCGGCGCCGCGTGAGATTTGCAAACCCTTGAATCCACAGGAGGAATGGCCACTTTGACCCAGGTTTTGAGGCCGATGGATAATCCTTTTTTTTTGTTTAACCGTGGATATTATTACCCCCTGGACCAACCCTTTTGCTGTTACCCCCTTGATCACCTACATGGAACCCGCGGAGAGCCTCGCCGTTGATGAGGCTCATGGAAATTACCTTGTTGGAATGGCTGCTATCTTTTTTTGCGCCCGCCGCTGATGGAATTTTGCTCTGGGTATTATCGGTAGTGTGATTCGCTTTCTCCTTTGATAGTGGATTGAGGATATCATGACCCTGCCGGGCCTCGCTTTTGGGTAGACGATTTATGCGTCTGGAAGAACGACAATCACGCACTGCTATGAGCAAGCTTCTCAAGTCTTGCATCCCCTCTCATCTTGATGAGCTGTTTTTAAGAACACGTTCCCCTTACGGGGCGTCACATCCCTTTGAGCAGCATGGATACAATTGGTTTACGAAACTACGACTTAATGTGTGTTCGGTTCTTAATGTTATTCCGCTTTGTTTTTGTTTGTGAATTACGAATTCTTGCTTTTGTCACGAATCTTGTTTTGTTTTGGGTTTGGCTGTCTTCAATATATTATTTTTCGCTATTTTTCGACGATTTAACATTGTGAGGAAGGTTGGTTGTTTTATTTTGGAGCTGCTATCTGTCATGTATGAATCTTTTTGGGTCTCTATTCATTCCGATGAACTAATTTCTTAAGTGGCTTTGGGCTGCGAAATAGTCCATCCCCCCCAAGCTTAGTATTTATGAGGCCAGGATATTACATTCATGGAGACCAACCCAAAAGCTATGACTTGAATATAGCTTTCACAACTTCGTTTGGTTTGTCACCTCGCTTCATATACAGCCGCGCACTACTATTTGAAGCCCAGCGATCCGCCCTGCCGCCCCAGTTTCTCTGACCTTCGAAAGTTGTTCCGAATTTTTCGCAGTGCAATCAAATTACTCTCAAACTGAAGAATACTATAAGCACCGCAAAATGATATTTGTCGTAAGAAACAATGACTTTTTTCGTCACAATACTAATTCAGGGAGAAAACAAATATGGCGTGCCTGGGATTTGCTAGGAGTAATACAGAGTGGACACATCTTGCTGTTTCTCTGTAACTTCCCTCATGCTGACAATTACGCAAGTATAGTTGGGAGCCCGAGTAGGACTTCAATCAATAATCAAAACTCGCTGAGTGAGCATAGAAGGCCTGCATCCAAGGTTCTAGACAATGATGATTTCCGAGCTGTTCCCAACCGAACTTCACAAGCCGAGGCCAATTAGTTATGGCTTAGTGAGAAACAACTTTTCCAATATAATTTTATTGTTGCGGAATATAGTCCAATCGCCCTGGAGCCCCAGTACTTTGCATCTCAAACGATTACCTCTGAAGAGATGGGCCGTCATATCTAAGATGAATCTGTTTGGTGACAATTTTTAAAACGAGGGAGAATTCAACTTGTGTCATTTCGGGAACGAGAATGGCCCTAGATAGCTTACATGTTTTCAAGTTGGCTAGAAGAGCAATGTGTCGTTAGTACACTGGGATTTTACTAGTGTTCCAGGAAGAGCCGGAGTCCTTGCGTGGACTCAGATGATAAGAAGATTCACGCTTGATACAAAGATGAACTAGAAGAGCGCTTGTGTTTAGAAATTACCGAGATACTTTGAATAAATGGGTTTGAAAGTAGTAGGTAGTAGAAAAGTCATGTCTCGGTATAATCAAGAAGGTGAAACTCGATAGAATATACGTCCGAACTAGAAAGAAAAGGTAAAAAGAACCATTCTGGGCCCTATTTCACTGCCGCAGTATAGACCTTACACAAGGCCCTTGGAAAGGCAGTATCCACACCACTACAACCATTGTCAGACCCAGTCATTCCCTCTCCTGCGTCGTCAAAGTCATCCGTGCACTGGACTTCGTGCTCCCAGCCCAAACAAATAAACGTTCCAGGTCCATCATCGCCCTCTGTATAGGCACATGGATATTTCTTGGCCTTATCGTTGTTTCCTTCATTGAGTTCTTCGAACTTGATAGTTGGTGGCCATGAGTTTCGGCTCACATCATCGTCGGCGTCAATTTCCCCATTAGAGTGGCACCACTTGAAAGATTTTCCAACATCATCGCCATCCCTATTATCGCGTACGTAGACATTCCAAGTAGTAGAAAGTGCATTTGAAATATCAGTGTGGTCGATCATGCCGATATATATTTCTAAATCAGGGGCTCCTGTAGTTGCCGCCGACGTATCTGAGGTGGTCGTCTTTGTCTCCTTTTCTTCGGTGGTAGTAGTTGCAGAAGTCGTTGTGGCCTCAGACGTTGAGGATGTCGTTTCAGTCTCACTCTTTTCAGTGGCAGTGGAAGAAGCTGTTGTTTTTGTGGATTCTGAGGTAGACCCGGTAGTTCTTGTTCCGGTGGTCTTTCCGGTTGTCGTGGCAGACCCCATTGTTGTCCCCTCAGTGGTCTTTCCGGTTGTCGCGGAAGAGGCAGCTGAAGCATACAATTTTCTTTGTTCATCCGCAATAGATTTAGCCACACTATCGTCCGGAATATTATCTATATCGTCCAGATAGATTATGTATTCGGGGCCAAGAGTTGCAATTGAACCGTCAGATGTTGATGAGACAACAGTAGTGGATGTAGTTCCTGTTGCAGAGCAAGCCGCGGCTTGTGAGCATGAAGTTTGGCAAGTAGTTGAAGCACCAGATTGTCCTGTGGCTGTTACTGTGCTGCAGGTGACAGCACAATCTGTAATTGTTTGAGATGTGGCGCAAGATGTTGACGAAGATTCCGAGGTGGTCGTTGATTTAGCAGTAGTTTGAGTACCCTGTGTGGTAGGCTCGGTGCTCTTCTTGGGGTCATCTTCCGGGTTGTCATTAGGCGTATCATCAGGATCAACATCACTGCCAGAATTGTCTGAGCTAGTATGGCTATCACCACAAAGGAACTTGAGTATACTGGGACATTTGGGGCCTTTGGGCTCTGGCACTTTAATTGGGTCGGATATCGCAATCCCTCCACCTCCAGAACCAGGGCTAATTGTAGCTGGGGGCCAATGCTGATAGACGATTCCACCAGCGTGTACAAAAATAAACCCAGAGGTGGTCTTTGTTCCAGAGATAATATAGGTAGTCGAGATTGATGTTGGACTCGCCAATGTCGCAAGGTCTGTCAGACTCATGGTCCCGTACAAACCAGTCGTAGACGAATCTGACAAGGTAACCCAGCCTTCTGTAGATGTTGATGTCTGTTTTGCCGTCTGTGTATTATCTTTTGTTCCTTTTGTGAGGGGAACTGTACTTCCATCCACAAGCAGCGTGCCACCTGTCTCTAGCGCCATGGTATCTTCGCCAACTGTGAGTTCACCACCAGGTGTTAGGCTAGTCGTGCCAACCAAAAAGCCGGTGGGATCTGCAGTAACAGTCTGGTCCTTTAAAGTAATAACCTGCTCTGCAGATTTACTTGCAGTTGCTGGCTTGGGGGTTGCCCTGGAGGAGGGAGTATTCGAGCCGGTAGGATTGGTACTCGTGTCGATGGGAGAATCGGTTGTTTCGGGGGATAGAGAAAGAGTGGTTTCGTCGGCAACGATAGCACCACCGTCGGTTTTGAAGGAGATAGTCTCTGTTCCCACAGTAACCTCGCCGCCCCTAGTCAGGTGAGCGGTGCCAATTTGAGCACTGGTACCGTGAACAGTAAAAGTGATGCTGTCCAATGTCAAAACACGGCTCTCAGTCGAGCTTGGGTGTAGGCCACTCCTGGTGCCGGTCTTCGACCCCTGGCCATTGGTTCCAGGTGTGGTTGGCGATGTATTGCTCCTGGTGCCGGTCTTCGACCCCTGGCCATTGGTTCCAGGTGTGGTTGGGGATGTATTGCTCTTGGTTCCGCTCTTTGACCCCTGGCCAGTGGTTCCAGGCGCAGTTGGGGATGTATTGCTTTTGGTTCCAGTGGTTCCAGGTGTGGTTGGCGATGTATTGCTCCTGGTGCCGGCCTTCGACCCCTGGCCATTGGTTCCAGGCGCAGTTGGGGATGTATTGCTCTTGGTCCCAGTCTTTGAGCCCTGGCCAGTGCTTCCTGGCGCGGTCGGGGATGTATTGCTCCTGATTTCGGTTTTTGATTCCTGGGCAGACCCCCCGGGCGAAATTGGAGGTGTGCTGGCAATAGTGCTTCCTCCCCGACCTGCGCTACCGGGTGATGTTGGAGGTTTATTGCTCTTAGTGGCGGTGTTTTCTCCCTGGCCAGTGCCTTTCGGTGTGGTTAGGGGTGTATTGCTAACACTAGTATCCGTTGCTTGAGTAGAGCCCCAAACTGTGGAAGTACCCGGACCGCCATTGCCACTATCCAAAGTGCCGCTGCTGCTCGTACTACCGCAAAAGGGAGGCAATAAGTGGATATATTGAGTTGGAGTGCCGTCTATGGACAGGCCTCCACTTGTGTCTAGCGATAGGGTATGTGGGCCAGCACCGATGACTTGTGCACCCGGGGTAAGCGGTTGTCCTCCAACATTGAATGAGGTAGGATTTGGTGTGATGGTTTCTGACTCAAGTTTTATTGGGTCGTAAGTAGCCAAGGTAGAGAGCGCGCTCTTGATACACTTTGGAGAGTGTTTGCCGCTACTCCGTGGCCCTGCCAAAGTCGCATAACACGCTGAAATGCCCTTTTCACCGGTTTGACTTAGAGGAGTAACGGGAGATAGAAACGGAGGGATGGTATAGGCAGTTGAGTGACCAGACATAAACAATGTTGTCACCAAGGTAGGCGTGGCTTTGCGATCGAATGATTCAATCAAAATTCGCTGCCATTGTTTTGGAGCATAAGTTGCATTGAACCCTTGCATAATGGGAAGACCATCAAAGGAGACTTTGCACGTCTCATCTCGTGGTCGGATGACTTGATTTGCGGTGGAATCAGAAGTACCAGGACCAAGAGGAAACGCAAAGGCAGGCCCGATGGCTGCCGCCAGAAGCACGGTCAGATATTGCGAAAGACCTAACATGGTGGTCTTCTACAATGTCGTAGCGCAATAGAGAATAAAGTGAATATTTTTTTTTTATAAACGGACGTTCGATAGTGAGACTGCGAGCCTGATATATCGTACTAATCACCAGGGGTAACTTGCTGGTCGACGCGCTGTTTGCGTCGCGACTCTTGCGCATAATCAATCCTGGCCCCATGAGGCGTCGTCATTCTAGGGGGCCATAATTTGCAAATGAAACCATGAAAGTCTAGAAGATGGCCTAAAGGAGTTGCGATAAAACTTTTAGTCATGGTGACATACCTCTCTGCAAAAGTTCGAAGAATAGTATACAATCCATACTCCATGCTCTATACTCCATAGAAGTGGCCCCACCCGCCCCCCTCCGCCCCCGGGATTCCTGCAGGAAGGACGGGGGTTGCAGGAATCCCGGGGCGCTACGAAGGCAGATTTTATTGCGCCTGGAGTACACTATCTACCTCTTCCAGATGTCCGAGGTCCTAAAATTGGTCGACCATTCAGTTACAAGCCGACACGAATTAATTATTCAATAGATATACCTCGTGAAAATTGGTTATCTGCAGCTGTCGTACTTAATTAGTTTAACTGTTAGTAGTTAGTTAGTAGTTGGCAGTACACACCGTGGCTTCACTTTTCTGGAATTGACCATTTGAATTTTTTCATGCAGGTGCAATTTGTCACAATCAGCAAATCCTGCCCATGGGACTCATAACGCACGGGCTTTGTACTCTGGAATTTGGGCCTCCTTTCAGGGACTGTTGGCTAACTCATTTGACAAGGCTTTCTATCATATTGGGGCCACAGGCAGCAATCTAGATATCAAGTATATTGTATGTACATTCAAAGTCAGGGCCCCGTGTAGATGAGTATCAGCCAATTACAGTTTTCTCTTTTCGGGATCTATTTCAGTTTCCGCCCTCCCAGTTGTTTCAGGATCCTGGCTGCATCGCAGGGGTTCATCTGACCATACCTCACACTCCGGCCCCAGCCAAGCCCGAGATCGAGCGGTCGGCCCTCCATCTTCGCAGTTGTTTATCATTATAGATGCTGCTTACTTTTAAAGCAATCTACGTCATACGTAGGCCCAGATCTATCTGGAAATTAATGGCGCATGGGGGCGGTAGCTTCGCATCAGTACGAGCCTTCTTGACCTGGGGCCGGATTTTTACCCAGAAGTTCCTCTAATAAATTTTTTTTTTCAACTTCTCCTCATTAATAAAGTTACGTGGATCCATCCGATAATCAAGGAGAATTTTTAATTCAACTTGAAGCTTTCCACTTTGTTTGGGCGACCACTCCTTAATCCAAGATGCTGTTTTCGTCGTCCCGGTGGCAGGTCTTGCTGTGCGCAACTGTTTTGATACTCGGCTATCTGACACCAGCAGTGCATACCCAAGGGATTTTCGACAAAGATATCAAAACAAGCAAAGTTTACAAGGTTTTGACAGATGATATGGGCGTGGGTGGTAGCTGCGACACTCGGATCAAAGCCGCAAAGGAAGACTCAAGCAAACCCAACCCCGAGGAAGCCATGAACCAGATTTTAAGGATGTCTCAAGCTGCCATTGAGGCACTTAAATCGGCAGAAGAAAATGTCAATGAAAGGCAGATGAAGAAGGAGAAATACCGGCAAAACAGAAAACGCATTACCTATATGGCGAATCAAGTCTGGGGCGCAAGGGTCTCTCTAGATACGTTGGCCCATAACGAAAACTTCGACAGTGCCGATAGGTTGAAAAATGTCAGAGGTGTGCCCCCCTATCATCGTATACCAAGATCTATTATTCCATGATGCTGATTCAATGATTATATGATAGAGCGGTACGAAAAGTTGGTTGCCTACATCAATAAGAAACCAAAGGAGTGGGCGTTCGCCTGTGATGATTCGTGGGCAGAGTCGGTCACAGAATTGAAAACAGCGTTTGGTGGTTTCAAGAAAGGCACAGCCATAAAAGACATACCGTGTAGGTAGATGACTCAGTTATCGCCCATACTTGATGTCTAGACTAATCTGTTCTATAGTCCTCAACGAGAAGAATCTCGGTCGGGCCTGGTATGACCGGACAAAAAAGGAAGACAATGCACCAAATGCGTACTGGTCTTCGAGTAGATGGTCAGAGGAAGGACCCTGTGTCAAGGTAGGCACCTCTACTCAAGTTGAAGCCGAAACAGTGTTTTTCACCAAGGTGATCTACACCTGTCCCAGACTTTGGGACCTACAATTTACAGATGGAGTGAACCTGAAGGCCGATATCACACCGTATGGGCCCAAGGGCAAAAAGGATGTCGATCTTGAAAAGTTCCCAGATCTTGGTTACTATCAGTCCCCTGCGTCAACCATTTTCCATGAAATGGTTCACCAAATTCTTGGAGGACGTATGTAGCCCTTGAAGGCTTGCATTACTGGAAAATCTAGGCTAACATTTGAGATACAGAGGACGGAGCAGCCGGACAGAGAGGACTTGGCTACGGATGGGAAAACGTGGCCAGGGGCATAACTGACTCAGCAAATGCGCTGGAAAACCCAGACTCATTCACCTATTTTGCCATGGCAATGTATCTTAGCAAATATGACTGGAGCACTGGCAAGGCCCGCAAGCTTGACGAGATGCCTGGTGAGAAGAATGCCAAGTAGAGGTATTCCGTTTGAAACGTGGGGTGGTTTAGCAAGAAAATAGGCGTTATCATTCTAGCAGTATATTATTCTGTTTTGCAACTAGAACAATTTGCCTAGTGTACGAGCTGTACGAGCCTCTTTTAAATTTTAGATGTAAGCTACATAATAACACATGGTTTTGGCCTCTGTTGTTCCTTTTCATAGCTCCATCCGAAGTAAACGCCGTTCATCAGTCTAGCTGTGACGAGTTGACTGTGAATGCTCGTCGCTCCGTTGCTGAGGAAGAAAAGGGAGTAGCTCTTCCTCCCAGGAAATATTGTCATCTGTCTTTCCCCATTTCTTGAGGATACGCCCCCGCTCCTCTTGATCGCATCCGACTTTTAATAGATAAATTGACCTCGTATCTGAAAATACAGGAATACGATCCTGGAAGCTTTTCCACCAAATGCAGTAGATGGTGGTATTTCCTGAGTCAAGGAGATCGATCGTGTAATTCGTGATTGGGCATGGAGGCTCCCTCGAATTGCACTCCCCGTCCATACTCATATTTCGGTGTAAAACCTGAGGGCCAATGAAAATACGTCCGGCGGCAGACTCTGGCTCTGCCCAGTGAACCCGCAAGAATTCTATGCATTTAGGGGCAGGAGGGTCTAGCCGAGAATTCCCTGAATAACCAAGCTCAAGCCGGGAGGGAAGTCTTGTGATACATGCAGCCGTTAGGGGCTCATTCAAAAGAGGTGAAAGAGTTTGACTCAGAGTTGACTTTTTGGAATCACAGCTGCGTTTGAGAACTTTGAAGTTTTCCTCTGCGAAGCTATCTTAACACATCTATTCATTAGCTAGAGACCCAGTTCAGGTTTAAAATTCCAGTACACTCACGATAGATATAGATAGCACGATCAGGGTGGTCTTTGTCCACACCAAGATAGCCTTGCTCACAGTCGGAAATGAAGTCCTTGGACCTCCACATTCGGTCGAGGGCCATTCTGCGCAATAGTACGAGGCTAGCACGCCACGGCTCAAAGAAAGGATGAGAGGGATTTTCCATTTCTAGGACGGGCTCCCGCAAGCTCAAAGCGACGGTACAAGCCATTCTGGGCTGTAATTATAAACTCAGGAAGGCACTCAGAGCTGTCAGCGTGTTTTTGTAACTTGGTTGAAGCAGAGATTCTTGTTGAAATCAGGCCACGGATGTGCGGTGAATGTCTTTTGGCGCTGGCCCCCACAAGGATCACCACCGTCGTCACGGGCCAGATTTGATACCGCAGGCGGAAGAATCAAGGATTTGTGTTACAGTACAGAGTACCTGCATCCTGCCAATAGGCTCAGGCTGTTGCCTATTCTTCTAGGGACTCGGAGTCAGGAAAATATAACACCTCTCGGTGTTTTCTTACTCACGTGATTTGTTTGCATTTGTTACCCTTATAGATCATAATTTGGTAATACAATGCTGTATGTCAAAAATACTAGTACCTTTGAGCATTCATTAGTACCTAGGTATTAACCGAAGAGGAAGTGGCTTTTGGGCTTTGTTGTTGTAAGATATCGTTATTTTGGAAAAGAATTTCGATTTAAGCAATTGTTGTTTGTCGGTCGGATCCATTTTATACATCTTTATGGAAGATAATATGTGCAATTTCGAGACAGAAGAATTAAACCTGAACGACTGCGTAGGAATTTAAACACCCCCGGAGTAAGTGGTGTCTCTTGTCAGTCCAGGTGTTGTCACCTGGCTGGTGCTACTCTTGTCGGCTCCTGCTTTTTTCTTTTCCTCCTCCTTCTCCCTATTTTCCTTCTTGGCAGCGATTTCTGCGGCCTCCTTCTCTGTGGGCCTACGGGCCCAAATTCGCCGACTGGTTCTGCATTAGTATGACACGATACCCCCAAAATGCAACATCACAGGAAGATACTTACGAAAAGTGATAGATATGGTGTTTGGGGTCGTTAATCTCAGCACGAGCTTTTGCGACATAAACCTGAACTTCCTCGATACTCCATGGCTCGGGGAGGCCGAATTTGGTGAGCAAATATGTGGCATATCCGTCCATCCCAGTCTTCCACATATGCCAATTAAGACGACCAGCTTCCTTCAACACAGGGTCCTTTGGCCAAGGGCCAATAGGCCATTTGTATACCTTTTCGTGAAGATCAATGAAGCCCGCCTTCTCAATTTCCTTGCGCATAGTATCGAGGGTGTCGACAGGGCGGCCAGATAGCGCAGCTGCACCGATGATGTTCGATCCCCAGCTTGCCAAGATACTGTCCTTGGGCAAGCTACGGTCGTCAGAAAGTACTTCACAGCCTCCTTCAAACTGCTCGAACCAGCCTCCTGGCTCCAAGTTTCTACACAAGAAGAGGTTATTAATTTGTTTTTCCTCACATTCCATCGCAGCTTACTCGTAGCACTGTCTGTAGACATTATCCCACTCAGGCGCATTGAAAGAGCCCAGCATGAGACTCATGTGAATCAGATCAAACTTTTCACGCCATGTCCATTCTTGGAGAACGTCGTCGACTTCAAGAATGCAGTTGGGTGGCATCCAATCAATGGGCGGAGGGTAAAGATCGACGCCGCGAACCTGGGCTGTGGGGGGTTAGCATAAGTTCTCATAAAGCCAGAAGAGATAGGATATATTTACTTTCTGGAAACATGTCCGCTACATCGCTGGATTTTGGTAGAGTTAGCCGGGCGTACTACTGCCGTGGTATAGGATAGGGCTGATACTCACACTGCCCAGCTTCCTCTGCCAGTACCGACATCAAGAATGCGCTAAATTCAAGGAGTTTCAGAACATGGAAAAAGGGAAGACAGCAACATTGTAAAGAGATACCTTCGGATTTTTGATTGGGGCTTGAAATAGGGGATTATTTGTTTCCGAATCCATGACCAAGGATACCAAATGCCTGGAGCTGTCAGCATATATACCATGACTCTAGAGGGTTGAATGACTGACCCTGCCTCAAGTGCCTCGAATTGCTTCTCATCGGAGGGACCCCTGCGCCGAAATTAGAATGTCGTGTTGGTGACTTTGCTTTTAAGACGCTGCAAGTACCAGTATTTGCCTTCCCGAAGGGTTTGGTATCTGGACATAATCATGAGTATATAGTAGATTCGACTCGCTGCTAAGTCACGTACCGTCGGCCATGATCCATCACTCCCTTATAGATGGAGGAAGCGAGAGATGTGGTTTCTCTATCGTTTAATAAGATCAGCTGGTCAAGACGGGATAACCAGGATAGTGTAATCAGAGAACATACGATTGGAAGTCGCTAGGCTCATATTCATTTTCGAGCTGGTAAAAGTCGGGATCCTAGAGCGACCGTGGAAATAAGCTAAATGTGCTCGGTCAATTCGCTCGGACTGCACTTACGACCGCTATTTTCTCATCGGTCTCCGACATCTTGAGGGCGGGGATGGCGGAAGCCAGGGAACACGACTCTAAGTGATGAGCGTAAAGGACCAATAAATCGGGAGGTTCCTCAAGTTATCGCGACCAAAACACAAAGAGGATGAGAAGATCCGAGATGGCCGATGGAATGCGGGGAGCGGATTCATCATTTAAAAGCAAGGAGAACCACGGCCCCGAGAAGTGGGCAGACAAGTGGGCCCTCACGTCTTTCTGGGATTTCAATGCAGGTTCGACCCGCCACTAACGTAGAATTCTTTTTCACTGGAACAGGAAACGATCCAGTAGCCGATCCCTCCTTCATCAAGCTCTAGGGAAGAGAGCTGTGATACGCTTGAAGGCAACCTGTCGCGCACAGAGTCCTTTGCTCGCACCGGCACAAAAGCAAGGCTAGCTTTTTCCGACCGCGCCCCTTTCCTCTTTGGGCCTCGACTTTCCTTCGTGTTTTGACAGAAATCCGAGCACGAGCAAGCGGGCAAACGGACAAGTGGATTCTCTGATTTGCGGGTGCGCCCGCTGGATCCATTCGACAAGAAACGTGTCATGGCGTGCCAGTGAAGAGCGCAGGCGAATCGACAGAGATCCCTGTCATGCCGGATAATACACTCACAACGATGCTATTCAAATTGTTTCGAGGTTATCGTGCACGTACTCCGGTCCCATCCGGGTGGACTGCAAAACTTCGGACGGTCTGAAAGTGCATAGTGGCGCACAAAATTTCAAACTGACCGCACAAGACGCACGCGCCGTCTATCCGTGGGTCCCGATGTCTCTTTTGTGAAGATAAGTACATACGGAGTAGGCCGAGCTGCATGACCAAAGTACATATTAGTTCGTTCCACTCTGCCACGTTTGGGTTGGTCCCCCGCGGCTCCGGAACGTCAAAAGTACGTTAGAGTCCTGTTGAATTTTGCGATTTTTCGCCAAATTCTTGCTCACACAGGATCTATCTACATCATGCAGGGGAGTCCACGTGTCGTGGGATTTAACTATTGATTTAGGGCGGCTACTGTTTGTCGGGCTGAGTTGCATCTGATCTACGGCATTTGTCGTTGTTATGGGCTAGCTTGCTTGATTCTCACCCCTCCGGTTCACGTTCGACCTGATAATGCGTTTGACTGCTTGATGTACGGCAAGCCTGGGAGCTATTGGCATTCCCGGTATTCTTAATATCCCTCAACCTCCTGACGTTTCTGGCAGAGTCTCCGAGTCGAGCCCAGGTGGTCCTCGGAAATGTTTACACTCAATCTGACACAATCAAGATATTTCTCACCGCGGAAAGGTCAAGAGTAGTATTGAAAAAATAGTTTTCTCCAGGGCTGGGCTGATCAGCAAAGCAGATCTTATGCGTGCCTGAGTGATTGCAGATAGATCCCTGGCTAGCAATCTATCCCCTGGAGGCATTTTGGTTGCATGACCTCACTCAAGAAACCCCTAGGATCGACTAAGATCTGCCAAAAGCTTGTCATATCATCTACAGATAGATGAGAAAGGTCGCATGATTAGGAGGATTCCATATTGAAAAAGAAATAGCTGGTTGGGTATCCTTGAAGCTAGTTGAATAATTTGCCTGTCTATATTCAGAGAGGCAAACAGAAAGGCAAGAATCTAAATAATACTATCATACTATCTCCGGCTGCCAGTGCCAGAAACAGAAATTACCATGGCCACAACTCGCTCATGCGAGAATTAATTTAGCTCTCATCACTGTCAAACTTCTCACCAGCAACGTGAACCGTAGCGCTTTGACGTCGGATAGCTTCCTCAAGATATTCCGGTTTGAGGTTTCCGTGCTTGTCGTAGCGGTATGGCTCATGAATGGAAATGCTAACGCAGTCGAAGATGTTTGAGGACTTCTTGAAGATGGCATCCATTTCTTCCAGGGAACGATAGCGAGTCTCAGGGAAGAAGAAGTAGACACAAGGGAACATGAATGCGTTGCTATCATAGTTAGTTTAAGCTCTGGATTGAGGAAGCTCTGGCCTGAAGCTGGGAACTTACATAACGGCGAAAATAACATAGGTCTTATATCCAATACTGTCGAACGCAACTGGGGTAATCATGACGACCATGAAGTTGAAGATCCAATTGGCACTATTGAAAAGAAAATGATTAGACGTTATTGGGAGATATTGCCGAAGAAATATGAAAAGAGCTTTCATACCTAGTAGCCAACGCATTGGTCGGGGCACGGATTCGCAGGGGCACAATCTCAGCGGGATACAGCCAGGTCATTCCAAGCCAACCGATAGCGAAGAAGGTGTTGAAGACGAAGAGGAAAATCGCCTGTCCAATTCCGGCCCGCTTATCGTCGAGATGTGTCAAGCGGTAGTTGCAGCCTGCAAGAATAGCCATTGAAATCGACATGCCAGCAGCCTGAGGCTCCAAATTAGCTCCGGCCACGAATCAAATAGGAATACGAGGAATGACTTACTCCGATAAGCATCAGAGGACGACGTCCAGCCTTTTCAATAATGTAAATGGGAATAAAGGAAGCCATGAAATATTCGGTACCGTTGCAGGCGGCCAGTAGCTTCGGAAGGCTAGTACCGCCCAGACCAATTTGGGCATAGAGATCAGGAGCCTAAAAGATGTTAATTAAGACCTTTTCTTACCCGCAGACCGGGAAGCTGGCACGGTAGTACTGACATAGTAGGTGATGAGATTGATTCCAGAGATCTGCTGGAACATCTGGTTGACGTAGGCGAGTGCGACACGATGAAACTCTCGGTATTCGCTCATCTTGAACAGACTTCTAAAAGAGCCCTTATTCATTTCCTTGACGGTTTCTTTGATAGCAATGAGTTCGTTTCTGATAAAAGGGTCGTCGCGATCTTTTTCGTTGAGAGCCTCGAGGATCTCCAGCGCCTCGTCATCTCGACCTTCCATAACAAGCCAACGTGGTGACTCTGGAAGATTCATGATGGAGATAAAGATAATGACGGCAAAGAGAATTTGGAACGCAAGTGGGAACCGCCAAGCGACTTCCTTTTCTCCAATGAACGACATGCCTATTTACTAGCTTTCAGCATTCTTGCTAGACTAGAGCCATTGAGGAATTCGAATTACCGTAGTTGATCCAGTAACTGAGGGTAATGCCACCAGTAATAAGGGCACCCTCAATCATCACCATCTTTCCACGATCGTGGGCCTTTGATGACTCGGACTGCCATGTCGGAACAGTACTTGTATTCATGCCGTTTCCAACGCCGGTGACAATTCGACCAATGATAAATTGTGGGAGATCATATGAGGTTGATTGCAACAGCGCCCCAGTAGCCATCGTGACACAACCGCAGAAGATAGTCTTTCGTCGACCGAGGGGGTTACCGATAAAGATAGTCAAGATAGCGCCGAAAAAACATCCTAAATTGTATGCTGCGACGGCGATTCCTTTGTTGGTACTGCGCGTAGAGATGAGGCTTGAATTGCCCGCAATAGCCGGGTCGTCGGGGTTGATATCTGGGAAGTACTTGATGAAGGACGGCAGGTCAAGGATACCGCCAGTCACACCCTGGTCATAACCGAAAAGCCTTGTTCGGAAATTGTTAGTTGCAAAGAAATAGAATTGAAACTAGATATTCCAGAAATGACATACAGGAAATCAAGACTACCAAGAGAACTGATAGCCAAGTTCAGAGAACGGCCTCTGAAGCCGAAGAACCTCGGCCAGTTAAACATGTTGAAACACAGCACGCCAGGCGAGAGTCAAAGGAAGCATTGAGAAGGGGAAAAATGAGCCTGACAGAGACAACAGGTTATATACTATATCCACCGCTCCATTTAAGCCCCCCGGATTAACAAATGTAGTAACCCGAGGTGACCGGGGTTCTACAGGGCATGGGGGAAGCCAAGACGCTTGGAGGCCATCGTGCGCAGCGGGGATGGGCGATTCCACGGTAATAGGATTTGGGGGCGGCTCAGCCGTCAGATTGTAACTGGTCCAAATGCCCAGACATTCACCTGCTGGTCAAAGTACGAAACACTTGGCGGTGATATGCCACTGCTTGGCAAGCGGCATGGCACAACTTGGCGGCCTTACTTGGAAGGGAATTTGCCAATGACTAGCTTTGATGGATTTCATTTTCGGCTATGATCGGAAAATGAAATGAATTTGGAGACCCTCGCAATCCATACTCCGTAGAGTAATTTGAGTTGATGGAAGCTCTCCGGCTCTCCAGCTCTCCAGGGCTGTCGTTGCCTAGGACTGAAGTCAAAAAAATAACCAATGGAAAGTGTAGATATAGAGTGGGCCCAGCCAACCAAACACCCGCCCAGGTGACAATGAACTGCTCGTAAAAATGGATAGAGCTGAACATGGAAAATGTGACGCAACACCAATCAAGTTGAGCCAACATTGGCCTCATCCCATCAATTCATGGCGTTGGTCGATGACATACGCCAAAGGGTGGTGGTGTCGCGCGGGGGCCACACGATCGAGTGAGGCCAAGACGTTGCAACCGGGGGGGTTTTCTGGGCAAAAGCCACGCGAAGGGCGCCTGGTCTTGGCTCAGCCATGGCACCCGGGGAAATGATCCATTCTGCCCACGGGGAAATGGATCATTCGGCCCATCACCAAGGTCTCGGTCCAATTGAAAACAAGAGAAAGACTCTTGGAAGACACAAGGCAGCTTGAATCAGGCAATGAGGTACGTCGGATGAGGCGCATGTTCCTCCATGCTAATGCCAGATGGATTGCTTGATTCTCTCGACGATGATTCTAGGCGTTTGAGATTCTGCGATGGCCATGCGGGCGAGTCGGACTCTGGCGATTGGTCTAGACAGTGGACTGCAGTAGCGACAGCTGCTAACCTAGATCTGTTCGCTGGATTCCACCCTAGGCTCGCTAGCCTCACTCGTACTCCCCTTCCGGGATTCTCATTCTTTTTCGGAATTTACCCGGGTACCGTAGAAGAAGAGTCATCTGAGGTCAATCGACTATTTTGAGAGAGCTCCGATGAGAGTATACCGATTAGCGCCCAGCGCCCCAATGCGCCCCAATGCGCCCCCAGGGCCGTGGCATCCCGGGAAAGGCGCTTTGTGATGCGATTGAGATTTCCGAAGCCGGCTAGGCGCACCATGGGTAAAGCTAAAGAGCTTCCGTTTTCTCTCAACCCGACCGGAGAACCATCCTCCCCGGCGCCAGAGTCTCGAGCCCACGGGTGGTATTATACCTCCGGGTGGCGGTCCTTTGGCCAAAGCCACGCTGGCTCGGCGTCGTCACTGGCAAAATCCCTGGAACGTGCACCCGCCCTACAAGTTACGAGTGTCTGAGTCTCAAGTCTCAAGATCTCGTCGCCAATGCGAACCAGGCGGCTTTCTCGTTCGAGTCACACAGCGCGTCTTAAATTTCTCGGCACCGGGAGATGGACCAGCCTAAAATAACATCTGGCCCTCTGCATCGTTGAGACACTCCGCCGAGTCAACTTCAAGGTTGAATGGAACCAGTTAAATGCAAGGATCGGCCCTTTAAATGTCCGTCGCAGGTGCTCCTGCGAATCTCAACAAAGAAAGGAGACCCACGTATTGTTGGATTTGATCAAGACATATGATAGGTCGCCGGCAATCACTTTTAGACGCGGCCGATATTAGACCAGATGACTTTGATGCGCTCTTTCTCTCGGCGAAACTTCCTAATGACATATGTGGATCGAAGTGAAAGGTAGCTAGCTCCTCGCTTGGTGCCGCTGGTCTGGAAAAACAAGCGACTCGGTGTCTGAGCGCATACCTGCGGTGGCAGCCCAGATAGGAAACCCGCACCTGTCAGGATTTTTCCGCTTTTAGTAGTACTTGTATGTATATTCAAGGGGATAGGAATAGCGTAGCAAATTAGGGTGCTTAGGAGTGGATCTCAAACGGGGCAGTACTGTGAAAGGATGCGGTAGATCCTCAACGGCCTGGACTGGTGACTGGGTTAATCCGTGGAAGAATTTGGCTAATGTACAGGGCTTCTTCCACTGCCTAATCATTCAGAAGACAGTGACGTCAGTGGACACAGCAAAAAAGAATACTTTATCCGATGGTGCAGAGAATTTGAGCAGGTAGCTACGGCTACATGCCATCAGAATTACCCTGGACATAAGTGCCACTAGTTCTGGAGCGATTGCCGGGCGATAAGCAAGTCACAAAGGTTAATAATCACGGTGATCTACGTTTTTGGCGACCGCTGTGGATTAGACTTTCAAAGTGGGCTACTCGAGGGTTTATCATAATAATGACCACAGGACCGAGGATGGGTATACCCTTACGAGTAAAAATGGGCCATCGCTGTCTAGCAAAAGATCCTGAAAACAGATTTGAAGCACATCAGTTTTTATTTCTAGTAACTCCCAGGCAGAAATTCATGTTGAGACTCGTACGAGTATACGAGTAGTTTTTGACTTCGGAGATTAGACGAAGGCTCCGAAATTGGATGACAATGAAATAGCGGTGACTCTAGGATATAATGTGCACTCGGCGAGGGATTCCAAATCAATCGGACATAGCTCGGAGCTAACAACTAATCTTAATAAGTGGCTTATTGATGACTGCAACTGCAGCCCACTAGAAGCGCCACTAGAAGCGCCATTGTGAACTATGATCTGACTGTTAGTGTGATCTTAAATTTATAACTTCTAGGTACATGAACTACAGTCCAAATAAAGTCCTGATCTGGGACCAGAACCGTGTTTCGAAGATGCTGACAACGGGCCGATCTATCCGCAGTGGCCAAAAAGAAGAAAAGTCGCCGAAAAACCTCGGCTCGGGCAGGCATTGCACCGTTGGTCCTTGCAGAAAATCTGGGTTTGGCGGGTCCGTTTCCAACGGCTCAGGATCATTATAGGCGCATACACTGCTCGATCTGGAATTCTCCGACTCAGGGGACCCTTACGGAATCTACTCGATCCTATAGAGGTTAAGCTTATCCTGATAGTGTGGAATTCTCTCGAACATTTTTTGATGACGGGCGAGCTCCACCTCCAATTTTTTTTTTCCGCGCGCGACAACTCAGGCCCACCGAAGAATCCTGATCGCTGGAAACGCGGCACATCTTAAAAAATATGATGAGAAATCGAGGTCTAGAAACGTGGTGCCACTGAAGATCTTGAAAATATTTAAAAGCAAGGATGGAGAACTGGAGCTGTATCTTAATTCTTTCCAACAACTTGAATCAATCAATTCTATTCATATACCCCAAATTTCATAATCGTCCTTTTCTACAATCAAAATGAGCGTCACATTTGGAGTTTTCCGCGGTTCCCAGGAGGGCCAAATTGTTGCGGACAAGACTACTCGCGAACTGCAGCCCAATGAGGTCTATATCGAAACTACCCACTCCGGTCTCTGCGGTACCGATGAGCACTACCTGAAGTCGGGACAAGTTCTGGGTCACGAGGGTGTTGGTGTTGTTCGCCAGCTCGGACGTGACGTTAAGAATGTCAAGGTTGGCGAGCGTGTTGGATTCGGATATACTCACTATGTCTGTGGTACCTGTGAGAAGTGCCTGACTGGTAAGTGAACAAGAGAAAACCCACAAAACCAAAGGAATCATGGCTGATAGATCTTCACAGGCTGGGATCAGTACTGCGAGAACAAGAAGGAGTACGGTTCTCACGACCACGACCTCGGATCCTTCAGCCAGGGTGTCGTCTGGGACGCCGGCTGCGTCGTTCCCATTCCTGATGGATATGACTCTGCCGATGCTGCTCCCCTGATGTGCGCTGGCGCCACTGTTTGGACCTGCTTGACTGAATACGGTGTTCGTCCTACCGACCGCGTTGCTGTGATGGGAATCGGTGGCCTGGGTCACCTGGCTATCAAGCTCGCCTCTGCCATGGGCTGCCACGTCGTGGTCTTCTCTAGCTCCGAGGCCAAGCGCGAGGAGGCTTTCAGCTTTGGTGCCTCCGAGTACCACGTCTTCCGTGCTGGCGAGGAGCTCAAGGACTGCAAGCCTGTCAACCACCTTCTCCTCTGCGGTAGCGCCAATGTGGATTACCCATCGTAAGTTGACAAGCTCATGGCTATTAGAAAATTTTGGGCTTTGCTAACATTTTAACTTCAGCCTCATTCCCCTGATGGACGTCCACGGATCTATCTACCCTCTTACCGTTGACTTCGCGCCCTCTCCCGTCCCTCTGCTCTTCATGAACATCAAGGGTATCCGTATCCAGGGATCCCTTGTCGCTTCCCGCCGTAGCTTGCGAACCTTGGTTCAATTTGCTGCGGATAAGAAGATCACCCCTACCAAGATGACCTTCCCCTTGAACAAGGAGGGTGTCGAGGAGGCCATGCAGACCCTCCGTGATGGAAAGATGAGATATCGCGGTGTTCTGGTTCGCCAGTAGGCGAATTATTCCTGGCAAAGGTTTTTGAAATGAAATAGATATATGAAAATAGCATAATAGATCATAGAAACGTTGAGCGTTTGAAATTTACCATCATTTGGAACATTTTTAAGAGTCACATTGATCGGGGATGGGAAGCCAATTGCAATGCACCAACATTTAAGGCTTCCAAGTATTGTCATTTAGAAAAAGACGCTATGTAGAAGCTAATGCAAGTACCCGACACACTTCTTCATGTGATCAATCCGATCGAACTTTGAACTGAGGAGCCGTCCTCCCCGTCACAACGCCCACCGTATTCTTAACCTCAAATGAATGAAACTTATCCAACGCCCTGCGCATATCCGGCTCACCAACACGCAATTGCTCCAAAATTTCCGCAACTGCAGAATACAAAATCGGAATACTGCCATCCTCAATCTTAACCGCAATCCCAATACCCCCCCGTGGCTCCGATCTCTCTCGTCCACGATGAATCCTTCACGCCAATACCATAGCACCCATCGGCACCAAGTTTACCAATCACCTCCCCTCCAAACGCCCTCATGAGGATTGTGCAAAACCGATCGTCACCTGCCACGTTCTCAGGATACCGCGCCATAGCATGAAACACCCGACTCATAGATCTCAATCTCGTAATTTCACCATCACCACCATCACCATCCAAAGCCGGGATCCGAGTCACGGCATCCGCAAAAGCAGCATACATGCGCGCAAGATAATTCAGCGGAAATGCCGGCGCAGGAAGATTACACCCGTCCAGGCCCCATTTCGAATCTCCAGGATTCAAACCACAAATCTCATCCACGGTCCGCATGATGCGTTTCTGAAGCGGGTGTGCAGGTAAATGATAACTCTGTACATCAGTATCCAACGCCTTAGCCGCAGCGATCATACCAGCATGCTTGCCAGAACAATTACTGCAGACAGGAGTCGGGGTGAAATCCGCTTTAATCCACTTCTTGTGAACAGTGTCTGAGACTGGAACGTGTCCGCCGCATTGGAGATCATCTTCCGAAGCGGAGATTTGGGCGAGGATATTTCTCGCCCGCGCGATGTGGTGCCCCTCGCTGCTGTGTGAGGCGCACATTAGGGCCAGATCAGATTCGGTGAGATCATATTTCTCCAAGGCCCCTGTTTCAAGGATGGATACTGCTTGTGCGGGCTTTGCGGCTGAGCGCGCCAGGGTTATTCGTGTTGGGTCGCCGACGCTGTATAGAATGTTACCTGTGCTGTCGACGATGGCGGCGTGGACGGCGTGGCGGTTTTCGATTACGCCTCCGCGCTCTGTGATCACGAAATCTGTTGATAAGGGCGTTCGCATGATGGCGATGTGTGTTTGGTTCCAAGGTTGTGCTGACGGCGTGCGGCGCAGTGGTGGGAGTTTAGAGAAGCGGGCGGAAGGGCCGTGGAGCACTGAGATGGGCGAGACTTATGAGATGACGCTATTTGTGTGTATTAATACCCTTGGCAGTTTGAAAGGGGTAGCGTATGGCCTATGTCACATTCAGTCGAGCTTGAAGATATGACTCGATATGACTCTGAACTCTGATATTTTTGTCTGGCACGGGCCGCTACCCGTTCAAGTTGTGTGTCGAGGTGGGATCGGCAGGTCCCGAGCCCAGCGGAACGGATCTCGTCTAATCCCATTTTCTTCAAATTGCAGACCATGGCTGATCGAGATGCGGAGGTGTACTAGTATATTCTATTACTTAGGCATTCCTGGAAGCTAGGGTAAATTGAGTGGGAAGCAATGGTAGAAGGTAGTTGTGGACAGATAAGAAATCTTGTGTTCTATGTGAATGATCGAAGCTTCTAAATGACAGAAATATCCCCCTCTAAGTGTATGGTGTAGGGCAAAACCAAAAACAAGAACAAACAAGAACAAGAACGCTCATGTAGTAACGAACAAAAGGTTTTCGAAAACGCCGATAGAAATCGCTCAGTAAATCGCTTCAATGACAGACCAAAATGAGAACATTAAATGTGTGCGAGTGCATGGAGATCTAAATGTGACAAGAGAATGGTAGAAGATGAAACAAGAGTAGGAAATGTCGAAAGTGTAGAAGACTAGAAGCTGAAAAGACCAGTACGCTTCTTGCCATAAGGGTAGACAATGAGGGCAGCAATGAACAAGCCGACAGTAATGCCGATGGCGACCTGGATCATACCGAAGCCGAGACTGGCGACGGAAGACGCGGATAAACTGCTGCTAGAGGAGCTGTTGCCGGACGTTTGGAGATTGTGTCGGACTTCATCGGCATACTTAATGCCAGCGATGAGGGAGCCACTTGAGGCGAGACCAGAGGGAACCAGGACGAAGATACCGGGCAGAATGGCGGTGGCGGCGTGACCGTGCCAAAGACGACTGTACAGATTGCCGAGAACACCGATGGTGAATGCGCCGACGGTATTCGCGACCTCGGAGTTGGAGCCAAGTTTTGTCGTGCTGAAATAATTTGTGATGTAACCCGAGACAGCGATGACAACCATGACCGGCATTTGCTTCCACTTTCCTTGATTGACGATTGCGAGAAAAATTGCGTAAATTGCGACGAAAGGAAACTGTCGTGTGTATTCAGATCCGTAGATACTGAGATTGGAACATGTAGATGATGATGTGGCGTTACCATCCATGAGGCCATATATCGTGGTCCCCACGGTGATACCGTAGCCAAGGAAAAGTGAATAGATGATAGCGTAGACCATGCGAATCGACCCAGCGATCATCTGGTGTGACTGCAGTTCCAAACTGCTACAGAGAACCATAAAGCCGGGAAGAATAAGCGCGATGGATGATTGTGCCAAAGCAGAGAAGCAGAAAAGCTCCTCTTGAACCCCATTGCGGGTGATTTTGATACTCCCAAAAGCACGAGCGAGGAAAGAAGTGAGCACCGCGGCAGTCACCTCGAAGACGTTGGAATACAAGACAGAGCGTGGGGCGAGGACGTGTTGCATTAGACCGACCAGGCATCCCAGAATGAAGATGATGGGCATATCGATCGGACGCGCCTTGAAAGCGAAGGGTCCAACAGCAGCACTCGCTAGACCATACATTCCAACGAGAATCCACCTGTTAAATCGAGGCTTCCGTTGCATGATCTCATCCAGCTCCTGGCTTGCTTCTTCAACCCCAATAAGATCATGTACAACATTTTTGTAGACGTTGTGCGTGTCGGCAAGACGGCCCAGGTCAACACCCTGAACCATACGGACCAGCTTGACCTCGGCGGTGCGAGTAACCGGATCATCGAAAGACATCATCATGCAACCCGGGAGGTACAGAAACTGACCGGAAACCTCAAGAACACGGGCAGTCATCTGCATGTACTCCTCCAAACGGTGAGTGGGCGCACCGTAGCGCATAAGCGCCCGGCAGAGCTGCATGATGTAACGCTGGCGAGCCAAGATCTCGGCGATATGAACAGTAACACGGATCTCATCTTCAAGGCGAGTCTTGCGCTTATTTTTCCTGTGTTTCTTGCCTGGCTGAATAGGAGCAATCCCGGGCAAAGTGGTGCTGCTGAGATTCATGGAAGCGTCGACCAGCGACGAGGTCGATCGATGATTCGACTTCTTATACCATTTGAGCTTCTCCCTGCGTGGGGTAGCAGCACCAGATGCCAGGGCAGACGGGGGAATCGATGGAGAGAGAGAGCCCTTCTTCGGAGTCGTCGCACCGGACGAGAATTGGGTGTCGCTATCCGAGTCATCGGTGATAACACTGCCTGGGCGAGACGATCCGTTTGTCGAAACAGCTTGGAGCTTCAGGAGCTGCGAGAGGATACCGCTACCGCCAGCCAATCCACTAGATCGTCGGCGTGCAAATCCACGCAGGACACCCTCCGGAGTTGTTTGGCCCGACCGCTGGTATGCGCCACGCGGCCGACGTTTGCGCTCCTGGGCCTGGGTCATGCTGCGCACCAGGCGATGGGCCTCGGCGGTCGGGGCTGCCTCGATGGGCTGAACACCGCTCTCCAACGATCGGAGTCGGTCTGCATCATGACGGGCGCGTCGTGCTTGAAGCTCCTCCAGAGGAATACCATTGTCGAAATCATCGGGGAAGTAGGAGGCGTTCAGGGCCTCGCCTTCATCGGGAGGACGACCCAGACGTTCCGTGAGACGAACGGTCTTCTGGCGCAGCAGCTGACCAGCAGCCCGAAAGCGCTCTCTTGCGGAAGCAGTTCGCTCGATGAGGCTTTGCTTTTCCTCCTCGGCGGGCTCGGCAGGCGATCCCTCCTCGTCTGGCATGCGGCGACCGGTGAGGCCGCGTGAATAAGAATGTGCGGGGACTGGCGGGGTGACGGTTCCGGAAGGCACTTCGCTCAACTCTGGTGGCGGCAACAAATGCTGTGAGGGATCGGATCGGTCGGAGGAGTTTCGACGAGAGCCATCACGACTGTGGCCACGACCATGGCCATGACTGTGAAATCTCTCGCTTACCGAGCGGCTGATTGAACGGAAACGCACTCGCGGCGAACGAATTGGTGGGGTGGACTGCGTTGGCGGCGTCTGCGTGTCGTGCAGCCCCGCATCATACTGATGCACATCTGCAGTATCTTCTCGCTGGAGGCTGGGACGAGTCGGACTGAGGGTTGGACTGAGAAGTGGACTGGGGAGAGTTGTCGCAGGAAGGGAAGTTGGAAAGGGAATTTCATCGAATTCTTCGGTCGGGCTTGGGTGAGGGCCAACGATCGGGGAGGACATCAGAGCGAGAGAGGAGGGACCAAATGGCCCAGTCTATTGGAAAAGAAACACGATAGAGAAAGTGGGAAGAATAAAGGATAAAGGAGTTGAATTGGATAAAAGAAGGAATCAAACACAAGACAAAGTAGAAAGTAGAAAGCAGAAAGCAGAAAGCAGAGGGAAAATATTTAGTAGAAAGCAGCCAGTGGAGCAAGCCAGATGGAGTACAAAGTATTTACTTGGCTCGACTCGGCACTTTTGAGAGAGTCTAGATTGATGATCGACCGAAGATCAGATCCAGCGATAAGGCACAGTACAGTATACTGTCCTTACAGTATACTCTGTAGTCTGTAGTATCTATGGGATGTAGTTACTTGGGGCACCTGACTTCCTCACCTTCCTCACTTCCCTCAACTTCCCTTCTTACTTCACACCACTACATCGATTCTTCGCGACTCTTCCTTTTCCCTTCTTTTCCTTCTTTCCCTTCTTTTTTTTGCCTCTTCCGCTTCTCCTGACAGGAGTCAAATCCCTTCTGCCAATGATGGCGCCTAGCCGGACACACGTACCACCTGTACATCACCCAAGGGTGGGTCGGTGGCGAGCTTGGACCGAGTCTTCCGTCGTCCGATGGTTCGTTCCAGCTTCTATCTCTTCTTTCTTGTAGGGTCCTGCGAACCCTAATACGTTCTAGCCTCACACCGTTCGACTTTTATCTCCTGCTCACCATGGGAAATATCTGAAATCCCTGAAAATGGTCGACCCTAAAAACGCCCGTGCTATTTTCCACATCCACTGTTGGGCACAATCTTGCTTTGCGTGATTTCCTTTCGGGACCTCCGTCTGACGATCGGGATCCACGGAGTTCCATCACGGCCCTCCATGGATTTTCTTTTCCAATCGAGATATAGCCACCTCCTGAGCTCAGGAGCTGATGTGGACTCTTCGCAAGGAGGTATGTCAGCGCCATGGTCCACCACGATGTGATCATCCAGCCATGACATTGACAACTTGTGACAAGTGGAGACCGCAAACATGGCCGAAAAAGCTCCCAGCCAAGCGCCCCCCCCGGTTAAACATAGAAACAGGCCCACTCGCCGAGAAATAAGGGCGACACACTATTCACCATTACGAATCCCCGAGACATGAGAATGAGAAGATGTGCTCAATACTGTACCCGCGCCACTCGCAGGAAGTGGAAGTGGGCCCCTGGATAGTGGGTGGATGAAATGAATTCCATTTCCATTTCCTAAACGCCTGTGATATGATGCTATGATGCTCGAGTCCAGAACGCCTATCTCATCCCCCATACCCCATCCATCTACCCCCACCACCCTTCGTCACACATTGCATATGTATTTCACATTTGTTTTGCTTTTGCATTTGCATTTGCATCGACCATCGGTCATTGCGCATATGCGATGCATGAAACAAACAACATGTGGCAACTTGGCCCCTGCTTTATTCCTCCGAGCGCTTCTTCTTATCGGGCAAAGCCCAGCCATTCAAATATCCCACGCCCACATTGAGATATGAAGCGTATCCCAACCACGCGTAGTACGGAGTCATCAACCAAAAGGCTGTCCGGTCGGCCGTCCACCAATTGGCCAACAGGAAGGTCAGGTTGCCTACCAAGAGGGCCATATCGCCCAGAGCCGCGGCCGGCCGCCCCGCCCCGAAGAAAAGCGGCATCCAGAGGAAGTTGAGTGCCAGCTGCGTTGTGTACAGCGTCTGGGCCGTTTCGTTTGCGTCACGAACCGCCAGTGAGAGCGACCCGGCTGCTGTTTCGGTTGCGTGGTGCGCGGCATAACCCATCATTCCGTACAAGACGGTCCAGGCAGGGGCGAAGAGCCATGCCGGCGGACTGAACGGCGGTTGGCGGAGGTCGCGGTAAGTTGTTTTGGTGTTTTTCTCTGTAGATGCGGTGTGAGCGGGTGTATTTCGGGATTTGAGTCGGATTCATGCATGGTTGGGGGGGAGATTTCACTCACGGTTGACGGCCAGCGCGACGGCCATTCCGCCGACAATGGGCGTGGCGATCGATAGCAGCGGAGAGGTGAACACCCCCTGGGGAGCGCAAAGGACCACGGCATGGTTATTGACCTAGACCTTGGATCTGTGTTTGTTCTATTTTTTCTCGCCTCTTCTCTAATCTGGAGATTCTGATCCTTTTTTTGCGGAGAAGGGGGGGGATCAACTTTAAGGACGCGCATGAAGCCGGCCGATCGCGATCTGGCGATTCCCATCCGCCACTACGTCACCGGCTCACTTTTGCCGATGCCGCGAGCCACTTCGCTTAGGCGACATTCCAAAAGCCAGGAAAAAAATAGAAAGCTATCCCATTCTCAGTCGGCTGTTCGGACCTCGATCTGGATGAAATAGGATGAGGTTGTAATCCAAGGTTTGATTGCTGGTGCCTGGTCGCTCATGCGCGTTCTAGAGCATCCCGGTCATCCCTGTGCGACTTACGCTCCATCAGAAATGGTCTTCCTTCGACGGGGACTTTTTATCATCTTAGCCTGCTAGTTCAGCCATTGCCACTGGCGAAAGGGGCTGATATGACTGCTAAGTGACCGGTTAGAAAAGTTTCAGCAACTATATAAAATGATGAGAGGGAGGGCAACCTAAAGGGTCTAGCTTTGTCCAGTATCGGTGACTTATTTTGATTCCTTCCTCTGATTCGCAATCGACAAGATGCGATTGCGTCTTTTGTGCCTCCATGGATGGGGCACAAGTGAAAAGGTTAGCTTTTTATTTGCTAAAAGAGGCGCGAGACTGAGTTGCGTTACGACTGACCCAACTACTGTATCGTAGATTCTACGCTCGCAATTGAGTATGGATAAATTCGATACCATTGCATCGGGCTCAACCCCCTGATTGATAACCCATTGATAGGTGGACTCATCGGTGACCTGCAGAAAGACAACAAGGCCACATTTCATTTCCTAGAAGGCGAGGTCGACTCCGATGCTGGACCGGGCATCGCCGGTTATTACGACGGGCCCTACTATAGCTATTATCGTTTCCCACGGACATTTTCCCTTGAAGATGCAGACGAGACAGATATTCTAGAGGCGTACGAGCTGCTGTACGAAACAATCTCCTTCCATGGCCCTTTCGATGGCGTGTTGGGATTTTCTCACGGTGGCACACTGGCCGCTGGTTTCCTGATCCATCATGCCAAACAACAGCGCGCCGGAATATTGCCGCCGGAGGCTCCGCCGTTCCGCTGTGCTATCTTTGTCAATTCCCTGCCTCCTTTTCACATGAATCCCGGGGAACATCCTGTTATAGACGAAGACCTGGATGGGTACATTACCATACCCTGTGTAAGCATTGCAGGCGCACAAGATCCACTTTTCAACTGTTCTCTGGCCCTACATCAAATTTGCGACTCACGTTCTTCAACATTCGTGGTGCATGGGAAAGGTCATGATGTCCCCACAGATCAGAGAAACGTAGCCATCATGACATCTGCAATTCGCAAGTTGTCTATCCAGATTTCTGGAATATGAGCTGAGGCATTGGTGGGAATTCCGAGCTCGAGCCAGCAGTGAGCAGGGAGGGAGAAAGAAACAGAAAGTTGAAAACAGCCAGATATCGATACTCTTCTGTGCATGACTCGGCGATTTATATGTCAACTCCACTCGATTCTAGGGTTGCAAATCTTCTGGGTTGGCAATCATCTACAAATGACCCGAGGATATTACCAAGTGCAAAGCTCTGCAGCTATAGTCAGGTCAGAAGCTCGGTAGTTTGGCAATTTAGACCATTTTGTTTCTTTTTTTTCCCTTTTTCACATAAGTCAGTCCTTCGTGTCAGATACTTCGGCATCGGGACCCAACATGAAAGAAATTCCCATCACGCTTGAGGCATCCAACTCCAGGTTGTTGATGGAATGCACCAACATAGGTGAAACAAGAGACTCTGAGCAATCAGCTCAAAATATGCATGATGGGTTTTCAATCTTGGCCGACGATGCTTCAATGCCGATAGCGGTTATAGGAATGGGGTTTAGAGGCCCCGGAGACGCAACTAATGTGGAAAGACTGTGGAAGGCTCTACTGGAGCAACGTGAAGAATGGTCACCCATCCCAGCAAAACGATGGAATAGCTCCGCATTCTATCATCCCGACCACGCGAGACATGGCACGGTGAGGATCCAAGATGACTCAAGTCAGCGGCCCATTTTATGCTTAGTGACTTTATTATCCAGATCAACGTAGAAGGCGGTCACTTCCTCGAAGAAGATATATCGTTATTCGACGCGCCATTTTTCAACATGTCCAGCGACGAGGCGGCAGCTATGGATCCTCAACAGAGGTTATTGCTGGAGGTTACATATGAGGGGCTAGAAAACGGTAGGCCCCCTCCCCTCCCCCCAATCGGATGATCAACAAACACACCACTGAAATTTTTAGCTGGACTGTCTCTGCACCAGGTTGCCGGGAGCAGGACTTCATGTTTTGTTGGATCATTTTGTGCCGACTATACCGATTTACTTCTTCGGGATCCTGAAGCAGTGCCGATATACCAGTGCACGAATGCCGGACAGTCTCGCGCTATGACTGCAAATCGCATATCCTACTTTTACGATTTGAAAGGGCCCAGCGTCACAGTTGACACGGCTTGCTCTGGTAGTTTGGTTGCCTTGCATCTTGCATGTCAAAGTCTTCAAACTGGGGATGCGACAATGGCAATTGCGGCTGGGGTTAATGTTATTTTGAGTCATGAGTTCATGTCCACGATGAGTATGATGAGGTATTAAATATAGTATTTACAACAATCTTTTGGTAGTATATACGCTTACCCTTTCACAGATTTTTATCGCCAGATGGACGCTGCCATACCTTTGATGAAAAGGCCAATGGCTACGCAAGGGGCGAAGCAATAGGTTGCGTTCTTCTAAAACCCCTGGATCAAGCATTACGAGATGGGAACACTATAAGAGCAATTGTCCGCGGAACTGGGTCAAACCAGGATGGCCGAACACCAGGAATCACTTTGCCCAGTGGTGCCGCTCAAGAAGCGTTGATTCGAGACGTTTATGACAGATGTGGGCTGTGTCCAGGTCAAACGGACGTTGTGGAGGCCCACGGCACCGGTACGCAGGCAGGTGATCCTCTAGAAACAGGTGCGATATCGCGAGTATTTGGCCATAGGCGTTCTCCAGACAACCCCGTATATATTGGATCCATCAAGACAAATGTCGGACACCTGGAAGGGACTAGTGGAGTTGCGGGGGTTATCAAAGCCGTGCTGATGCTGGAAAATCAAACAATTCTTCCTAGTCGGAACTTCGATACGCCAAACCCACGCATCCCCCTCGAAGAATGGAGGCTGAAAGTAGGTATATAGGATATTTCCTATATCCACAGACTAATGTGAACAGGTACCCCGATATCCGGAGGACTGGAATAACCCCGGTCCGCGTCGAGTGTCAGTAAATAGCTTCGGCTATGGAGGGAGTAACGCTCATGCTATTCTCGAAGAGGCCTCCGGTTATCTATCTTCACGGGGTCTGGCCATATGGCATAAACAGCCGTCAAAAGCTAGCTGGAGAAAAAGAATTGGAAATGACACATTTTCAGTCGCTTCGACTCCCAGACAGAGAATATTCCTAATGTCTGGATTTGACGAGCACTCATGCAAGGCGCAAGCCAAGTCTCTCTATGGGTATTTGTTAAAGAACGAAAGTATCATTGACAATATCTTCCTCGGTGATGTCGCTTCTACCTTGAGCGAAGGTCGATCCCGGTTCATGTGGAAGACAGCAGTTACTGGGAGTTCAGTCCAAGATTTGGCCGAATCGCTTTCAAACGAAATAAAACCTCGGATTTCATTGAAAAGGCCAATCTTGGCCTTTATCTTCACAGGACAAGGGGCGCAGTGGGCTGGCATGGGAAAAGAATTGTTAGACACGTATCCAATATTTTGTGAATCTGTTTCTCGAATTGACGTTTATTTGGCGGAAATGGGAGCGTCGTTCAAGGTTTATGGTACGCATTAACATTTAACCCCTCCCTCAATTGAGATAGGACCAGATGGGCTGATAGTAACAATTTCTCAGACGAAATATCCAAAAGCCCTCAAGACTCCCAGCTCAACTATCCCCTTCTCAGTCAAACGGTGTGCTCAGCGCTGCAAATAGCTCTCGTTGACCTTCTTTGGTCCTGGAAGGTATATCCAAACTCGGTGACGGGTCATTCCAGCGGTGAAATTGCTGCTGCGTATGCGAGTGGTGTGCTGAGCATGGAAGATGCTATGAAAGTCGCTTATTACAGAGGGTTGTGCGCTAGCAAGATTTTAGCATCGAATGAGGTTCGAGGCTCCATGATAGCTGTAGGAGTTTCGGAGGAGGCGATAGAACCATACCTCTCGAGCCTTGTTTCTGGGAAAGCTGATGTGGCTTGCATTAATAGCCCTTCGAGCGTCACGGTGTCGGGCGATACAGAGGCGATTGCCGAATTAGCCGACAAGTTGAAGGCGAAGTCCATCTTTTATCGGCGCCTCGCTGTGGACGTTGCATATCACTCTCATCATATGAAGGTTTTTGCTGATGAGTATCTAAGTGCGATTGCAACTATCGCCCCCCGAGACCAACGTGTGGCCACAGATGAAACTTGTCAGCCTTTTGCGGTATCTATATTTTCCTCTGTGACTGGCAAATGCATTCTACCAGAAGAGTTAGGCCCCCGATATTGGGTCTCAAATTTGCTTCAGCAAGTCAAGTTTTCAGACTCCCTCAAAGCTCTATGCTTCGAAACAAATCCATGGCATCATCGCACAAGTCTATTGAATGGACGGAAAGGAAAGAGAATAGGATCCGCTCAAAAGGCAAGCGTGGGCTGCCTTGTTGAGATTGGTCCCCACTCGGCGCTTTCTGGTCCCGTGAAGCAGATCATACAATCCAATGTCAAGCTTAGCACTGCCGATATTTCATATCTCAGCATCCTCACACGAAACAAAGACGCAGTTAAATCGGCGCTGGGTGCTGCTTCGACCCTTGTCTCTATGAATTACCCGCTAGATCTGAATGCTATCAATTTTGCGAAAGGAGCAGCAACCCAAAGACGACCCAGACTTCTTATCGATATGCCTCCATATTGCTGGAACCATACCAGATCTTACTGGATTGAACCACGCTTGAGCCAAGCATTTCGGAGTAGAAGCCAACCGCGAACAGATCTACTTGGCACATCAGACAATATCGCATGTCCTTTTGAACCTCGATGGCGAAATTTCATCAGGGTTTCAGAGATTCCTTGGATCATGGATCATAGGATTCAATCGGTCATTGTTTTTCCTGCTGCAGGATATTTGTGCATGGCGACTGAGGCCGCAACGCAGGTATTAGGAAACTCACAAATAATGTCTGCCATCATCATGAGGAATGTTTATATTCACTCGGCTCTCATCGTTACCGAAGCTAGCGAAGTTGAAGTATTGACTTCACTTACACCACATGGAGAAAGCCGGATGCATGATTCACGAGAATGGTATAGATTCCATATATATTCGGTTTCAAGGGAGAATAAGTGGACGGAACATTGCTCGGGGGATATCAACGTCGAATCGCAACCCAATCGTGCAGAGGAAGTGACAATTCACTATTCAGAAAGTTCGAATATCCATCCCCCCAGTTCCAAGCCCCAAGGCATTCGGGTAGTCAATGTTGACCGTCTTTACGACCTACTACGGAAGGCAGGGCTTGAGTACGGGCCTTACTTTGCTAATTTGACATCCGCCCACGCAACAGAAACTGGAACATGCTTCGCTGAGATCACGATACCGAATACCGCAACAGCCATGCCGATGAATTTCCAATATCCCCTCCTCATTCATCCCTGTACGCTGGACAGTGTTTTCCACACGATATTTGCTGCGCTGCCGCAGGACATGGGGGTAGAAAAGGGTCCTATTATCCCAGTGTCACTCGACTATATGCGCTTGTCTTATCAGATGACTTCTTTGCCCGGAGACAGATTAAGCGTTTGTACGGATGTTCGGCCTGGCTCGCGGGGACAGATCGTCGCGTCGATAGTCGTTGCTGAGAATGATTCCAAGATGTGCAGTCTGAACCCGAAAATATCAATCAGCGGGTTGAGGGGTACCCGGCTTGAAGTTGCACCAAACATGAGCGAAAGTTCAAAGAATGTTCCCATTGCATACGGAATTGAGTGGCGAGCAGACCCCATGTTTATCACCAAGGGTGAATTGTCACCCCTTCATCAAAATAATGGTAGCTCGAGAGAGAGTCTCACTTCGCGAGACGAATACGACTACTATGTCACAGTCCTAATACAAAATGCGATCGAAGCTTTCAAAGAAGAACATAGTCGGAAACCAGATTTAATCTACGACAAGTACAAATCGTCGTTGTCGGAAATACTTCGAGTACATGCAATCGACGAGAACAAATCACTTGATCAGATAATACTAACCAACAAAGCTCCTTCGAGTTCGATGGGAAGGCTAATCAACATGATAGATGCCTACCTTGCTTCATTATCCCAGGTCGAAGACGAATCTTTTACCCAACTTCACGAAGAGCTTTCCAACGCTCATCACGAAGTTCTTTCAATGGATAAAGCATACATTGCTGCCTTGGATCATATCAAGCTTATTGGATTTAAGAAGCCAGACATGTCAATTCTACAACTCTGTGATGGAATAGTTCGGCCATTGACACTCTTTCTCGAGGCTCTGTTGGCCGATATCAGCAGCGAGGAGTTTGCTTTCCCTCCCTTCTCAAGATACACTTTTACATACCACGACGAGGAAGACCACGAGCGAGCACAGTTGTACTTGGAAAAATGGACAAAGTGGATCGATCTTGTGAAGCTCGGAGATCCGCGCGGAATTTCCGATTCTTCTGCGCCTCGACCCGACGATTTTTCCTATGACCTTATCATCGTACCAAATGGATTTCACCAATTCCATTCCAGTCTCGAGGCGCTTCAAATATGTCGCTCCATGCTGAAGCCGTCTGGAACTTTGATTATCGTCGACCCGCTTCGTCCCAAAGAGAGCATTCTAGATAATTTCCTGACCACCGCTTTATATCTATGGCCCGTGGGAAATTTCGAGCCACCGAGGGGATTTGAAGATGAGGGAGGTGACCTCGATGATATGATTTATAAAGCTGGGCTTACGTCGAATCGAGACGCTGGCAGCATTGACAGTGACCGGAAGATGAATCTCGTGGAAGGCTTCATAATTTGCCAGCCAGAACATGAGGCAAAGCTCATCGACAGGGAATTCTTGATAATCCAAGCAGATGGTGACGAAATATCCATGACTGAATGCTTGAGATATGATCTCTTGGGCACATGCCCGAAGGTTGACACATCATGTCTAGCTGCAGCAAATGCGATAGGAAAGGTTTGCATTGTGTTCAATGACGTACATGAGAATGTCCTTGCAAGCCCAGATTTCGAGACTCTTTCAAAACTGAAAGAAATATTTCTTTACAGCAGCGGTGTACTTTGGATCAGCCGCGGTGGAGCTATTGATCCAACATTCCCTGGATACGGACTTGATGTTGGCTTTGCCAGAACGGCTAGATCCGAGTCTGCCGTGAAGCCGATTATCACGCTTGACCTAGACGCACAAAATCCGTTGACGAATCAGAGATCTGCGAAATTAATCACGACGTTGATTCAGAAATGCTTTTCTCAGATGAACTCTGGAGACATGGATACGGAATATGCTGAAAGGAATGGAGTTATTATGATACCACGAGCAATGGAGCGGTCAGATATCAACCAAGACTTGGGTCACATCAAGGAGACCGAGATCCAATGCGAACAGCATTTCCGACAAGTCGAAAAACCAATCCGGGTTTGTAGACCGAATGGTCACAATACTATACACCCGCATCTCGCAGCAGACTTTGAAATGACCAGTCCGCCACCAACAGGATATGCGAGGATCGAAGTAATGGCATTTGGACTGGGCGAATGGGATATGCAAGAAGATGCAGATGAATTCCAGTCGAGAGGAACATTGGGTTTAGAATGCAGCGGCCGAGTCCTGGCAATCGGGCCAGGGGTACACTCTCTTTCTATCGGTGATCGTGTCGCTTGTCTTGGGACCGGAACAGCAAGGAGCTACTATCAAGACAGAGATACCTCTTTTCAAAGAGTTAGCGATTTCATAACTTATGAAATGGCTGCCGCTGTACCTGTCGAATATACGACTGCATACTACATTATACACTATTTGACAAGGACCAGGCCGGACGAATTGGTTCTGATTCAGGATGCTGCCAGCTTGCTTGGGCAGGCGATGCTTGAGATGTGTTTTACTCGTGAAACTAGGATACTAGCAACCGTGACTGACCCCTCGCAAAAAGACCTCCTGTTGAGCAGATTTGCCATTCCACCTGAGCGGGTCTTCATCGAGGGCGTGGACGATATTGTTATGAATATCGTCGAGCTCACCAGCGGCAAGAAGGCTCGAGTTGTCATTTCGACTGCAAAAAGAACGCATCGAATATATCGAGAATTGGTCAAGTGTGTTGCATCATTCGGACATTTTGTTCAAATGTCATGTCACAACGACGAAAGAGAAGAAGATAACACCTGGAGCACTACAAAAAATATTTCATTCTCGTCTTTCAACGTCCTCGATTTTCAGAAAGATAGGACAGATCTGACACGACAACTATGGCCAAAGGTTGTTCAACTCTTCAACGAGGGAAAGCTTCACGGCCCCTCGTCACTATCCGTCTACAAAATCTCAGACCTGGATCAGGCACTGGGTGAAGTTTCCACTAAGAAGCACGTGGTAGTGACCGCTGTAGACAACGAAATAATTCAGGTAAGCGCATCACCCGTTCTATTCTCGAAGGGGAAAACACAAACTTACTTCCCACTGGCAGTTGAAACGACCGAAAGTCTCAAAGGATATATTCCAACCAGACGCATCATACCTCCTAGTTGGCGGACTTGGAGGTATAGGACGCGCAATAGCCTTATGGATGGCCGAAAGGGGTGCAAAGAACCTCATCCTGCTCAACCGAAGCGGTCTAGCAAAGGTATCCGCTCAGTCCACTGTCCAGGAACTTACCGAGAAAGGCGTGCAAGTCGACATTCATGCGTGCGATATATCAAATGAGTCAGAAATCAGACAAATGTTCCTCGATATTTCGTGGGGGGCACCGCCAGTCCGTGGAATTGTGCATGGGGCTATGGTTCTCAAGGTCAGTGAGGTATATCCCATCGTCCAGTCGTTTACCAGCTAACCGGTCCTTGATCACAGGATATACATATCGAAAAAATGACGACTGAAGACTACCTCGATGTGCTACAACCCCGGTACAATGGGACATGGAATCTTCACAATCACGCTCCAACCGATCTAGATTTCTTCCTCATGCTCTCGTCGATTAGCGGGGTGATCGGAAATGCGACGCAGGCTGCCTACGCCGCCGGCTCGGCATTCATGGACTCGTTCGCTGCCTACCGGAATACGCTGGGTCTCCCAGCTACATCCTTGGACCTAGGTACGGTCACAGATGTGGGATATTTGGCCGAGAATGAAGGGATTGCGAGTAAGATGATCACACAGGGGTTTCAGAGTACAGATACTCAGACACTTCTGTCGCTTGTCCAGGTTGCTATTGAGCAGCAGCGAAAGCATCAGACTGTGAGCACTGGGAATTCTCAAATTATAACAGGACTGGGCGAGTGGAAGACAGGTCAGTCATTAGGGAATTTCGAGGCGCCACTATTCGCGCATTTTCGAAGGAGGTTTCGTTCTGATGGAGCTGCCGGGGCGACGGAGGATGAAGATGCTTTTCAGATGGTGCGAGATGCCTTGCGGGTGTCGAAGACGCAGGATGATGCTATTTCTATTGTTTTTGAGGCTCTGAGTGCGAGGATTGCTTCCCAGTTGGGCATCTCGGTGGAAAGGATTGATCCTGCTAGTCCGTTGTCTGAGTTTGGGGTCGATTCGCATGTTGCGGTTGAGTTACGCAATTGGGTTAATAAGACGATGGATAGTGCTGTATCTATTTTGGAGATCTTGGCTACTGATTCGGTGCTGCAGTTGGCTAGTCATATTTTGAGTCGATCTCAGTTGATTGATATTCGTGGTGATAGTATTTAGTCTTTTATACTACGAATGATAGGAAGCATTCTTGTTCAAACTTCATTAACTTTTAACTGAGCGGGGTGATAGTAAATTATTTTAAGTTATGTGCATAATCAGATAATTCATGACAGAAATAACTCCTGGAAATGCTGATAAGATGGTAGTAGTCTATTGTATGTGTTTCAGTTCGGGCGCAGTATTGTATGAGAGAACCGTAAGAAATCATCACTCGGCCTTCTTGGAGGCCTTGGTTCGCAGCTTCATCAGACCGTACACAAGGGCATACGAGCTGAGAGCGAAGATGGCAACGATACCAGTGTCTCTCCATCCGTAGTAATACTCTTTCAGGTTGATGGTGTACAAGTAGTCAGCACCCTTGGTGTACTGACAGACGCGGCAGCTCTCGGTTGCGTCGGGGTTGACGAGGTTCATGCGTGCACCGATGGTTTGCATGTAGTTGGCGAGGTACTCGCCGCAGCTCTTTCCACTGGGAGGGTCAAATATGGCAAATTCACTATTTTTGCACTTGACATCCGTGTCCCAGACGTTGAAGACTAGCATGCTGCCCATGAGATAGTTGAATGGGTTCAAATAGTACATCCAGTAGCGCCAGAAGGCCTGGATCTGGGCGTATGGGACTAAAACACCACAGAAGGAAACCAGGGTACCGATGAAAACTGGATTCACCAAGGCGGCGAAGGTGGCATTAGGAGCGTAGGCAGCGATGAACTGACCGATACCGGTGTAGACGAACTCGTAGAGAAGCATGACAAGGAATGTCGCACCCGCTTTGCTCGACTCGTTGGGGAATCCAACAGTGTAGTACCAGCAGACGAAGTACAACACCGCGCACAGGCAAAGATAAGGAAGCTCAGAGACAACCAAAGAGGTGACGAATGCAATCCACGAATACATCTTGGACTTCTTTTCGCGCTGCTCGTAAATAGAACGGCGCTCAATAAACAGCGGTTGGAGTTGGTTGATCACACCGGGTGCAACGAAGATGAAGTTGAAAATGGTGAAAAGACGAAGCTGCATATCGCCGACCCTATCGCCGATCATCCAGAAGGAAAAGCCATTGAAGAGAGCAGAGCCGATATGTAGGGCAAGCTTGTTATTGACATAGTCAGTGTTGCGGTAAAGAGCCTTGTTCATACGGTTAGTAACCAGCTTAGTCTGCTCCCAGAGTGAAGTAGCAAACTCGCGGCCATCATCGAAAGTGCCAGGGGGATTTGCGGCGGCAGTGCTGATAATATCTTCAAGCTCCTTGAATGACTTGGCATGCTCAGGGGACTGCAGCCAGACCTGGTTCCAATCCTTGCCTTGGCTTAGTTGACCAGAGACAACATCAATCATGTGCTCAGCAGGGTTCGTATTAGCCGGGCACGGGGCTCCATAGCGAGTGAAGTAGTTCTTGACTGTCTGACCATTGTCACCGATATCTCCGAAGTAAACTGTCTTGCCGCCCTTAGCAAGCAAGAGAAGTGTATCGAATTCGGCGAATAGTTGAGCAGAGGGTTGATGAATAGTGACAAGGACAGCTTGGCCGACGTCGGCAAGCTTGCGCAGGAATCGCACGGTGTTGTAGGCAGACTGTCCGTCAAGGCCAGAGGTTGGTTCATCCAGGAAAATCAGGATACTGGGCTTGGACACAAGCTCGACACCGATAGTGACACGCTTACGTTGCTCAACGCTCAGACCGGCGCCCACATAGCCGACCAAAGTATCCGCAAGGTCATGCAATTCAAGAAGATCAATAATTGTGTCGACATATTTGAGCTTCTCCTCACGTGGAACATCGCTAGCTTGACGGAGAAGAGCAGAAAATTCCAGGGATTCACGAACGGTAGCGAAGGGCTCCAAAACATCAAGTTGCTCACAATATCCGGCGGAACGTTGGAATGAGACAGGAAGCTCGCGACCGTCTACCAGAATAGAACCACGAATGGTTCCTTCGGTCTTGCGCTGCGCAAGAACATCAAGCAGTGTCGTCTTTCCAGCACCGGAAGAACCCATCAGAGCTCCCAGCATACCCGGCTTTACCCATCCGTAGACATTATCTAACAGAACGCGGTCGCCAGAGGGGGTCTTGACTGTGTATTGTAGGTCCTTCCAAGTGAAAACAGATGTGTTGCGAACAAGCTGCTGATCGATTTCCTCATCACTTTGGGTACCACTCTCGACAGGTGTCTTGGTTTTTTCCTGCACCTGGGACTCCTCGTCTTTGCCAGGCTTCAGGGCGGTTTGGTCCAGTCGCTCACGAGGAATAACAAGGCAGTTGCCGCTCTCGCCGGGAGATTGCCAGCGCGAGGTGGCGATCACGGTAACGGCGACGAAGAGAACCCACCAAGCCCAGTTGATGCCAAAGTTGCGCCACAGGTGAGCGTGGCTATAAGAGAGCGAGCTGAGGTACTCTTCGCCAGTTACAACAGTAGCACCAACCTGAGCACCACCGACACCAGCACAGGCGGCATATGTGGAGTCCTCGTAGCCGGGTCCCATGGGAATAAGGTTGTTTCCGACGCAAGGGATGATTTTCTTGTGAAATTCGTTGGAGAGAAGGGCTTCGAAGCCGTAAGCCAGAGGGTCGATCCAGAAAATCCAGCCCAACCATGGGTGCATCTGAGGCTTCTGGATCATGTAGCCGGTATACATAATCAGAGCGGAGATGAGGAATCCGGAAACCTTGGAGGCACCGTCGAACGTAGAGAAAAGGGCGCCGATAGCTCGGAAAAGAGCGGTCATGGTCTATTGAATCGTTAGTTGAGCAATGCAGGGTGAATGACCAGGGCATCTTACCATTGTGGTACCAAAGACCAAAATCCAGTAAGTGAAGAAAGCTCCAGCAGACATAGTAAGGCCGACCATGAAGTACACTACCAGGGCAAACATGCTGATCTGGAAAAGGAGTACGGGGATATCGGCGGCGATTTGAGCAAGGCAGAAAGCGGCGGGATGGAACATGGCAAAGCCCTTGTGTTTAATCAAGACAGGGCGGCCGTGGAAAGAATCCGTTACCTCAGACATGGCAAGCAAACTGTTGTAAAGGAGGGAGAAGAAAAGGGCACCGGACTTGACAAACAAGCCACCAGAGTTGTTAGGCGCATTGTAGAAGAGGGAACCGGCAATCAGAGCTTGAATCAAAGTAGCCACCTGCTTGATGATAAAGGTGGCCTTGTCACCCCAAATGATTTGGTATTGACGAGAAACACACGCCTTCACCTGCTCGTTGAAGCTGACAGTTAGAGGGCTGTTCTTCGGTAGACCGTTTGACGTTTCGAAAGCAACCCCATCCTTGAAGTCCTGGGTCCTTTGAAGCGCGACATCAGAAGTAGGGTAGTTGTATTCATTCTTCATCTCCGAGTAGACAGGGGACTTCTCATACTCTGCTCGCAGAGCCTCCTTAGTGCGAGGGAAGCGGCTTTCATAGCCTTCGCGAATGCGACGTTCCGTAGGAACTGTAACCCCAGTAAGGAAATCAGCAACGTTAGAACCCTCGCGGCAGATGAAGCCAGCCTCCTCCATGAACGGACGGGCCTGGGCACGAGTTCCGTAGAAGACCTGCTCGCCCTCATCGAGAACCAAGACCTTATCGAAGAGGTCATAGATTCCATTACCTGCTTGGTAGAGGGTGACGATAGTGGAAAGGCCCAAGGTATCTGTCATGGCGCGAATTGCCTTGGTCCACTCCAATGCAGTGCTAGCATCCAGACCGCGGGTACTGTTGTCCCAGCAGAAAACAGATCCACGAGTGGCCAGGCATTCGATGATAGAGACACGCTTGCGCTCACCACCGGAAACTCCGCGGACGTATTCGTTTCCAACCTTTGTATCCTCGGTGTGGGAGATGTTCATCGCTTCCATAAGGAACTTCTTCGAGTCATCGGCGTAGGTGGTAGCGGAGTCAACGCCGTTGGGGAGCTTGTAGGGAACCTTGAGACGGGTAGCGAAGTCCATAGTTTCACCAACTGTAAGGGTCGGGAAGAAAAGCTCTTCCTCTGTATTCATCACGATCTGGCCTCGGTAGTTGTTGGCCTCATCTGGGGATAACGAGCCAAAGCGCACGTCTCCCTCCACGGACTTGTAACCTCCACGGCGATTGGCAAGCATTTTGAGCAAGGTGGTACAGCCGGAACCGGGGCGACCGAGGACCAGCAGCATCTCGCCGGGCTTAACACATCCATGACTGTCTCGGAGGATGGTGCGGAGTGGGGCCCTGTTGCGGGATTCTTTGATGTGTTGTGGGATGTTGAATTGGGAGAAGAAGTTCTCGTTGACAGCAGCTTCAGAGCTAATGACGTCCACATTGAGGTTTTGCCAAGTGACACCCAACTCCTGGGCCTTGAAACCCGAATCTAATTCACGTTGATGTTGTTCCTGGACGCGGGAGAGTAGGCTCCAATCGTTGTGAATGCTAGGCACAGGACTGGTTTTTTGGCTGGTTTTGCGAGGGGTTTCCTCTCCGTAAACAGTGGCAGCACTGGCGGTTTCATCATGAATATCATCCATCGACCCAGGTTGGGACGACGGATGAAGTGAACCCTCCATGTTTACCGTGGGGGAGGGGAGGGGAAAGAAAGAGGGTGAGTCAATTCGGCAACTTCGGCGGGAAGAGAGGCAGGAGGGTCATCGATGGTTCTTATGCAAAGACAAACGAGTGTTTACCAACTACGGTTACTCCATTTATTTACATAGTAGCACTACGCCTCGGGAGAATCATTCTAATCTTAATCTGCTCAGTGAGTGGGTCAAACCCGTCGGTCAGTGGTCCAGCCGACTTTCCGAATCCAATGGGAAATGGCCGGTGTCGAATATCACAAGGCTATCCCGAGCCGCAGACAAAGGCCGACAGATCAACTTTTTCGGGAATTGCCCCTAATATGGAGAGAAGTGAGATTTAATGAGACTCAACAGCTCGCCCCACGCGGGAAATGGATGAATGGGGTCGAAATTTCTGCGAACCCAAACTGTAGTGACTAGAAAGTGGAGCCTTGCGGGCGATCTAAAGACGACAAGTTCCGCTGACACATCGGGACCCTGAGATTGACAAGAGTAATTGGACTCTTCTGCTGAACAAATAGTGGGGACGCATATACGTGATGCGGTCGAGAACAGGATCTGGAACTGCTGATTGATAAGAAGCAGCCACCAGAGGGACCGGATAAGGAGAATGTGCCGAGTCCGAGTTGACAAGTTCGAAAGATTCCAAAGATTCCAAAGATTCCATCGGACGTCGCAGTGCCAAGACCTCCGATGCCACGCGGTCGGCGATTAAAATCCCCGCTGAGTAAGCGGGTGCACGGCGTCAGGCAAGCCCGAATTAGGCATCCTGTCAAAAGATAGAAAGGATATCCTAGGATACGTTTCCTAAAGTTTGGTTTTACTAACAGTCGGTGTATCTATCTGCCCGATTACTGCCGGTGATTCGGGACTGTTTCATCTCGATCGTTTCCGAACTAGGGGACCTATGTACTGGAGTGCCCACTTGGTTACCTACTTGGTCGGAGAGTTGGTTACCTTACGGTAGCTACTAACCTGCCATTCAGTTACCAAACGTTTTGCCTACTAGAATCCCCACTAGAATACCCATTCGAACACCTTCAACTTATCACATTCTGTCTCTAAAAAATACTATACTCGCACCTTCTTTCCCGCAAACGCCGTCGATTTCAACAAATCAGTGAACGCACAACACCAGGAAAGACCGCAACGATATCATATGCATATCCCCAGAACGATCGAACCAACCAAATCACCAGAATATCAAAACGCCTATCACCACCACACCGCTCATTCGATTTGGATATCGATCTCAGTCTTCATCTCCTCCATCTTCACCAACTTCTCCCGGCAATCGTTGCAAACGTCATACTCGTTGCCGTCCTCGTCGAAAAACTCATTCTGATCAGTCTCGTGATCACCCGGTACGCAGAACTGTTGTTTTTTTTCAAAGCAGTACACGCAGATGTCGTCATACCGAAGGCCGATACTCCGCGCTTTTGCGCAATGCATACAGACAAAGTGACTGGGACCAGAGATATCGCTGCCTACGTCGTCGCTTGATTCGTATTGGCTACTCAGAGATTCGGACTTAATCGAATTTTCTATTGATTCCACGCTATTGTGCGAGCTGGGATCGGCGGACGGTTGGCGGCTGGTGGCACAACTCCCCTTCTTCACCAACGAAACGAACGTGTCAAGTGCTTTCCTCATGCTCTCGGCTGCTGCGAAGATTGCGCTTTTTCCATGAATCGGCGACATCTCTTTTTGAGTATCTGATGCCACTGGGTTCGACGCCAGGTTAGAGGTAAAGGGTCCATCGGGTTCGATGGTGCTGGATGGCGTGTTAGTGCTGATGTACGGCGGATTCGATGAAAGCTCCATTGGGTCACATGTCTCTCTAATGGGATTTTCAACGAGCATCCGGTTCAGCATTGGGTTTTGCTTCAATTGGGCATTGATCTCGGCAATTTTCCTTCTTCCCGCACGCTTTCTCTAGGATACTCTGATTAGCCGAACTGCGTTCATACCGAATTTGACTAAAGTTACTCACAATTTGACAGGAAGATCGGCAATCGAAGCACGCTTTGAGAGCTGCTCCATTTTTCATGTACCAATCAATCGGGAGGATTCTCTTGCACTTGCGGCACATCTGGTGGATTGTGTTGGGTTCGGAAGAGGTTGTGGTGGCAGCACGGAAACCTGAGTTCGCCATTTCGGGAGTTGGTGGAAGGTATACGTATGTATGTGAGGTATCCCGGGTGATAGGGAGTCACTGAATGCTGTGAAAGTCTGACTTTGGTCCTGATATTTTCAGGGCAGGGGTCTTGGAAGAATCGGTAAGGATGAAGTATTGAGGTGTCTTCGTCGGAGTTCGATATCGGGGAGTGAGAGATGCCCCTCTAGTGATTTATAGTGTTAGTATCAGATCATTGGAGAATGTCACTGGGGGGGATTGACAAACCGGAAGTATGAAAGGGATGGTCAGGTTGGATGAGGGTTGGAGTTTTGGGAGAATGGAGGTCGAAGATGATGATTGTTTGGGCAGCTCCCTGATCACAGAGGCCGCGTGGAGAGAGTCGGTGTAAAGGTCGATTCACGGTGTTGGTCTGCAGATATGGACTTTTTGGAAGTCTGCCGAGAGTGTGGAAGCTGGTGCAATGCTGCGAGTGACATGCAAGAAAGGTTCAGGTTTTCTTCGCCCTAAATGTGTTCGAAAGGATGCTTCGGGAGTAGACGCGGAAGAGAAGATTGAAACTATAGATACTGAGATATTTATAGTCCAGGCCAGGAGTGAAGTGAAATTCCCTTGAACCTTCAAGCCTGGAACTTGGCCGAGTGCCAAAAAGTACTAGCGTCATATTTTGATGCAATGGCAAATTCCCAAGTACATACCTCCAACAGAGAGGGAGAACATAAAAATATGGTGAAAGAGCCTTGGGCGATATTCCATTCACTATTCAGATAGCTGTCATTGGATTCCATGGCTGCAACCAGAATCCTCGAGATACCTGCTGATCATGCGCCGATATCAGAAATTTAAGAGCAGATCTCAATCATGGAGAATCGACACTGGGCGTAGGTTGAATCGGCACGCTGGAGCGGGTAGGAAAACACGCGAGCCCTGGAGTCAAGTGATTGGGGGAATCAAAGTGAGAGAATATGGCAGTCAATCGGGTTGGAGCCTCAGGGTAGAAGTGAGTAGTATCCTATCTGATGCGCTGGCGTTTGATGAAGAAATAGGCTTCGCTTCACTTGACGTCGAGGCGTCAAGAAAAGTGATGGGTTGCGGCAGAAAGACATTTAAGAAGGGGGCCAGAATGAGAGAGGAATAGCATGCGCGTGGAATAAATATCGATCCATGCCCATGGATGGCAGGAAGATCGCGGTGGCGGGTCAAAACAAAATTATGTGCGGGACTAGTAGGAAAGAGCGATGCGGGATTTGAGGACCTCAAGAAGGAACAAGCCTCATGCTTGAAAGCCAGTGGGAGGTCCCATGATACTAGGAACCTCAGTGGAAGAAGGTGAACTAGGGAGATGATGGAGGCTTGAAAGAATCTGGTACTAGTAAAAGTCACATTTCTCGAATCTGCTGAAAACATATATATCGGGCGAATTCACCCTTCCGACTCGCTCTCTCCAGTTCCTCCACGGCTTCCTCCAATGACCTCATATCCCATGCTTCCTCATCCGACATGTATAGTTCGTCACAGCCAGGAAGTAGTGGTATCGTTTGTGTGGGCAATGCACTTTGCAAAGCGTCAAGTCGATGAAGAAGATCTTCCTGGGCGAGCCGTTGCATCGATGTGCAAGCGAGAACGTGCCTGAGATCCGGTTCAGAGGCCCGGGCTTCTTTTTGGATTTTCTGTAGCGAGAGTTCGCAGAGTCGGTATGCGAGCTGATCGGAGTCTGTGGAGGGGTTTGGCGTTGAGAGAGGGGGGGTGACTGCCACGGTGGATATTTGGGTGCAGAGAGGAGAAGGTCTCTTGCGTGGTTTGATTGCCGTTGAGACGTTCCTGACGAGGAGTCTTGTGCAATGCATAATTGTGGTGGTGGGTTTCAGAGCGATGGCTTTGTGGTGGTAGTGGTAGTGGTACTAGATGGATGGATAAGGTTGTGGTGAGGGGTCGGCGATGACCCTCATATATACTCTGACCCTCAATCGGCCAAATCGTAATTCTGAATCATAGATCGAAATGCTTGTAGATCATGGGGCCATTGTGTCTAAACTGCCAATGCAGGATCACCCCACCATTGCTGGGAAAGCCCGGGTGCTTCTCTTCTTTCTTGAGGTGTCGAGTGTCGCCACTGGATCATGCCACCACCAACCACCCGAGCGCGTCACACCGGCAGGTCGAACGATGCACCCGCGCAAAAGTCTCCAATCCTGGCTTTAATCGAGGTCTCAATGAACAGATAAATAATGTGATATACGCTGCAGATATGGACTCATCAATCGGCATTTTTGCATAAAGGGTGGTTGCCTGATCCTGCATATTCCTTTTATGCATCCAGCTGCCTCCTTAGTTAAATGCCGACGACACGACATGTCCAATGGTTGAAAAAAATCAACACATATATCTCTAGCGTTTGAATATAATGCGAGGGGCTATGGGGTTAATATTATACCATTTGAATGATGAATTGCGCAAATATTGATTTCTTTGATCGCATCATAGGTACGAAGGTGTCCAGGTAGTAGAGATCTGATCAATTCAAGTTAACTAGTGGGCTCAAGTGGAATAACGGCAGCTAAACCATATTATAAGGCTAATTTTCATAATTAATAGCTAATATTCTACTAATGTCCCCGTGATGTGCTCGAAATAGATAAAAAACCCCCCCTCCGACTTTTTATCGATAATGCTCTGTCAAAATCATCACCAGGCCACTTGACCACCCGATTACGAAGTAAACACATTTGCACATATTTACCAGAATGACCATCATTTTCCAAGGTTGTTTTACGGATAATCCTGGGCCAGCTCAGCCTATGCGAATTGAATTTTCGGGCAATCACCCGATGATCAGTGCCCGCGTCAACAAAGTATATCGACTGCACGATATCTGAGTCGTATATCTCCCCCAAGGATTCTCGACTCTCCCAGACAGGGCTGCCCCGTTCAAATAAAGTCCAACAATATCTCCTCCATACTTCAGACACCCCGCCAACCCTAGTGGGTCATCAGCTGCCCGTTCCCCACCTCCCACGCCCTACAGCCATTTCCCGAGGGGGCGTCGGGTTCTTTCCCGACGCAAAAACTCCATAAATTGGAGAGGAAAAGGGTCCACGCACGAATCAAAATATTGCTGCAACACACTTTGCTATCAAAGATGACTCACCACCATCGGACCGGCCAGCCGACTATCGAAAAATGGTCAATGAATCCGACCACCACTTGAAAGGCGGGGTTCGCTGCTTTCCACCTACTCTTCCCAAAATTTCAGTTCTATTTCTCTCGATCTAACAGCTCGTAACAACCCACACCACACAAACAGGAAACGGAAACGGAAACAAACTCGCTAGTCCGATTCTTGCTAGATCCTATACCGAAGCGACATGGTCTCGGATGTCAAAACTACCGTCCTAGCCACAGAAAGACCAGCGTTGGGTCCGGCACATGACACTCCAGGCCCAAGCATTGCGCCAAGCATCAATCTCAGCCGAACAACAACCGCCCAGAGCAGCAATGATGGCATCAGAGGTGGAGGAATTCGCGACGAAGAAGAAGGAGGAGGCACAGTTCCACACTCCGCTTTCTCGATCATCGAGCCTCCAGCCGCATTATCAGCCATAACAACACACACAACGCACGTCCGGGACCCGAATGTCGACGACACATTCCCAGACGGCGGAACCCGGTCCTGGCTCGTTGTATTGGGCTGTTTCTTCTTGTTGATGAGTAGTTACGGAATGATGAATTCGACCGGTGTATTGCAGAGTTATTTCGCCACACACCAACTGGCTGATTACTCGACCAGTGCCGTTGGCTGGATTCCCGGAGTCTTCACTTTCTTCGGACTAGCGCTCAGCGTGCAGATCGGGCCTATGTTTGATCGGTATGGACCGACAGGCATTTTGATCTTCGGGACTGTGACTTATGTGGCGGGCCTGTTGCTACTGGCCGAGTGTCGGCTCTATTGGCATTTTGTTCTCACGTTGGGTGTTTTGACAGGGACCGGGGCTGCGTTTTTGAGTACGGCTGCTATGGCGGCGGTGCCGCATTGGTTTGATCGAAAGGTTGGGATGGCGATGGGGACGGCGATGGCTGGGGCCGGTCTTGGGGGTGTGACTTTTCCGCTTGTTTTGAGGGCCGGGTTCACGCGGTTTGGGTATAAGTGGGCGATTCGGTTGATTGCATTGATCGTGGGGGTTTTGTGTTCGTTGGGGATTATGTTGGTTCGATCGAGGTTGCCGAAGGGGCAGAGTCGGTCGAGTATCAATTTGAGGGCGTTTCAGGATACCAGATTTACTTGGTTGACTCTGGGGACTTTCAGTGAGTGGCATGTGGTGGCCAATGGCGAATCGGTTGGCCGGAATATAATATTGATGCTAATTCTTATTAGGCCTGGAGCTGGAGGTCTTCGCTGGACTGGGTTTATACCCGACCTACGTTGTGATGCAGGGGTTCAGCACGTCGACCAGTGTGATTCTTCTCTCACTTTTGAACGTGTAGGTTATTTTATCAAAGATCGTGATACTGAAGCAGAATGATAGCTGACTAACATGACCGACCAGATGCTCTACAATCGGCCGACTGATCGCAGGAGGCGTTGCAGACAAGTACGGCCGTATTAACACCCAGACAGCACTAATTGCAGTCGGGGTCTTTGCCGTATTTGTGATCTGGCTCCCCTTTGGCAACACACTTCCAGGGCTATATGTCTTTAGCTGCGTCTTCGGGTTGGCCTCGGGGTCGTTTTTGAGTCTTGCGCCAGCTTGCATTGGACAGATCTCGAAGGCGAGCGAGGTAGGAGGTAGATTCGGAATCTGCTACTCGATTGTCAGTCTGGCGTATGTGGTCCTTTTCCCGTGATACCTCTTTCAAATCAATGTTCGATCAAATGTGCCCTTTTCTAATCATCGCAGAACCCTCATCTGTATCCCAATCGGGGGTGAAATGCTTGAGAAAGTGGGCAAGCAGGCCATGGTGGCCTATCTGGGCAGTGTCCTGATCGTTGGATTGGGAATGTTCATCATGGCGCGCTGGGCATGTCTGAGCTATCGGTGGCGATGGCAGGCAAAGATTTAATGATTGAACGACGAACGAAAGCATCTGCTTATGAAGGGCATGGTATATAATAGCATAGCGCGGGACAAGGATAGAATGCAGTGGGAAAAATTGGTAATTTCGGTATCTTCATTTTGGACGTGGTATGATCGCATACATGAATTATGGCTTCTGAAAGTTCTCAACCATCGAAGAAAGAATATGTAATAGGCATGCAATATGACTTGATTAGAATTCAAGAATCGAAGGGATTGAAGGAATTCGGGCCCACTCCCCATCGATCGTGCGGAGTTGGTGAGGAGGAGTGGAGAAAGGTGCGAACGCGCTTAGTTCTGCTCGCCACCCTGGCCCTTGATATAGTCCTCCCTTCGATAAGTTAGCTCTGAGTGATAGGACTGCAGTGTGATTTTGTATGATGTTTTTGAAAGGGATGAGGGTTAAGACGTACAGGTGCTTGTCCAGCTCGTCCATGTGCTTGCGCTGTTCCTTCAGCTTTGTTCGGAGAGCTTCGAGCCTGGGTAATTTTTTAGCGGATTCCTTCTCCAAATGCTTTTCTCTTCTTGAAATGAGATAACACCTACTTCTCCCGCTCCTGCTGTTTAATCCACAGACCCTCCTGGGCAGCCTCGCGACGCTGAAACTGGTCCTTTCTGCCCGCTGTTAGTGATGACGTCACGTATTGGGAAGCTGTCAAGGCTCACTCGGCCAAAAAGCCCCGCGGCTTAGGGGCGCCCGTGTCTCCTGCTCCCATGATGGCCGGCGTAGTAGCGAAGGATCGGAGGGCTGCTGGTGCGGTAGCACGAAGGATGGGGCGCGTAAGTGCGGATTGCATTGCGGATGGAGGTGGGGATGAAAGGAGTTCGATCAGAGGTTGGACGGAACTAGGGCTGTCGCAGTTCAATTAACAGCGACCGGGGAGGTTTGGTGTGGGAAAGCTATTCAGGGTGAAATTGATTAATGTCGGGGGCGGCAGGGGAATTCGAGGCCAACTCGTAATTTGGGGGTCGCAGGCGCCTTTATAACCCCGCGGTCGCTTGCTAAATCCGGTCGTGATGGCACGACCCAAAAACGCCAAAGATACTTTGCGTCGGCACTGGAGGTCTCCGAGTCATCGCGCCACTGCAGGGATGGTTGGTAGCCCCCGCTCTGTTTTGTACGCGGGAGACTTCTGAAATTGTTTACATGCATGATGGCTTAGTCCGTAGAAAATACTAAGTACATTATGGGCTGGGCCTTTCCCTCATGCTCTTAGGTATGGGGCGGGGCGACTTTTAAGAATGTGAAGGAGTACAGGAATGTGAAGGTTTGAACAGTCATTCATGTCAAATTGGAACTGATAAAATATGTCTTTGGTACATGAAATGGAATACCAGAACTCTACAACACATATCGGAAGTCTTTCTGCAACCTCCTCGCTGCAGCAATATCGATACCTTCGCTGTCAGCTGTGAGCTGCAATCGCCTCAAATCCTTCGGTGTAAGCTGGACATCCTCATTCGCCATACGTTCCTGTCGCTTGTTCAGTGAGCGCAGATTGAAGTACATAAAGATACCGCAAGCGCCACCAACAACCTGTAGCCCGATGTTAACTGCCAGGGCTGTCCAGTAGTGTGGCGCCTCGTGGTCGAGATAAGTGTAAGGTGTCCAAATACTTGCGGAATTTCCGATCGAGTTGATAAAGGCATAGGCAGCGGCACGCTTCGCAGGTGGTCGAGGCAGCGCACCCGCGATCCATGAGTAAAGAGTACCGTTCTGCGCGAATACGAAGACCATCAGGAACATCGCGAAGTAGCGCGGGCCGAACGTCTCCGGCGCAGCCATGAAGATGACGAAACCAATAATAGTGATCGGAATAGGGTAGAAGAAGAACCAGAATCGGACTCCCATTTTGTCGGAAAACCAGGAATGTCCCAGACTCCAGATCACCATGAAGATATAGGGAGGTGCCACCAGCAGCAGTGAGATTATGGGGTCGGGGTTCAATGTCTTCGTCAGAGTCGGGAAAAAGTTTTGGAAACCAGCCGCTCCGGTGATACACATGTAAGCCAGAGCCAAGACGTAGGTTTTAATGTCGGTCATGGCCAGCTTCAGACCCTTGATCTGGCTCATGCCGCCTCCCTCGTCCTGATCAGCTTCAGCCGCGTCGACCGCCAGACGCCGGACAGCAATCTTGCGCATTTCGGGCGTTAGAAGTTTCCAAGTTTCAGGAAAGTCGGGAAGCACGAAGCAGATCACGATACCAACGAAGACAGTAATAACGCCCTCAATGATATAAAGCCATTGCCACGCCGACATTCCCCGTTTTCCAGCGAGACCGCTCAAAATGCCAGCCGCGATTAAATTGCCGAAGGCACCGCTGAGCAAAGAACCAGAATAGAATATGCTCATGCGGAAAGCCAACTCCTTCTTAGTGTACCATTTGGAGAGATAGAAGAGTACGCCGGCGAAGAATGGAGCCTCTATAAATAAGATTATACGTTAGTCGAGATGCTTTAGCGATCATTTGCGACTGGAATTTACTAACCGACGAAACCCAGGAGGAACCGACAGGCCACCAAACCGCCATATCCCTTGACCTGGCTCGTCAAAGCGGAGACCAGACCCCAGGCAGTAACGAAAAACCCAAGATATAGAGACGGCCGTCCCATGTAGTTGAGAATCAAGTTACTTGGAACTTGCATCAGAATGTATGCCACGAATAGAATTGATAGACCGGTCTGATATTCGGTTGGGGTGAGGCTAAGGTCTGCTTCCAGACCTTGCAACCTGGCTGCGGCATAGTTATTACTGTTGTAGATTTAGTGCACTGTGCCACAAGCTTTATCAAGGTTATCACCTACCGGTCAATATAGTTTAACAAGTATACCAACACGACCATTGGCATGATCAAAGAGTCAATGCGAAGACGCAATTTCTTCTCGAGCACCAACTCTTCCTCTGTCAAGCGTGTGATATGCACGACCTCATCATGGGAGATATCCGCCTTCTCCCCCATCGCCTCCGAGTCAGTGATGCCTCTTTCCGCGTCCGCCATGATGGAAAACGAAAGAGCGAAAAGGGTTTGGAATTGGGTTGATAATTAGCAAGTGGGGAGGGGAAATGGAGCTGTATTCTCATCTACTCCGTAGACCGGGGAGGGTGAGCTCTTTATGGGGGACAGCAAGGGGACAGAGCCCCGTATGAAAAACAGGCTCGTGTCACAACGCATTTCTGAATGGCCACGCGCATTGGATGCGGGTGGTATCATTCCTTCCAGCTTGTGGCGATCACATACTTGATTTCTGGGGGAAGCAAGAGGACGTGGGGGGATTTCCGCGTTGCCGGTTCCAATAAGGGAAGGGGGGAGGAGGTATGCGGAGAGACACGAGGGTGGTGGCTAGGTATGTTGATGGTGATAGGCAGAGCCGGCCGCGACGGACCCCTCACGGTGGAGGCGGCAGCCATGGGGTTTGCGGAGAGGAGGCCACTGATATCCGGGGTGAGTGGATCACGGGCAGTCTAAAGTTTGTTCCCCCACGAAATCTTGCTGCTGCATATTGAGGCTTGGTCGGGTCAAGCCTCTTTTTGCTTAGGTGCTGAGGAGTTCGGAGTAAGTCCGGGGCAGATGGTTGAGGAGAAGAGATCAGCCGTGGGCCTGCGTCCTTTTGAGTTTCACCTCCTGATTTGACTTCATCCCCGCCTATCGCCTTCTTTGTCTGGTGGCTCGCCCGAGAGAGCACTGGAAGGAAACCGAGTCCGAGCCCCGTGTGGAATGTCTTGGCTGGGCTCGCCCCCTTGGACCATGCGATGCGGGTGTTGCATGTTACATCATGGTGGATGAGGTGAGATTTGGTGAGTCCTGGATCGAGTCACCTGATCCTCCTTTTGCACTGCAGCGGAAAGTGACCGATGTCATTAACTGTCAAGCTACCCCAAGACATGGCTGGTATTCAACAAACTCCCGCCTCCAAGCCACAGACCTCGCAGTTACTCCGTGCGAAGCTTTCCACTATACTTTCACCTCGGCTTTCCTCCTGGTCTTCTACGATTCTGGAAAAGAATCCCTTCCACAATGGGGTCACCCATTCTCCTTGGCAATCGCACTGTCCCCTAGTTTCACTACATTTTAGTATCTTGGCGATCGCATTCTGGCTAAATGCACGGGTAAATTCTCAACTCGAGGGCCCTGTACCCACGCGAGCTTTTACATAGGGGCTTCGTCGACACACTGGGTTATTTCGGGAAGCTTGCATATCAACTTGAGACTCATTCACTCGCTTGACTTGCTCTGTAATCAAAACAGGGGGTATATAAGGTGCTGAGCGACGCAGGCCTTAAACGATAGAAGTTAAGAGACGTGTCCTATTGTCAGGAATGCTTTTTAGTCAATGTCCACACTTTCCAAGTCTTCATCTTCCGCTTCTTCCACCTTTCGTGCAAACAAAACCTCCATCCAATCCGGTACAGAGAGCCCACAAAACTCTAGTCCAATCCCAATGTTTCTTGCGCCCGTAATATGTTGCTCTTCGCTGTCCTGTGGCGTCAGAAGGTGGTCTTTGACATGCCTGTACCAATAACCGGCCAGGAATTCCCTCAACGGAAGGCGAAGCTCGTTGGACTTTCGTTCTAATTCTTCCACTAGGCTCTCAAATTCAACTAGTGATGATTCGGGGTCAGAATTGTCGTTGAGAAATTCCTCTTCATCTGGATATTCATTTCTCTGAGTAACTTGACCCTTTTTGGCTTTGCTGAAGCAACTGTGGCTGAGGTCCAACGCGTTGGACGTCAAAGATCTGATGAATGCTAGTGGATCTTGCAAGGATTTTCCCTCCCACTCGTGTAGATAGTTTAAAAAAACGAGTATAGCAGTCGTGACAAGTACTGAATGCGCCACACATGCGCCTGGAAGTCATCTCTCGAAGAATGGACGAGAGTGCCGTGCATCCGCCCGGGAGCAAGGACATGAGGATCCATCCGAGACCTCTGGCTGCGAAAGGAAAATTGTACCCATTGCTGCAAATTGATTCAAAGCCTCTTCTTCCCCGCTGACATGCTCCGAATGAGAGTGTGGCAACGATCGGTACCTGAAAATTCCTTGTTCAAGTACCTTCAAGATCGGAAAATAAACAATTGGTTCATTCAAGTTTGTCCAAGGCCGCTTTCGGTGGATATTAGCCCCTTTAGAGATATGCCACTGAATGACTTCTAGTAGTGACCGAAGTGTAAACCAATAGTCGATTTATTTTAAAGAGCCAAGTGGTGAATCTCCATGCAGATCAAGTTGATCAGAACCACGAAATCCTGCGCTGTATAATGCTTCTGCGCACTGCCTTTTGTACAAGCCATGGTAAAAGAGATCCCCCCCAATGTCTCTTTGAATGGAACATAGTATTCCCTTGATTGGAGAGAATGTTTATATCTGTTTTGCGAGAGACGAGTAACTCATAAACTTTGAGGGCCTTCCGGCCATCAAGAAGCGACCCCACAGCACAGCTGCTTATGACTGACGACGGCAAAAAGGCCTCTGCGAGGTCTCGCAACCTTTTACGTCTTGCTGCCAGTTCATCAACTAATAGCAAAATTCTCTCTCCTTTGTCAGGGTCAGGCAACTTCAAGCTCTCGGTGAGCTGATACCGGGAGGAAATACATCCCTCTCTTAGCAATATCCTGGCTGAGGAATGATACCCTGTACCAGGGTATGGAAGAGAGGTGAAGTATTGCCTCGCATCTGCTCCAAGCTCAAGAAGAACCTTCAAGCCCTCGGGTCACCCAATGGCCAGGTTCAATAAGGAAAACTTCTGATACTGTTCATTGACCAAAATCCGACGATGACGAAGGGCTCCCCTGAGCTCTGCAGCATTCTCGCGACAAATTATCCTTGCGAAAATGATACATAGCCCTTTTGAGTTGGTCTCGTGCCTTGCCAGGAAAGCTATCCGAGGCACCGGTAGGTCCATATCGTTTGAGTATTTCCCGAAGTCGGGTTATGGACGCATTGATGGACATCGCTTGTTCTGAAAGATCGGCGGAAGTTTCGGGTTGAGTAATGCGAGTCTCTTCGATCATCTCTCGTAGAGCTTTCAGGGGGAGGCACAAGGATTCGGCTTTGGCCATCATATTTCGAATATCCTCGCCATAGTCTCGATAGGCACGACCTTATGCGACGATTTCCCCGCATACAACCAGACCCAAGGATATCACCCCTACCGCACTTCCAGTAACAGATTAAGGGTCTGACATGGCGCACCTTAGGAAATTTGTGCTCGAGATGGGTCGGGTTCGATAAGTGAGATGGGAACATCGATCGTGACGCGAAAAATTCGTAGTGACTATGGAGCTGACGCCACAGTCTCGATTTGAGAGCACATCAAAGCAATCAAAATGCAATCCATCATCGTACGTGGTGCTAATCAATGTTCATACCGCAGGGCAGCGTGCATCTACATGAGTGGCACATTACAGGGGTCTCTAGGCCAATCATTACGCGAGGTGGTATACGAGCGCTTCATTCCTGCTCGAACTTCGCCTCGTTTTTCAAGATTCACCTGCCATACTATGTACATCATAATAGTCTGAATCTATTCGTTTCAGGCGAGCTTGGACGGCGCTTAAGCAATTGCTTTCAGGTCACATGGCTTCCAGTGTATGTAGCATAACTAACTATAGCTGTGGTCGCGAACAATAATCACTGGTGACTATTTGCTTTTTGAATTTATTTTAGGACAATACGTCTTTGTAGTATCCATGGATATAATGCTATTTGATGGTGAAAAAAGGGTCTCTACTTGTAGAGAGCCCCGTGAGGTTAGTACTTACTATACTACCCAGTATACTCGTACTCACCTGGGCAGGCCCCACTAAACTAGTCTCACATCGGTCGTTTTCTTCCATCTCAACTCTGCAGTTTGAGATCATCATAAACTTAGAATACTGGCACCTTGGGTAGTATTCTTCTGCGAGCCTCATGGCAGAAAACCTGGAGGTGGAGCCGGCAACGCAGCCGCTGCATGCACGTTAATGTTAGGGGGGGGGCATTGAAGTCCAGGCGCCAGCTGGCCGTCCGTGCCTCCGGAGAACTTCGGTCGTCGTCCAAGCTTCTACGGAGTACTCGTATGGAGTCCAGAATTGATTCTCAAGTATTGCATGGTTTCTTTTGCTGTTCTAACTAACCGGTTTTTTGTAGACCTCTGATTGCACCGAGTGACCAGTTCTGCGGACCAATCGCATGCTCAGGTTTCCCATCAGACCACATTTCGTCCACCTCTCTCAAGACTCCTCACTTTTGGTCCTTTTGCTCTGTCCCAACGTTCTGGACCCTCATTACCACTTCGAGCGACTGACAGAGCTACACCGTCTCATCACTCAGCGTTACGCCAATAGTATCGTCGCGAGGGTGGCCCCGGTCGCAACGGGCGGAACAAGGTCCCGCACCCACCACCTATCAGCATCGACGATGGACCAAGCTACAGAGTCCAAGACTGGTCCGGAGGGGCTATGATCCACCAGACTCAGCTGGAGATCTCGGACGCCCACGTCGGCAATCTGACCGTCGAAATTCCCGCAGCGCCGTTGGTCCGCGATGTTTCCTCCTCCTCCTCCATCTCTCCATATGCCGCGTCCTGATGGCCGGCGATACGCGACAAGTTGCCAACGACTCACGAGTCAGGAAGGCGTCCAACCGCCAGTCGCGATCCTGTAAAGTCTGCCGGCTCCGCAAAGTCAAGGTACCGTGCTCTCAGATCGCCCCTGGCCGAACGGGAGGGACCGTTCGTGCCGTACCCAGAACGTCCCACTGGCTCTTGAAGAGAAGCCCTTTGTATAGCTTCCGATCCCGCTGAGGCTAACACATTTCGTTGCGTGTCGCCAGTGTGACCGCGTCAAGCCATGCCATGCATGCTGCGCGCATGGATACCCCTCCAAATGTGTGTACGAGAGTGTCCCCGACGAGGATGCTCGTCCGATTAGCCAAGCCGAGGAGATTCGCAACTTGCGCGATGAGATCAAGGATCTCCGCACTCGAGTAAATGATAGACAGGACGGTACGTGACAAGGCTCCGTTCCCCGACCCCGGATTCTATCTCGGTGGATGCTTAGCCTCCGATGGCGCTGGTGAAACATCCGCTAACGCATTTCGATGCAGGGTCCCAGACTCAGCACCTCCAGCGGCTGGACCAGCTGGCGAGCTTATTTGAGTCTATTCGTTCGGCCCCGCTTAGTGTCGTCGACGACTTGGTCCGTGATATTCGGACGACACAAGGTGGATTGAAGAAGGATCTGACCCCTGTTGGGCCGTGGGAGGGCCTCGAAGGTGAGCCTCCCAAAGCTTTGGTGATTCCCATACCATCGTCATATACTAACTATCTGTCATTTGTAGCGTACGAGCAATATGACTACCAGCGGCACAGCTCGCCTGTTTCCGTTATCCCCATTCGCAAGACGATTTGCAACGGTAGCCCCGAACAAGATTTCAATGACCCAATTATACTCGGAAATGACGAGGATGACGACGACGACGAGGAGGAGCGTATGTCGATTGGCAGCGGTTCAGACTCGTCTGGTACGGTCTCTATCATGAGCGTGCAGCGTCCGGCTGTCGATGTATTCGTTGAACGTTTCGTCGACGCTTTCAGCCCACAAGTCGATCTCAAATCGGGCAAAGCAGGAGCCATACGGGCTGCCGCGGGAATTCGAATGTTCTCGCCATTGATCTCGGATGCGTTCGAGGCAGTGTCTGTCGCCTTCTTTGGTCGTTCCGTCCAGAATAAACAGATTGAAGCCTCTGGCTTTAGACTTTATCCGCGTGTGCTGCGCGGACTGCAAGATGCTTTAAATGACCCGGAGCGTTGCAAGGCAGAGTCAACTCTCGTTACTGTAACTCTTCTGCTTGCGTTTGAGGTGTGTTTGCTTCCCTCCTAGTTTTTGTTCGCCGCTAATCCTTGCAGAGCGTGGAACGTACTACTCAACGCGGTGTCCCGGCTCATGTTCGAGGTGCAGTGCGCCTCATTGAGCATCGAGGTCCAGAGAATCACATATACGGAGTTGAACATCTGTTATTCACAGAGCTGCGTCCGTACTGGGTATGTTTAAATTAATCTGCTTTATTTGCATGGCCATAATTCTAACCATCCACAGATTGCCGGTGCACTGGCTGCGCGACAACCGTCGTTCCTCGCCCGCGAAGAATGGAAAACCATCCCATGGTCGGCTGGAACGACTAATAAAGATATCAACCACCATCTGTTGGATCTCGCCGCGGAAGTTCCCGGCCTTCTCGCCCAATCAGACATATTCCAAGAAGAACAACGATCATCCCTGATGGGCGCACAAGAAATCGCCGTCAAGCAGGCGGCCCTTTGGAATGGAATCACCAATCTGACAGCTCGCTTCGAAGAGTGGTACAGTGAATGGGTTATGAACTACCCAGATGGTGCTCCGCAGGAAGTTGAGCAAAGCGCCGACCAGGAATTCCCGATTTTCAAACAGCGCGACCTGCGTACTGGGGCAATCTTCATCCCAACTATCCTCTCCTATCCTAATCTCCTCCTTGCACAAACAATGGCTCTTTACTACTCATTTCGGCTCATTCTTTCCTCGATCGATACCCGGCCCGAAGATCGGGTCACACCGATCCAGCAATATGGGTTCGGATGTGGAATCTGTCGAACACTGCAGTGGTATATCCAAACTGCCCCTGGAAATATGATTAACCGTCTTGCCTTCCCGACGCGGGTTGCTTGGGAGGCACTCCCGGACAACGGCCCCGAACGGGGATTCATGCTTGAAGTCCTACAGCTCGTGGAGCGACGCCACGCGCTAGGCCTTTGGGGCAGTGGGATGGCGGAGCTTTCAGTCCGGGAGAACTCGCCTCTGAACACGGCCGAATCATGATTCAATGCTTCTCGTATATCTAAATCTGTTGGTATGGGTGGTCTGTTACCTTTTTATGTATGACGAGCGATATCCTTCTGAGCGTGTCATAGCCTGGCGATTGGTTTTCAAAAGTTGAAGATGATTTTGTTTGAGTGTATGGAGTATCCTTTTCCTATCTGTAAATTTGTGCATTCCTAACGAGGGCTGCTATTTGGACCACTCTTCTTACCAATTGGACCACATTTTTGCTACTTGGACCATGGTCCTCCTTGATCTAGGTTAATATGTATTCCCAACACAAATTTAGATATACCGCTGTCACACAATATCATAGTAAATGCTTGAATCCTTTCGTTGACTGTCTTAGACTTCGCCTTTGAATAGCAGACTAGTAGCTACCTATGACATGTAGAAGAGATTAGCCTATTTATTATAGCTTAGGTAGCTACTACTAGTCTACTATTCAAAGGTAGTCAATGATAGTGGGCAATAAGGGGTTGCAAACTTTAGGTGTGCCACTGTATATCCAAATTTGTATAGGAAATACATACTAATCAGGATTCCGAAGGACCATGGTCTATTTAGCAAAAAATGGTGGTCCAACTAGCAGCTCTCTACCTAACGGACAAATTTTGCGAAAGCTTTCGACAGGTCCATTCCGACAACAAAGCGGAAGCCTCGAGGGAAAACCCACGCGAGTCCGATTGGGCGGGGATCCACTCAGCCACGATGCTGCCACGCCCAAACAAGACTAGCTGCACCCCATCTGGTCTCCGCAATGACATCGCTGCACCAGTCACAGCTCCGTATCTGAATCACAATCGATAGTTCAGGAACGGATGGGCCTGATGTGTCCGATCGGGAAATGAAGAGAAAAAGGAGGCTGATGCTTTGCAGCTGAAGACCCCCGAGATCTCTCATAAAACTCCGACGTGACACTTCCATGGTTCATGTTCTTTAGATCCTTTAGCCTTGATCTATCTAGAGGCTGATATATCAAATTATCTCTCCATCAATAGATACCCCAGGATCCCCCCCCCCTCACCATCACCATGCCTTCTCTCCGCCAGGCACTTGCCTCTACCCTCGCGTGCGCCTCCGCCGCCTGGGCCACCGGGATCAACGATTTCTCCTGCAAAAGTGATGGAAACCCGATCGTGCTCCTGCACGGACTGGGCGCTACCTACTACGAGGACCTCAACGTCCTGCAATACTGGCTGCAGAACGAGGGCTACTGCACCTACTCCAAGACCTACGGTGCCTACGACGGTTTCCCATTCGTGGGCGGCCTGAAGCCCATCGCAGAGTCCGCGGCCGAAATCGCCGACTACATCAAGGAAGTGACCGAGAAGACCGGCAAGAGCAAGGTTGACCTGGTCGGTCACTCCGAGGGTGCCTTCCAGAGTCTGTATGTGCCCAAATTCGAGGGTGTTTCCGACAAGGTCGATAAGATTGTTGCGATCGCGCCCCCCACGCACGCTACCACTTTCGCCAATCTTTATAAACTCGCGTACCTGCTCGGTAACACGTCCCGGGAGGTTGTTGGTGATGTCCTGCAGACGGTTGGCTGTGGTGCCTGTGACGACGTCGGTCCCGACGGTGCGGCGGTTCTCCGATTGAATGATGGCAAGCCGATTGTGCAGAAAGGAAACACTGTGACTATTATCGCGTCGAAGTATGATGAGCTGGTTACACCGCCCAATACTGCGTTTGTGGAGGAGGATGGAGTCTCCAACTGGTGGATTCAGGATACATGCAAGTTTGACCCGGTCGGACACATTGGCGAGGCCTATGATCTCAACGTGTGGAACCTGGTGAAGAATGCGTTGGACTCGACTCCGGACCGCAAGTTTGTTTGCCTGCTTGGCTCGCCCGGGAAATAATGGGAGAGGGGGGAAGGTGGGAGAAAGACGGTGAAGTCCCAAAGTGGATGGAGTGGATTATAAGGGCGATTGCTCCGTACGCGGTCAGTCTCGGATATTAATTGTACATATATACATAATAATAGCTAATGTTTCAAACCCTTGTCCAGTGTGGCGGTTGCAATCAGCCACTCGCGTAGGATATTCAGTACATTCAGTGCATTCAGTGCATTCAGTACGGAGGGTAGCACTTATGCCCCCCCCGACCAGTTCAGCCCTAAGTGGCACATATTACGATACGGAAATCGGTCTACTGCACACGTGTCACCGCAGGGGAAATAAATACCGTATACAAATCGGGAATTGGGCGCTATTCTCAGCAGCCTATCGCCAAGCGTCACACTGGTCAGAGTGGATACTCCCCGCCTACCCGGCCCAGCTTGGCTAGGAAGCTTAGCCCTCTTTGCACGCACATCACCTACCCCATCGCTCTCCTCATCGCCAATGATAGCTCGAATTGCCCAATGATTGGTCTTGGATCCACCGCCACACTCCTCCCAATTTGACCTACCCTTGGTTGCGCCACTCAATTAATAGGCAACCCCGGTGGTCCTGACCCAGTCAAGAGAGCCCTGGACCAAGTGGCACAGCAAATGGCGTTGTTTCACTCATGCTTGATGGGCCTATCTGATGCCATGTGTGTCCACAAGGTTGCCCATCCCTAGACGGGTTTCAGAGAGAGGGGTCGAGCAATGATGTTGACCTGGCTCTGGTCTGTTCTGGAGGGGTTATAAGTAGCTATTGTCAGCCCCCTGCCCCTCCTCTTCCTTTCTTCTTCTCCATCATCTCTCTCTATCTCTCTTCTCCCTCAAGTTACTTCACACTTTACATCTTTCACCATGGGTTGGTTCGACAGTAAGTCTTAAGCTTTCTCATCCCATTGCAATGCAGCCCCATGCAGCTGCCTCTGCCTATCCTGCATACACGTGCATCCGTGCTGACGCCTCCCTCCTACAGACGATTCCGATGAGTCTCAGCACTACGACAACTACCAACAGTACTCCCAGAACCCCGAGGAGCACAAGGCCAAGTTCTCCCATGAGCTGATCGGTGGTGCCGCCGCCTTCGAGGCCATGAAGGCCTACGAGGACCACGAGGCCCGCAACGGTAAGCCCCTCCTAGCTGTCACCATTCTTCATTCACCATTCACCACCCACCCCCATCTCCTAATACCTCAATGGCTAATCTCTCCATAGGCCAGGTTGACGACCACCGCAAGGCCAAGGAGATCGCCGCCGGTCTTGCTGGTGCCTTCATTGACCGTGAGTTCGAGACCAAGGGTCTGGACTTCATGGACCGTGAGAAGGCCAAGCGCCACGCCGAGCAGAGCATCCAGAACCAGTTCGAGCAGAGCGGCCGCTGGTAAATCCGGCATATCCGAATTCTTCAGGAAAGCATCAGGCCATGCCTCGGTTTTCATATGATTATGAACTTAGTGAGACGAAATGAATACTAGCGATCTCCAATGACCCCTTGCCTTGCATACTCCGTAAATAGCCTAGGGTAGGCAGCATCCACATCCACATCCACATTCACCGTAGATGAAAATTGTAGGCTGCAAACGAGCCAAATGGCAAACGGCACGGGAGTCGGGAGTCATCTACAATCAAGCGGATGAGAATGAGTGGGTCAGGGGAAGAACCTCTCCTCCGCCACAGATCGCTGCCAAACCCTGCCACGCTAAAATCTTGGCGATCGAACACACCGCGTCTTGCTCTGTGGAGAGAGAAAAAAAGGGTTAACGAAACCAGAGAGCTGCTCACACTCTGGTCATGGTGAGAGGATAGCCTAGTCAATCATTCCTTCACTCTAAACTCCCCCCTCCTCCCCCCACCCCCCACCCTCCCAAACAAATCGCCCCCAATAGGGCACACACGAGGGCTCCACAATGGCAGACAAAGATACGGACGTGAACAGTCGCCTGGATGAGCAGATCCAGCAGATGCGCCAGAATATCGTGGAGGTACGCAAGCGCCGTGAGCTGGCCGAATTGCAAGCGGAATTTGAATCGGAGAATAGACTCTTTGAAGAGGCTCAGCGCAGGCTAGAGGCTATGCGCGCGCCGGCGCCGGAGAGTCACGGTGCACCTGCTCACGCTAATTCCAATATCAATTCCAATGCCAATGTGGTCACGCAGACCCCGTCGAAACAGTTAACGACTACGAATGGGGCATCTGCTCTTCTCAGTCCGCAGATGAGTACTGGTGGGTTCACCATCAAGGGCACAGCGCACACTAAGGCTGTGGATCAATTCATGGATTCTCTACACGGTGAGATGGGTAGAGCAGAGCCTATATTACCTCCGGTACATGACGAGGGAGCCGCGAATGGCGGGTTGCGGTCTACTTCACAATCTGCTCCTACCCCTATCCAAGCTCCCCAGACGCCGGGACATCGGCCTCAAAGTCAACATTCGCGTCGCCCTAGTGAACCAGCCAATCCTCTCTCGCCCATCACTGAACAGGAGCCTTGTCTTACGGTAATACCCCCAAGGACTCGTTCGCAAGTCTCCGAAGCGGAGTCGGGCTCAGAACACTCGACAGTGATAAGCGAGGAGCACGAAAGTGATCAATCGGACGGTAGCCACAGCAGAAACTCCGATCCAGATGAGTCGATGGACATGGACCAGAGCAGCTCGCCCCAAATCCCGTCGAATACGCCCAGAGGCCCGTCACGTTCCATGACAACAGCCCCGTTGAGCCGGGGTGCTCAACGCTTGCAACACCCTGCACCGGATCCATCGATGCCTAAATACCAAGCCGATAGCTGGCAGTCATGCTTGAAGCTGATGCAGGCCCTGGAAACGCACTTTTCGATACACCCAGAATTCTACAGCTTCGAGGATCGCAAAGTACAGCTCGGTGAAAAATATCTCAACGCAGCCTTGGCTTCTGAATGGGATGATCGGCGCCGCAAGTTGCGGGGGCCGTCCTGGGTGGCATTCTGTCTTTTCCTCGCGGAGCAGCTTGCGGAATTTGTCAAACCCGATGTGGCGCGGCGCAAGTATACCGGTACCTATCAGAGGCAAGGTGAGGGGATTCTCAACTTTGCGATGTATTTGCAGCAATATGCGCCACATTTCAATTCGGCACATCATAACCGAGTGCGTCATTTCCATGACAGAGTTCTACCGAAATTCAGGAACCGAGCAGGAAGGAAGTGGCACAACTTTGATGGGCTTCATGAGATTGTGGAGTGCATGGTTAAGGTTGAGCAGTCACTTCCCAATTATGACGGATTAGGCCCGCGCAAACGAGTGCGGGCGAATAGTTGAGGTCGAGAGATTTAACATTTGTGGAGCGGCATGCATCAGGAGTTTTTTTTTTTTTTTTCTCTTTCCTTTCGTTTTCGGTCTACTGGGCAATGCATGGAAGTGGACATTGTGATACCGGCATCATCGGGCTAGCGGAGTTATCCATTATTGTTCTTCTTTCTCCATTCCTTTTCTTTGTGCGCTTTACCAATCTTAGCTAGAGTCAGCAAATTAAAGTATCTTTTTCTCCCCGAGTACTAGTACTACTAGTAGTATCATGAAATAAACAAAGGCAGCCTCGGCTCCACTTCGGGCTGCATAAGTCGATTTCTCCAAATCGCAAGGATATCCGATCACACCGACATAATACGACCCGAGACCAACTCCATCGTCGATCGCGTTCGTCGATGCACACAAAAGGTGGAAGTGGGGGAATCCACCCAAGGATATTGGCTCTCCTGACTGCAGGATGACCACGACGAGGGTAGTGCATCGGGCTTGCATCCCTGGCCCTCCACCAGCCCATCACAACCCTCCGATTTCTCAGCGCAAACCCTTGCGAACCGGGGCCTGCATGCTCACCATTCCCAATGGATCCTGGTTTTATCGATTGTATCGTGATCGATCAACCTCAGCCATTCACATCGGGGCCCCCAAGGATTCTGATAGGCTTCACTGCCAGTCGCTCCCCCACCCGCGGGACCCTTTGATCGGCACTGCCCACCGTTCACTCGCTGTCAACCCCCAAACACGCCGCTCTTATCTGATTCTCTTTTCTCTCCTTCGTCAACTCCAGGGGTGGGAGAGTGTGTTCTGGAAATTTTGACTTCTCTTGCACTGCCCATCGCGAGCTAGGTTTCTCGCTTAATCGTATACTCTCCGACGAGTGTCGCGTTATTTATGAAGAGGGGTGTGGACCCTCCCCTCCGCGGCATCCTTTGTTGATTCTCTTATCGGCCCATTGTCTGAGCCATGGACGATTGGAAATCCCTCGACCCACGCCCGCTGCCGCACCGCCGGACTCCTTCGTCGAGGAGGAGGCCTTGGACTGCGATCTTGCTACTCGGGGCATCCGGCTTTTTTGCGTGGACAACATGGTCATCTACTGGATCGTCAAGTCCAGCGCCAGAGCCACAGCTTACACCGAGTGGGTCTGAGGCCCCTTTCAGCTGGGACGAGATTGACCCCTCGCCTGTGCTGGACTACCAGGACTGCGGCGATGGCTTCCAGTGTGCACGCCTGCAAGTCCCCATGGATTATAATCGCACCGAGGCGGGCGATCGAACATTTTCGCTTGCAATAGTTCGTATCCCGGCCAAGGTGCCTGTCTCGGATGCCCGATACGGTGGCGCTGTTTTGATTAACCCAGGTGAGTCCGTTCTATAAATACAACGCCCCGAAATCGCAACTTATGCAAGCAACTAGGTGGCCCTGGTGGCTCTGGGACATTGTCAGCGTTGTTATCCGGTCGTAATCTGCAGACCATTGTTGATGCAGAGAACGATCCGTATCGAGCCGCTTTTGATGAAAATGACAGGTATTTCGATATAATTGGATTTGATCCGCGTGGTGTTGGCGCAACCACGCCTGCGGTGATGTGTTTTCCCGATCCTGCATCTCAAAAAGAGATGGGAACTACAATTAGAAGCAGAGGGGATGCTGGGGAGTTGTCCAAATGCCCTGCAAAGAAACTGGCAGCGGACTCAGGCCTTGAATCAAGGTTGTTCTGTTTTTGATATGAACGCTGGCGCTGATGCAGCTAACGGTGACGACTCCATGCTGTCTTATCTAAATACCCGCCTCGTTGCCCAGGACTTGGTCACCATAATCGAGCGCCAAGGCGAGTGGCGCGAGAAACAGGGTCAAAAAGCACAGGTTGCCTATGATAACTGCCACGGTGTGGATGAGTCGCGCGCTATTCTGAGACGCACGCAATGGCGTGTTGATAAAGAACCTTTATTATACTGGGGCCGATCCTACGGTACCGTCCTCGGCGCGACCTTTGCAGCATTATTCCCGAATCGAGTTTCACGAGCGCTGCTGGATGGCGTCGTGAATATGGATAAATATTACGAAGGGAGAGGGCCCAATGTTATCACGGATGCAGATGCGATCTTTGACAAATTCGGTCAATACTGTGATGTTGCCGGGCCAGACGGTTGTCCCTTCTATGTCGAAGGCGGCCCTGGGGTAATTAAGGATGCGTATTGGACACTCGAAAACCAGATCCTGAACAATTCCATTCCGGTTATGGCTTCTAGGACCCACGGGCCGGAGGTCGTGACCTGGACTGACTTGAAGGCCATTCTCCGCATCTCCATGTACCAACCTTTACTTGCGTTCCACACTTTTGCAACTCTTATGGGGTCGCTTTCAAGGGGTAACCCAGAGCCAATGGCCGTTTTCAAGCATAGCAGGCATGTCGAAACCTGTCCATCGAAGGCGTGCAAAATCGCTGGCCCTTGGTCTCCGGAATGTAGCCTGGGTCAAGACAACACCCTATACGCGAGTGCCGCTATTCTTTGCTCTGATGCTAGTTATATGACACACCATGATCAAGAGACTTTCGAGGAATTATGGACTCAGCTCAAGTCCGATAGTGCTACTCTTGGCGACTACTGGGCTCAGCTACAAATGGCTTGTGTAGGATGGCAAGCTAAGGCCAAGTACAAGTTTACAGGTATGCTTCAGCTTTACGAAATTGGATTGCTTGCCTGGTTAACACAATATAGGGCCTTGGGGTGGTGTCACGGCGCATCCTATTCTATTTGTCTCTAATAAACTGGACCCCGTGACCCCTCTTCGCAGGTATGCATATCGTCTATGAGTTATCTACTTGTTTGGGGAGGACAAAACACACTAACATCCATCAGTGCACAACACATGTCCAAACAATTCCCTGGGTCGGCAGTTCTTGAGCAAAATTCAGAAGGCGTAAGTGCTCTCGTTGCTTTTGCTTTGTTTCCTTGACTTCCCAGCTCATTGCCGGAATAGCATACCACGATTGCAGCACCTTCGCTTTGCGTAGCCAAGGCGATTCGAAACTATTTCCAGACCGGTGCTCTCCCGAACGCGGGGACTATCTGTGAGGCTGATCTAAAGCCGCTAGTCGGTGCGCCAGATGGCATTCACAGTCTCGGCAGGGATCTAAGCCCTGGGGACCGCAAGCTATTGGAGGCGTCGCTAGCCGAAGCGATGCGAGGACATTTCCCGCATATATCTTTCGACTGGAGTCTGTCTTAGACCATAGAGTACGCTCAGGTTTTGTCGTCAGCTATTTATCATGAGATCACGCCACCTCAGCCGTTTATTTCGGATCGTTTGGTCTATTATTTTTCCTCTCTTCCATTGCATTTGCTGTTATATATGAGCGACTCGGACTATTCTGTGTGCATCCGGCGAATCAAATCAATCCATTTAACCGAATTCCCCCTCCTCTACGTAACCTCGGACATTTCCCCGTAATCTCCATCCAAAGTTCGGTAGATGCTTGCTAAAGCGGAGACCCCGCCAGACCTCGGCATGCCCAAACGTCCAATCTGCGTGCTCGGATCGATAATCAACATGAACCCCGCTCGTCGATCGCATATGCATTGCTTACTGTGTAAGATAACAAATATCTCATTCTCCCTTTTCACACCATCTTGAGGTCTCTGATTATCGATATCAATTAATCACCCATCATGGCTCCCCCCCACAGCAACCGAGACCGCCAGCTCCATCACTGTGCAAGCGCCACAGTCTTCACAGGCAGCTGGGCTCGAGAAAGCCAAGGTGAAGATGCAGATGCCGGCAATGCCCAAGTTCGAGGATAAGCTGGAAGAACGAAAGTATCTCAAGGGCCGACTGGCTGCGGCTTTCCGGATCTTCGGCAAGAATGGCTACGATGAGGGTATGTATAACTGCCAATCATGAATCCGTTTCGTTCTCTTGCTGCTGTATCTACCATATGGTGTCCCCATGCCCATGTGTACAAACGTACTTACCTTACCCTAAGCATAGTTACTGATTTCCATATTCTTATCTTGCAGGTGTTGCTGGCCATATTACCCTCCGCGACCCCGTTGATCCCACCACATTCTGGGTGAATCCCTTCGGAACGGCCTTTTCGCTCATGAAAGCGTCGGATTTAATCCAGGTCGATCATTCCGGTAAAGTCATTGACGGCGGCCCGAATCGCATGCTCAATGCCGCGGCCTTTATGATCCACTCTGCCATTCACACTGCGCGCCCGGATGTACTCTGCGCTGCTCATAGTCACAGTCTTCATGGTCGGGCGTTCTGCTCTCTGGGTCGACCGCTTGATATTACGACGCAAGATTCCTGCGCTTTCCATAATGTGAGTTTGACTCGCCCCACGGATCTTGTTTCAGCTATTTCAAGGGGAAAGCATTGCTAATCCAACCCGTTCAGGACCACGTCGTATATAAGCAGTTCAACGGCGTTGTTCTCGCTGAGGAAGAAGGTCATAATATCGCCAGAGAGCTGGGCGATAAGAAGGCCGCGCTCCTGCAGAATCACGGCCTTTTGACTGTCGGACAATCGATCGAGGAGACGGTATTTTGGTTCGTGAGTTTGGACAAGTGCTGCTACGCACAGCTTCTCGCGGATGCGGCGGCGACCGGACGTGGAGGGCAAACGGTGAAAATTGACGAAGCAGATGCTGCATTTACTTACAAAACGGTTGGTACGCCGATGGCAGGTTGGTTCAGCGCGAAGCCCTTGTTTGATGTCATTCATCACGAGACGAAGGGGGAGTACCTGGAATAGGCCGAGTAGTAGAAATACCAAGTATAGCTACTATGCCGCATATACTCAATAGGTTGGAATAAAGCTACAAGTGCATAAAAATTTCCCCATTGGTTGATAAGTTATGAATTGGAATCTAGTCCAGGTAGAGCTAAGATTTTGTCTGTACAAGAACGACTAGCAAGCTCTGAAACAATTCTTCAACACCACAACCTGTCATCCCATTCATTCGGGCATCGATGGATTGGTCTTAGTGGATGGGTCTTCAGCCTTATTCGGTCAAGGTTTTTGGTGGAACGGGTTTGATGCCGAAACTATTCAGGTTTTCCGCGCTAACGTTCGTTGCAGATATTAATGCGCCAATCAATGGTTCGGGGGATTGAGTACTTGTGAGGGAGTCGCCGTTTCACTTGTGGGCTTTCTTCAATTTATTTTCCTCCGAAGTGAAACATCATGGGGACTCGGGCTTATAGTGGATAAATTGATTGTTTCAACTACGAACCTGCCAAGGAAAGCTCTCCTTAACATGAATAGAAAGCAAACCAAACTTTAGAAGTTTGTATAAATAGTGGGCAATGGCTCACATTTCTGGTAATGATAGACAGCATTCTGAAGATAGTATCCAATTCTCCAATAACTCAAATCACCATGCAGCTTTTTCTTTCCCTGATCGCCGGCGCAAGTCTGGCGAGCGCCAACCTGCTCTCCACGGAAGGTTTGCTAGCCAAGCGCGACAGCTGGGGTGGAAGTGTTTCGCTGGGCCCAACTAAATCAACCATCGTGAATGCCGTTACCACTCTCATCCCCGGCACTGCACCATCTACTCAGAATGGAGTACTGTTCCTTTGGCCCGGTATGTCCAATGGTACTGGCGACCTGGTCCAGACTACTCTCGAGAGCTGGCCGGACAACTCCTGGTGTGGAGCTTCTACTGGGCAATGGTGCGTTCGCGCTAGTGTCTTCGGATCTTTTGGCCAGTTAGATGGCACTGGCAGCCCCGTCAGTGGCTCTGACAAGGTCCGCATCGAATACAACCTAGAGAGTGATGGAGAAACTTGGAAGCAGTATGTATTCGCGAGCTCTTGGACTTGAAGAGCCATGAAGAGCTAATATTCTTGCAGGACTGTCACCAATGCGGCCACTGGTGCTGCTCTTTCTTCCTACTCTCACGCCTCAGGTCCCTACATGACTGGGTAAGCATTGCTAGCAAAACTCCTTTTGAAAATGATTTTGATTGACTAACTGTGTATAGCTACGGTACTGGTACGGAATGCAATGATGGCTGCTCAGGCACCATCGCTGCCCAGCAGTACGTTGATACAACTATCACCCTGGCCTCAGCAGACACCACCTTCGGCGATACCATTGCCAGCGCATCTGGAGCCACATACACTGGTCTGAGCTCAAGCTCTGGTGGCAAAGTGTGGAAAATCAGCGCCATCAACGTGCCCGCAATGTCATAATGGGGGACGATAGTAGCATGAAAATGAGATTCGTGTATTGTATGAAATAGTTCAAAGCTCAACGCAGCAAAAATGAATATGAAAATTCAAGCAACAAGCCGCTGGCTATGCAAGTTCCCCGAATATTAAACATTATTCCGTATAGTCCAGGTCGACAGCCAACCGGACCGGTCCCGGCGGCGCTGCACCACCAATACCATCATGGTGCTTCTTTGACTCGGTATATGCATTAATGACCTTCTTCGCGCCCGGGGTGAGTATAGAGCATCCTTTCCCATCAGCCATGCATATCCGCATCCCCTCTACCTTCTGCTTCGCAATTTGCGCTTGGATGGCAGATACATCCCAACCAGACCAGCCATTATTCTCGATATCGCCGAAACTAAACTCGCCCCAGGTAGAGGTATATCCACCAAAATCGTCCGTCGGAAGGCCCTTTGTTCCGGGTGCAGCGCCCCATGCACCGATGGAATCTTCGTCAAAGGCGATGTACTTCGTCTCGTCGGGTGCCAGGATAAAAGTCAGGGCAGAGTTACCATACCACCCGTCCATCTTGCCGTCGGGCCCGATCTTGTTCCAGACAATCACTGTCCAGGGCTCAGTGTTGGAGCCGGTGAATTGAGCCACGTACTTGTACCGGTGGGCCTCTGTTGGACTGACTTCGATGATGTTGCTGCCCCAGGGTACTCCGACATTCCCGTGATATTCGATGAGTGTTCCGGCTGGCTTGCTGTGACCACCGAAACGGCGGGTCGAGAAGTCGTTGTTGGCGGGAAGGTCTGTCCATTGCATACCTTCTGGAATGGCGGGTCCATCGGGGTGGAGGACGTTGTCGAGTCCAGAAACGGGAAGGTGGGGGAGTATGTCTGTCGGGTTGTCTGGCAAGATTTTCGGAATCGATTGGAGAAGGTTGGGATTATGGGGGGCCGAGTCTGTTTTAGGACCATTGGGTAATGGACGCTCCTCTGCCGAGGTCTCGGATGGTGAGGGTGCTTCAAGGTTGGAAGACGAGGCTGGCTTGCTATTGGAGACGCTTGGGGCGGCTGTTTCCATGTCTGTGATTGTCTTGGTCATGTGTATGGTGGTTGTCTCCTCATGAGCTAGTGTTTGAGACACGGATGCCTCGATATGGTTGGACTGGAGGTCCATAGGTTCGAACTGGGAGGCGGTTTCTGATGTAATTGAAGAGACTGGCTGCTGCGGTGCTTCAATCGCAGAGAACTTCGGCGGAATAGCTTGGATTGTAGCTGTTGCTGGTTCGAGAACACTTTCAACTGGCAACGGCCGAGGGATAGCGGCCATTGGCAACTCTTGGGAAGCAATGGGCTTGGGAGGAATAGCAGTAGGCTCGGGATAGTCCTCGAAAATAGTCGTAGTAACATATCTAGTGTTGGTGGGAATACAGTCTTTAAAGACAGTGGTCGTCAGGGTGCGAATCTCCACATTCATATCTGCGGGAACGTGGTCGATCCAGTTCAAGTCTCTAGGCTCCATTTGAACATGCGGCTTGATCTTTCCATGGTGATGTTTGTGGTGGTTGTGGGCTCCCAAGACGAGGGTGGCGCCCATGGCCAGGATTAGTGGTGTATAGATGCTCTCGCGCATCATGAAATGAGTGTATAGTAACGCAGGACAGGTAGTTTAGTTTGGTTATAAGGAGAGTACTCGAGACTGAGTGAGCTTTGCTCGAAAATTAAGTTAAAGAAAGACTTTCGTGGCTTTAAAGAAAGAGATATAGAGAGAGGTTGAAGTTGGATAGCGATGGTGACCACGTTTACTGCGTGGTGGAAATTGTTGTCGGCTTCATGGTTGTCGTGTTGTCGATGAACTCAAGAAACGCGAAGGGGAACGCGCCCCCATCTTATAATCTGACGCGATGGTCTGGCCCTTGAAGATCAGGAATGTTATTTCGCGCCGGATCTTGGAAGGGCGATCTGATATGGACAGTAGCAGCCCCGAATTCCTTTCCGCTTGGCCAGATGCGAACGCGTTCCCCATGAAAAGATCCTGCTTTCTGAAGTTCAATTTATTAAGGCACCGAGATTTAAATTCTAAATCACTCTGATTTTCTATCATAGATGTAAATGAATGAAATTGCAGTCGGCGATTTGATGGTAGGTCCGGTCGCGTGTGGTCTCGCCCTGGTAGCGCGACCCCTCGCATACCAACCCTAGATTGCCGACAAGGCACCTCCACACGTGAGGTAAAACGTGGGGACTGTAGCACAGAAGAAAACAAGAAATTGAGTTTGACAAACCTATTTATTGAGGTTGTTGAGGGTGTCCAGATTCGGTGGGAGTACATAGTTCGGGCCAACAGCCGAGCCTGTCCAGGTACGACAATCCCAATATTAACTCTATGGGATAGACTTGACTAAATAAAGCCCCATCAAGGAATCAGTAAACAAGTGTTCTGCGGCTGCCATTGGGCAAATCCTTGTTATTGATGTTAAACCTCGGACGTTAAAGATACTAAAAATGGCTGGATACGAGAATGCAACCTCGGATAAATCGCGCTCTTTGCCTATGAATAGCGAGAACACGAGGAAGTGGGCTGGGCAATACGAGGATATGGAAATTCCAATATATAAGTACACCATTATTCTGCAAGGGTCTCTCACCATAGATCAAGTGTTAGTTAAAAACGAATCAAGATGAAGTTCCCTCAGTCTCGCAGTTACCTTCCTCCCCCTCCTGGCCGCCGCTGCGCCCGTCGCAGACCCCGAAATCGAAGCAGATGGAGAGCTGGACCTTGAGAAGCGCGCATCAGCGCAGACTTGCAAAATCGTCAATGTAGACCACTATGTCAATTGCCGGTACGATGCGAAGTTAGATGCGGGTGCAATCTTTGGGTTTCCCAAGGGAGACAAACTTACCTTTGCGTGCTGGAAGCATGGCGATTGCTATAATGGGGTTTGGTAGGTTTGATACTGTATTATAACGAGCTAGATGCTAATAGGAGTAGCTCCTGGGATCAAGTTACATATCTGAAGACAACGTGCTACGTCAATGGGTACTTCACAGATAGTAATTGCTCGAGCAGTATGTCACCTCTTGCTGGTATTTGGACATGACTGATGATGTTAGAAAAACTCCCCAAATGCAAATAGGCTGCGACGGCCCTCGATGTCGCTGTGATATGCTGCTAGAGACTTGATATAGCTTTTGAAGATGGATTAGAAGTCACCGTGATCGTTGTATTAATATGCAGGTCTTTTTGTGGTCCATCCTTCCCGCCCGCCACCAAGTCTAAAATACAGCCAGAATACCATATAGCCATATCGCAGTTCAATACTATATTTATTTAGGGCTATAGTATTCTAGTGGTCACTACTAGTATTTATTATATTTACAAAACAACACACACGTGACGGCAATAACACACGCGACAAAGTAATGCGTGTTGTCAAAGTTATATGTGCCACCAAACCAACGTATGCCACCAAAGCAAAACCTAGAGATCTAAGTTAGCAAAAAGAATAATGGTATACAGAGCAAAGTTATAGCTACTGCCAAAGAAAAACCTAGATATCCAAGTTAGTAAGAAAAGTAAAGAGATATTTAGAGCAAAGTAACGTATACTACTAGTAGTACTACAAAACCTCAGAAGGACTCGGAACTTGAACTTGAACGTGAAGAGGATATTCAAGTTTGTAAAGGTAACTTGAAAATAGTATTAGTAACGTGTACCACAGACCGAGTTGGAGTAATATATATTTAAGGCAAGAGCGTTCATATGGCCCAGGTGCTGGACGTATCCTAATTATACTCAACCTTGGAAATACTACTATATTGAAGCTAACAAAATACAATATTGATGGAGTAATATGCTCGTCCCGACCGTAAAGTTTCTATATATTCTAGACTTAGTGGCGGGCAGGATGGATGTTCTTATTGTACGTACCTGGTATAGTACCAGTCATATCCTAACAATATCTTTCACGAGGAAATGCTAATAGTATAGGGAAACATCTTAAATGATCTGGAGGTATGTAGCACCATTGAGTTTGGGTGGCCAATTAAACAGCGGCAGCGCCAACAACTTCAATCCTTGGGGCGATCGGCACTTGAAGGAGCGCCCATCACAAACCAGCGCTCACAGCCCCCACATTAATCCATCGCAATGCTGCCTCTAAATGGCGAGGAACGCGATTCACATATTTCTTTGTATTTCAGATTATAAGGAGTTTTCTGTGCAAAGAAGTATTGCAAACTATTCTATTACTACTGAATTTGGGGAGCTGAAAGAGTTCTCGTATGCCATACACCTCCACCCCCAGCACACAGCCACATAGAATCTGAAACCAAAGGAGAAGTTTGCTTCCCCCAAGGCTGGCCCTCCTGAAGATGATGAGTCAGGCATGAAGGAGAAGGGAAAAAAGGGGGGGGCCTTTCGAGCAAGACCCAGTCCGCGATTAATTTGCATTCATAGCACCAAGAACACTCGACAAGGTCTCGGCATTTGAACGAATCTGGACCTCTGATTTGTCGAATGCCCAAAAATGAGCATTGGCAGCACTGCCACTTTGTGGTTTTTAATTTCCAACCGATTGCGCGCATCTTGGCGCTTAGACAATTGCTTGGCACTTGGCGCCAGGGATTTATTTTTATTTTTGATTCATCACTTCAAATCAGGCAGCAGCCTCGTCTCCACTGCCTCGTCTGTTCCTTTGCACTATTGATTGCCCTTTTGGTGGGGCTTCATGGATGCATTCAGGAATCAGGATCATTCAAGGCAAGATTTATGTACGGATACACTCTCCGCGTATTCCATATCCCTTATACTCCGTACTATATGCCTTGATCCATTAGAAATTAGGTAGCAACAAAACCGGATTTCTGCATGAACATGGATGTCTCGAATATGTGATCGTTTTAGCGCCCGATCTCTTTGATCATCAGACAGGTTTCATGTGCGCTGGGGGCGGGCTGGTGATCAAGCTGGAATGAATGGCTCATATGGTACTTCGTACTCGCTACTCCGTACCTATCAGATTGCAATACGCCTAGTCAGCAGCCACAATAGCGTCCAGATATAGACAATGTAAAGACATTCGGAACAAAAGCCAAACAAAAAGAAGAACAGGAAAACTGCCAAAAGAAATGGGCCAAGCGGGTCCGCTCTCTTGCGCTGTCTTGGCCACCAACGACAGCATGCGACCGGATGGGGGCGGACGGGGTTTCTGCTCGGCGCCCAGAGGCCCTGGACCCTTTAGGACGCCCCCGTCTTTGCTTTGGTGCTTCCTGCCCGATAACTCGAGTTTTGTCTTCTGCAACCCCTTTGTCATCCATGGGGATACCAGAAAACACCAGATTCTGAACTCATGAGGCTTTTCAAAGGGCCGATCGCCCTGGTGGGCGGTATCCTTGCCCTACGAGGTGCCTTTGCGATCGACGTCGATCCCGAGAATGAAGGTATGTCAATGTCAATCACCCTAGATCGAGCTCGGTTCAGTTCAATTCACCTCCCCGGCCCAGGTCTTTCTAACATTCATTTCTTTGCGTTGGGGGATAGATTCTATCAAAAGCGCGGCTAAGACCGTCGCGACCTCTATGGTCGATTACTACAATGCTCGCGATTCCAAAGACATTCCCGGAAAATTCGACGATACCTGGTGGGAGGGTGGATCCATGTTCATGACCCTGATTCAGTATTGGTACTTGACAGGTGACGATCAATTCAACGACATCATTCAGGAGGGCATGTACTGGCAGAAAGGTGCCGACGACAATTATTTCCCGAGCAATTCCTCTTCATACCTCGGAAATGACGATCAAATGTTTTGGGGCATGGCGGCGATCATCGCGGCAGAGTTCAATTTCCCCCAGCGAAGTGATGAGCCCTCGTGGGTCACACTGGCTCAGGGTGTCTTTGATGCACAGGTTGCTCGTTGGGATAAAACGAGTTGCAATGGTGGTCTGCGCTGGCAAATTTGGCCATATCAAAATGGATATGAAATCAAGAATGCCATCTCCAATGGTGGATTGTTCCAGTTGGCGGCCCGCCTGGCTCTGTACACTAAGAATGAGACTTTTGCCAACTGGGCGGAGACGATTTGGGATTGGAGTTTGACGACTCCTCTTTTGAAGAAAAAGAATTGGAATATTGCCGATACCACGAATGTTGATGCGAACTGCAAGGATCACGGCGATTGGCAATGGACTTACAACTATGCTACTTACATTGCCGGTGCTGGGTATATGTATAACTACGTGAGTTGCGAAAAGGACCCCCCCACCTCCAACCTTCTGGCAGATACTACGAGATTCTAATCATTATGATTTTACAGACCGAAGGCAAAGATTATAAATACCTCGAAGGCATCACTGGATTAATCACGACCTCCAACCAATTCTTCCCAAAGAGTGGCAACGGCCAAATTATGTCCGAAATTACCTGCGAAGCAACTGAAAACTGTGATCGCAACCAAAAAACTTTCAAGGCATATTATGCATCCTGGCTTGGATTTATGTCGCTTATTGTTCCCAGCAATGTGACGGAATCAACCATGGCGAAATTCAAGACATCCGCAGTCGCTGCTGGTCAGCAATGCTCGGGTGGAAAGGATGGGAAACACTGTGGAATCCGGTGGACGATGCAGACTAAGTGGGATAAATCCACGGGATTGGAGCAAGAGATGGCTGTTTTGGGTGTCTTGAACGCCATCATGGTCCCGTTCAAGCAACAGGGTCCTTATAATGTGGACAATGGTGGAGAATCCAAGTCAGATCCGAACGCAGGAGTAGATCATGATCCCAAGACCAGAACGATTACTTCGGGAGACCGAGCTGGTGCTGGAATTTTGACGGCTGTCTTTATTGCGACTTGGGTGGCTGGTCTTGCATGGGCCATTTGGGGCTAGAATATACTGAGTATACTATTTCTTCGGCGTTCAAGTTGGTATATATATTATTTTCTTTCAAATATTCATTCATGTACCAGTAACCTAATCCAACCGCTCATACCCAACCATCTGAACCTCAACATCTCCTTCCCGTTTCCACTCCCCAGTAACATCTTCCCCAACCCATTCTGTCACCTCTTCCTCACTAACACTGCGCCACCCATTCTCCGCTGTAAACTTTTCCACCGGGAAGAACGTATCACACTCAAACGGTTCCTCAATCCCTTCCTCGCCACTCTCAGTCACCGGCTTCCGCACCACATGCGTCATAACAATCCGCACAGGCCTCTTCATCAAAGCCTCAGACCCGCCCCGCAACGAAGCACCATAGATCTCCGCACCACCAATAACAAAAACTTTACCCAGGCGTCCCTCCGCCCCGTAAACGGTATCCAGCTGATCCAACGCAGCGTCCAGACTAGGCGTAACAATCGCATCGGTAGTGGGTTCCTCTGCGGAGGATTGACCTGGACCTGGAGCTGGAGCTGTAGCTTGCCCCGCCTCCGCCGCAGCCTCAGCCTTAGCTTTAGCCGTAGCAGCCATCTTCACCTTCCTAGCCGCAAGTTCCTGCAACACACCCTCACGCACCGAACCCGTCTGATCACGCGTAACCACCACACTAATTCGTTTACCCAATGGGCGGAGGTGTTTCGGGACAGAGTCGTAGGTTTTCCGTCCCATGATGATCGCATTGGTAGTGCCTTGCTTTGGTGGACGTGAGGTGACGCGCGCGAAAAAGCTCATGTCGGCTTTTATGCGTGGCCATGGGAGAGTTCCTTTTAGACCGATTCCTAGGCGTGTGGCGTTTTGGTCGGAGGGTGGGGTGGTTGTGGTTGTGGTTGCGGACGCGGACGCGGACGCGACGCGTATCGGGGTTGTTGCGACGATTAGGGTGAGGGGGAGAGAGGGGGGGAATTGAGTGGGTTGTTGGTGGTGGCATTTTGGATTCTGGATTTTAGACCTCTCTGTTTGGATTGAGTTGAGGTGAGTTGAGTTGAGTAGGGAGGGAGGGAGGAGTTTGAGTGGTTGGCGGAATTGGAAGTTTGGGGTTCCCAGTGAGTGCCGAGCTTATCGCCGCGCTTATCACCGTTCTTTAGGGCGGGGCGGGTACCTTAGGGTACGAAGGTAGTTGGGAACCCTCCCATGGGAAACTACTAAATACTACTAACTACTACCAACTACTAGTATACCTAGGCTATGCGTACCATATTTCCTCTGCAAGGTGGGGCTCTTCTATTCTAGGTGCCGCCGCTTTAATGAGGGTGTTTAGAATCATACGATTAGAACTTACTGAGCAGCTCAGATCAGATCACGTGATATGGTAAGACGGAAATGGTAATAGTGATCTGTATATGAAAACGGAATTAACAAAGGCAACGTTCTATTAACAAAATAGAAAGATCTTACTCAAACACCCTACATTCTTCGAAAACACGCCTTGATGGAAACGGAAGGCACCGTCTACGTAATGATGGAGAAGAATAAGAGTAAAGAATCGTGCAAAATTCGAAAAAATGAATAAATTAAAATAGATACAAGGGCAGATTTAAGGAACTTTCGAGGTAAGGACGAACAACATGAACGTATAAGGGAGGTGATGCTTACCACTTAGTAATAAATTTTGTGCCTAAGAAATGAAGATGAATGTGAAGTGAAAACCACATTCCGCTATTGGCAAATAGCGACTCGGAAGAGCCAGAACACAAATTTTATGCAATATACAAACTGGGAATCCCATTCATTTGAGTTTGAAATGCACTAACAGCAGAAGGAAAAGTATGCCTACTACTCGAAAAGACGTATTGAATCCATATAATCAAAACGAAGGGAAAACAGAAATCAGCAATGTCAACTTACTAGTATTGCTACGGGAGGACGCTGAGGATCAGAATGGAGCGCTCCTAGAGAACGACATGATCCAGGGGAATGAGAAAGAGTTGAATCGGATAGTTTCAGCCATGGAAGGGTTCATACAATAACTTGAATATAAACAGAAACCCTTGTACAGCATATGAAGGGAGCCTTAGGGATGGCATATACGTAGCGCACGCATGCGGCAGATCGCGAGCGAAGACCTCCGGGAAGACGCATTCGGAGAGCCAGGCCAAGACTTAATTGTGAGGGCGAATCAGTCTTAGTTACTATAGTGGATAAAGGCCAAAAACGGGCTTTTTTTCGGGAGTATATAAAGAAAAGCCACTCCCGATATCTGCGTCCAAAGAATGTGAACGTTAAACTAGGCGCCGTCCGCCATGATTCGTCCCAGTTTCAAGTTTTCGCGCACAAGGGGGATTTTTTTCTTGATTATTAGTTTTGCCTTGTGTATTGCATTGTTCAGTTTTCCTCAGCACTCACCGATCTCAGCGGTATACCGAATGCGCGAGGGCCATACTCATCCTGACGACCAGGCCCAGCATTCCTCGAATCGAAATTCAGCTGTTACTCCGATTGACACTTCAATTCACCAAACTATAAAGAAACTCCCGCAGAGCCGCTATGCTGTCGCGCTATTTCTCGGAACAGAATTTGATGCAAAGGAAGGTTCCGAGGACGACGAACATTTATACTATGTGGGAGCTCGGACGTTGATTTATCAGCTGCTTCATGCTCCGCGCACGAAATTCAGGAGTCCAGTTTCTGTTGTGATTCTGGTCACCAAGGGAGTACACGAAAGTAAGCGTCAGCGACTACGGGAAGACGGTGCGATAATAGTCGAGGTTGCGGATATAGAACACTCGGTCGAAATTGCCGTTGGGCGTTATGCCGAAGTGTTCAACAAGTTACGAGTCTTCGATCCTAGCATTATGCCATTTGAAAAGGTTGTCTTGCTAGATTCGGATATGGTCATTACTCGCCCTCTCGACGCAATCTTTGACGACCCTGCTTCTCAGCGCTCCCTAGTTAATAAAACTGCGACAAGTGCACTTGCCCCCGACTTGCCCCCGATACCTGATAGCTATGTTCTAGCATCGACTCCCGACATCGCTTATAGGCCAGTTGGCTTTCCTCCTAATCTAACCGCCGAGGACAAGCGCGACTATTTCAATGCTGGTGTGATCGTGCTGTCACCTTCGACAGAACTTTTCAACCTTTATCTTGCCGTCCTCAGCCGCACAGAACTATTCGATGGCTGGTGGCCTGAGCAAAATCTGCTCAACTACGTCCACAGCCGGGATGGGCCGATGCCTTGGGGAAGTCTTGATTTGTTATGGCATCTTATATCACCGAATGCGGCTGATTTTGAGGCTGGCATGGCTATCCTTCACTGCAAGTTTTGGGAGCCAGCATTGAATCCGTGTCACCAGAGTGCGGTTTCCCGACGGTGGGAAATGCAGGGATACTGGAGCGGTAGGGAGGAAAGATAGACGGAAAGCTCGGAGGGAGAATAGGAGGACTTGATCAGATTGGTACGATCATTCTCACTGTACAGACTGGAAACAAAAAAAGATGACTTATACGCATTAGTATGTCCAGCGAACGATTCTATACAATTCACACTGCCTAACCATTGGTCGGGGCTCTGGGAGGAACTAAAACGCAAGAGGGGAATATGCAATGTGCAAAGCTATGCAAAATATCAACAAGAAGCGAAAAGCACATGTGAAACATTCAATAGATGATCAACGCCAGCCAAAATATGGCCCCAAATGGCATGAAAAACAGTGATGCAAGATGCATGGCGAGTCGACTTATTCGTTCGTCTTCATGTATTTCACAAAAGACTTCTTATGCACGAGACCAACATATTGTCCATTTTGTAGGACACAGAGGTAGCGGAGACCAAGCTTGGCGAAGCATTGGTAGACAAGATCGATAGGAGAATGGACGTCAAGGGCGATAGGAGACTAGTTGGGATTGCATTAGCACCGGAAGAAATCCCGAAAAATGGAAATCAAGGTCATGGCTTACTGGGTCAATATAACGAGTGAAATCGTCCTGCAGGAGATCTTCATTCTCGCTGTCATAAATTGCGATGGAAGAGTCCATCGACATTAGGCAGATAGTGTGATCTTCGTCTGCGCCGAGAGTGTCGAGGGCGTATTCTAGGTCCGGTGCCGGGATTAACCCGGTGAGGACGCCGTCCCGTAGAATGGGAAGACCGCTGTCCAGCTCGCCAGCCATCAGTAAATCTTCGAGTTTTGAGCGGAGTTCTGAAGCTGGAACGAAGGGTGAGCCAGAGATGTCAATGGTACGCTTCTTTCGAGCGGGCCGAACGATATCTCCTAGCTCGGCGTCGGAAACCGGTTGCAACTTGCTATCCAGGAAGGGATAGGCGTTCATGTCGGTGAGGAAGTCCTAGGTTTCATTAGTATTTGCGGCGAAACGGAGAAGGGGTGCATCTTACGTAGATACTGCGTGGCTCGATGGCATCAGCAGTCCACTTGGCGCATAGGATTGCCAGAGAGAAAGGGAGCACATGGTCCAGACTCCCCGTGAGCTCGAAGAGAATGACGGCGAGGGTTACCGACAGGCGTGTAACGCCACACATTGTAGCTCCGGCGGCGACCAATGCATACACACCCGGGGTAACGCATGATTCCATGCCACTGATGTCGCAGGAGTTGAATAGAAACATGGTTGGATTCTTTGCTGCCCAGTATTGAACCACATGTCCAACAATGCGACCCATCAGGCCGCCCACAACCATGGAGGGAACGTAGATGCCGGCAGGGACCTTGATTCCAAATGTGACTACAGTCAAGAAGCTCTTAATCACAAAGGCACCGAGAAGATATTGCACGACTTCAAGGATATTGTCTTCTTGAGGACATAGGCCGGTGCGTGACCTCGATTCTCCTGTACAAGGGCTTGTGAGCTCAAAGAGAAGTTCGGTAACCGGCAACTTGGTGTATCGATTCCAGAAGCTAATCAAACCGGTGATCAATGCGACGAGCAAAACCTCAAACATGGGAGAGCGTTTGATGAGAGGGATGCGGCGGAAAGACCGAGCCCACAAACTGGACGCTTTGATAAAAAGTGCTCCTAGTGCGCCACCCATAATGCCGAGCAAGATGAAGATGAAAACCTCAAAAAACTCCCAGTCTGATAAATATCGAACTTCAAACAAGACAATCTTCCCGGTGCCGTATGGGTTAAGAAACTTCAGGGACAAGGCTGCCGCAATGCAGCAAAAGAACGTTCTGAATAGGGTCTTTGGCGGAAAATAATAGCTGACCTCTTCTAAACTGAAGAGGACGCCGCCGATTGGTGCGCCGAAAGCGACTGCTACGCCACTGGCGGCACTGGCACTCAAAACCTCTCGCCTTTTACCATCATTTTGGTTGTACTTTGCGAATAGGCGACAGCAAATGTTGCCCACGCAAGTGGCGATGTGAACATACGGGCCTTCTTTGCCTAAGCTCAGACCAGATGAAATACTGAAGATAAGGGCAATCGTCTTGATAATCAAAGTCTTCAGGCCGAGATAGCCATGAAGCACGAAGCCACTATTGATGACTTTCACCTCGGCCACGCCACTACCAGCAGCTGAATAGTAGATCATAGCCGGCTGTGCCGGATTGTTGGGGAAGGTTCCGTGGGGGGGTCGTATCAGACGAAGGAGATCCGGTCCCGGCACTGCCATTGTTTGGCTTGGTGCCTCGCGACTCCGCGCCAAGATTCTCATCCAGGGTGGTCAAGTGGATAGATGATGGAACAACCGTCTTCGTGAGCAATGTAAGAGCACAGGCGATAGCGGCGAGGCCTACGCTCCAAGCAACAAACATGACGAAGTCGATTGGTTCATTGTCATCGGCAGAGGATTTGAATAGTTGTGACCACGTTCGCCAGCGGCCTGGGCTGCAGTCGCTATGACTAGAAAATAGATGCGAAGAGCAGTATCCAAATTTCATGTCGAAGATCGCGTCCTCGGTGACATCCACGAAGTAAGCTATGGCAGCTGTGATGCATCCAATGAGCGCCACGAGGATCCATCCTTGTGCGCCGTCAAACCATGCTAGCAATCGCCCTCTAATATCCTTCCGCTGCCGAAGCTGTCGTAGACGTACTCCATCGGCGATACTGTCATGCACCCAATCAGTGGAGGTAAATTGATCATACCAAGTCCGCTCGTCGAGGAAGGAAGAAGCGGTCAAGCCGTCTTTGGTGGAAGGCGGCACACTGGCCGGCCTGCCCTCCGGGTCATCCGCGGTGACACTCGGTCGTCGACTGAGCCGTCGACTCTGTGAGTTCGCTCTGCTATGATTCCGGGTCCGGCGTAGACTGCCTGTCGCGAGTAAATATCGTAGAGAGTCGGGACCGGAGATACCAGAGGCGCTGGTATATGAGCGACGAGGGATTCTTCGCTGAGCTTCAGATCCTAGTAAGCTGGTGGTTTCGTTGATGTCCAGCTGGGCCTCCAGAGACTGGTAGCCGGTATGCGGTTCGGAGAGGTAACTTTGCGATCTTCGGTAGGCGGTTGGGGAAGGAGGAGCTGTGCGAGTTGTGGGGGCCATTTCTGGATCGTTATAATCCCCTTCCCCGCGTGATGAGGAGCGAAACTGGGGGACGGAGCGAGGCATGACGGGGGATTATTTTGGCCTTCAGACTTCACTCGTGGGAGTGGCGGGCCTGAGGAATTCCGTCAGTTTGGAGGTGGAGGCCTTGGGGAGGTCGGGGATTGACCCGGGGAGGCCCACATTGACGCAAGGTAGCGACAGTGATAGCGTTCTGCCAACGTGAGCGGCGCGGCTAGGGAGGCGAAGACGAAGACAAACTGTTGATAGAGAAGAATAAAATAAGATGAGGATAGTAATAAAAGGGATCCGCCATGGCGGAGTTCATGAAGAGGGGAAAAAGGCAACGGTGAAGGAGTCTCCAGAAAAAGAGGAGTGGCGGATGATCGATGGGCAACCGCGTCAGGTGCAGCGCTGAGCACGAGCTTCTTCAACATCAACCATCATCCCTTTGTCCCCTTCATCCCCTTAATTCCTCTTTTGAGTTCAATATTAATCTACTGATTCAATTTTACTGGCATCTTTGACTGCGCCGAGACCGTACAGAGGGGTATCTGCATATGACATATATTACATCTGTTTCTCGTCTTTAAAAGCCCCCGCGATTCCCGCCGATCGACAGCCGTTTCAATATCCTGAGCAGTGCTGATCGCCTTCAACGGTGCATTCTTCGCATGTCATTCGCCAGACTACCATCACCACCCGGGCAGTACAGATGATACAGATCCGAGTCCTGGGATATAGAGGACAGTGCGGCGCCTGACTTGACTCTGGCTGACTCTGACTGGGGTTAACGGGGCCACCTGCTTACGAATGGTCAGCGATCATGGACTCACACTCGAACTCACGGACATTGTCTCGGGAAAAGGTTGACCTCGATTTCCACCATCTTGGAGGTACCTAAGCGTGCTTCAGGTGGCGTTGCGGGGATGCATCTGGCTTACGAGTGAGTCCTGAGTCCTGACAATAGTACGAGGTCTTCGGGGAACTGTGATCTCTCGGAGATGGCTCGGCGATAACAGCTGTTCAGTGCTTATGTACTAGAGTACTCCGTAACTCTGTGTGTAGAATGTAGAAGCTGATCAAGGCTTGGGTTATGCAAGAATGGATAGCATTGGTGGATAAATAGAGGAATCCGGGAACCATGAGGGTCCTGGGCACCCTAAGATACCAAGGTAGCCTAAGGTAAACTGCATTGCCCGATAAGCTTGCGCGATCGCAGTGGGATGAAAAGCTTCCCATCGAGCTCCACTTCCACTTCCATTTCCCTTTTGTCCACGGAGCTCACCCCACCTTAAAACTCATTGCCTTCCACTTTGTCTTGAAATCTTCGACTTGCCTGTTTCTTTTTATCAATCCCTCGCCTCGAACATCTCTACTTTTGCGCAATGTCGGCCCTTGATACCCCGCCCGCCATTGAAGGTGTGGCTAAGCCGTATGACCAATTGATCCTCTTCGGCGACTCCATCACCCAGATGTCCTATAACCAGGAAGTTGGGTTTGGATTCGGTGCTCAGCTGCAAGAAGGTATATCAATTTTCCGGGGATGCAATTAATCCAAACCCTAACCGATTTTCCCCAATAGTTTACGCCCGCAAGCTGGATGTCATCAACCGAGGCTTTTCGTGAGTAATGAGAGCCACTGGAATTGGATTCCAAGGTTTGTGATGTTCGAGAGGTATATTCTTTCTGACCTCCTGCAGCGGATATACCACGGCGCATGCGATCAAGATTTTCCATCAATTCTTTCCTTCGCCCCAGACCGCCAACGTTCGATTGATGGTAAACAAACCCGGACCTCCCTCTATACTATCTGGCCCAGAGATAGATACTATGTGATATATTGACTGGGACTCTTCATAGACTATCTTTTTTGGTGCTAACGACGCATGTGTTCCCGGTCATAACCAACATGTTCCTTTGGAAACCTACAAAGAGAACCTGAAGAAGATCATCCAACACCCCGCTACGCGAGCTCAGAACCCTCGCATTATCATCATCACCATTCCACCCGTCAATGAGTACCAACTTGAGAAATTCGATAATGATAAGGACACGCCGCACCCTAGTCGAACTGCTAGCCTTGCCAAAACATATGCGACGGCGGCCCGTGAAGTTGGGGCCTCACTGAATGTCCCCGTAGCAGATGTCTGGTCTGCATTCATGGCTACCACTGGTTGGAAAGAGGGCCAACCGTTAGCTGGATCTCGGGATCTACCCAACAGTGAAGAATTTAGCGGCCTATTCACCGACGGTATGTTGATTCTCCCAAGCTGATATGATATGTATTCGCAGAGTGCTGACGATATGCTCTAGGTCTGCATCTCACTTCTGCAGGCTACCGCATTGTCTTCGAAGAAGTTATCAAGACAATCCAAACCAGTTGGCCTGATCAGGACCCTGAGACTCTTCCTATGAACTTCCCTCCTTGGTCTGAAGCCCCGAAATGAAAGATTCCAATAGATCGATGTTTTGGCTTTGCAGCGTAGAATAGCGAACTTTTAGGATAGTAAATTCCAAATAAATCAGCACGACATAAAGAAAAAAAAAACCAATTCATATCTCGCAACTCACATCTCGTAATGTACCCCTGATCCAATGCATACTCGTATGAGTAACTGTGGTGGATGAACCGTTGGTGGAGCACGGGCGGTCTAGATCCGCTTTCCCCTCTACTCTGCATGACGCCCTCCCCAGATTGTGATTGTGCATCACCAACCTCCAAACCCAATTCACCTCATCCTCTCCTCCTCAACTCAACTCGACTGCCGCCCCTAGAACCACAGTCCCACATTCACTCCCATTCTCTCGCCCTCTCGTTTTACCAACGAGTGTGTCACAAGCTCATCAGCGCTGTAATCCAAATCACCTTCAAAACAAGGCAGCACTCATTCTCTTGCACTCGCCGATTCTTTCGACTCATCCCCCTCGACCTTAGGCTGTCACCCTTCTCTCACTCGAACTATTTCCAACTGCACACCTCCAAAACAGCCACCTTCCCACTCCAACTCCCGCTCTTCGACCCACTGTCCAAGCTTCCTGACCTCATCAGCGGATGCTTCAAGTCGATAAACAAAGACCCTGCAACACGCAACTCGGTGGACGGCCCCGTGGGCCGTCACACTCATTGAAGGAGGGAGGTGATTTTCGGTGGTAGAGGAGACTTACAGCCCGTGTTGATGATAGGTGGTGTGGGGTCTTGTGCTTCAAGGGTTGAAACGGTCGCTTGTCCAGTGTTGCATACTTGATTTGATATTGCTTTCCTCCTGCCATGGATGCGCAGTACCCGTTTGCCTCGCGTGACGATATCTGGCGAGTCTTCGAGGAGTTGAAAGACATCCGCCTTAGCCAGATCGACCAAAGTGAGCGTCTGGGTCGACTCGAGCGTCGCCGGGACGAGGATGTGAGGATGAGAAACGTATGGGGTCCCGCGCCGCTCTCTCCTTTCCCCGCTGCTGCGGGTGCTTCGTTGTCTACAGGTATGTATTCGCCACTCTGCTTTTCGATCACAATTTGACCCAATGCTCATTATTATTACGTTGCAGAAACTACCTACAATTCGCCCCCGGACGCCTTCAAGGGCTTTGATCAAGGTCAGCATCACGCTATGACGAGCTCGTCGGTCGGACTCGAAGGGGAGGATGAGCCGCGGCGCGGTACGTCGCGTGCGAATAGTGTTCGCTTTGATGAGAGTGCGATTCACGGCTCCTACGGCCAAGCGGGACGCTCGAGTACCGATCTCCCTCTGCGAACTGGTAGTGGTTTGGGAAGTCACCCGCTTTTAGAACGTTCTCTTTCTCATCGATCTGATGGACGGCAGAGCTCATCCGGACAATCACACCACTCTGCACGCACCAACAGCCTGGGACTGGATACTAGCCGCTTGATGAGTTCATCCTCCTTTAGCGAGTCTGGTTTTATCGCCCCACCTGTTGGCCTTTTCCTTCTTGGTCCGGTGCCCGGTATCATCCGGTGCTGGCTGACGACGAATTTCTCGAACGATTCCCTGCTATACGCAGCTGTCTGCTCGGGGTCGTATGTTTCGTCCGTTAGTGCGTCACTGATCCGCAAGCTGGGTCTGCAGGCGGAAGTCACACAGGAAGACGGTCAATCCCAAATCAAGCTTCCCTTTTACCTCCCAGATGCCAGTGTTCACCAGTCGCCCTCCTCACGCTCTTCTAGTCCCGAGACCCATCTTCCCTCTTTGACAGTTCGATTCATAGTGCGCGAGACAGATACTCTCGATGACTCCATCCAGATCATTATTGGAAGCGACGTTTTACGAACCCACAACGCCGATATCCTCTTTTCGCAGGACAAAATAACCATGGTTGATGATGAACGCAACCGTCTCTCTCTTCCCCTGGTCCGTCCTGAAAAGGATAGTGTCTTTAGGTCATTGTGGACTGTGCCAGAACCATCCCACATGGACCCGGCAAGTCACATAAACGGACATCAGCCCGCCGGAGTAATTGGCCAACCCACTCATCAACAATCATCATCTGCTCCCGCGTCAGCCCGCGTATCTATCAGCGAGGCCAGCAAGCCTACCCAGCAGGCACGAGACTCGGCCTCAGACGCTGGAACCCACTCTACGATACCAACCGCCGCCAGTGACACGTCCTCCATTTCCGGCACCAAGTCCGAAGGTGCATGGAGCTCCTGGCGCCGTGAATCAAAGCCAGTTTCCAAAAAGCAGGCAAATGAAAAACGCCCTATGAAAGTCCTCCGTCCCGCAAAGGCTTCTAGCCGGGTTCCATCCTCAACTTCTATGGCCACGACTGGCGCCGTTGATACGGATGTTTTGGCAACCTCTCTTCCCGATTTGACACGCGCTACGGGGCAAGCACCTCGCTCGTCTTCGGACGGAAGCAATAAGACACGATCAAGTAATCCAGTTGGAGGTGCCTCGGCCTTTGGCTGGCTAAATCCAGCGGTGTCCGCGTCAGGGACCCAGACCGTATCGCAGCCGAAGTAAAAGCAACGTGGTAGCTTTTTGACTTTTATGTGTCACTGTAAGCACATACCCTAATATCATGGGTAAAGAGGCTTCTTTTTCAGATCTGTAGCGGGCGTTAGGTGGAATATTTGCAGCTTTTCTTGTTTTCTTTATCTTCATTCACTTTGATTTTGATACTCAAATCCAAAGGAAAATAGCAATGACCAGATAGGAATGAACCCATTTCCGCTCATTATTTGCCAGAATACTAGATTGTCATATTACAACTAGTATACTAGTATTTGAAGCCTTGCTCGTACGATAAAGAACCTTTTACAGTAGTAGTAGAAGCGATACATTTTGCGAATCTGCAGGGCTCTCGTGGATGGTACGCATACTACTACTATCTGATGTGATTCACGCAAGATTAAATAGAACTAGTTTGGTATATTCAAGCCCAAATCTGGATAGACAATTCACTGAATATAACATGCTAAACACTATTCCTCTCGAAAGCCGGAGATACTAGTTACCTTCGACCTAAATCTTCGAAAAGGCCCCAAGAGCACTCTTAGTAACCTCACTAGTCTCCTTAACAAGGCCAGTAACAGCCTTAAACTGCGCATGACCCGCATCACCCAGTATCTCAAACAATACACTCTCACTACTAGTAACAATAGCACCGGCATCCCTCAATCTCGCCAGCGCAATCCCCCTCTCTTCAGGATTAATCGAACTAACCCCATCAACAAGGACATAAACGCGATGACCGCGCTCCAAAAGATCAAGTGTAGTCTGCGTCACGCAGATATGCGTCTCAATGCCGACGATAATCACGTCCAAAGGCCGCGCCGGAAGCTGGCGCTCGAATTCGGGGGTTATCATTGAGAAGAGGGTTTTGTCGATGTCGGCGCGGACGTTGGGGCCTGTTAGGTTTGCGGCGAGCTCTGGGACGGTGTTGCCGAGTTTGGAGCGGGATTGGGTGGTTATGTAGATTGGGAGTTGGAGGGCGTTGGAGGCTCGGATCATTTTGTCTGTTGTTGAGACGCTGTGGGGAGTTGAGGTTTGTTAGTTGTTTGGTTTGTTGGTTGGTTGGTTGGGGGTGTTGTGTTGTGGTTATTGGGGATCCCCTTACAGCTTTGGGAATTCGTAGATTTTACTACGGAATTTGTCTTGGATGTCGCATATGCTGGAAATTGAGATTTGTTAGATCGGCCATGGCATGGAGAGCGAGGGTGATGGTCGAGTTGTTTGCTAGTACGTACAACAATGCGGGGTTCTCTGATTCTTGTTAGAAAATGTGATTGAGAATTGGAGGTTGGGACTTACTGATTCGACTCGCGCGAGTAAGAGAAGCCATCTTGACGATTGGAATGTATCCTTTGAGAAATTTGGGAGTTGTTGAAGAGGGATGAATTGATGAGGCGGGCGGGGAACTCGGAGAGTCGGAGATGCGGGGAAGCGGCCGAGGGGAACCATCGGCTTGTTTTGTGGAGGGCATATATACTACTCGTACAACAAAAAACAACCATTCTTCTAGGTAAATTCATTCATGGCATTCTAATTTTGGTTATATACAGCCTGTCACAAGTCGTGCACCATATTTTTTATAAATTGATTTCCTGCACCTTGGCTCGGCCGGTAAACCAGCTGTCATCGCCTTTGCCCGCCGCGGTACGGATGGCGTAAAGCTCGTCGAGGAAAGCAGGCACGAAGCTACCAGGTCCGCGAACATACTCCTTGCTCGCCGCATTTTCGGCTGCGATCTCGTACATCAAGATACCCGACAGAACTGCCAGAAGTCGATCGGAGCGGTGGGCTGTGAGGAAACATCCTGAGATAGAACCAACGGCGCAGCCAGTCTGTAATATCATCGTTAGTCGAGTATGGCCAATAGAAATCGTGACATGGAAAAGGAACATACGCCTGTAACCTGACCGAGGAAGGGATGACCGTTCTCCACAGCGATGACTCGTTCGCCATCACTAAGATAATCAACAGCTCCGGTCATTAGAACGACATTTTCTGGACCGTGTTAGTAAAAGCACATAGTTATACTCATACATAGACTTCTTACTTTCGCGTCGGGCTAAGTCTCGGGCCAGACGAGCCCTTTGTTGCCCATCAAGGGTACTCGGTCCGCTATCCACACCACGCTGTTGGACTCCACTGCTGCCCCATACCTGGCGGATTTCGCCCTCGTTGCCCTTGATGAGGTCAAAGTAACCTCCGGCCATGAGATCCGATACTGCATTGCGTCGAATACCAGTTGCACCGGCACCAACCGGGTCGTAAATGACTGGGTTTCCTCGTCCGTTGTATGCTGTGATGGCCTTGAGGTAGTTCGAAATACTCTCGCTGGTCAAAGTCCCCATATTGATGAGAAGAGCTCCATCGAACTTGCACAGATCCTTAGCTTCATCACCGTACGGCGACATGATAGGTGATGCGCCACTGCGTGTTGTTAGCTCTGGAGACGCCCCAGATAGTGGACAAAGCACTTACATGGAAAGCACGACGTTGGCAACAAAATTAGCCACGACAAAGTTGATCATGTTGTGGACAAGCGGGTGTACTTCGACCATTTTACGGACAACGGCCGGTACCTCTTGCAGCAAGGCTTCGGTCTCTTTAGTTCGAGTGACGTGACGAGCCAGTGCAAATGCAGGGGGGGTTCTTGATTAGTTTGGCGAGCTCTTCCGCTGCAGCCCTGGGGTCATCAGCAGCCATTATGGCGCTGACAATAGCGACACCGTCCAGGGCCTTCTTGGGTGACTCTGATTGGTAGATCACGCGCTGCACATTCGAGTGGTTGATACCGCCAATGGCAACAGTGTTCACCGAGGTAGTGCTGATAGCATCCAAGATTGCTTGAGTGCCGGCAGTTCCGAGAACATATCGAGTATTGGTTTTACTACGGGGTTTTTAGTTTGCAATTTTAGGTAAAGCCGGAGTTGGAACTCACGTTGGAGTGGTGAACATCGTGCCGATGCCTAGGTAATCTGCCCCGTCGGCAATCGCCTTCTGAGCCTCCTCAAGCGTTGAGGCACTGATACCAATGATGGCATCCTTGGGGAGAATCTTTTTGGCTTCCGCGAATTCTGATATCTGAAGTCAGCGGTTTGAATCGGGAAGCGAGAATGCTTGCTGCGGGGGTATCGGGAAACAGTACTCATATCATCCTGACCCAGGTGCACACCCTCAGCTCCGACAGCAAGAGCCACATCAACTCGGTCATTGATTAATAGTGGTACTCCATATTTCTGGCAGATCTGGTGTAGCTTTCTAGCAGTGGCAATCTGATCTCCAGTGTCGCTCTTTTTGTCACGGTATTGCACCACGGTGACACCTGGTGATGTGGATTAGTCAATTATTCAGGGTAGATTGTTGCCGTAGCTCGAGAATACTCCTGGCATACCTCCTTTCAAGGCCTCCTCCACGACCGTGCAGATATCGCGACCTTTGAGGATGGCGGGGGTCGAGTCCGTGACTAGATAGAGCGACAGGTCAACCGCCATGGTGTGTGGAAAATCTGCACTCAATGCCTTCGAAACTCGATGAGACAGAAGGATAAACCACACGAAGTAGTCCGCCTATCACACACAGAGAGGGACAGAGTTGGTGGGAATAAGAATGCCTAAGCGCAGACGATCGCGAACCAGCATTTCGGCCGTTGGGAGGTGGTGGGGCCGTGGTTGACCTCATCGCGCAGTGAGGCTGGACTGCGCTGTGGTATTCGTATGGTGGCGTTGATAAGAAATCTTATTGGCCATAATATCAACGGATCAATTGATATAATTCTGTCAATATATGCCAATATATCCAAGACTATTACTATATCTATGGCCAAAAATTGCCCTCGTTAAGTCCGACCCAACGCCGAGACCACGTGCCGGCTGAGTCATCCGACGAATTTTATTAAGCGGGCACTTCCACTGCCACTTCCGACTTGTTTTTCTCTTCTCTTCCATCCACAATCATCCATCATCTCAGGTTTCCACACAGTGAAACCAACCTGCGTTAACTGTTCCAACAGTTCACGCTTTTTCGACTACTCCGTTAGTTTATTTGGTATCGCCATCATCACTCTACTCAACTTTTCATACCAGGGTCTCCGGCCTTTTACTCGGATTCCCTTAAAAAAGGTCGCTCTCGTTTCAAAGAGAAAACCTCCAAAGAAGTTCCCCGCGAACTCGTCTATGTATTCGTCCTCCGTGCAACATTTCGAACACCATCTGCCGCCCAAGCTGCAAAAGTTTCGCCTGTCGAAACTCAGCGGTATACACCTTAGATCTTGTGGCTGAACCGCTGCCTGATTCTTTTATCCTCATTTCGTGAGAAAATCCAATCCCCTGTGCACCCGTGCAACAGAATTCATCGAAAATCGAAAAAATCAACCTCGACACGCATGTCTTGTTCCACCGACAAGATTCCCGTCCAAATTACTTCCCGCTTCCTCTTCCGCAAGCATACCGTTCCGTTCTCTTGAGCAAAATATCAATCAACCCAACCACCAACCGCAATCATGGCCACCGTCAACATTCGCCGGGATGTCACCGACCCCTTCTATCGTTACAAGATGGAGAAGCTCCAGTCCAAGATCGAGGGCAAGGGTAACGGCATTAAGACCGTTATCGTTAACCTTGACTCTGTCGCTAAATCCCTGAGCCGTCCTCCTGCATACCTGATCAAGTACTTCGGTTTCGAACTGGGTGCCCAGGCCAACGCCAAGCCCACTGACGAACGCTGGATCATCAACGGCGCCCATGACGCTGCTAAGCTCCAGGACTACCTGGATGGCTTCATCTCCAAGTTCGTTCTCTGCAAGAAGTGCAAGAACCCCGAGACCGATGTCCAAATCAAGGACGAGAAGATCACCCTTGACTGCAAGGCCTGTGGTCAGCGTTCTGACGTCGATCCTCGCCTCAAGCTGAGCACCTTCATTGTTCGTAACAACCCCAAGGGTGGCAAGAAGGAGAAGAAGGACAAGAAAGCTCGCCGTGAAGCGAAGAAGGAGAGGGCCGCCAACGGCGAGCAGGACGCTAGCCCCGCTGATAGCAACGGCTCTGAGAACGGTGAAGAAGAGAATGGTGACGTTGGTATTGAAGCTGGCAGCGACGACGAGTTGACTCGCCGCATCAACTCCGAGGCCAAGGAGATTGATGTCGAGGAAGTTGAGGACGACAGCTGGGCTGTCGATATGTCCGAGGCCGCTATCAAGGCCCGTGCTCGTGACCTGTCCGATGACCTGAAGCGCTCTCTTGTGCTCGAGAACGGCGACGACGAGCAGGCCGATGGCCCCTCCTCTTACGAGCAGCTGGGTAGCTGGATTGTCGCCGCCGCCGCCGAGGCCGGTGATGTGACCAAGGTCACTGATATCGATATTTACAAGAAGGCTCGTGATTTCGGCATCGAGACCAAGCACAAGACTCTCGCCGTTCTGGCCCAGAGCATCTTCGATGACAAGATTGTTAAGCAGATCGAGGATCGTGCTCCCCTTCTCAAGAAGCTCATCACTTCCGAGCGTCACGAGAAGTCCTTCCTCGGTGGTACCGAACGTTTCGTCGGCCAGGACCGCCCGGCTCTGCTGACCCAGATCCCTGCCATCCTGCTCGGTTACTTCCAAAACGACCTCGTCTCCGAGGAAACCCTCAAGACTTGGGGCGCTAAGACCAGCAAGAAGTACGTCGACATCTCGACCAGCAAGAAAATCCACAAGGCTGCCCAGCCTTTCATTGAGTGGCTCGAGAACGCCGAGAGTGACGAAGAGAGCGAGGAGGAGAGCGAGTAGATTCTCGGGATATCTCTACCAGATTGTCTTGCTGTGATCCCTTTGGATGTTGACTTGATTGCTATGTCTTTGTTAGCTTTATCTTGAGTCCATCTCTGATCAAGGTCCATTCTACATAGGTCTAGGTAATTAGTATGTATCTTAGCCGACCAATCGCCACTCCTTTATGCTTGAAAACTTTTATACCTCTAGCCTCGGACGAGTAGACAACTGGCCGGCGCTACCTGGGCTCGGTCTCCGACGACGAGTCCACGTGGGAATCTCGCTAGGTGCTTTGAATTGAGCATTTCGAGGGAGCAGGGATCTTAGTAATGATGTATCAGAGGTTAGCCACTTGGAATGAGGCTCCTGTCATTTTTCTTAAAGCATAATAGGCTCTTCATTTAGTGTCGTAAACATTTGCGACACATAAAACATCAGTTTCGTATTGCCTCGCAGCGGGATGAGCGGCAAAATTCATTTTTCCCCATTGTCCAATTATTCATTGATTTCCGATGATCCTCTCGCGTTGCGCATGCCACGTAGTTCCTTCGTGGGAGATGAATAATGGTGTCTAGTCGTTTTAGCGCCGGGGCGTGGTAGTTCGAGGCTCAGCCTCGAGGGACAGCAAAATTTAGTCATATGTACGAATATCTTGAAGGTATAAAGACCTAGTAGTATTCAGTAATTCTTCTCATCCCAAAATTTCGTTTTGGAAACTTCGTCATTATTTCGGTCCTTGTTAGGAAAATCACTTCCCAAAACACTGCCCCCATCAAATCGACGGTCCCATCTATTGGAGACTCGAAGATAAAGACCTCCGGTATAGCTCATTAGGCAGTTTCGAAACCATGCATTGCTGAAACTTAGACCTTTTTGTCCCAAATCTCAAACAAGTCAGCCTTCAAGGGTCCCTACACCATGGCAGCCAACGCAACCACCGATATCGACGAAATCGCCAAGCGTATAGCTTCCATTACAATCGGAAGCTCATCGGTGGGAACAGGCTCCTATTGGAACCCAGAAGGACGAACAGACAACCGCGTCTTTAACTCTCTGGCGGTCTTGCTCAATATGCCTACGCCCGAACTCTCGCGCAGGACTGGGGTAGCTCAGCCTCGAAATGGGTCTGGGGGTATGTCGAGGCATGAAATTTCGAAGCTACTGAGGAGAACGAGAGAGCTGGGATTTGTTGCCACATTTAGAATATCGAATGTACCATTCGACTATAAAGGATTGAGCAGTGGGGAAATGTTCAAGCGGTGCAACCAAATGGTTTTGTATCTCCATCCACCTGGTCCAGATGGACACCGGTACGGCCATTATGTTGTTGGTGCTTCCGGTATACCTATCCGGGATTTCCAGAGCTCTGCGGGTCGCGAGAGACGAGTGATTGACGAGGAGGTGTACCCAAATGGGAGACAAGGCCGCGGTTCTAGTATTGTAAGTACTATCGTGGTTCTAGAGCCAGGTCCACCAGGCTGGTCTCCCTAGAACGTACTACTAATATATCTTTCACGTTTGAATATTATATGCACAGATAGTTTTAAGACTCTTGTGCCTGTTGCCAATCTCCTCCTGTCGCCAAACCTCTTTCGTCATTCAATTCCTTTCGTTGACTCTGGCACAGTTTGTCGGAATACCCAGTTCAGCTTCAAGGGTGATACCGTTTGACCCGGTCTCGAAATGATCTACAATTTCCAGGTGGTAAGAAGGCATTTGAATGGTCTATTTCTTGAAAATGAACCTAATATTCTGCTTATATAGTAGAGTAGGCTAACTGCGGGGGATTATAGGGCGACCTGGCCACTCGAGAGGGTAAAAACTAGCAATCGCATCCATCGATGGTGTCAAAAAACCATCACCATTAACATCCATAATAAACCCTCGTCTAGCCGAAAGTTCCTAAGCTCTCATAGTTTTCAATACATATCCAAAAGATTCATCCAATATTTGAAGACCTTCTTCAATCTCTTCAGCTGTCACGGTGACTGCAGGCGCGAGTCGGAAAACACCACCCATCCCCGGCAAATTGACAATATTGCAAGATAGGCCGCGAGCCATGGCACGGTCAGATACAAGCTGACCCAGTTCAGTGCCCGGAGCCTTAGTCTTAGCATCCGAGATAATCTCAATACCCTGCAGAAGGCCACGGCCACGAATATCACCGATGCACCAATACTTCTTCTGGAGCTTGGCAAGACCTTCACGGAGCTGGGCACCACGCTCAGTTGCACGCTGACAGATATTATCGCGTTCCACAATCTCGAGTACCTTGTTACCAACAGCAGCCGTAAGAGGATCGTTCAGATGAGTAGTAAGCCACAGGAAACCGGCCTCCTTGCAACCACGCTCAATCTCGACAGTGGTGCTGACGGAGGCGAGAGGAAGACCACAGCCAAGAGTCTTTGACAGAGCGAGAATGTCTGGTACAACGCCATCTTTTTCGAATGCGAACATTTGTCCGGTCCGTCCAACGCCCGTCTGGGCCTCATCCATGATGACGAGCATGCCACGCTTGCGACATTCGGTGAACATACGTTGCAGGTATCCCTCTGGGAGGTCCAGGATACCACCAGTCGACAGGATAGGCTCCATGATAAAGGCTGCAAGAGATCCCACGCTCTGGCGGTCAATCATGCCCCAGGCAAAGTCGAGTTCAGTCTCCCAGTCATAAGACCCATCGGGCTTCCGGAAGGGAGAACGGTAGGCATAAGGCGACGGGAAAGCGAGCTGGCCAGGTGTGACGGGACCTCCGTTCTTACGGCCGGCCGAGTATGTAGCAGATCCAGAGCCCTGGGTTAAGCCGTGGTAGCTGGCGGCAAAGGCGACAATCTCGAACTTGCCCGTATAGCACTTTGCCATTTTGATAGCGGCCTCGGTCGATTCGGAACCGGTATTTAAAAAGAAGGACTTCTCGAGCGGGGCTGGAAGAAAGCGGGCAAGGCGCTCGGCCAAATCAACCACGGGGTGGGTGATCATGTTGCTGAGAAGATGGTCGAGTTCAGAAACATAGTGCTTGACGACTTCGACGATTTCAGGGTGAGAGTGGCCGAGAAGAGAGCTCATTTGGCCGGAGGTGAAATCGAGAATGGATCGACCGCTCTCATCATAGAGACGAGTACCCTTGGCCTTGGTGATCACGACAGGGGAGAAAGGTACACCAGTTGTCATAAGGTACTTGTCAGCCTTTGACCAGAAGGTGGCGGAGGTTTTATCGACGGAGCCCATTTTGAAGGTGGAGAGTTGAATGAATTGGACTGGATGCGCTTGGGCAGAGGTACTGATGAACAGGAATGGATATAAAAGAAGAAAGACATCTTAAATAAAGAAGATTTACCACATGTAACCTTCTATGTCAAGGATTGTGGAGGGAGGTATACCCAAGGTATACCCAAGCTGAGCAGTGGTACTTCTACCCGCGGCGAAGTGGTGGGTCTTGACCGCGGCTAACTTGAACCCATGCAACCCCGCATGAGGATAAGGATGATTTGTTTCATTGGATGATTTGGCATACTACTCACTATTCAGGAAGCTGATGGGAAGACAGACTATTATCAGAAAAATCGAGTAAGAAATAAAGTATAGTAGACTCTAAATAAACGTCCGTGCGCACTATACGAATCCAAGATGTGTGAGAGAGTCTTGATGTTGGCTGGCGGAGGATGAACTAAATAGTGGGCAAATCATCAGTTACAGAGTCAAACAGGTTTCTTAGGTCAATAAGCCTCCGAATGGTCTAAGGGTATTGGCCTTGATCATTCGGAGGGAAAGAGTGAGGAGGCTTTGAAGAGACGCACAGGGACCGATGCGTGCCTACCTTGTCTTTTTGCTTTTTTTTCAGATAAGGATCAAAACCTGGCCAGGGCATTTGACATGCCTTACTTTTGCTTTCTTCTCTTTTTGTTTCGTTTGTTGTGGTCGTTTGTGGTCGTTTGCTGTTTACAGGTCTACCTAGTCAAAGCCAATGACAACATCATAGCAGCTCCCAACCCATACTGCATTCTTAAATATTGAGCAAAGCCTTAACCCAAGCATATCAAGGTCTTAGTGTGGCAGAGCTATTCAACATGAAATTAGTGAATGTTGTCCAGAGTTCTGGGAGGAAAATATTGGGCGTATACAGTACACAGTAAACAGTATAATCACGTGCGCGGAGTTTGCCGCGGAGTTGGCCGGTTGAAGAGAGAGAACTACTAACTACTAGTGTACGGAGTCATTGCCATTTCCCACAGCACTCCAATTTCAACGATTGATCGAGAAATTGAAATGGAGGCTGAATCGCATTCCCAGAGCACAAAGAAGAATGAGGGAAGACCATATCGGTCCCACCTGCACCCAGCATGTTTCGCGTGCAGAAAGCGCAAATCGCGCTGCAAGACAAGAAATACATCGGCCACATGTATCATGTGCCAGGCGCATGGAACAGACTGCAGATTCCCACGCCCGGACGATCCATTCCAGGCGACAACCCAGAAATCTCACCCGCGGAAATCAGTGGCCAATGCTCAAGCTCGTTTTATCGGAGATCCACATGGCTCCCTGCGCCCCAGATCGTATAACCCACAGGCATTGGGACAACATGCAGATCTATCTGGCCCTTCTCCGGAGAACCTAATTCAATTTGACTCGTCGAGAAGCACCCCGGCGTTTCATGCTGATCGGCACTTGTCTGGCTCGAGAAATGATAGTGAAAGGGACGGCTTTCCAGATCTTATCGGTATTGTTGCCGAGGCCGGAGATGACAGCTCTCATATTATCAGCCCGGCTGTTGCAGACGACAATGATATTTTGGACAGTTATCTGTCTACAGCACAGACCGAGAAACGAAGATGCTTGGCTCGCTCTAGCTCCACATCGAATGGCCCGTTGAGACCTGTACGGTTCAATGTTGTCCCTAGGAGACCATTGGGTGTTAGTGTTAAACAGTCTGTTGCAGAGTCGAAGCTAGAAGTCATTGAACGATACATGGACCCGCATATTGATGAGTTCTTGAACCTGTGAGCATTGCGTGCAAGGTACTCGAAGCCGTCAAATTTATAAATTGCTAATGAAATGAAAATTAGTTTCTTCCACAAAGCAAATCTTTGCTTTCCTCTGTTAGACGAAGCTTCATTCAGAAATGCTTATTCAAATCACAAGGAAAAGATATCCCCAGCACTATTATGCTGTCTCTACGCCAACTCGCTCATTTATTGGAAAGGCTCATCGAAGCTGATATACACCGGCCGCGTTCCAGACAGCCATTTCATCTGGAATCAGGCTAACGAGGCCCTCAACTCCGAGCTGTTCCTCTCCCCGGGAATTTCAACGGTTCTTGCTATATTGATAAATGTTTGTGGAAGGCCTAGTACTTCTATGTTTGGCAATGGTGGTATGGTGGGCACTGCAGTTGCTTTATCGAATGCACTTGGTCTGAATCGTGACCCCTCTAGCTGGACGATATCTCCATTAGAGAAAAGCTTGCGCATTAGGATATGGTGGCTTGTTTTAATACATGATCGATGGTATGCTCGAAGTCCAAAGGCTCTTGTGGAAATTGACTGACATCCATTTTAGGTGCAGCTTGGCTTACGGGACACCTTTGCAGGTCCACCGAGCCCAGTACGATGTACCATTTCCAACGATAGAAGACTTATGCCACCCAACAGCCGAGCCATATCAGAAAGGAGCAGCATCGGTGTTCATAGCTTTAACTACCTTGACCGATGTACTGGCTCGATATCTAGAGCATGTTTACAGCGTGTCCAAAGAATTCCCACATTCGAACGCACATACTCTGGAACAGATCCTGAGCGACTGGGAGGAATCCTTGAGTGATGACATCCGCCGCATCGTACTGAGGGGTACACATCTTGATATTCCGGGGGCAGCAAATTTTCGGTTGGCATATTTAGCGGTCAAGCTACTGCTACGTCGAATTCAATTAGACCTCAATAAAGGATCTGATCTCACAGCCAAAGACGATACAAAGGCCCCATTCTTTATGCAAGCACAACGAGCCGCCGAAGACATCGCGCACCTGATACAGGAACTAGACGCCACTCAACTCAACGGCTTTTGGATTCCAGTGCATTCTTTCTCGATAACATCGGCCACGATGTTCCTGCTGCGTAGTGGGCTGCGGATGAAAGACCAGGGCCGAAATATGCCTCTGAGTATTGCCAAAGACATGATCAATGTTCTCCATACACACCGGCAGAATTTCTGTTGGGACCTTGCCGATAATTGCCTCGCAGATTGCGGGGAGCTGGTTGAAAAGATTGGCATGGCAGTGGCAGATTCTGATTTGTCAGTTGGTGCAGCTGGGCCTGACTTTCCGGATTTCTCGGAAGATTTGGACATCGATCCGGCTATATTAGAGGAGTTATTTTTTGGAATCTCGGGCTTTCCACAAGGGTTCGAGATTTGAAATTGTATGATGCGAGGTGGTGATATGGGGTGGGATTTTGTCCAATGGGCAATGGCTATGATATATGAATTGCTCTATGTACCTAGAAGACAACCCCTGCAAACTGCATTTTCTCCCCCCGAAAGTCTGCAAGCATACTAGGTGCATGCGTTCTATGCGCGGGGACAGAGTTCCCTCGCACTCGATTGAGTTGGTCAACAAATATAAACCAAGTAAGGTCCGCGTTCCAAGTCTCCATAGCTTGAATCGTATTCTCAACAGACTGGAGAATACTCTGTTTGGCAGAATCTTCCGAGTGGGCAGTATCTCTCCTGGATGGGAGGAAATAGTACTCGGATCCAACATATAGTGCAATCCAAGAACCAAGCATTCCGCAGATTCGATCACCCACTTCGGGTTGTAAACGCACATGGGACAGGACGGTGAGGAATAAGGATATCAACGCGCGCCATAGAGCATGGTGAGGAGTAAATGCCCTTGACCCGGAGGACCCGGATGCGGTTGAAGAAAGAGCCAGTGATGATGCGATGGAAACACTGGACTCAGTTGTTCGAGCAGTCGATTGGATATCAAGCTTGCCTTTTTGCTGCTGTGCACGTCGCTCATTCACATGTTCGGAATCTTGACGCACCCTTGCCCAGACAGTATTGTATAGCCGTTCCCAGCGGGGGAACTCGGTCTCAATTCGCGAGCCCATGAAGTCACCAGCTCCCTTGCACATCGCTTCCATAGCCTGGCAAGCCGTAGTTATGACGAAAGTTTCCTCTTGGAATGCATGAGTGTTAGACGTTGACGAGGTATCTCCGGTAGACGACCGGGAAATGAGTGAATTTGAAGACGAATCACTTCCCAGCGACGAGGGAAAGACCACTCGTGATGCTACCGAGGTCCAAAGATCGTTGATCAGGGGGAGGAAGCTATTTTCGTTTTGCGAGAGGGTTGGAAGAACATCGATGAGGATAGTAAGGAGGGAGCGTCGGAGATAAGGTGATGGGGATGAAAGATGGGTTGGGATGGATTTCACGATGTGTAGAAGAAGAGAATGGGTTTTGCTCAACGGCTTTTCGGTGTCTTCTGGTTCTTTAGGAGGTGGAAGTGGCTCGTCAGATTCGGCCTTGTTGAGAAGCTCTTCGATGGTCTCTCGCTCGGGCGCTGGCTTGTCGTACGTCTCTGACCACGGCTTCTTCGGATGCAAAATGGTGACATCAGCTTCCACGTCCTCATTCACAACAATTGAAAGTTTTTCTCTCCGCCTCGCAATATCCGCAACAAGAGTGGCAATTGAAAGGTGCTGGTGTTGGACCTTGCGAGAGTCAAACGAACCATTTTTTCGACCGTCATCGATTGTCAAAAGGGATGGCTTCTTGGATCCCTCTTGGACTATAGCCGCCAGGGTCTTGAACATCATTTCGACCAGCTTCGGATAGCCATGATACATATCCAAGATCCCAAAGACGGAATCAACCAAATCATCCAAGTATGGGATGAGGGGCGCACCACACAATTTGACCATCATAAAAAGAACCTGTGGGGGGGTATGGTGATACGTCGAACGTGTTCAGCTTCAGAGCCACCGAGTTCACCAAGTAGTCGACATTCTCAATGATCATAGAGCCGGTATTTTGGTAGTTGCAGGCGATTGTCAAGATGTTTAAACATGTCATGGCGTGGCGTTGCAAGTTGGGGTTATTGGACGCAAGAAGTTGCAGTGTTGGATAAAGCGCATCTATAAGTTCTGGTCGGAAGTCTTCTCCAAGCTGCTGGGCTTGAAGAGCCACTGCTTCTAGCGCAAGTGCAGATGTTCGCCAGTCACCGGAGCCGTCGGCGGGTATGTCGTTGAGGGTTGACAAAGCAACAAAGTAGAGCTCCTCAATCATGCCCGCATGATTGGGGCCCGCAAGGGAGTTTTCCAATTGATCATCAGAGATAAAGTCATCAAATGCACTTGCATGCTGCTTTTGAGCCCGAAGAGAGTTTAGGGCAAGCCAGAATGGGGCAATTATGGTGTTTTCAGCACTGGAATGCAGGCGGTTGACAATGGAACGCGTAATTTCATTGCCAGATTCGGAAAGATTTAACCTTGTCAGCAAAGCGCGTAGATCCTTCAAGGTTGCTTGTTGACTGCGGTGCTCCAATAGGACCGGTGGGAATACCATAGACTCGGCGTCCGACCCGAGTATTTCTGAGTTCATATTTCCAACATTGGCCGATGTCAAAGGCTGGAGAGCCGTGGTGTCTTGTTTAACGACAGCGCTCACGCTGTCACAAAGTCCAGTGGCCAGACTCGCCGTCAGCAAGTCCGACTGCGATTGAACTTGGGACAGAATCTGGAAGACAGTCGAGATTTGTCTGATGCCCCATTGTTTAGCCGACTCGTCGTTGCTTTGCATGATTCGTGGAAAGGACGTAAGCCACGTATGCAGTGACTCCTTCAGAGTCTCCAACACAATTGGGTATGATGTCGCCAGATGATAGACCGTATTGTATGCATGATTAGATCCCTCTTCTTCTTTATCTGCAAGAACCACAGCGGTCTCGGTCATGATCTGAAGAGATTCCTTCAATGTTTCAGGGCAGTCTTCAATGATCATGACACAAAGATCCAACATTGCTGTTTGAACCTCTAACCGCTGGTGACGCCTTATCTGAATAATGTTTGCTAATGCCAGCTTGATCTGGGTCGTCGTCGCTTTCAGCCAAGAGTTATCCAAGACTAGGCCATCGTTTTTGGTGAGAGAAGGGCGAGGTTCCTCCACACTGGCAACGCGATCGCTGAGGACAGACTTTAGTAGGTAGTTGAGAATCTGAATGGAAACTTCCAATAGTTTATAAGATCGTCGGGCTTGTGTTGTCGGCCTCACAACCTTCGCCAAAGCGGAGACAGTGCGTGGCATAATACTTGCAAGAACTACCCGGTCTGTGATACGGGCATAAAGCGCTTTCAAGGCCTTTGCAGCAGCTAGACACACATCGTCCGATCGTTCATCGACCAATCCCTCCAGTAACATATAGACCGTTTGATCAACAACGGTGGCCGTTCCGATTTCATGGAAGATGGTCTTTTCGGCGACGGGACCCTCGAGAACATTGAAAATCGATCGCATGCAATCAAAGCCAGCAATGGCAAGCTCTTCGGATGCCTGTGCTTTAGGCAGATCCTGTTTTCCTTCAACCTTGTTCGGAGACCCGGCCACGACTAGCGTCAAAAGTATAATCAACTGCTTTCCCAAAGCCGGCGACAATTGTTTCCGATATCCACTGTCGACGAGGATTTGAAGAGAGTGGACTGCAATTTCGAGACATCTTGCGGGGAGGCGTTGTGTTTGATTGAAGATATGGGTGAGTGGGAAGAAGGCGTATTCGGCAAGCTTCTCGTCCAGTGCATTCTTCTCCGCAAGCACGTCCAATACATCGTGGAGTGGCTGCAGAGCTCGAATGACATCTTGAGCCGAGGCTTGATTACCTCGAAAGCTGAGTCCTATCGAGCTTAGCTCCACACATGGTGGGCGGAGCTTGGTTGGATGTTAGTTTGGAAGATTGTCCAGCCCGCATTATTCAGCCGAACATACCTGTTTGAAGGCTTCCTGCCGTTGGGTTTCCATTGTAGGAGGAACTCAATTATTCGGCGACAAGAGAAGAAAAAGCCAGCTTAGCCATCAAGTGCGAGCTAAATTATAGAAGTGGCCAAAGAGAGGGCAGTGGAATTATCTTGGGGGAATGACCAATAGCTTGTCGGCGGCGTGATGATAACGAACGGCGGGCCAGCTCGAAACATGCACCGCCTTGGATTCTGCTGGGGAATGGGAAGGCGGTGTCACCTTCCCACTTTTTGAACTTCTGAGCGCCTTCCCGATTGGGATAGATAACTGAATCATGTGACCAGCGCGTCACGTCGCGTCCAGAAAGACGCAGGTGGCAGGTGCGGCAGCCTGGACAAGTGCGACTGCTGCCTCTTCGTGCCTGCCGAGTTTATTAAGTTGATGTAATTGTTAGTTCTGGCGAGGAAGTCACAGTCACAGTCAACCTCTGATATTCTCAACTCCTCCTAAATATCTACGAGTATTTTAGTCGGCCTCTTCCCCCTCGCCTATCCACTCGAGTTGAGTTGTTTGCCTATGCGCGCCTTGCAGATCGCATCCGCGCCGTCATCACTTTCGCGCCTCCGGTTCAGTACCCGCATTTCAAGCCCAAGATTTATCCGCACCACGCCCAGAACAACCTCTCTCCAAAGCTACTCCTACTCAACATTCAATTCAAGTCCACCTTTGCGCAACACAAAGGCGGCTCCGTTACGCCCACTACAGAGCATCATGTCTGACGACAAAGGCAGGAAGCAAGCTACTCTGGGGTATGTTCCCGACTCTCAATTGACCATTGGGTGCGTCAATAGAATCGCATCCGCCCCTTGCAATGGAAACTAACAATTTATATTCAACAGGCGATTTTTCGGTGGTAATGCCAATGGCGAGCAAGCTCCAAAGAAGCAGACCACTCTCGCATTCGGCGGGAAGCGACAAAGAGCCAGCAGCGGCGCCGATCCGGAACCCCAAGAGCAAGAAGCAAAGACCACCAAGACTGAGAACAAAGAAGCCACCAGTGCGAATGGGACCGAGTCAGCCAAGGATCTGAAACGGGAAAAGACCGACGAGGCCGAGGACAGTGATGGTTCCGATGTCCAACCGGTTTCAAAACGGAGGCGCAGAACGGTAAAGAGTGAATCATCAACTCCCAAGAAAGCCGCATCTTCGCCGAAGAAATCAAAATCTCCCTCTCCCAAAAAGTCACCTGTCAAACCCAAGGATAAGTCCACTTCTCCACGGACGGCTGTAAAGGAGGGCAAGGATGGAGAAGAGGAGGATGAAGAGTTGGTGAGCGAAGACGAAGAAGAGGTAAAGCCCGACGCTAAGAAGAAGACCATGGAAAAGGTCCAAGCGACCCTGGAGGCCAGTGGGAAAGATCCGTATCCAGACTGGAAAGCTGGGGAACCTGTCCCTTATGCTGCGATGTGTACGACTTTCTCTCTAGTTGAGATGACTTCAAAACGCTTGGTGATCATGGCCCATTGCTCTCTTTTCCTTCAACAAGTTATGCGCCTGACCCCCAATGATCTCCTCCCTACTGTTCAGCTTATGATCAACAAGCTTGCTGCGGACTATGCCGGTATTGAACTGGGAATCGGCGAATCATTGATCATGAAGGCCATTGGTGAAACCACCGGTCGCAGCCTTGCTGTCATCAAAACCGATCAACATGAGATCGGTGACCTCGGATTGGTTGCTGCCAAGAGTCGCGGCAATCAGCCAACCATGTTCAAGCCCAAGCCTTTGACCGTTCGTGGAGTACATGAAGGCCTTCTTGCCATTGCTAAGGTCCAGGGACATGGCTCCCAGGACAAGAAGATTTCGGGCATCAAAAAGCTTCTATCAGCGGCTGACTCCGCGACTGCCGGTAAGGGCGGCAAGGGTATTGATATTACCAAAGACAAGGGCGGTCCAAGTGAGGCCAAATTTATTGTCCGCTTTTTGGAGGGAAAGTTGAGACTGGGTCTTGCAGAGAAGACTATTCTTGTGGCTCTTGCGCAGGCCGTCGTAACACACGAGGCCGCAGTCAAGGGCGAGAAACCTCCTTCGCCCGAGAAGATGGCGGAGGGTGAGGCTGTCCTCAAGACAGTGTACAGCCAAATGCCTACCTACGAGGAAATTGTTCCCGCAATGATCAAAGGGGGCATTTTCAACCTGCCTGAAGTCTGCAAGCTGTCTCCAGGTATTCCCCTCAAGCCCATGCTGGCCAACCCCACAAAGTCAATTACGGAAGTGCTCGACCGCTTCGAAGGGAAGGAGTTTACCTGCGAATACAAATATGATGGAGAACGTGCCCAGATCCATTTTGTTGCCCCTGATTCTATCCGCAAGTATCCGGCAGCTACAGCAACGCTACAAAAGGATAGTAAAGGCCTTAGTGCAATCTTCTCCCGCAATTCGGAAAATCTGTCCAAGAAGTACCCCGATGTGCTTGCGAGGCTTGATGGATGGATTAAGGAAGGCGTCGACAGCTTTGTTCTAGACTGTGAGACAGTTGCGTGGGATACAGTCAACAAAAAGGTCCTGCCGTTCCAGCAACTCATGACTCGGAAGCGCAAGGACGTCAAGGAAGAAGACATCAAAGTCAAGGTTTGCGTGTTCGCATTTGACCTACTCTTTTTCAATGGAGAGGTAAGTTCGCAAGAGACTTTAAAGAAGCAACTCGTTTACAAATACTAACTCATCCTTCAGCCCGTTGTTAAGAAGAGTCTCCGCGAGCGCCGTCAACTACTGCACGAGTATTTCCAGCCGGTGGAGGGCGAGCTCCAGTTCGCACAATTCGGCAACACCAACGTTCTCGATGAGATCCAAACCATGTTGGAAGACAGTGTGAAGGCTTCTTGCGAGGGACTGATGGTGAAGATGTTGGACACTGATCAGAGTGGGTACGAGCCGAGTAAGCGAAGTCGCAACTGGCTCAAGGTACGTGATTCCGTTTCGTCATGCTCTCCGAGTTACGCTTACTGACAATTCGCAGGTTAAAAAGGATTATTTGGCTGGTGTTGGCGATTCCCTTGACCTGGTAGTCCTTGGTGCATACTACGGCCGCGGCAAGCGTACATCTGTGTATGGCGCTTTCCTTCTGGCCGCCTATAACCCTAATAACGACACATATGAGACAATTTGCAATATCGGAACGGGCTTTTCCGAGGCAGTGCTAGAGGAGATGCACAAAGCGCTCACTCCGCTGATCATCGATCGACCGAAGCCCTTCTATGCACACTCTAGTGTTCCCAAAGACCAACCGGATGTGTGGTTTGAGCCCCGGCTAGTGTGGGAAGTCAAGACGGCCGATCTGACGCTTAGCCCGCGGTACAAGGCGGCTGCCGATGAGTTCGAAGGTACCACAGGTGGCGGAAAGGGTGTCTCACTTCGATTCCCTCGCTACATCAAATCGCGCGATGATAAGACTCCGGACCAGGCTACGACCACTCGTGCAGTCGCGGAGATGTATCGCAAACAGGAAGCTGTGGCCAAGGAGTCAGCGGGTAAGCGTGGCGTGGATGATGACTTTGAGTACTGAATGATTGAATCATGGTCATGGCGCATTGTGGAGATTTGGTCTGGGCACTTGTTGGATAATTTCTGTGTAATTTAGTTATTACGTTCTTAGCATCACATCATTTGCGGCTAAGCTGCATCATTGAGTTATTAAGATTACTGATGGCCTACTGGTATGCCTTGCATGGTATCCCAATTCATCAGAATTCTTCTCCCACAACACCAATGCCTTGATCCCTATAACTGTATCCTTTATACTCTAGATACTACTATAATGGAGATCATTCTATTCTATCTACCCATTATCTATATCCATTATCTATAACTCCCTGAAATCCCCGGCTATCAGCGGCCCGCTTAGCCCTGCTTGGCGCTGCAACCCAAGGCGGCAGCAGCGTATGAGGCCATTTCTTTGTTTGCATACTCTATTAGCGGCCTCTTAGTGTCCCCAGTTTCCCCTCAACTTGCTCTGCATCATGGCTGCTCACAGCTTCTCCTCCCTGTTTATCACTCTTGGCATACAGGAATGTAACATTTCCCCCCTTCGGCGGGAAGCTGCGATTGCTCATGGCCCCGCTGTGGACGGCCTGGATTCCCTGAAATACAAATACTCCTCCCCGCAGCTCCCTTCAGGCATTGATCTGTATCATCGTCTACGGTGGAGTGTGTGTGTATCTCTTTGACACCATGCGGACTTTTCAATGGCTGGCTCTTGGCTCGGTGGTGGGTTCGGCCGTTGCGCTTACTCCGGAGTATGTTTCTTGTTTATCGCCATTGATGTATCTTCTCTACTTGTTGCATGGACTAATTCTGGTATAGAAAGTTGATTACAGCTCCCCGACGTGATAATGCCGTTCCGAATCGTTCGGGCGTAAGTCTTCTTTTTTAATTGATGCCTCTATTACTATATGCCGGCATTGGTCGTACGATGGATATTTGCTGACTGCTCCGCAGAAAGTCGCGCTGTTCTCAACTGCACAATACTCTTTCAATACTCACTCCTCCTCGGCGTGGTGGAGCTTAATTGATCTGAAGAGTGGCAAGGTTTCCCAGCTCACGAATGACAGCAATGTCTCTGAATTGACCTGGTTGGGGCCAACCGACTCCAGTTTGCTCTATATCAATGGGACCAATGCCAATGTTCCCGGCGGCGTTGAGCTGTGGATAGCTGATTCTTCTGACTTCTCCAATTCGTAAGCATCCCCCAAATGCTGAAGCTGATTTTGATTTTGACTGACAAATTTTGAAGCCGGTACAAGGCTGCTTCTCTACCAGCCTCTTTTTCCGGGCTTAAGACTGCAGTGACCAAGTCTGGCGACATCAATTTCCTTGTTTATGGCCAGTCCTACGGCAATGGCACAGCTTATAATGAAGAGCTGGCCGTCACCCCTCTAAGCTCTGCTCGCATCTACGACAGCATCTACGTCCGGCATTGGGACAGCTGGCTGAGCACTAACTTCAATGTCGTCTTCTCAGGAACCCTCAAGAAGAAAGGCTCAAAGTCAGGTTCTCACTATGCCCTCGACGGCGCGCTGAAGAACCTCGTCGCGGGTACCAAGAATCTCGAGTCGCCATATCCCCCTTTCGGCGACTCGGGCGACTACGACATCTCACCAAACGGAAGATGGGTCGCCTTCAAGAGCAAGGCTCCTGAGCTGCCGCGCGCAAATCACACTGCTTCGTACATTTATCTTGTTCCTCACGACGGTTCGAAGAAGGCCGAGGCAATCAATGGCCCCGATAGCCCGGGCACGCCGAAGGACGTTAAGGGTGACTCTAGTGCCCCTGCCTTTTCTCCCGATAGCAAGAAGCTTGCGTATTTCCAGATGACGGATATCTCGTATGAAGCGGACCGACGCACCTTATATGTTTATACCCTTGGGTCGGAAAAGACGATTGCGACTTTGGCTAAAGATTGGGATCGTTCCCCTGATGCCGTGAAGTGGAATGCTAAGGGCAACAGCCTCATCTTAGGCACTGAGGATCATGGCCGCGAGAAGCTCTTCACTCTCCCGGCTGATGCGGGTGATGACTACAAGCCCAAGAATTTCACCGATGGTGGTTCTGTCAAGGGATTTTATAACCTGCCCGGTGGAAAGGTTCTTGTCACTGGATCTGCTATCTGGACGAGTTGGACGGTGTATACGGCTAGTCCAGAGAAGGGTGTTATTGATACTCTCTTCTCCGCGAATGAAGTGGACCCTGGTCTAAAGGGCATTGGCCCCGATGATTTCGATGAGTTTACTTATAAAGGAAACTGGACTGACGTGAGTATTTCCCTTGGACCTTCTTGAAATAACTCGCATGCTAATTTAACTCAGATCCACTCTTGGATCATTTATCCGACCGGCTTTGATAAGTCCAAGACTTACCCGCTGCTATTCTATATCCACGGTGGACCTCAGAGCGCGTGGACGGATTCCTGGAGTAGCCGATGGAACTACAAGGTGTGGGCCGACCAGGGTTATGTGGTCGTTGCCCCGAACCCAACCGGCAGCACTGGATATGGTGAAAAACTGACCGATGCGATTCAGAACAACTGGGGTATGTCGTTAGCCTTGCTTTGAAATAGCAGCTCTAACATTTTTGCAGGAAGCTACCCCTATGACGATTTCGTCAAGGGCTGGGAATATGTGCGTGATAACTTTGACTTCATTGATACCGATAATGGCGTGGCTGCTGGAGCCAGTTACGGTGGCTTCATGGTCAACTGGATTCAGGGTAACCCATTGGGTCGGGAGTTTAAGGCACTCGTCAGCCACGACGGTACCTTTGTGGCCGATTCAAAGGTCGCCACTGAGGAGCTGTGGTTTATTGAGCATGACGTGGGTTCCTCGTGATAATTTCTTCTTGCCCTTTTTCTAACACTTTGTACAGTTCAATGGCACATTCTGGGCCAATCGGGATAACTATCGTCGTTGGGATCCATCTGCCCCGGAGCACATCCTGCAATTCGATACCCCAATGCTGCTTGTTCACAGCTCCAAGGACTACCGTCTTCCTGTCTCGGATGGGCTCGCTCTTTTCAACATCCTTCAGGAACGAGGTGTTCCGAGCCGCTTGTTGAACTTCCCGGATGAGAACCACTGGTCAGTCCCCTTTCAGTATGTTTAGCATTAGACCCTCACTAATATGTTGGCAGGGTTCTCAAACAGGAGAATAGTTTAGTGTGGCACCAACAGGTTCTTGGCTGGATCAACCATTATTCTGGCGTTGGGGCGAAGAATCCTGATGCTGTGAGTCTGGACGACACGACAGTGCCGGTTGTAGATTTCAACCCCTAAATACGGGCATAGACAATTGTTCGGCTGGTTGCAGAAGAATGGATAAATTTTGACTCGGATTTATGTTCTTTCTTTTAAGTCTTTGTTCTCGCTCGTATTGTGAATTGTAAGTGGCTTCCTGGTGAGACATTGGCTTTGTCCTAGACATGAATTACCTAGAATGCTCCAAGTCCTCTATTATCAGCTCATAAGGCCGTCAGGGGAATATACTCCTAATGAAAATGGCCTATTAATACAGAAGAGCCTGGAAATGAAAAAAAAAAAAAAAAAAAGTTTAGTTTCATTGTGAATTTTATTGCCAATGTGGTTCATGGATTACATCTGGTTCCTCTGGGTGTTGGCCATCTTGGTGTGCGTCCCGCGACAACAGTGCCGGAGAGTGAGACTTGACTGTGAAAAAGTCTTTTATCATTCTGCTAGAATGGCTCTCAAGTGACAAAAGGCTCTGTCAATGTCATGGGAAGTCCCAATTGTGTGGACGTTTGCCGTTCACTGTTCCATAAAAAGGGCAGCTCCCTCCTTCTCCTCCTCCTTCCCACTATCCTTCACGTCCTTCACACCTCTCACTTCCCTAGCCATATTTCACCCCACAATACACTCACACGCCTCGTCTCATTCATTCAATTCCACATTCGAAATTTCGCCATCGATTTTACTATGTCGACTTCAACCTCGACCGCGAATTCAAAGGGGAGCACCACCCCGACTGTGACTGCTGACAAGTCTCTCGTCGACACAAAGGCACACAGCACCCCTGCCACATCCGAAGGTACGCTCCGAAATATGCCATTGATCACTCAAATATCTATAACTAACATGCTATTTCATTCACAGATGAGGATGAGGACACGGATTCCGGCTCGGAGACCGGGCCTGTCCTATCAGCCTACCTCATCGAAAGCGACGACGACGAAGACGACGGTCACAGATACCCTGTCATCAACGACACGATCCGTGCAATCACGGCGTTCAAAAACACCGACCTATCCAAGTACCCGATCGACATTAAGATCCAGCCCCTCCGGGACGAACCCTACGGCTACGGAGAACACGAGCAATTCGACACCTGGAAAGCGGGTATTGAGGTCATTCTCCGACTATACCAGGTTTGGCCGGTGGTTGACTTTGAAGCCGAACGGCTTCCCAAGAAGGGACAGGCCTGCGTTCACATTCGGGACTGCTATCCTCGCCTCCCTCAATGGCGGGTGCATGAGGACCGCATGCTCAATGTGGCCGTCGCTCTGATCTATGCGAATCTTGACGAGCAGGTCCGCGCTAACGACGATGTCATCCAGGACCTTGAGTATCATGATCCTCGAATTTTGATGAGTCTTCTTGTTGTCATATACGGGCCCGATCATGATGACACTGACGATGACGCTGGAGATGACACTGAAAATGCAGTGAAGACTGACTCCAAGTGAGACTGTTTGTTTGTGGAGTATGTTGATGGGATCTGCTGGGCTGGCGAAATCCTTTTTTTTCCCTTTTTAATGGCGACGATGTTAAATCAGTTAACGACTGGGTGCAAGAACTTGTTGTTGATTTCATTGTTATTTTCGAGGGGGAGCGAGCGTTTACTTCGTGTTCTATGTGTATGGAATTAGGTTAAGCATGGAAGTTACGAGAAGCTTCTGACCATTATGCATTTCTACTCAAAGTAGTAAGCTTTTTTGAGGAATTTATCCATTCATTGTTTGAAGGTATTCATACGAAGGTATTGGCATAGCTACAGAATGGTCCTTTGTATGAGAAACCTTCCATCTAGATCGGAACCTACCTTGATAGTTATCCCAAACCACCCATTTCCCCATAAATTCCACTGTCCGACATTGAGAAATGAACTCCTCTAAATCTGGCCGGGAGGATTGAGGAAGCATCCACAACCAGAAGAGTTAGCGACTTCTTTTCCTAGGGACATCTTTGTTCTCTGTCTCCTCCGAACCTACCAAGTGTTAGATTCTACAAGAGCACTTGGAAAGGATGTAAGAGCACCTACCCCAAAACTCCTTCCGCGTCCTTTGCCAAACGGGCCCGTCGCCGAAGATCAATTCGTGCCTGGAAGGCACTGTCGATAGCATCCAGCCTAGCACCCAGCCTCCCGCCGAGGGCCATTTCCTGGTCGCTGGCGAAAGGCATGTTGGGGAAAAGGCTTTTGACTTGGCTGACATGAATGGAAATCTCCCGTAGGAGTTTCTCGAACTGCTTGGTCTTCTGTTTATCGGCCTGTGTCTCTTGCTCAATTTCAACCACTCTCGCTTTCAGTCGGTGGATCTCTCGGCGAGCTTGATTTTTCTCTTCGAGAAGGTTGGAGTTTTCCCGTTGTAGCGCGTCGATCTTGACTTGCTGCCCTGCTTCGAGCATCTTCGGTCTCAGGAGAGATGCTGTTCGGAGATCCGATATCTTGCCAATGAGTTCTTCTATGAGTTCCATGTTCCGGAGGCTCGTCTCGATTTTCTCCTCAGTCAAGGCCAGAGGATGCTCGTCCGGAGTAGTCTGCGCACTGCTTCTTGGCAGATTCACGGCCAGGCTGTCTGGGGCTTGTGCACTCAATGGGGTTTCAATGGGGGTGCCGATCGAAGGGCTCTGGAGGGGAGTTCTGCGGTATTCGCTGTCTTTGCTGGTCACCATTTCCTTGGTATTTGGCGCAGTCTCGTCATCGAGGGATGTAACAACTGGCTCGTTTGAGGGGTTTATTTGGGGGTTTGTTCCGGCTGAATCAGTTGTCGTGGTGGGTTTGCCAAACAGAGATTTTGCGGCGAGTTCTGCCCATGATAGAGTTGAGGATGGATTTTCTGCAGGGAGGGATTTGGCTAAGCCATCCGTGAAGGTGGCTTTGGCAAATGGATTATTCACGAGATCCGCAAAGCTTGACTTGGCTTGAATATTCGCGCCGAGAATGCTGGGAGGACTGGTTGAGAGGGTCGATTGATCTAAATCAAATTTGACAGCGCGCGGATGAAGAGGCTGGACCGGAATGGCCGTGTCGGTTGAATCAAGCGTAGTCTTGGAATCATGAAAGATTTCCTTCTCCAAGTCTTGATCTTCAATCTTTACGTTAGATTGATCTTCTTGTTGAATCTCGCCAAGTGCTCTTCTCTTTAGGACGATGTTAGCTATGGTATAGTTGCAGGAATTTGTATCTCTCGTCGGGACACTTACCACGTGCATCGGTGCTAATCGTATTTTTGTACGTCGATTCAGTTTGAAAGGACGCTCGTCGCAATTGTCCGGCTTTTCCTTCGCGGCAACACCGGGCTGATCATGTTCGGGATGTCCGGGGATGCTCACCGTGCCAGTTCCTAGGTTGAGTGTGTTGGATGGCAGAAGGCTGAGACCAAGGTTCGATAGGTCTCCGGGGAGGATCCAGAACGGACTTCTGTGATTTGGTTAGTCAAGCACGAGAAATAGAAAGAAATTATTGTGACAGCTTACTCGATCTGCGAATTTTGAAGATTATTTCTGAATGCATTCCGCGCGTTCTCGAAGGGGATGAGGCTGAGGTCGGTGATGGAGGGGGCATCGCTTGGTGCACGACAAACATCAGCAGGGATACCTTTGGCTCTTGCGGACTTTCTGGCAGATCTCGGGGTAGAGTCATGGCTCGGGGTGTCCGACAGGACTTTGGGGGCTGAGTTTGCCGATGCCATGGGGGGGCTGCAGCTTTCTCTTGGCCTCGGTAGGTGGGGCGATGGGTGGACCGAGGTAGTCGAAGAGAAGCTGGTCAAGTTCGTCACCTGAGTCGAATTCAGAGACTGGCACTTCGAATCGCATACTGATCGATGGTGGAGTTGGGAGTGGTGAGGTGAAAGAGGGATATGGTAGAGGGATTGGCGGAGGTTGAAGTAGATGGGGACCACCACGCTCCAAAGAGGCAAACAATAAAGTCGAGACCGGGTCAGGGTGAATTTTATTTCTCTGAAATGGGGGTTTCAGAAATGATTTAAGTCAGGAAGCTGCCAGAGTTGATTTTCATGGGATATCAAGTGTACTCTTCGGCCCCGAGACCCTTCAGTTGTGGTCTACAACGGTCTTTCAGGCAGTGCACTATACTTCGATTTCTTCAAGTTCCTACAGGCCTCCCTACAGGCGGTACATAGATTATAGGTTTACAAAAAAGAATAGGTGCAAACTATTTTAAATTTCCAGAAAACACCCCTCAAACATCAGAACAAACAACGCCGATAAACCATCGAAACAACTCCTCGTTAGCCCTAAAGCACCAACAATGCAAGGTCGAACCCGAAAATACGACACAGATTCGAGATCTTCCTCGAAATTGCCCAGAGCTCCATAGATAAATTCAGCAATAAAACCATACATATGGAAACTGCAGGCACCGGCATGCAATGAGACATCGATGCAATGCAGGCAACGCCATCCGCTCAATAAATCAACAAACAACAGATTCCCAAATGGCCAAGAGTATTTCCCTGAGATCCATTCCCTTCTTGTGCGGCGTTCCTTCGATTAAATTTCAAGTAGGTCATTTATTTTCTTATCGTTCGTGCCTAAGTTTATCCAACAACATATGCATCATGCTCAGCGAAGACTGGAGGCAGCAGAGCAGCGATTCTGTCATACTCTGGAGTTTCGCGTTCGAGACACGCTGCTTGGCCAACTTCCCCTTCATCTGTTCGTAGTCTGAACTTAATTCGTCGACACTGTGAATCATTCAATCAACACTGCGAGCCTATGGCCAGGAGGGTAGGCACACAAGCCTGAGATATATACCGTTGGGAGAGCGAAGCAAAAACATTTCCATCACTCGAATCTCTGCGTTTTGATTCAGTTGTGATATCCTCACTGGAGGAATTGTGCGTTATAGGCAGCGGGGACGACGAGACTCGTTTCAGGCGCTTTTGACGCGGGTGGCCACTCAGGATGAGCTCGAAATCCATTTCATCGGAAATCTTTGACACTTGGGAGCAATAACGTTTGGGCATGATTGCCGTTTTCGAGTGATGATTTTGGTAAAATGAGTATTAGGAGTGGAGAGAAGTAGCAGGGATGTTGTGGTGGCGGGACAAATTGTAAACAGCAACCGCGGGACAGCGCAGAGAAACTGGGCATTGAACACAAACGCGATCTGTAGATCGTAGAACATCTTCTTTTGGCTTTCTTCGAAATACTCAGAAATTAACTTGCTTGGAACAAATTCGAGTCTGCCATGGCAAATATTATAACTTTTGAAACTAATTTGTCCTTGCTATTTATTCCCGTTGAGTAAGTCCATGCGTTTGATAAATCATACAGGCCTAAGCCGACGTCCGCCGCCGAGTATAATAATACCTTAAAATCAAGTGGAAACGAAATAAGAATCATGCTATATCACCCCATCCCTCAGATTCCATCCGGTCAAGTGGTCAATAAAACCCCAGCATCCCTACCCATTCGCAGTACAACCATTCATATCCTGCTGGGTTAAAAAGTCAGAATCTCCATCCCAGAAGCGCCAGGGCCGCCATGCCCGAACATGGTAGAGAATAGACTGACCTTGGTTATAGTTGTAACCCCTTCTTGAGAACAAAAGATGTCAACGTAAGTGGAATCAATGGTGGCGCAGTGCAGTGTCGATATTCCACTCCGGTGCTTCCATATATTCGTTGTCGTTGTGACCTCCTGAGGTCTCGACCCATTTATTCTCCAGCTCGAAAAGGTCGATCGAGGTCATGTTTTCCGTGATTGTCTCGCTGGAAGTCTCGGTTTGGGACGGGCCTCTCTCCATCTGCAGCTCGATCTGCAGTGCGGAATTCTCGGAAAGAAGAAGGTCTCGCTCGTTCTGGAGCTCGGTGTTCTTCGCCCGTGAGACATCCCGCTCACTTTTTAGCCTGGCGATTTCGACTTCAAGGGCTTTAAAAATCGGTGTTCTTTGCCTTCAATGTCTTCAGCTCCATATTCAGCTTGGTCTTTAACGTATCCCGCTCCCTTTTCAACTCGATGTTCTCGCTTTTGAGAGGTCCCACTTTTTGGTTGCAATGGGCCTCCCACTGAGACGCTACAGCCGCGTAGGATGCAGATCTCTGTTCAAGTGCTGCTTTATCCTGCTGGCAACAGACAAGGCTTTGCTGGGCAGTCGCTAGACTTGCAGTAAGTGAGGCGTTCTTCTGCTGCTCTGCCTCAATAGTCTGCCGGCGTTTAGTCAGACATGATTCTAGGTGTCGTTTTTCCTGTATGTAGTTTTCGCATCTGTCGCAGTCGTAGTCGTCGTAGTCATGATCGTCCTCATCGTAGTCGTGATTTGCGGTTATGTGATTGTGGTAGACGAACGTCATGTGGACATTTTCAGCACTGTAACTTTATCTTATTAGTTCGATGAAGTTGGTGGGAAATTCGGATTGGAGTTGTCACTTACTGGTGATGGTTGGTAACATCCACAACACCGTTCCACATCAGCGCCATGGCGAGGTTGGGATGATTCGTGTACGAATCACCAAAATAACAAACAGAATTAGGTAAGTGCAGAGTTGAGGTAAAGGGATTGATCAGGTGGAAGGAAAGACAGGTCTGAGTTGGAAGAAGGAGAGGTGAAGGTCGGAAGCGGTGGGAAGCGGAGGGAAATTCAGAAGTGGGATGGAAGAAAGGAAGGAAGAAAGTAGTACGCTGCCGCGACTTTATAGCGGCAACCCTCAGTAGGTATGCAATATATTGTAGAGCCAGAGATGATTTGAAAACTGGATGGATATTCTGATGATGTTTGTAATGAGATTGTAATGAGATAGTACCCTAGGTCATAAAGCCTTTGCTTGAATACAGTAACTACCGCTAAGCTATTCGACGCTACGGAGCATACGATATCCTTCCACATGCCATCAAGTCGGGTGGTCTAAAGTCTCAGCATCACAGGAGATTCGAGGTACAGTCATCCACATCTCATGCGAGTCACAGGTCACAGTCTCTGTCACAAGTACCATTGCCCTATTAGAATTGGTCGAAGAATGGCCCAAATTCATCAAATGATGGGCTTTTCCGGGTCTGTGAGGCAATCTTAATGGGTATAATTGAACTACTCGTTGCGCAGTGCCTGAAAATCCACAATGTCTGGCATCGGCGAGTCAAATTCTCCGTCAGAGAGTTGCTCAGCTTTAATCCATGTGTTCTCCAAGTCGAAAAGGTCAATTGGAATGTTTTCAAGCTTGGGAATAGGGTTGGTGATCTCGACCAGACGTGTATCCTTCTTGCGCTGCTGCTCAGCGATCCGGTTTCGAAGTATGTCCATCTCACGCCTGTATCCGGCGATCTGGTCTCGAAGTATGTCCAGCTCACGCTTCTGTTCAACGATCCGGTCTCGAAGTTCCTCTCGCTCAGACTTCAGCGCCACATTGTTGCTTCGAAGATTGTGCACCTCGTTTTTCAGTTCAATTTCCCACTGAGAGGATCGATCCAGGGCGAATTGGTGACGAAGGCCTTCGGCCTTGATCCTCTCTTCCTGTCGCTTTTCAAGGGTTTTTTGGGCCTCCTGGTAATTCTTGGCGGTGGCAGCACGTTCGCCTATAATCCCCTCTCGCATTTGGGCTAGCTGAGAGTTCAATTGACCCTTTTCGCACAGCAGGGATTGAACCTTTTCGTAGTTCCGGGTGTTTTCTTTTCTCTCGGTTTCGCGGATCTTGCGTTCGGTGTTGAGGGTTTCTTCTAGTTTCTTGGTTTTCTGCACCCATTCGTTGAGATGTTGCTGCAAGCTGTTTGCCCTGGGGGAAGTATTTCCTGTTAGAATCATCAAGTGGGTGGGTATTTTGGCTGAGTTTTGACTCTCTTACTGAGAAGGGGCTTTGGCGCCAGAACCACCGCCAGTGCTTTTGAAGCCAGGGCCACTGCTGTTCTTGGCGTTCTTGGGAGGCGCCATATTGAGGTTGAAATGGCTCGTACACGAATGATAGCGGCGTTGAGTGGACGAAATGCACAGAATGTATTCGATTGAATCGGTTGAATGAAAGAAATTGATCGATTCAAATGTATGGGAGGAGAGGTGAATGTGGGAAGAAAAGTGCAGAAGGCAGACGAAAAGCCGCTTCGGAAGGCACGCCCACTTACTACCAATAGCAGTACTAGTACGAGTAGTAGCAAGAGGAGGAGGAGATAGACTGGCTAAGAGCCATACGAAGAACCTCTAGATAAATCACACAGGTGACCAGTCGCCTAATGACAGCAGAAAAGAACGAAACCCCCCCCAAAACAACCTGACTTGTAGCTGTACATAACGAACCCCATGCGCCCCAGCCCCATGAACAACAACAACAGGTGTCCAGCATCACCTCTCATTCAGATGCTCACACCCCTTCTTCAGCTTCAGCAACTCTTCTTGCATTATCCCACAGTACTTCACAACGTCCTCGAACATCGGCTCAACTACTCGAGCCGGGACTATTTCCTCCGTGGGTTGCTGCTGTTCATTCAACGCGGCGAGCTCGGCGCGAAGCGCATCTCGTTCATTCGTCAATGCGGCATTTTCGGCATGGATGGCAGCGTAGGCGTCTCTCAGTTGACGCTCCGTCTCGATTATCATGCCGTTGGGTGTGGAGGTGAGTTTCATCTGCACGGTTGATATGTATATCACGCGGAGGATCCATTCGGTCTCGGTGTCGAGCGGTGCGAGGGTGAGCCCTTGTTGGGTTAGGGTCTCTGCGAATGTTTTGGCTTCGCGGAGCCAGGTATCGCAGCCGGCGAGGAGCTTGTTGGTTCTGGGGGGGCTGGTGGTTAGTTGAGTTCCATCAAAGATGCTAAGCTTTCTAGCTCGGTGTAGGATTGTTGTTGCTCACAGAGTCGCATACTCGTTTGACAGGTCAAGTGTGGTCGCCATGGTGGTTCGTGTCGAGGGAAGGATATCGGATTTGCAGCAGTGTAGTCGCAAGGATATTTTCAAAGAATAGATTTGCAGAGTTTCAGATAGGCATGAAGGAGTGGAAAAGGCGACATCACTGGGGAAGAAAGAAGAAAGAAGGTCTACCCACCCCAACCGTGCGGCAGGCCCCGTCCTTCGGGAATGACAACAATCTACGATTCGTGTCAGCCGCTCTTCAACTGTAGTATACAGACGCTGATTATCTTAGACTGTACTATAAGTCTAAATGATGACCATGTACGGTGCTCCATAGCAATGGACCCAGTGTTAGCAGCCCTGGAGTATTCCAAAATTACTACCAAGGCTATTCACACTAATACGATTCTGTGTCTAATTTGTATAGAGAATACTAGTGATTCTGGGACACTGCTGCCCTGGTGGACTTATACTATCAGGCGTAGTGGTTGCCTGGCCACTTGTTAGGTTCGAGAAATTTAGATCGGTACTGGATGGCCTCGCTGGGGGAGGGGCGGAGCCTTACAGTAGGGGATAATAGTAATTCCGCAACGCTGTCGCAATATAAATAGTAGAATTCTTGAAATGCTGGGTCGATTGGGACATACTTGGCTTGGACAAGGTTGAGATATTGCTCCACTGCCGGAGGGTTGTGTTGAACAACCAGAAAATGGTAGATTCAACTATCCCATAAGAAGTCCTTCCCGGAAAAAAACGAATGAAATCCACCCTCCCTTCCAGATGTGAACCTGGAAAAAAAAAAGAATTTATCCCATGGAAAATTCCCCAGCAACGATGCCTAGATCCAGCAAAAATCCCTAGAAATGATTTTTCTTCCAGTTCGTTCCGCGCAAATGGTCCTCCTGTAACTCCCATAAAAATAAGTTAGTACTTGATCAGCCATAGTGAATGGTATCATAGTAAGAGGTAGAGGGGAGATCATTACCATCAAGATCTCTCTCTCCTTTTGCATTTTGGACACATCATATGCAAAGTAGTTCAGGTCCGAGTGGATAGACTCTCGCATTCTCTCAAGGGCGGCTTCCTTGTGTCGAGTTAGAGTGAGCTTGGCTTGAATACTTTTGAACCGAGAAGAGATATCCTCAAGGGAAACTCTTCCAAGAGCAAACTCTTTGTCCTCTAGGACGGCCATCTCCCTCTCGAAATTATCCGCTATGTGCTCGCCTCAATGCTGTCTATATTGATAAGATTGATTCAACATGGATTCTGAGCGCCTAATATACTGTAATGGCAGCAATCTTACTTATATTAAGCGCCTTGAATTGCTCGTTGCTGCGCTAGAGAGAATTCTCGAGGTTCGCGGTCGCCAACGATCCGCAAACCCCCGCAAGCGGTGCGATGTCTGTCAGAATCCTCAGCAGTATCTTCAAGGGACACCTAACCACAGCGTAGGGCCGGTAACTGAAAGCCATGCCCTGTTAATTTCACATAATAATGCAGATGGGGATACCCTCGAAAATAAACAATACCAACTGCTAGGGAATAAGAGCACATCTGCCACATTAAGTCAATCCGCAATCAGACAAGATGGAAATAGGGATATCCCCATAACCAAAGAATATCAACTACTAGGGAATAAAGACACACACGTCACACTAAGTCAATCGGCAAAAAAAAGAGAGAAAGCCTTCACCAGATTTACATCCGCTGTTAGCAGTTTGCCTCATTCAGACAAATGGAAAGAACTGGCACCCACTGGTGAAGTTCATCGCGGAGAAGTCCTTCGTCGATTGATTTCGGGCTTGGCTCCATCAAGGAGTAAAATCTTAACACCGAAAACTCCACATTGGACGCCGGAGATATCGATTCTGAATAATTACAGCGAATCCATGCAATCTACGGCGACGGAGAACTACCAAACTACAGAGCATGGATATTACATGGTTGGCCCTCTTCAATGATTATAACTCATTACCCAATATTGAGCGGGATGCTAGGATCAAATGTTAAATCAAAAACCAAATTGTCGTAAAAATTCATTATTCCAAATGATCCAGGTCTCGATGTGGCGCATGGTGAGCCACCCACCGATGGGAACAGTAGTTCGGAGTCCAGTGACCTCCATGGCCCAGGTCTTTCATCTGAAATGAAACATGAGAAACTTATCACAATCGAATGTTGATATATCGTAGCAATTACCCATCATACCTTTTCACTTATAATATCCCATTTCAGATCTACCCAATGTGAATAAGCCTGAAATAAGGCAGACACATCATCGTCAATACTCAGACGTAGGCGTTTTTGCAGTCGCACATATCTCATCTGCAGAGCTGGAGCACGGTATCTTCTTCCAAACACATTTTCGAATGTAGCGCTGATCTCTCTCCATGTTTTGCTTCTGTCGTCCCTTAAGGTAAGAAGAAGCTCCTCTTCAAAACTCAATTGGATGTCGCGTTTGCTTGTTTTATTCTCGGAATTGGAAGGGCTGGAAGAGGGCGAGAGTTCCATGGACTGAGGAAGACAAGTTGGAATATTACCTATGCAGGGAAAGGCAACTGGGTCAAGAGAAAAGGGCTCGGAGTTTACACTGAGTGTGGGTGTATCTCCTGGCCATAGGTGAGTATTCGAAAGATCCTTGAATTGCTGGAGGATATCTTCGCTTGGCACGGAGAGAATACTAAGCATGTCCGGTGCCTGATTGTCATGAGACATGATTATAGAAAGGGATCTGGAACAAGGTTGATATCTTGATACAGACACTCTGGCGAAGTGGAGTGATTAGACACTCATATAGTCATGTCTTCCCTAGAATTTAAATCATAGCTGAAGGAATGACGCATCCCGGACCCTTATTTTCAGCCCTCATTATAGTACCACAAGAAGCACTGAATATGTTATTTGCTTTCACTGTTGGTCCTACTCAATTGGTAGTTGCAGCGCCACATCCATCATTGGTCTGCAAACTATTCTTATACCGACCCTATCAATCCTGGTCACATTTTTGTATTGTTATGACGCTCAGAGAAAGCTCTAATGCGTTCTCATATCCCCTGATATAGTGAATAGGATCGGATCAATGTTAATGCTATCCAATGAAAGATGAATCAATGTCAATTCACTGCCTTTTGATTGACCTTTTGAGCATAGTGATCCTAATATTCAGAAAGCGATACCAGGGCCTGGAGGAATGAAACAGTCTATTTCGTAATCGTATTTCCTTAATATGCCTTGACTCCTCACAAGAAGAATTTGGACCCTGCCAAGTGCCAAGGAAATTGATTAAGGATCCTGTAGCGATCCTTCGTCTGAGCATGCAACAGCTGCGGGGGGCGGTTGCATCTGCTAGATGGGGCCAACTTGCTCCTCAAGTAAAGTCTGCCTCGGCTAGGATTAAATTCTTCCAACAGAAAGTGACAAAATACGCACATGCCCCTCAAACCGGCCTTGGCGGCTATCAAGCTCACTTGGTCAAATCTTGTTCTTTTTTTGATTTCTGTTGGAAGGTCACGATAGATCTCAGATTTTATTGGCTGAATCTGAGTAAGCGCTGGACTCCTTTTTCTCAATTTGGATGTTACATGAGACATGTCGCTGTATGATATCATCCATCCTTCACCAGGAAGAAAAACGTTTATGTATTCAACTTAAGCGAGTTGTGATTACCCAAACCATCGAAGCAATCAAAGTCCATCATTAAGCGCTACGTGAAAAGGGTAATTTCATACGGAAACAAAACATAGATGATTCCTTTGACCGTGATGATAGCCAACAGGCATAGATAGGTTCAGGCTTCAGGCATAGATTGCGACCTAATCAATGACAACGGACACGGAGTGATTTTACATGGGTTGCCCCTTTAGTTCTGGACAATGCAAGACTTAGTTTTCGTCGGCGTTGAATTGAGCCCCGGCCCGGGGTGACCTAGGAGGCTGAGCGGACCCGCCCCATTGATATGCATCACTCTGCATGTACCCCTCCTCATGACAAAGAAATGCCTCATTCAAGTTCTCGCCCCGCACTGTGCATAACCTGAACAACCATCTTCTGGGTCGATGTCATATCTTCTCCAAGATCCGGACCAGCCACTCTGATTCTTGAACATCGCAACTGATTAATTTCCGCTTTCTCCCATTCCTCCAATTCTTTTTTCAATATCTCACAACAATCAACAAGAAATAACAACATGGCAGCCACAGATGCACAGAACCTCGAGGACCTAGTGAGAACAGAGCTAGCGTCTCCACCGAGCATATCGCTGCAGATTCTCGGAGTACACATGAATGGGGAACAAAGTGAAATCGACTTTGATCTGCGGATCGAATACTCAAATGAAGCGAAAATAAAGTGTGGAAAGCTTTTGACCAGAGATCAAAATGAATTCCATTCCTGGAGCCAGCAGCAAGACCCCGAAGGTGATTTTTTGGCAACTTCACGTGGCTGGATTGAGACATGGTTAAGTGATGGTGATGAGAGAAAAAGGTATACAGTCTAAATCTATCGTTTAAGGAAATTCAACTAACATAAGCAAAGCTGGATTATCCAAAATTCATGCTATGTCCAAGAGGAAGATCTCACTGCTATTAAAGGTCATCTCGAAGCACTTGCACGCAGAACTGGATATGGCGGAGATGTAACCTGTAAGGTCCACACTCCACTCTTTGAGGAAATTATCCCCGAGAGCACTGCAGTACTTCAAATAGAATGGACACCTGATAATCTTTTCATTCCTATGGACAAGGATTGGGACTCTAAGGTAATGAATGCAATGGTCGACAAATGGAAAGGATCCATATCCTTCGATGAGCCAAAGCCATCTCATGGCCATTCGCCATTTCGCAGAGCCATGAAATCAAATGATACAGCCAATCTTGTGTCTCATGATCAAAATAAGGATGGCTCAAAGTATACAGTGCTGAAGTATTCGAAGTGGGGATCTAGTACCTGAGAAACAGGAACTTAAAGTTCCCGTGTTTCAAGGTCAATTTATCCTATCAATGTGCAATTTCTGTATGAGTTCTTAGCTCTCTTAAGAGGAAAGATCTCTTTTGGTAAGAAATAACAGTTTTGGATTTATCTTTGAGCGCAGCAACGATGACTTTTACGATCTGCTTTTGTACAATGCCGTTGAATTACACTTATCTTCTATCTTTCTGAACGATAACTGCCTGCAAAGTTGCCTACTTTTCAGTCTCACCCGATTTGATCTACTAAATCGCCGTTCGAGTTCTCACAAAATGTAATAGATGCTAACTCAATTGAAATACCAGAGAAATAAATACTTAAATGATGAGTTCATCTCATTTCATCCCCTTGTGTGCATTCACAAAACAGCAACGAAACATTCAAAGCAATACAGAAACAAGCGCAGAGATCCAGTAAACCCCTTAATCAACACTGGTAGGGAGGCAACTCATCTCCGGAGTGCTCAATCCCAACTTCAAAATTGTCCGCGGATGGATCGAAGGCATACCCACTCTCGCCGTTACCAACGCACTGTTCAATAAGGGCATGATGAACCCGAGCCCAATCGTCTGAATCTATGGTAATCTGCTCGCACTTGGCGCAAACATAGGCGAGGCAGGTTCCAAAGCTTGCTTGGTGGCAATAGCCAGGGTCCACCAAAATATCAGATTTGTAGTTTGCAAGCTGGTCTGCCAGTCGCTTGCAGTCATCCCAAATAGGAGGGTGTCCAGAGTGCTGTTATGAATGTTAGTCAAACTTGACTTAAATTGGACTCTAGGATCTGGGACGGTATTTTGCTATTTAGCACTCACTCCCGAGCAATCTATGGTCACAGCTCGCTTTTGAAGACCGTCAGATCGAGAATTCAATGTCTTTGAAGATGTTTTGGTCCTTGTATCATCGCCCTTGGGTCGGTTTTTGATGTCCCAGGTAAAACCCTCTGGAAGCTTGGGAATATCTTCAAGGGTGGATATCTGGGGGCGTTTGCTGGAGCGAGTGGTTGGAATTGATACAGCATTGCCAACACCAAGTAGGGTTGCGAAAATGGCGATGTTAACAAGTAGTCTCATAATGGGATGTTTGAAATAGTCTTGAATAATATAGTTCAATGTTGTTCTTTGTGAAGATTTAATCATTCATTTTTTTGGACTTATATAGATCTTGCAGCAGTTATTACCTTCGTATATTGCTACGGGCTATGCTGCAGATAATGACGTTGGTTATACTGTGGGTTATACTGTGGGTTATACTGTGGGTTATACTGTGGGTTATATGGATGGTTGTATGAATGGTTATTCTGCGAGTTGTACCCCTTGTTATATTGAAGGTTATACTGCGACCTACACTCCTAGTAACCTAGCATGATATCAGACTTCTCCAGCCTAATATAAGTAGTACCTCTTTTCCTCACAATCTGAGTAATATCATTTTCGGATCCTCACACCATAATAAGTCTTTTGAACCTTCCTTCAACCAACGGAAACAAATATTGACTCTTCCACAATGCGTCTCGCCCTGAACCTATCCGTCTTCTTCCTCGTTTCTGGAATTGTAGCAGCCTCTGAGAAAAACCACTGTCACAACACGTGAGTCCTATCGGGAAAGAGTGTATGGAATCTACCACTAATATCGATATAGGGCCGATCCCCATGAAGGCCTCCCCAAGAATATTTGCATGTGCCCGGATGGTAAGTACAATCTCACAGTCTTATTCCATTTCTGGCGTTGCTAGACTTTGCCATGATTCTCATGATCATCTGTAGGTCGTTGCTACAACGATATAGATGGTGGAGTTTGCGAGGATCTGAGTGAGGAGACTGTTTGTATTACGTAACTTCGCCAGAGCTATCTTTCTTTTGAATTTACACAGTATTGTACTTTGCTCCCTATAATCCAGTACCCATAGCCGGGTATGCTTTTGCTCTACCATTTAGGAGTAATAGTGGCTTAAGGGAAGAAGCGCTTGGATAATAACAATATTGTCTGATATATAGTCGAAGTCGTACAAATAATGTGGCATGCGTCAGATTTTTTGGGCGTATGCTGAGGTATATGCTCAGGTAAGTAGTAAGCGAACTCGCGCGCAACCTCCGATGAAAACAGCTTCTGGACAGTGTGGGACAAAAACGCCAACCCATGGATTTATTCGATAGAGACAGCCTAGAAAAGATGAGTAATGATAATTCGGAGAAGACTGGGGACGGAAATGGGCCTACTAAACATATTTTACCATATATCCACCCTGTTATCGGTATCATGTATGCAGGACTCGAGGCACGGGGCTTAGGCACAGATCCGACCGTAACTACTGGGCTAATGACTCATTATTGCCAGTTGGCTTGGAACCTCTTGAATCACTCTATTTTCAATGATTGTTATTACTGGTAGATACCCTATACAGACTGTGTGTTTCCAAGAATGACTGTGTAGTGAGCTGGATTCATTTATAATGAACATACTAGTACGCTGCTGCTATATAGACTGGGTACTGCTTTAAATATGATGCTATCGATGGCCAAACTACTCTATAGGACACAATAGTGACTATTCGAATCTACTAGCAGCAAGGACACCTAGTCGCCGAGATTTTTCTGATCCGAATTTAAGAGAAGAACTTTATATTTTTGAACAAGAATATCAGGAAGATGCTACTCTATTAACGGACTGTGAGGATAACATAGATTATCTCCTATCGAGGCTAGCTAAATCTGGATATGTACACGAGAAAAATTTCATTTGAAGAAGATACCAATTTTTAGCCGAAGCTACTTATAAGTCTTAGATCAAGGTGAGTGAGGTATCTACCCCATAACGAGGTGTTTTTGATTTCTACTCCACTCGGGGCCGTCAACTGGAGGCTCCTTGCCGCCAACTGGTCAGCCTGGGCCGCCAAGTGGCGGGTCTCCCCCGGGCCGCTGGGGATGGGCCGCTCGTTAATTATTTATCTGGGAAAATCTTTTTCTTAACATGGTACTAAATCCATAGTATTCTATCTATAACGCTATGTTTTCTAGTGTGACTATGTTAAAGTACTTTATTCTTTTATTAGTCTGAGCTTAGCTGCGAAGAACGAAAAAAATGCTCGTATCCTATGTCGCTCGAACCCGCACCGCTGGGGGCGATTCGCTAAAGGCATTTGTAACTCATTGAAATACGTGAGAGCTCAACTTCCTACCTAGGTTGCCAAGCTTCATCATGCTTGGAAAAATTGAATCATAACAAAAACATACAACAGCAGGGATTCGCATGTGGTCACCCACCATACTACTAACCTGCCGGCGTGTGGCTTAAGTACGGCTGAGCGGACGGGAAGCCCTGTTCTCCACACCCTATGGTCGTATGTGCTAGATTCAGCAGAAACAGGAAATATATACTATTCAGAGAACGTATTCATAAGGTGAAGACAGAACGTATTTGTACCTTCTCCGTGTCAAAAGCATGATCCTGTACTAGAAACCTAGGCTAAAGGTGATTTTGAAAGAGATGAAATCTGCTGTTCGGCACAATAGCACCTTCTCAATCATTCAGCTGCGAGGAGGCTATTGTATTGCTACAAACTACTTTTCTGTTGAATAATTCGAATATATGTAGATCTAATTGGAAGCTGTAGAAGATTGGCTCCCTATACTCTCTGGCCTTTGACCTCTGTAAGAAGCAGCATACTAAGACAAACTAGACGAATTGCTCCCAGGAGCTTGCGGAATTTCAGCGGTTGAATCAGGCCGCTGGCTTTTATGTAAGCAATGCTCAGAGAGCAAATCAGAGTGCTCAGATTAGGCTCACTGAACAGATCAGAGGGATCAGAGAGTCGCTTAGAGTAATCATGTGATGAACACTGATCCGGTCAGCGCGCTCAGAGACGTGCTCAGACCTACTCAGTGAGCAAAAGCGGCGCTCACTGAGCACCAACGCGGAAAGGGAAAGCCAAGACCTTGCATGGGAAATCCGGTACCTAGGTACTAGTAGATAGTACTAGTATTCGTGGAAGGGTCACGGTGGAGAGCGAGACGGAAGAACGACCAGGCAGGTGGCCAAACAACCAAACAAACCTTCGGCGGGGAGGTCTCAGCTTGGAAATTGGACATCTAGCTCGGAGGATTGAAGAAGCGCCTTACTAGCACCCCTGGAGTGCCCCCATCCTCCTGCTAAGACACCAAAATACGACAATCATCCACCTGGGCAAGTTCCAACATTGCATCATGCTATCGAACTACTGCTGATCTCAAAAGCCCATAGATAGACGCACCAATATATATTCAACTATACAGCCAACTCCTCTAAAACGCCTATACCAACAGACGTGGCTAACAAGATCAAGATCCGACCTCCGACAGAAGATAAACAGCAAAGATACATCCAAGCTAGATGGGCAACTTCAAATTCAACCCCCGTGGGCGGTAAGTGATCAGAGAGAAAAAGTGAAAAGCGTGAGAAAAAAAGAGATGAAAGAAAAAATCACACGCTTCATGCATGAACACAATCTTACAATTCATCACCATGCTTCATAGTTCTATTCCCATTCCCGGGGATAGGAAGGGGACCACCACCGATGGGGTCCTTGGAAATAAATCCACCCTTGTGAATGCGCATACCGAAATTGATCAGTACGACAACGACAAGACCAACAGAGACTATGGTCGGTCCCCACTTCTCGTAATACACACGCTTGACATCGCGGCGTTTCCGAATCTTGTCCACGCGCCAGATATACAGGAAGAGACTGTAGATCAGAGCGCCAGCGGCCAATATGGTAAATGCCCATGAGGAAGCCAGGGCGACGTAGTCAGCGCCAAAATTGAGTAGTGTCGCCGCGATACCGCCGAGGATGATGGAGAATTCGAGCCAGGAGAGGAATGTGCGCTCCGCGGCAAAGTAGACCTTTGGCTCGACGCGGACGGGGACGAAGATTCGCTTGCCGGGGGGGTGCTTGGAAGCGTTTGAAGGTGCGTTGAGTGCCCTGGAGGACGGCGATGCCGCGCTGTTCGGGTGGGGGCATTGGGGTGGCGCGGGGTCGGGGGATGATTGCAAGTAGGCCCTGGGTGAGAAGATGGCCAGTCTTTTGGAGGTAGTATTTTGACAGCTGTTTGGCGTAGTATGTGCCGCCGACGCGTCGGGCTTCTTCAAGTTCGTCAGAGTAGACGGATTCGTCGTCTGAGTCGTAGAGTGGGTAGTCCTCGTCGCCGGCGAGGGGCTGTGCAGCGATACGTTCTTCGATGTCGAGCTCATTGCCGTTTGTCTCGGTGAAGAGGCGACTATCGTCGCCGATATGATGAGCAAACCCGTTCTCCTGGTTTTGGGCTGATTGTGGGGAATCTTCGTCGTCTGAGTCATCCTCATCATTGGCGGACAATGATGTGCTGGCCAACGGCCGTTGAATACCGTAGTGTCGGGTGGCGGGCTTGCGAATGTCGACATCCATCTGTGGGTACCAGAAGGGAAGCAGGTTGATTCGGGTCGGGAAAAGGGTGGCAGTACCGTGAATGAACTTGCTGAACTTCGGAACAGCTTCAACCAAGTGACTCGCGGTCAATTCACGAATCCATTGTGGAGGTTCCTGGCCAGCCTGGGTCTGCAGCTTCACCTCCAGCACGGCGTAGGGAAAGCGGTCGATATCTTCCGGGGGCAATTGTGAGAATGGGAAGTCCACGCCAATATCCATGCGGCGCCAGTTGCTGCCGGCCCGCCGGCGGCCATCCAGATTGTCCTCTCGAATCATGGTGAGCTCCGTATCAAGAGAAATACGGACACGGGCATCTCCTGGAAGCTGGAAGGCCGTTCGGTGGTAGAAAGTGCGAGTAACCGGGACCAGACGGCGGGTGATGACTCGATATTGGATCTCCCGGGCCAGCTGCTCGAGGTCGGCAATCTCCTCGGGGCTCTTCTTGCCCTCCTTGCGCATCTTCTCAAATGCCTGCTCCACGGTCATACGGCCCTCCAGGAACGCATTGACATTCTTCTCCTTCAAGGAGAAACGGGCCTTGACAGATTTCTCTCCAGTCCAGTCCTCGCGGTGAGTCTTTCGCTCCAAGAAAATCTGGTCGCTTTCCATCCTTCCATACCAACGGAGACGAATGGCCTCGGCGCCCTCGGTCTTCTTCAGACGACCTTGGTACAGCTCCCAGGTATCGGTGTTGTCATAATAAATGGACGAAATCGCGGTATCCTTCTCCTCGAACTCCTTATTGGCATTGAAGACCAAGACCGGCAGGTGCTTCAGGACGACCAGCTTCAGTTCGGTGATGTTATCCCGGTGAACCCAGTATTTGGTTGTTTGACGAACAAAGTTTTGCTGGTTTCCACCAGCGGACGCATCGCCCTTGACCGGGTTACCCTTGGTGCGGACCAGGTCATACAACTTGGAGAGATTGATCACGAAGGCATCGTAGTTGTCCTTGAAGAAAGGCTTGGCATTGAGGCGGGCGGCAAAGACCGGCTTGAGGTACCATTGCGTTTGTTTCTATTTCTCAGCGGTTAGTTGATGGTCATAGGTTCTCGGAGCTCCATTGTGAATCCTCCGGGTGAATATTGTAACATACGTCGTGCTTCTTAATAATCTTCTGGAACCCGGTGTAGTTCAGCTGGGTGAATTTGGCGAGATCGTGGACGTCGGCAATGATATCGCTGAGAATCTCCTCCAGCTGCAAGAAATCCTCGTCGTCAGGCGGGGGCATACGAACGCTATCCCGGCGATTGCCAGCGGAGCGCTCGAGGCGAGACACGACATCACTGACTTCGAGCTCACTAGCCTGGATGCGCTCGACAATCTCCTCACTCTTCCGCTTCTGGAAAGTAAAGACCTTCTCCAACTCGCTCTCGAGCAGAGTGACGAAGGTC